ACTATATAAGAGATAGACAGAATTAATGCTGTATAATTAAAAGTGAAGAGTCTGTAAGCTGTACAAAAGCTTTACTATATTTTAAATATCTACAAGAATTAGAATAAGTTCACTAATAATATTAATAGTGCAGTACTCTGAAGACTAGATGCTACAGAAGCTGAATATTGCCAGAGCTTAGCTATATTATCAGATGATTATACTATAGCTAACAAAAAATTTAATTGTGCTTGCAAACTTCCTTCAAGAGATGCTCTACATTAACAAGAACTTACTATTAGAAACTATGGTCTTTTACAGCTGTTGGCTCTTCCACAGTTATCTAGCTCCCAATGTTTAATTCAGGATATTGCTAAGAGCCCTTCCACTGCAAGCAGCCTCTGAGATCTACTAGAAGAACCACAGTCACCAAGATCACCAAGGGATATTCCTATGAGTGGAATGTTGATGCTGCATAGCTACAATGTATCAGAAGCCTTTATACATCACAACATTAGCTCAGTCAAGACTGATGACAGCACCTACCTCTGGTTCTGTTTGGCAAATAGACCAGCTAGAGCTGAAGATGCTTTAGGCATTTACAAATTCAAACATCAGCCAATTATCTCTCTGGTCACAAAGATGAAGACCTTTGACTTTAACCAATACACACAAATAACTGAAGTTTACAAGTTCACCACCAGCAATCTTCAGAAGAAATGGGAAACAACTTGGTCTGTTGTCATTCCCCAGCTAATGTGCTGGTGAAATGATAAGTTACAAGGTACCACCACCACAGTACTCACCCAGGTCAACAGCAAATATAACATGTACTACTATCATCAGCAAATGATAAGAGATCATAACAATTACAGATGGTTAAGAACAATGTATCACAGTATCAGCCAACAACTTATGTGCCAGGACCCTGTGTACTACCTATAGTACATACTGACAAGACCTAACCACACTCCAGGGCCTTTGTCTCCATCCAGCCATTCAAACTATTACACATTAGTTCCATATTGATTCCCTACTGCTATTCAATTACAAGGCTTAGAAGCTATATCAGATGCCCTGGTAGAACAAATTAGATAGGACAACCTCATGGTAATTAAGGAACTTGATATTCTCTTTGGCTCTGATGACAAAAAGACTCAGGACTTCATTAATAACTGATGTCTAAAAGCCATGTGAATTGCTCTGGATGCCATTATCAAGACTTACCAAATTGAAAAAAAAGCTTTTAGTAATAAATTCTATTAACATTATGTGCATAACAACATTGACCCAGCATCAGTTCAGCCTTCTTCTTCTCCTGAGAACTTGGTGGAAAAAGAGGATCATAGTAATCACTATTAGAGATTGATGCTACCACTCTCTTTATTCTTATTTTCTATGTTTTTTCTTACCAGACTGCCAATTACTATTTCTTATTCTCTTAGTTTCTTTACTAAATTGCTTTTGTTTTGTTTTATATATTGCTTGTTGTCAGAGGACACCAATATTAAAGGCCAGGAAATGTAGTGGGAATTCCAGTATCTTATTAGAACAAAGATTGTTCCAGTCCAAGATGTAAACTATTTTAAAGCTACTATTCTTAAGCTATATAAACCATCTGTAGTCTCTGCATCTTGCTTATTATCTTCATGCATCAATGCTCTTTTCTACATACTTGTTTCTTACTACCAGTTCAGTTATTAGTTAGAGAATATGAAGATTTCTTGTTTATAAAACTTGCTACTGTTTCTCATTAGAGCTGCCTGTGTTAGTACAGAGCTCTTTAGTACTATTACTTCTTATAAGCTTAGGTGTCTGTTAGAATATACCTATCTCTACACTTACTACTTGACCATACTCTTACTATGTTGTGATTTTTCACCTTTCTTGCACTCTCACCATATCAACCAACTCACCTACCTTAATGAAGCATCTCATTGTACCCCGCTTTAATATAAATCTCATTAATAATGCTATCTTGAACAATACATCTAATATATACTATACTACTACTCTTTATAGAAATAATTTCTTTATTTGAAGCTCTGTACTAATATTCTGTATTAGAATCAAAGCTAGTAAAGTAGACTTTATTGCAATAAATTAAGTAGCTGCAACCTATATTAATAAGCCAGGCTTTCAGACCAACATCTCTTTTGAATACAGATGCCATCAGATCAGATCTGAATGTTATATCAGTAAAGCTATTTTCAAATTCTATTATAAGATGATTTTCTTCTGTATTATTCTTAGTATTTTTACTGAAATTTAATTACTGAGATTTGAATTAGCTCTGGCTTTTCTGTTTAGAATTTGTATATTATCTTTCTTTAAGTCTTGATCTCATCTATAAGTATGGCTTTGACTTCTATTCTTGATATCTCTTGTTGATGAAAAGATGAGAGTATTGTTATATAATATAATCTGAAGTCTCACAATATCTACAGTTGTGATCTATTTTACTAAACATTTTTTTATATAAGAATTTAACATGATTATTTTATAAGACTCTTTTCTATAAAGCATATTTCTGTACCATTTGCTTATTAGAGAGAGTCTCTCTGAATTTAATTTGTTTAGTTATATAAATTCTGCTTAGAGCTTTTATATATTTCTTTATCTTCTGCACACAATTTCTTATATTCTTGTATATTATGTTACTTGAGTTTGTATTTCAAACTATTAATAGCATATTATTTATATAGTTCTCATTAATCACTTATACACCCTCAATTATCTTGTTAATTGCAAGAAAAGTATATAATAAATGAGAAGCTTGCAATACTCTCTAATATTATTCAAGCAGCATGTCAAGATATTGTATAAGTAATTCATAATTGTATTAATATATGTAGAAATAATTTTTTACTGCATGAATATATATATTTTTATCAAGCTTTAGAAAGAGCTACTTTATGCAGAATATTATAAGAGTAGAGTTATTAAAAGTACCTCTATAGTACTTATTAATTTAATCTTGAGCATTGTCTTCTATATTTAAGTTAAGTCATGTAGTAAAGAATATCATAGCACTTTATTATTTAATTTGTATATCTTCAGAAGCTTCTGTAAACTCTGACACTACTGTATTATATAGAATTTTCTAGCTATAGTAGTTTAGCTGTAATCTGATAATATTTAATCAAGTATTCATATTTTTCTTATCTTGTAGTATAGAGATTAACCAAATTATTATTTCAGTGATATCTGTAATTATTTTATCTGTTATATTAAAGTGTTTTTTTGATTCAGAAAGTTATTTTTTTGAACTAGCAGTCTGCAATACTACTCTGTAGAAAGCTAACTTATCATGTAATATCTGCTGACTATAAATATGCATCTATATTAGTGCTAGCATTCTTCATATATTCTGCTAAACTCATATTTCTGGAGATTGAATTGAGATTTGAAGCTGAAGAGCTCTCTAGATCAATGTTCATTATTTCATTAAGAGTTTTTTCTCTTTTTAATAACTTCAAAGGCTTCAAAGATTTCTAAAGAAGGGCTCAGAATCTCTCAAAGAGTCTACAAGGCTACTAACTATAAGCAGAAGCTATAGGAACCACAGAACATGAACTTGATAGATGTGTGTGCTCTCACTCCCCTCTCATCCAAAGGATTGTGGGATGAGAAGCAAGATGAAAAACTCTGCATCAGATCAAAGAAGATCCGAGCCGCTAAGCTGGAGACTAACTACATAGAGACTAGTGTCTCGACAAAACACAATACCTGTTGATTCGTATGCGGAGTAAACCGAGTTCTTTTGAGAAACCGACTACGACTCAAAAGCGCGAACGTATAACAAGCCCGAGATGCGGCTACTTCTTATCATGTTCTAGAGCATCTAAGTTCAGACTGCCATTTATATACCCCCTCAGCCTTTTCCTCGACTCGCCGGTGAGGACACCAACTTCTTTGACCTTCTGGTTGAATTCAACGGTGTGAATTTTTCCAACATGCACGACAGAAGATGGAAGCAGTTTTTCGGTCATGGAGGTCGGCTCAACGGCCAATGGCTGTTTCGCAAGATCGTAATATTTTATATTCATCTTCTCCGGGTCGGTATCTTTCATATGAATCACCGCATGCGCACCGATTTCGATTCCCGGCTTCTGCAATCCTCTGCGCCGGTAGGTGGTGATCGCTCTTCATCCAACCAGTTAGGTTTGTCTCTAAATTCAAAGAGTTCGGGGGTGTCCTTACACGCATAAGCAGAAACCTTTCCCTTGTTTCACTACAATCATACGGCGAGCAGAGCAGTGGGCTCTTTCGCCGTGTTTCGACACGATTGTTGAATGCGAAGACGCCGTATCACTAGTCGAACTAGCGGTTTCATGCCAAAAAACCTTGAAGACCTAATTGTAAAGTTAACGCCCCCGTCTGGAATAATCATCGGGGATATCTGAGCCGGGAGTAATACTCTACCGTGTAGGAAAAAACTATCTGGCTTGTCTGGGACACGGAAATCTTGTCGCTTGTCAGATTCAGTTCCAACATATCTCAAAGGGATACCGACCCGGATCTAACAAGTCTTGATCCTCGTGTGAATGTCCTTGGCGGATACTTTTATTCCGCGCCGGTGGCATGTTGGCATGTATTGCACCACCACCATTGTGCTGGGAAGGGAAGTTTGAGGTCGGTTGATCTGCGTGTGGGTCCAACCGAACAATCCCATGCCTGCAATATCTTAATTTGCCGTTCATTGGAAGCACAACTTACCAGGGAAGCGGTTCAGACTTGAGGATAAACCCCGTCCCTGTATTTCGATGTATGAGGACTTGGAAAAACATGGCACTTACCGGGGTTGCCCTACTGGGGCTATGGCGGCAGCATTGGGACCATCGTACGCCGGGTTAGAGTATCGAGGTCTTGTATGCAAGGGCAAACCTGGCGCCAGTCCGTCTTCATGAGTTCTGCACTGTCTTAGCATTTGGTGGCATGGTCATGGTCTTTGTTGCCCTACCTTTGATACTGATTTTCATTTTGAGGTCGCAACCGGTGCTGCTCAGGATAACTTTGGCGCCCTACGAGAGGTTTTCGGGAACTTTTAGCAAACCTTTTCCGGAGGGATTTCATATCTTCTTACCTTGATCTCGCCAACGTTCAGCGTTCTGAGCTGACTGGTTTCGAGGCATCGCGGAATTCAGGCAGTGAGCCAATCTTGAGTGAGAAAACAGGTTGAACACTTTAGTGAATCACAAGTCCTGGATAATTCCTAATGAAAGTATTTTTCTACTTCCTGTTGGGAACCTGCCGCGACGCTTCATCTTTTTATACGTCCCGGAGGGCCTGGTCTGCGGCTCCTTAACGTGGGCTCCATCCCATGTTTGGTTCTCTAGTGGCTTCTCACACGTTGGTCCACGTTTTAATGCCATACTGCGGTTGGCAATATCAGGAGCCAGTTTGCCAATCATGGGCGCAGGGGTCGCAGTACCAATCCGGGAACTCCATGGATTCTCAGCGAATTCATCATCTCTCTTGCGAGATGGGCGTTACTTGACTCTGAGACTTATCTACCTGTCCAATACAGACAGTGTTCTGCAAGGCTGATCTGCGAGCTGCGTCGGGCCTCACCGTTCATTCACAACTTGCGATGCAACAAGGCAGAAGATATCCAACCGTGAACGCTTCCATCCATCCCTTGAAAATTTCACTGTTGGTCGGTTGGCTCACAATTGGAGCTGGGGAGGAGAACACCTCGGAGGTCATAAGAATACCTAATTCGTGCTTCACAGTACTAATAAGCTTCGAGTTTGTGTGCCTTATCCAAGTCAGTTTCAAGCACACCGGTTCATCACCAGACCCCATGCAGGGCAGGCTTTCATGTGCCGCAGACGGACACTCCATCTGATATTATGTTACAAACACCTTACAGTACTAGCGTGTACATGTATCGGTAGTGTAACTCTGGTAATTTATGCAGTGGCAGAAGAGCTGTTTTTACAGGTGACCACGTTGTGCTTTCAATACCTTCCAAAATATGGCACTGACAACCTCTATCTACCTTTTTGTGTGCCACAGTATTGACATGATTTCATCCTTATACTGTTGACGATGGCTCAGGCTAGGGCATTGTCTATAGCTGATGATAGCGTATGTACAAATGAAGGCTCTGATGAGTTTGTATGTCTATGTTAACTTATCTGAAGCATACGGGCTCTCTGATTAGCGAATTCCATCCAGCCAACGTCAATTTGTACCGGCGGTCTCTCTCCATACCCAGTTTCCGAAGTGTTGAGATTGACTATAACGTGGAGTTCTTGTTTGCCTCTGAAAAGACAGAATCGATCCAACTACCGCAGACTTTTCCAGAGATTCCATCCCCAGAAATCGAGCCTATACCTCTTTTTGAGCATGTTCCAAGGTCACCCACTCCCAAGACAGATGGGGGGCTACATACCCATTTGCAAAGGTTCATTGCAAAACAAGACAATGTCGCCGCAACTCGTATGCTAGCCCGTGAGCGCCGCAGGGAACTGAGATGTAAACGCAATGGCGTTATTGATCTGGAAGCAGGATTTATGAATAAACTGAACCAGCTACTTATTGATCATAGAGACAACCCTGCAAGACTAGATCCAGCACTTCTTACACTTTTTGAACAGTATCAAGATGCCCGAAATGAATACTCTTCTTTTGAGGATGACTATAATCAATTGGAAGACCAGTTGGACAGGGAAGAATTTGAGCTTGAAGAAGTTATCAAGGCTCTAAGGAAAGCAGGAGACAGAGAAGGGGACAAAGGTTTATTCAGTGGTTCTGAGAAATCAGCCAAGAATAATGCTCCAAACTTTGCAGAGATATACCACCCACTAGTCATCCAGTACTATTCCCGGATAGGCGATATGAACTTACTGAAAGAGGAGCTTTGGAACCTACGTGCTGAATATGATATGGCACAGGAAGATCAAGCCACAAAACACAAATATGGAATGGCTGTGCAGGACTCTAACCTTCTGGAATTGCTACAAAATTTTGCAAAATATGAAGAGGAGATACTTGATGATCTTACTGCTGTAGACAATGATGTCCAGCAATTGAAGGCACAGTGTGATGCACTTGGCCTGCTTGACAACCCTCAAGAATCAACCTTGTTGGATCCACTTGAAGTGATGGAAGATATTCCCAATCTTCAATGGACCAGAAGAAGGCCTTCTTTCTTTGAGGAGAACCCGGGCCTACAAACATCTGCAGAGGCAAAAATCAGCATGACAGAGTTCATTGATAAATGGCTCCTCCATCAGCTCTTTGAATCACCGCTTGACCGGCTCAGATCATCCCCAGAACCAATAGAATTTCCGGTGTACGAGCCTCATCACGCAAACGATAGTTATAGTTGGGCAAAATTGTCAGTGAATATTGGAACCCCAGACTCCTACCTTTTTAAATCTGCGGCTCCAATTGATAACGATATAATCCTTGATATGCTCTCTCCCAATGGACCCAATTCCGATCCTTGTACGCCAAAAGATGAACCGGTACTACCCACTGCGATGCGAATATGCGATTTCGACTGCCCCACGGGTTCCTTAGTGGACAAATCGTTGAACAATAACAGTCCTAGTGCCATGCTGGCTGTTGAAGAGGAAGCCAATGCTATCAATATTACTTCTGGCAACCCAGACAACAGCTCAATATCTTCGTTTTGATACTTTTGACCTTGACACGAAAACTGGTTTCTACATTTCAAACTCGGTGCTTAAGGGTGTATTTTACTGGGAATTATACCGGGGAGGAAGGAAAGATCGGTGTTTTCAAACCAATAGACCAAGGAGAATAGATTTCCCTACTCGGATGATTTTACAGAGAATTTTGCTGGCATTCCTGCCAATCGCTGTGCTCCCCACAAGGCAACTTTAGGCTGGAACACGTTTGGCCTTTGCACGCATTTCCTTATGTGGAGTTCAGGCACGACACATTGAGTGTCGACTTGCTGGAGACCTTGCATGCCGTCGCAAATTAATTTCGTTTATCAAGCCCGACAGAGAGTGTGTGTATGTGGGTGGATGCGCCTTGGAATTTGAGTAACGCTGGGTACGAGCAGGTATACCGACACGTTTCAGTTTCACCCGAATATCGATTACTATTTGGGTGGGAGGGGTTCCCCTACTATCCAATCCCAGAAATCAAACGCAGTTATTTATCCCCTGCTTCCGAGAAATCCTACTGGGCCAGCTCCCTAACCAATCTTCGGATGCGATGGCGAGATGCTTTTTCCTTGTGATTGCGACGGCCCTCCACACCATCACCTCCAAAATACGACATACCCTGCCATCGAAAGGGTCCTGTTAGGCATACAAATCCCTGAGCGACTGTGGGGGTCGAGGTAGGCCAACAATAACTACTTGATGGGGCGTTTATTTCCACCCAAACGGATGACGTGGTGCATGAAATCTGTAAAAAGAATCAATTTGGATCGCATCCCCGGGGTACTCCGTATTGACCGCCAGTCTTGAACGTCTACGCAGGATGGGTGGTCTTAAAGCCTTTCATGCTGCGGTGGTTCTCTTTTGCCAAGTTCAGGGAGTTTGGGCCTCCTTTGTTGGTTGTGCGTATTCCGTGTTGATTAATATTACTTTTACAACCCACCGTCGCGATCACACCACCATCACTGGTAGAGACCGCCAAGTTCCTTTTTTTCCCCTATTCAGTAGCGTCGCAAGCACCAGTTTCAAGCGAGATTCGATGCTAAGAGATGAACTATGGGGGGAGCCAAATATATCCAAGTATGCATATATGTATGCTCTGCACTGTCCTGTGCCATCGATTCGTCGATACGCCGTGCATGTCAGCGTAATAACGGTACCGTTTTAAGACAACCGTTACCAGGACGAGACCCTCCATCTTATGCAAGTCATTCGCCCAAGGACCACCCCGCGGGAATCAAGTTTGCTGTGCAACGCAAAGCCACCAATCAGCCGCGTAGCTGTAGATGCAAGATGCAGTCCTGATAGACGCCCTCCATCTGGCGACCTCCCTTTGCCCTCTTTTCCATCGACATGAGGAAACTACGGAGTACTCCGTACAGAGCACGGGGACCCCAAGACCAAGCTGCGGCCGGGTGGGGGTAAACTTGACCACTTTCGGAACGCTCCACAGGCTAGCCGTCAAGGTTTGCGCGGTGAGTTGGGCCTGCCGCCTTGGCACAGCCACGTGACATAAGGTCGGAGTGAGCCGCTGGCATTATCAGCCGCGACCAAAGAAATGTTCCAAGACAAATCGAATACATCACATTTTTGTGTCCCAGGAAAGCGAAGACCTGCAAAGTATGTATGTCTTGCATGAAATTGACCCATGGTTCGAAATACTCCATACATATACAGTAGTCACCGATACGCCACTCGGGAGCCGCATCCGAACCAGTCGTTCTTCCTAACTCATCCATCGTCCACATGATGCCAGACCAAAAGAAGATATGTTCGATGCCAAATAAATCGCAAAGCAAGCCAAATTACCATATTTGCCAAATAGCCACCCCATCCGTGTAAGCTGACATTCGCCTCTCAAGACAATCGACTATCATAATCATCCCCTTCACTGTCACTCAAACTATCTCTCCGCCCTCCCCTGCCACTTCCTGCGCGTCTATATCCCTTGCTTAAACCCGGGATGGGACGATGGTACGTCTTAACACCCGCATCGCAGCCTTCGAGCTGATCGTACACGTATTCCGATGCACTGATCGATGACATGTCCAATGGTGTGGTGTACCCACCCGGTATCGCGGACCGATCGCGTTTACGGGGGCTAGTGTGTCGTGAATGCGCACCCGTGCTGGGTCGTGGGCCACGTGGACGCTGGGAATTTCTGGAGCGGCTCTGTCGACGGCTATCCCGGCGGTGCATCGAGTCACGAAGCTGGTGTTCTTCCGTTATGTGGCTAATGGTATCTTTCTCCCCAGCAGTGAACGAGAAGCCCGATACATTTCTATTTGGTGCCCTGTCGGTATCGGGTATATCGTAGCGGGTCTCGGCATCGTAACGTGTTGCAGTCTCCCCATGGGTCTCACCCATTTCGCTCTGAGTCCATTCACTCCTTTGCCCAAGCGTGCCGGTATACTCTGAGCTATGATACGTGCCTTCCGGCTCGCGATTCATCCCTCCTACTCTCGCTGGCTTTTCATGGCGATACGCACGCATGTCTTCGTCATGACTTCCTTCCCATTGCTCGTCTTTGTGTCTTCTTAGTAATTTCTGTTTTGCAGTCTCTTTCAGCCTCTTTCCTCGGCTCAGTTTCTCGCCCGTTGCTACAGTTTCCGTATCCACCGTCGTCGTATGGTCGTCATAATCACGATAGCCTCTCCCCACAATACTACCACCACCTAGATCCGTGCTCTTCGAAGCATTTGTGAGCGTGCGGCCGTTCGAATCTTTCCGACGTAATACGGTAGACTTATATTCCTCCCAATCCCCCTCGCGCCACACGAACCCACCATTCTTCGCCCAGAAAAAGAACCATATAGCCGCTAGAACGAAAGCGGCCCCGATGATCGCAAACAGCGCAAGAAGACCCTGCATGTTAATGTTGCCAGGATCCACTGCGCCCTCCCCAGGATGGAACTTGGTATTATCTTCGGCCCGGGCTGTGAGAACACGGGAAACCTCCATCGGGGAGGAGGAGGCGGCGGCAGCAACCAGTCCGTGTGCCATATCAAGGTCAGAAGGAGGTAGAGCGCGTCTTTCGGTGATTGGGCGTTTAGCTTCGTGCAGCGTTTCGAGGAGAAATCCTCGCAAATTTACTTGGGGTCGCTCATCGCGAGAATTCGGAGGGATTGGTGCCATAGCTAACGGATTTCCAGTCTAAATGACTGGAGTTGGGAAAAGAAAACAGATTCAGTTTAGCAGTTAGAGGTGGTAACATATAAAGATTGCTCCCATCTACCTCCCTTAAATATTAACACCGATTGCGTCGTTAACAGCTCGTCGTTGCGCTCATCAAAACGAATGGAACGGTGATTCGCCCGTCGATGATATGGAAGACGACATCCGTCAAAATATCAAGATTCGCTAGAAATATAAGACTGGGAGTATCAGGAGGGAGATCAAAAAAAGAAAAATTGGTCGTTGGCAGCCCGCGAACCGTCGACCCCCAAAGCGCCGACTGTCCAGTGCTGGATATTAAATCGCGAGGCTGGGAGGAGTTGCCGCTTTTGTTTACTCTGATTCGTTGTCACGGGCAACGTGTATTATGTCATCGCACTACCACGTGATTGTTGACCAAACCGTCAGTGCTTGGCAAGGCTTAAAAGGGCCGCTAAGCCCTATCAGGTGGAGATCGACCCCACAGTCTGCTCGATGCATCAGATCGCACCCAAAGAGCGATGTCGAAGATCGAGCAGTCGAAACAGAGAAAAACCCCACCGGAAAAATTTATGCAGGCCAATATAAAATCTCAAAAAGGTGCCAAACCAGTCCTTCGGAAGACGAAATCCCCCATCGGTGTTGAAACGATAGTGAAACCACCGACTCTTGACACGCTAGTATTCCCCAAGGAATTCGGACATATTTGTAGAATGCCAAAATGTTTTCAAAGCTCAAAACTGTACTGTTGATCCAAAAAAAGACGGAGAAAAAGAAGCTGAACTACGTAGAGAGGCAATAAAACCAGTAAGTAAGAAGGGTATCAGCTCGAGAATCTCATTCAAAGACGCGTTCGCAGAAGTAGAATAAAGCTAGGCAGCAAGTAAAGCTATCAATGTATCGATCGCGAAGGCACAAGTTCAGCAAACAAAACGGAAGTGACAGAACTTCAAATGGAAAAGAGGCATAACTAGTAGTCATATCGCATTGGGCATAACAGAGGGGATGTGTAGGTATGGGCAAATTCGAACAAAATGTAAATACATTCAAACCAAGAACAAAAAGATCCAAAAGAAAAAGTCCAAAAAAAATGCAACATGCAGCATCAACAATGTGAATCCATCACGTCATAAACAATCGTACAGATCATAGCATTCCACATCAAATCAACATCAAAAGCAGATACATGTGTTAGAGTGCTAGCAATGGGGTAATGCAAATGAAGTATGCCAAAACAGAAATAATACGCAGATGGAAACACACACCAGATTGGGCTCGATACATGCATGGATATGAAAGATAAAAAAAAAGAAAAGAAAAGAAAATGGAGGGTGATATTGCTGGAAAAATGAAGAAAAGGGGGAAACGCGATGGATACCAAAATTTTTCAACTTTTAATGTCGGATTAAAAACACACATAGCCTCCCATACGCTTTTTTGCCTTTTTGTATAACCATTCCCGAGTTTTTTGGTCGAAGGTTGTCCCTGAATGCTTGACTCCGTTTTTTTATTTATTTATTTTGTTGTTTGATGTTTTCAGAGCGATTTCCTCTGTGGCAAGCTTTGCCACGCTGAGTGATGCTATTTTCATTCGCTCCCAAAAGAAAAGGGGGGATAGGTTGTTAAAAAAATGCTCCGAAAGGACTATGTTGAACCTTCTGATAACCCATGTTGAATCGAAGTTGGGCTCAAGGGTAGTGGGGTTTACTCAAGCAGGCCACGACCACTGTAACCTGATCGGCTCGAGTGTCGACTCTCTCGTTCAGATCTCATATCGTCTCGAATGCGTCGAACATCTTCAATCTCTCTTCTGCTGCCGGCCAAGCTGGTGGTATCAGATCGTGACATTATATATCGCCGTGGCCCTCTTCTCCCTTCAATGTTCACCTCCAGGCCTCCTTCGTCACCTGATCGAAGATTAATCCGCTTGTCCATAGTATCACCAGAAAGATCAATTTTGACGCCACGAAAAATCATGGTAATGCTATCATCATCAGCTCGAGAGCCAACGCCGCTCCCTACTCCGCTGCCAACCCCACTTCCGGTCTTAGTGTGAGTGTCACTTTCATGGCTGCTTTCGGACGAAGTCTCGTCACTTTCACTGTCACTTTCGACCCTCTGGTGGCTAGCTCTTACTTTGCGAAGAGCCTCCGCCGTCAACGGTGCCGTCCTTCCCGCTCGTGCCTGGTAGTCTTCGGCATCACGCTGTTTTTTTTCCATTTCGCGTGCCTGTTCATTTGCATAGATCGACGAGCGACGGCGACGCGAATTTTCCACAACGATTCTTCTTGGGCCGTTATCGTAATACGATGACGCTCGAGGAGGCCTCTCCCTTGCTGGAGCGGGGATGCTGGGTCGACGTTCAGATTCGACGACCGGATCACGCGACTGTTTACGTCCCATTCGAGGTGGGAGTGCAGCACGCATGTCCGACATATCATACGGTTCAGTCCGATGGATGGTTGGAGTGGAGGAAGTAGTGCTTGCTTTTCGAGTTGGAGGGCGTTTGTTAACTGGAATGACTTGAGTTGGCTGTTTGTATTTCACCGGAGGATCTGGGGGCGGTGCCATGCGGTAATAGTCTTCGTCTGGGTCATAGGAGCGAGATTGCCGGCGAGCACGGCGTTCCGGAGGTGGTCTTGGTTCGTATTCTTCCGGTTCAAATTGGGTTGAAGGAGAATTATGATATTCCACAACAGGCCGTTTATAAACCGACGGCCTTCTGCCCGATGGCTTCTCAGTAGGAGGTCTCGATGCTGATTTGTTGCGTGGGCGCTCCCTGGGACGTTCGTAGGATGACCGTGGGGCGACCTCATAGGATGGGGTGGGAGACTGGTGAACCGTGACCTCACCGCCCATATATGGAGAGGAAGGGTAGAAACTGTTTGAATATGCGGACGCCGAAAGAGGGGGTCCATGGCCGTAGGCAGACGGATGGCCCATGGACATATACATCATGTTCATATCCGGCACCGTTCCAGAGTGGAAGCTAACCGGTCTGTTCTGGGTGTGATAAGAGTTCGAACGATGAGGGCGAGGTTGCGGTATGATAGGAGTACCAGGATGCATTTCTTGGTTGATAGAAGGTGGATATCGTGAAGTCTGAGGCGACGGGGGAACCTCGTACCCATGAGGGGGGTGAGGTTGAAAATAGTTGGCTGACTCCATGGTTCGTAGGTCGACGTTCCCAGCTAGAGCTGCTTGGTGAAGTCCCCACTGATCACAGTCCCAGCACGTACCTGGATGATGTCTGGCACCGCCTGAGTCCCGTTTGCCAGGCTTCGACGGCCCCTTTTGCAGAGAAGGGGGTCTGCTTGAGCTTCGAGGGGAAGCGACAGGCATGGTTTTGATGGGTGGGAGCGGTGGCGGGGGCGGTTTGTTGTTTTCTTTCCCTTCCTTCTTCTCTCTGGTTTTGTTTCCAGAACGATCTTTTTCTTTCCCCTCGACTCGATCTCGGAAGCGAGCGATATCACGAGTCGGAGCTGAAGTAGCCAATGGGGGGAAAGTAGGGCTCACAGTGCCACTAGCGAAGGAGTCACCGCTGTCCACAGTTATGGCGGTTCTGCTCGAGTAGCCAGAATCGCTGGCACCGTCGACGCTAGGGCCGGAGGGAGCGAGCTCAGGGCGGGATCGCTTCACTGATACGTTGGCAACCTTGCGGGTCCCCGGTAAGACAACGTTGGCGTCCTCGTCAAACTCTTCGCAAAAGGCAGCGTATGTTTGATATGAGGGTCTGGGCGACATGACGGGGAGGTCGTGCCTCTTGGGTGGGTCCAGGCAAGGGTGTTTTGGTAAGTTCGGGATTATCCGCTGGTTGTGACTTTTTGGCCCAAGATGGGGCAAAAGGGGCGGAACCGTCGAATAACACTTGAGGGAGTGAGCCAGTCACCACACTTCAAATGTTGACACGTCAAACGGCCGTTTTTCAATTTTGATGCTCGAAAGTTATTTAAAGAATGCACGCTCGGATGTTGTTGTCGATTCTAGGCCGAAAATAATAATTTTGGCGATGGGTTTTCTCTTTTGTATTTTTATTTTTATTTTTTTTTTTTTTAAAAAAAAAAAAATTTTCGGTCCTTTCGCTCTCCCCAATCCACGACCGAGTTTCCAGTTGCCTGTTCCTCCTTCTTGCGCCAGAGAGTTTGTATTGTCTTCGGTTTCCAATATGCAAAACCCAAGCTGTTATCCGATTTCGCAGGGACCTTCACCTGTATACGCTCGCTCGAAATTTCAATTCTGATATAGAATCCACAGAAGGGGTCAATTGCTCCATCGAATTGTCAAAGGCTTGATCGGGTGAGGTAGGATGTTGCCGGCACCGAGAAAGCAGCAAGCAACGAGGTGGAACGGTGAGTGATTTACACCGAGAGAGTAAGTCCGGAGCGTCGATTTAGACGGAGAGGGAGGTAGGGAGAAGGTTGCGGGAAGAAATACGAGAAAGGAGTTGTTCGAATTTGAGGGTCAGACAAATTGCAAAACGTGCAATTCCTGCGCTCAGATCACAGGGGCTAATAAACTTCCTGCAAAGAAGTAAAGGTATTGGCGCAGTGCTCTCGACTCGTTAGGGATGACAAATATGGATGTGACGAACTGGGAATGTCGGCTGAGGATCCAATAGTTAAAATAAAATTTCGGATATGATCGTGGATCCTGGGGGATAGAGGGAGAAGAGTTGGCGCCAAGAGGCGGGCGTATGCAGACGGGATCGGACGGCGGACCAGGTAAGAATGCTACCGAGATGATTCGCGATCTTGGTCGGTGAAGGAAACGCTCTGTGGTGGTCCTTTGCGGGAGGACACCGATGCCGCAACAAGTGGTCGTTAAGCCGAACTTTTGTGCGACGAACAGCGACGGAGGAGGGTGGAACGGGGAATAAACGACTGGGATCAGGCGACGTAGAGCCTTCGAAGGGATGGAAATGATAAGGATGGGCGATGGGGAGCCGGAGGGAAGAGACGGTGCCGGGCAGACCGGTCGAAATGAAACTGAGACGGTTTGGGCTGGCGGAACAATAAATTATTTTTCGTGGGTAACTACGGAGATGAAGAGAGAGGCGCTTCGGAGGAAATTATTAAGGCGCTGTTCTTGGTGGGGGGAGAAATTCTTTTTTGTTAGACACCGAGGGTTGCTTCGCTGAATGAAGGAGGTAAAGAAAAAAAGTTACTCGCACAGGAGCAGAGAATAAAGAGAAGAGAATAAAATAAAAAAAAGAGAGGGAGAGAGGGAGAGGGAGAGAGAAGCGAGCGGGCAACAGAAGAAAAGGAATATTGGGCGACGCGGGCTCACATGATGCATTTCATAGTGGGCGAGTCGTGCTGATGGGCGACGCTTGCGCTCCCTATAACTTAGAGACCGTTGGCTGCAGGCTAGGCCGCCATGATTTCCCGGTCAAAAGTCGTGGATAGTTACCAGAAACAAGTCCCTTATTCAACGGGAACAGACAAGGAGATCAGGTGAGGAAGAGGAAGAAGGAGAAGATGGGATGGAAGGTACTTTTCCCGGCTGACAATCAGGCTTAACAATCGCCGGAAAACTCTGATGGGACAGAAAATGAAAAAAGTATAGAAAAGCGCTGCTTCAAACAGGTCAGTTACAGGGGCATTTCGGTCCTTAATTACGAAATTATCGTCCGCTATTTAACTAACTCGCGATAAGACCGCTGGCTTTTGTCTTCTATCACCAAGGGTTGTGGCGCAGGGACAACCTAGAGTGACAGCTCGACACCTGCTCAGACGAAATCTACGTAAGTTAGGGAGTAACTCCATGGCCTTTTGTTATTTTTAAATTCGAAGAGGATTTCAATTCGACAAAGAACGAGGCAGCGTTGGTCTTGATTGTTACCTGTTGAAAAAGGGGGCCTATTTGCTGCTGCGCGATTCTAAAAGCCACGGGATACAATCGGATTGCAACCAGGAGCCGGGAACGTAACCATTTGGCAAACACAGTTCAGGAACCGCAGGTATTAATTAATTTCAGGTGACTCACCCCTCGAGGAGAAAGATCAGCCAAAGAGATTCCAAGGAATCGCGAAAAGCTCGGCGGGAAAAAGGCACTCTTCACCCACTTCATCCTGGCCGAGGGGATCGGGGGGAAGGGGAAAAAAAAATGGTTTCGCTATTTTTGCTGCCCAATGGGCCTGGAAGGTGACCTTTCCTGCCCAATAACATGACTTTGGATTGCGGCTGCGTGCGTCATGCCAGGGCTAAGGCTGGTCAAGTGAAAGAGTGAAAAGAAAATTAATTCAGAGACCAAAAGAAAATCCATTGACAGGCGGATTAGCAGCAGCCCGTCAGCTGTCGCTTGTCTCGATGTCCAGTAAAATGGATGTCTATGAAACTGCCGCTGATGACCCTGCTGTCCAACACAACCCAGATCTCTCCCGCTGCGATTCAAGCGGAACTCAAGGGTGGAAGTGTGTCCTCTGTATCACCACCCCGATCCATAAGATCGATTTATCAGCAGATCTCTTCGTATTCGATCATCCATCCTCCCTTCTTTGTTTCCTTTCGCATTCTCCCAAGGTCAAATTACACCAGGACCTTTCGTTTCAATAAGTCACACTCGTCCTGACTTGGACAGTAGCAATGATGGGCCTGATCCGACGCAGCGTCAAGGATATCACAGACCATCCATCCACTGGATGTCCATCTGTGGTTGCCAGAGAAAAAAAATTTTCTTATTCCTTCGAAGCCACCATGGAGGGGCTGTTGGACTGGAATTGCTCCGGAAATGGGTTGCTCTCTTCCCCGGCCATGGTCATCACTCATCCAAGGCCCGCTCCAGCTCGACTGCCAGCAAGCAAGTACAGGCAGACTGGCGTACGGATTACACAAGAAGAAAATCCATACTCCGTGCTCCCATCAGCCAGGCAACAGTCCAATCCCGCCAATTCAACCACCCTCGTTGGCTCAGAATACCCAATGCTCAAGATTTCGTCATACTCGACTGGACAAGCAAAAAAGACACTATCATCATCATCGCTCCCGCGAAATATTTAGTTACCCCTCCCAGCCGCGCCAGACTACCCAGCAGATTGCCCCTCCATGAACCCCCAATTTCCGCCCCTAAATGCCGCTTGTTACCCTGTGGGCCAGATTAGGTGCCAATTCCGCTCCCAGATCCGGACACCAATCATGCCAAATCTGCCCCTCTCGAAAAGCCCCCGGGGACCCGTCATGTGTATTATGATTTCATACATGCTGCGGATCGGCCCCTCATTTGGGCTGTCAAAAGTATTAGCCACTATCGATGGCTACCAAAAAAAAAATAAAATAAAATAAAATAAAATAAAAAAATAAAAAATAAAAAAACTAAAAGAAAAGAAGCTAATTTATTACATACATACTCCGTACAGAGAGATGGGAGAAGCAAATAATAATAATGAAAAGAAGTAGTCCTGCCTTTCCTCCCCTTTGTAACTCTTTTACTGAGCCAACCTCGGATGAGCTTCTTGCCTTGTGCGCTGTTGAAGCTCGCAATTGGAATGTGATAATGGGCCGGAAACTTGGGGAAACATAATACATCAACCTACCCCATTTGAGGGTCGTTGGCTGAGACCCCCACTAGGAAATCCTTTCAGAAAAAAAGAAAAAGAAAATTCACCCTGTAGTTTGACAGGGTTCTGGTAGGTTGATATATGTAAGTCTTCGATTAGAGCTTAACCCTGCCCGCCAGCAGAGTAACCTGTCAAGAGGCAAATTCTCTCTCACCCCACTTCACCCAAGAAGTGCTTGATATTACCGTACATGCTTACTGGGGACTGCCTCAGGCTAGACTGTTAACTAATGTACCATGGTGGGGTGGTTTAGGGCATAAATCAGAGACAACAGGTACTTGTGATAGTACAATACTCTCTTTGCACCAGAGCCTCACCCTTCATGTAGCAAAGAGAATGCTTATGATGTAAACAAAAAGATAGGGCTTTGAAACATTGTTGTTTGTCATTTACTCTACTTTTACTTGAATTTAAAGGCCCATTAAATCCAGATCCCGACTTGAGCTGATGCAACGCAAAGATTTCGCATGGAGAGAGGTATAAGGAAAGATACAAAATAATGAGGGGGAAATGAACGGAATTACATTCTAGAGCAACAGTTAGCCAAGCTCATTCTTGCTTTAAGAAACTAAGGCAGGCAGGGAATAACATACCGTTCGACAGGATTTAATCCCAACAGTCTCATTCCATTATTTAGCACCTGTCTCGCGCAGTGATACAACGCCATTCTCGCCTTCTTCAGCTCCGGCTCGCTACCAACGACCTTCAACGTGTCATATCCGGAACTCAATGTATGCGTCATGCGGAAGAGGTATGTAATAATGGTAGTGGGTTCGAGCGTCTTCATAGAATTAAGGACGACGTCAGGCCACTGAGACAATAATCTGACAAGGTCGACGGCATGTGATTCGGTTAGAAGAGACAAGTCTGCAGAGCCGAGGACTGACGGATCGATCTCGGCTTTTCGGTTCACTGAGCATAGACGGGCATGAGCGTATTGAAGGTATGGGCCCGTATCACCTTCAAAGGAGGTCATATCCTCAAGGTTGAACTCATAGCCGTTGATACTGATACACAACGTGTTAGCGTTTGAGTTTACATTAAGCTAAGGGGGTAAAAAAAGGTATACATACCGCTTTCCACTCATGTCCTGCACCATCACGGACGTAATGCCAAGAGTGTCGGCCGTCTCATCCGGGTTCTGCACCTGCTCGTACTTGACAGCATTTTTCTTCATCACCTCATGCATCTTGTCACCGACATCCTTGAGAATATCGTTCAAGAACTTAACCGTTCCTTTTCGGGTGCTCATGCCACGAACCATACCAAAGTTGATATGCTGGCATCTTTCGGCAAGATCCTTCCGGCCCATCAGCTCCACGGTCTTAAACAATTGCGCTAGATGAAGGTCTTGTTGAGCAGCAACAACGTAAAGCATCTTGTCGAAGTGGAACGTCTCATCACGCTCGAAGATAGCTGCAATATCTCTAGTCAAGTATAGAGGAGTGCCGTCTTTTCTGACAACAATGGCCTTTCCTAGCTTCTTGGCTCCATGTTTGGTAAAGTCAACAATAATGGCTCCCTCTGAGTCTTCTGACACACCCTCTTCTTGCATGGTTTGGTAAACCTTAGACAGGCTCTCCTGTTTCACTTGAGATTCACCAGAGTAGACATCAAAGTCGATATTGAGGCGAGCATAAGTTTGCTTGTATTTCTCAATACTCAGGTCACGGAACCGTCTCCACAGAGCAAGGGCATCCTCATCACCGTCTTCCATACTCTTGAAGTACCGACGAGCCTTTTCGTCCCAACTGGCATCAACAAGAGTCTCGAGCTCCTTCTCCAACGCCGCAACGTCTTCACCTTTTTCCTTCTTTAGTTTAATTTGCTCTTTTAGCTCCTTAATGGGCCCTTCTTGTTCACCGACGTCCTTGTTGATCTTGACATAGACTTCGAACAGGTGGTTGATGGGATCCTTGAGAAGTTCCTCCTCATTTCCATACATTTTATAACCATTAGCCAGCAGGCCGTACTGCTTGCCCCAATCTCCTAGATAATTCATCTTGATGACGTCCCACCCCATGATTCTGTATAAATTCGCCAGGAAACCACCAATGATCGTACTTCGCAGGTGTCCCGCATGGAATGGTTTTGCGATGTTTGGAGAGGAGAACTCCACAACGATTCGTTTCTTCCCCTTGCTGGGATCCCGCGGATCGCGTAGGCCGATATTCGCATTTGTTCCATAGGTCGCTTTATTCTCAAGAATAGAAGGGATGACAGTATGTATCAAAGGTTGAGCGCGGAAGTGGAACTGCAAGTGTGTTCCGGCAGCCTTGGGAGATTCGACGAGGTCCGACTGAGGGAACTTCGCGGCAATTTCCTCAGCTAAATCTGTTGGTTTCCTGCCTTTTATCTGGAGAGCGGGAACCTATACCAGAGGATAATCCAATCCAAATCAGCAAACACTGAAAGAAAAACCTTTCTCCCCGAAAAAATAAAAAGCATGTCTAGGTGCTAGAACTCCATACCGCCAGAAGTAAATCGCCTTTATCTAAAGTATTCGTCCATTGAAGTCGAGTATAAACAAACTCCGGCTCCTTTCCCACGATCGGCCCAATCAACTCAGCAATATGCGCTCGGTATTTATCAACCGGGTTTAAGGTGGGGTAACAATTGGGATATTTCGAGACTTCGCTGGTGGTATCATGGACAGAAAGCTCTGCTACTGCAGGAATAACACCGTCTGCCGCCATTGTGGAGGGCGCCTGCAGTCTTGGAGACGGGCGAGACGATAATTCTCGAGTTGATGAGTAGTTCAAGTGATCTGATGCAAATGGCGGGGTGCGGCGGAGAAATTGGGAGGGATAAAAAGTTACGCGACAGGCGTGAGTAAGCTTTCGGAAGTAGAACGCAGCGCCGAGAGAGTACGCGCTTTGAACAAGCGGCTGGCGCATTCAGATTTTATATTGGACATTCAATTTATTGATATCTATAAAGCCCAAACTCTGATTCACTTTTTCATCCTTTGGTTCAGCAGTCAACTTTTCAAGGCGGTCAAATTTAGTGACTCACGGGGGCAGAATTGGCAGAATATCACGTGATCAATCCTTTTGTCTTTCTGGCCCTTTTTTTCTTTTTTTTTTTTTTTTTTCAATGGGGTGGGAGGTGTCGGGATGGGCGAAGTTTAGGCTTTTGATTGAAAACAAATCTACTCCGAAATCGATACTAAATACATAGTATACACCTGACGCTGTCATTGCATCCACATACTCCATAAACAACCCGCTAATAATGCTTTGCGAGATGCAATTATTCATTACCTGTGCGCTCTGTGGCACTCCGGAAACGACCCTATTCACTCTTCTGATGTGAGCGGATCTATGTAGATAACCGAATCTATGTTATTCGAACCCGTGACTTAATAGTAGTGGTTTGAAATATATTAGAAACAGAAGACCTGGTCCTCAAGCTTGCTAACGAGGTTGGCCTTCTTGTATCCGAGGGACTCGGTGGCCTTCTTCATGGCGCTGACCATGGGGGGAGGTCCGCAAATGAGAACCTTGATATCACCGGCCGGAGCAGGGAGTTTAGCCTGACAAAGAACTGATTAGCATCGCTTATCATAGAAGCTCGCATTGCTCCCAAGGGGGTCTTGAGAAAATTAGGAACAAAAGGTAAAACAAACCTTGATCATATCTGGAGTAACGAAGCCAACACCACCGTTCCATTTCTCTGGTGGGTTGTTAAGGACGTAGTAAATGCGGAAAGCGTCGTCTTCCTTGGCAAGCTGATCCAATTCCTCCTTGAGAAGAATGTCATCTGGGTTCACGTTGGCGAAGATAAGGTCGATCTGAGTAGTATCGTTGCCCCCATTTCGGGGCCTTCCCTTGATAATAGCCTTGATGACCTGGAGCATGGGAGTGATACCGGTACCACCAGCAATCATACCGATATGACGGACCATATTTGGAGTATAGACCATGGCACCCTTTGGTCCACGAACCTTCATTTTATCGCCAATGCGGAGGGTAGTCAAATGTTTGGAGATGTTTCCTTGTGGGTATGACTTGACGAGAAGATCGAAGTAGCCCGCATCGTCATCAGAGGAGATGGGAGTGTAGGAGCGCACGATCTCCTTCGACTGACCAGGGATTGTGGCAGCAAGAGAAATGTGCTGGCCGATGGGAAGGCCGAGGATGTCGGTTGGTCTTGGGAGAGCGAAGCGGTAGATACAGACATTGTGGGAGACAATAGTCTTGTCTTTGAGGACAAAGTTTTGGAACTCCGTGGGATTTAAAACTTTTCGCGGCTCTATTTTATACAGCATTGCAATTAATACCGTGGAGAGGCGCAAACAACCAAGCATGAGACTCACTGTTACTGAATAATTTCCACGCTGAAAGGACAACAGCAAGAGCTGTCGCATACGCAATCCATTCCTTCTTGATGATTGTGGTACCGAAGATCAGTAGGGCGGACGGGATATACACCCCGTTAATATTCTCCTTTGACGTCCAAGAGCTGCGGGATAGTCAACAAATTAGTTGGGAGCTTTGGCTCTTTCGATCGTAGCTTGGCACGTACCTCATTTTGGCAGACCTCGTTTCAATTATTCGCGATTTTCCAGCTAGGGGAAAAAGGAATTGTGCGAAGTCGTTTCTTTAGTATTGTCGAGCGAGAGAGAGGGCAAACGGGTGTCGGGATGGCACTTCGAATCGGGACCAGAGCACCAATCTGGGAAAAATATTCCCCGTGCAGAGTGAACTGATTCCGAACTCGCAGCGGAACACGACGCCGCAAGCCGGATTATGTCAGCGCACCCGAGGCTCCTCGTGCGGGTTTTCCAGCCAACCACAGCGTACCTGACCGCCCTATCCACCTCACGTGAAGCTCAGGGCCGCAGATTCGGTGTGGAATGCGGGCGGACTCTGGACGCTTTTCGCCATCGCGGGGGCTGCTCACCTGGATCTAATTCCAGAGCTGATTGATCCCAAAGCTTTTTTGGGAAAAATTGTCTGCGGCTGGGTGGGGAGGATGCCCAAGGTCCCGACGGATCCGGAATCCGCCCCGGCTCCCTTTCAACTGACGGCGCTCGATCGAGAGATCCTCTCGCAAACAGACGAAGAATATATTTCCCATGACTGGGAGAATCTGAAAGATATAATAGGTTTACCCTTTCCTCAGTTTCTATCAGCCGCCAACAATTTCAACACCTCTTGTCAAGAAGTGCTCCGCAAAGAAATGGACTGCTTGCTAACCACTCCCGCACCTCTCTGGGGACAGCAACCAACTCCCTCCATTTGTTCAAACGGAAGCCCTCTGACTTGGCCAATTACATATCCTGGTCAACTGCCATAAAGTCCCTCTACGGCACCATCACCAATTACATTTGCCTTGAGCGTCTCCGATGGCCTCTCAACCTGGACCCTGCCACACAGTGCGTCGATCCGACGCCCTTCGCTGATTCACGCGACTACCGAATCCTCCGGAATGACTGGCCCTATGGCGTCACGCCCGATATATCGCATCTAGTTGTATGGGTCAAGAATGCAATACCCGTGGATGAACAGACTGGCGGTGATCTTACACCCGAGTCGCGTAGGTCGATCGACGAATTTGTGCACAGAACGTTCGTAGTACGATTGGAGGAGGAGTTTCCAGACGCAAAAGCAAGGGTGATGTGGTTTAAGAACTGGACAGCGCTGCAAAGCGTAAGATCCCTTGAACATATACACGTGCTCGTGCGTGGTGTTCCGGATGAGATTATTTTTGAATGGACAGGAGAGCCGGCCCGCAAACTCAGCGATCCTACAGTTGGTTTGGAGAATGCGCCCATCCCTACGCCAGTCGTTTAGATTTACCTGCATTATTTCTTGTCGATCGAATGCATGTAAAACCGCGCAGTGTTACAAATTAGATATTGTATATTACACATATGACTGCAAACTTGAAAGAAACCCAATCCATCATCATTGCAATCGTCAAGGAGTCGCCCTGATGAACGCCTGTGCCCCCTTCAACTCCCAGCAAAGAGAAGATGATAATAGTGGGATTGAAGATGCCGACCATCATATTTAGGTCTTTTGTTCTTCCACAAACTTTAACGCTTCCTCTCTTGACACTACATCAATGGTGCTGGCCTTGTTGCGGAAACTGACACCGTAGCACTTTTCGGCAACATGGAGCATCTCTGGTCTAAACGTGGTACAGATGAATTGACCGTTTGTTTCTTCCGAAATTGACTTAAGCATTTGCGCCACAGCGGTACGATACTGTGCATCGAGGTTGGCGTCGATTTCGTCGAATAGATAAAACGGAGCAGGGTCACATGCTTGGATTGCGAAGACAAGCGCAAGGGCACACAGACCTAGTACGTGACATATTAGTCTACTTCGATACAGGATACATGTATATATGAATTTATACATACTCTTCTGACCGCCGCTGAGTTGCTGAATTCGCTGTTGCTCATCATGTTTGCTATTGAAACTGACACTGATCCCGACACCCACATAGTTCTCGACACTACGACGTGCTTCTTCCTCGTCAGAATCAATATCATCATCCTGCCGATTGGTAGGGTCCGTTTTCCTCTGGATAATAAGCCGGCCCCGTCCAGCAGGAACCAACTTTTCAAATATTTTGGCAAACTCGCGGGATACCTGTTTAAACGTTCGCTCAATTGCCTCGTCTTTTCTCTGGTCTAAGATCATGATCAACTCGTCAATCGATTTATGCGACGCATCCAATTCTTCTCGTCGCTTCATCAGCGTCTCTCTCTGTTTTGTGAAGTTGTTGTACTGCTCGAAGGCTTTCTTGTTGACATGAGAGTATTTTTTCAACGCTTCATTTACCTTGTGCAATCGTTTCACGACGGTATTGGAGTCGGCATTCTTAAATTTGGTGAAGGCTTCATCAGGTAGCACACCCAAGGCACGGATATTAGCACTGCATTCGGTCGCTTGCTTTGTTAGCGCCGCCTTCTTTTGCATGCTCTTCTCCATTCGCCGTTGATGCCTCTCAATTGACTTGGAAAGCTCATCAAGTTCCCGTCTGATTTCCGCCTTACGTTGTTCAAGTTGGGATGCCTCATTATTCTTCTCTTCGATGGAGTCTTCTAATTGCTCTAGTCGACGATTGAGCTTCTCCAATTCTTTGTTCTGCTTTTTAATCTGACGCTGGCTTTCCTTCAAATTTCCTTGAATTGTATCATCACCCCCATCGAGATAATGGCCTATTAGCTGGTCAAGCCTAGGATGGAGGTTTTCTCGCAATTCAACTTCTAGAATCGACTTTCGCGTTTCTATCTCACTGCGCTTACTCGATAACTCCGAGTGCTGGCGTCGAAGATCCTGAACCGCAGAACTCAAGTTTTCAAGGCGAGCCTCTTCATCGTTGGTTAAGGCCTTTTCGAATGGTGTAGATAATTCCTCTTCATGTGCGTTAACTTGATCAGTCAAGGCATTCACGTTCGCCTCGATATTCTTAAGCGCGCGACGTTTCGCTTCGAGGGTATCCGCCTTATTATGAAGAAGGTCCCGTTTACTTTTGATCTCCTGACGCAAAGGTGCGTTGCTACCTTGAATCTGCTGCCTTCTTTGCTCAAGCTTTTGTAATTCACCAACAGCCCTTGTGATTAGCTGGTCCATCTTATCAAGCTCGCGACGGATTTCAGCGCCCCGATTTCCCTTCGCTTCTAATTCGTCACGCCACTTCGTCAGAGTCTTCATTGCATCAAGGCGTGACACACGAGAATCGTGGAAACCACCCGTCAGTGCACCCCGCTTATCCGACCTATCGCCTTCTGGAGTGATGGCATTGACGCCATGGCTGCGTGCATATTGAGATGCAACTTGAAGGTTCGGACAAATAATTGTGCGCCCAAAAACCTGTTGGAAAGCCTTCTCATATTTTGAGTCATATTGGAGCTTTTCGATCATAGGAATGGTGTCACTAGCCCTTGGGAGGTTGGCAGGCCGAGGTTTTAGGCGATTCAAAGGCATGAACGTTACTCGGCCAGACTTCTCCTTCTGTAATATCTCCAATACCTTCGTAGCTGTATCGTCAGTGTCCACAACATAATGGAAAAGACTATGTCCAGCAGTAACTTCGACAGCGGTACGATATCTATCGCTGACTTCAAATAACTCCGCCATCGTTCCATATACACCATCAAGATTATATTGTCGCTTTATTCGACGTACTGCAGCGATGCCGCGGCTTGTGTTATGATCCATCATGTGCGAAAGATTCCTCTCCGCACGATCCACTCCCTGAGAAGCATTGGACAAGATCGAGTCAAGTTTAGCCTCCTCTCTCCAAAGTTCTCTGTCTAGTCGTTAGAAACATGGTATCATTCTGAGTATGTATGTATGTCTAGGGTTCATACTTTCTTTGGTCCATCAGGCTATCCCTTTCATCTTTCGCCCGCTGGACTTCTTGCTCCATAGATTGCATAGCGTCGCCTCGTCCATCGAATTGCTTTCGGAGCTTCTCGGTCTCAGGCTCTATAAGTGCGATTTCGTTCTCCAAATCGGTTATTTCCTCGGCTGTTTGCATGCGAACGGCTTTCACGGTTGAGAGCGAAGTATAAGTATCTTGAATTTCTTTCTGTAGCCATTTATCTCTCTCCGATTTGTTTCTGAACCTGGAGATTCGGCCTTGTTTAGCATAGAGCCTCTGGCGAGTTGTCTCGGCCTCGGTCAATTTCGCTTTGGATACTTCTTCTTCTTCCTTAAGTGCATTGAATTGAGGTGTAAGCTTGTTAAGTTCCGCCTCGCGCTCTTTAATGGCATTTTGCACGGTGCTCAGCTCTGTTTCACGGCGAGCTTTGGCTTGTTGAGCAGCTGATTGCCCCTCCGCAAGGGATTTCCCTTGTAACTCGGCCTGGGCGAGGACTCGAGAAGCATCGCGCCTGTCGTCCTCCAATTGCGTCCTTTCCACTTTAAGAAGCTCTATCTGTTGCTTCCGCTCTGCAATCTCAGCGTCGATCTGAGCAATATCATTCTCGCCTTGGATGAATTTATTGCGGTTCGCATCTGTATCTTCGACACCAGTCTGTCTTTGATTCTCAATATTCTCGAGTGCAGCGGCGATTTCCGCCTGTTCTCGAGAGTAGATAGTATATTCGAGGCACCTTCTTTCTCTATCCTTCTCTTGAAAGTTCTTTAGTTCATCTTTTTCCTCCTCCAACTCTCCTAGACGTTCGTTGATATAATCTAACAATTCGTCGATCTTGGCAATTTTGTTATTTGTTTCATTCATAATCTTCAAGGACTCTGCACGACGCGCTTCATAAACCTGAGTACCGGCAACTTCTTTTAGCAAAACCAAACGTTCCGAGTCTTTCATATTCGTCAATGTTGTGACGCGACCTTGGGGGACGATGTAATACGGATTCGAACGAGAAAAACCGGCCGACTCCAACAAGTTCATCACATCCGCCTTGGTAGCATTCTTGCGATCCAGCGTGTATTCATCTTTCTTCAACCCAATAGTACGGCGTAGGATTAACTCATTCTTTCCGGTCGGGAAACGTTCATCGGAGTTATCAAAAATAATCTCAACATAGGCCGACATTACGGCAGACCCAGATCCTTCCTATTTAATATAAGTAACGTATCAATTTACATTCGCGACAGCACGTACGTGCAGTAAGGCCTGGCGCTCCTCTCTGCCCATATGGGTGTAGGCGTCGCTGAGGACAAACCGGATCGCGGCAAAGAAATTACTCTTTCCCGATCCGTTGCGCCCGACGATCACATTATGCTTCGGCGAAAAAGGCTCGATGACGGTCTGGTCCTTGTAGCTATAATCGAGTAAGGCGTCAGCAAAAAAGTACGGGGCGATGGCGTAGAGCAGCATATCCCACCTCTTAAAGCCCTGGATGATAATCTGCTTCACGAACATTTCGGCGATCTTGCAGAGAGATGTATGCAAAATCAAGTGCAATGACACCTCATTACCATGAAATACGCGTCATTCGAGCTTGATAGATAGGGAATCCCAACAACAAGGTTCGCAGTTGTGCCTGGGATTGCGACTCTAATTCAGCAACGCGTCTGGGCTCATTCGATAGCCAGGCCTTCTGACGCGTTCCAGATTCGGAAACTAGGGTTAACCGACCTCGCGGATATCGGCGAAACTATTTCACCGAAATATAAAACTCTACGTCACACAGCAATATTTCTCGAGGGGCAATGGGCAGCAAGGTCAAGCTATCAGTCTTTTTCTACGTTTAGAGGTTGACCTAGCGTTTGCGCTTTGAGGAATATCTTTTGTTATGGCTTCGACAGAGGCGACAATCCCGCAGGAATCTGCTCCCCCCGATCGTGTTGTCGTGCTGGACCAAAATTTTGATACCCCGCCAAAAGAGATTCTTCCCGAAGGTGCAAACGAGAAAAACTCAGAGGAAGGGCTTGGGGAAGAAGGAGACGAGTACTACGATGATATATTTGCAGATGATCTCGATGATGAAGACTTTTTCTCTTCAAATCCTGCCGATTACACAAAATCATATAACCGTCAACGTCGGCTAAACGAAGTAGTCGCAGACCCGAATGCCCCAAAATCGTCCTATCCAAAGAGTAATCCACAAAAGCCAACTGTCAATACTCATGCGAAGATTGATGATCAGATATCTGCGCTTTCACGCCATGCGACGAAACTACGGCTCGACGATATCCAGTCTGGCCTTGGAGGTCGCGCCTCCAAAGGCGCAGAGAAAAGTGACAGAGCGACATCAGAACAGGTGTTAGATCCGAGGACAAGAATGTTGCTATTACAGATGATCAATAGGAATGTTATATCTGAAGTCAACGGATGTCTTTCCACGGGTAAAGAAGCCAATGTTTATCATGCCGTTTCTTATCCTAATGCCGATGAGGGAGCGCCTGTACAACGTGCCATCAAAGTCTATAAGACAAGCATTCTAGTGTTCAAGGATCGAGACAAGTACGTAACCGGTGAATTCAGATTTAGACAGGGATACAACAAGTCAAACAACCGGGCAATGGTGAAAGTTTGGGCAGAGAAAGAAATGCGAAATCTCAAGCGCATATACGCAGCTGGAATTCCTTGTCCAGAGCCTGTGTACTTGAGATTACACGTGCTGGCAATGGGTTTCCTTGGGAATTCAAAGGGTCTCCCTGCTCCTCGTCTAAAAGACGTGGAACTGGAGGATGAAGCCCGATGGCGAAGCCTTTATATGGAACTAGTTGGATATATGAGAACCATGTATCAGGACTGTCGGCTGGTTCATGCCGACTTGAGTGAATACAACGTCCTTTACCACAAACACAAATTATACATTATCGACGTCAGCCAGAGCGTCGAGCATGATCACCCTCGAAGTTTGGAATTCCTCCGCATGGATATCAAGAACGTTAGTGACTTTTTTAGGCGGAAAGGAGTTGACACAGTGCCTGAACGTACTCTTTTCGAGTTTATCATTTCATCGGAAGGCCCTCGCATGTTGAACGGGTCCAATGAACCGATGATAGATGCTCTAGAAAAGCTCTTTGCTACGAGATCGGACTCTCAAGATGCAGACAATGCCGAGCTCGATACCGCCGTATTCCGACAACAATACATCCCCCAAACACTTGAGCAGGTGTATGATGTAGAACGTGATGTTGAAAAACTCCAGGCGGGAGAAGGGGAGGACCTCGTGTACCGCGACCTGCTAGCAAATCGCGGCAAAGTTCGGACAACAGACGAGCAGACGTCGGCAGCCATTGAAGAAGGCTCGGACGAGTCAGGAGGCGTTTCAGTCTCTGAAGGAGAATCTGAAGCCGAGGGAGAAGCGGGATCACTTGATCCGTTTGCTAAGAAGGCACCTCGTGGAAAACGGTTTGAAGATAAGGAGGCGAAAAGGGACCACAAGCGACAGGTTAAGGAGGAGAAGCGTGAACAGCGGGCGAAAAAGATTCCAAAGCATATCAAAAAGAAGCTCATCAATGCTACAAAGAGGAAATAGCAGAGCTGAACAATTCCCATAATGCTCAAAGTTACATATGCTAGGCATATGAGAAAGATGTTTTCCCTGATTGTTGGACACAGCCATACAATAATTTAATACATGGAAATCAGTTTTCATAAAAGCATATATGATTGACAAGCTATATGAACCCAGATCCCCTGTCCTCAGGCAGGCCAGTTGCACAAGCATTCAACCAGACTGATGAATCGCAGTTCCTTTTATTTTATAGAAATCTGACTCAATTCACAAGACCATAAATCCCCTTGTAAACCAAACGCCTGGAAGCACCGCCATGTAACAACCATGATAGTAAACCACTCTTGTCAAGACACTTCTTCACTTTTTGTTTTTAGTATATATTCTACTCGCTTCTAATTGAAATATAGCACTCTGCTCCCCGAACCATCAATGTTGCGTTCGTATAGAGTTAGCTTCGGGTATGCCGAGTATTAGAATTGCGGTATTCATCTGGTCCTATTTGGAATGGACCTCAATGTAGGGTCAAATTTGCCAGGCTCTCGATCCTCTTGAAGTTTTTCTTTTGAGCTATAATCACTATGCGAATGCCTATGGAAGCGAAAACTTTAGCATATGGAGATTGGGACAAATTGAAGATACAATAGGTCGAAACAGTCATCTTACTTTCTGTAGCAAAAGAAGGCACAGAGAGCCCGCTTTATCCGGCTAAGAATTCTTTTTCCTTTGGACTTGTGTCGGTCTCTGATACCATTTGTTTGTTGGCTGAGAGAAGGGCGATCAGGAGGAAGCAATGCCTCATGGGGTGTATCCATGTTTTTTCATTTTTTGAGGGTTAGTTTATTTGTTAGCGATCGCAGCTATGTTTAGGTTCAAAATATGACAAGCAAGACCTTATAACAGTCTCTTTTTTGGAGGGTGTCAAAGTTTGACATGGTTGATGACTTCATCCACATCCAATTGACGTCCCTCTAATCAGTGTGAAAGTTTAGGTATGGCTAAAGCAAGGCTGGGAGTCTCCGAAGTAGTATTAGAGTTGGTCCCATGCAGCAACGTGTTTGCCTCTCTGCCTGTCACCGCGGCTTTGCTCGCGAATCTGCCGATGCCGACACCTACACCTATCCAATGCACAGAGCGAGTGCATGTCTGTAGTCGGTTTTCGCTCGGAGCACGGATGACTTACACAGCCACGAATGCTGAAAACCAAATCCCCCTTGGCTACCAATGCTTTGCCAGGATGTCGAGGCTGGTCATGGGTGTGGACACGGGTCTGGCTAAGATCCCGAGCTGATGCATTTTCCTCCAAGCCAGACGGGGATTGAGTGCTTATGATGTAGCCTCATAACCTGTCATGTCCTTGAAAGGTTACAAGGAGCACCTGGGCACTCTTATCTTAACTGAATTTCTTCTCTGACTCCTTTGCTTGCTATCACGAGAAGAGTAAGTCGCACAAGGGCTCCATAACCTCCCAAGCGGATACTGGCCGCAAACCGCATCGGCTTCCTATATAGTTTGACATCCCGCCGCGTTGCATATGTATATACACGGCTACAACCCAAGGGCTGGCTCTACTCCGCTTCTATGCCACGCTCACCTTTTTGCGGCTCTGAAAATCCTAACCCGCACAAATAGTCAAAGCTCTGCAAAACCAAGTAATTCAGTATACACTCAGGTCCTTGGGGGCACTTATAGTGTTTCGATTGACAAACAAAATGGCTGTTGCTGGATATGCGGCAATGCCTACATGTTAAATGAAATGGAGGATGGTTAGTAGACGATGGGCTAATGCATGTCGTGTTCCTGGTTGACATTAACAAACAGGGGAAGCCCTGCCAATGCATTTAAGGATGGCGCTGAAGCAGAGATTTGACTGTAAGCTTTGATTTTGTAGACGGAGGCGAATTTGGCGTCACGATATATGGCCGTGCTTCCTCCGGCTGCCACCGCTGAACCAACCACGGAAAGAAAGGAACATATCTCTAACGGGCTCACCGCGCCGAACCGAGAGGCTGTTTAGAATAGTCTTGAAGTGCAAAGTAGAGGGCGGAGGAAAATCTCTCGGATGCTGAGTCGCATTATCCGCTTTGGGCACAATTATGCCGGATAGTTACCGTTATTCCGCTTTTATTTTGTAGGTATGTTTCCGATGATCCCAGGGCTTAACTTAGGCGGCACACCCACACGAAGTACGGAGTAGCAAGGAAGAGGAAGATTAGAAATCACCGCAGGTATTACATATTGTCGAATCGCGCATGATACGTACTAAGTGCTCATCCTATAACTTTCGGAGCCTAGATCTTTTGTCATAATCAGTGGAAACCTCAAGCATATGCACATTTTCGACTTCAATCATGTAGGTAAAGTACCGTAGCCAAGCGTTTAACACCGTATGGATGCACTGCATCGATGTACATACATACATAAACTGGTGGTCGTGTGCGCATCACCGGAGGGTGTGGGAGGGCCGGGGTCGAACTGAGCCTACACTGGGTCTGGTACATCAAAAGGCCGAGCGAGTCCCCGACCTCAAACCAGGTACACTGGTTAACGGGGCATGGAGTATCAAAATAACGGAGAGGAGACTTAGATGATCTCGCAACCACGGAAGCGCAAAGATGCAAGGCTGCACAACTGCGCCATGGCCAAGCAAATCGTTGCAGATGTGCTCCGTAGGTGGTAGAGGAGGTCGATTTCATGATGGAATCTGATCTTCACGAGCCAGATATCTGCAACCGGAGAAAATTCGGTGTTCCAGGACGACGAGTCCAATTCTCAGGCCTAGCTTAAAACATGACTCCATCAACATGCAACCGGCAAAAACTCGGTGTTCCAGGGCCTCAGCGGCAAGGTTAAAGCATTAGTTTGTTAATTAGAAGTCAAACTTCGTGAGCCGCAGAAAGAGGTGGCATTTCAGCATCACCTGAGTAATGTCAGTGTTAGCGGCGGTAGACCGGTCCGGCATCTTGACTAACAAGGCTATGCGGGAGTTACATTCGTCATTCCTATCCGGGCTACATGAACGGCCAGGGGAGTGTGAGTTAGTTAATTCTTAAAATAGCTTGGACCCTGGCGGGAGCTAACCTGTCAACGAAGGTTTCGATGAACAAAATGTTTGACTCTTTCAGAGGCGCAACCCACTCTCATCTAAGCTGTTCCGGATTCCCGAGAGAATGACAAGAAATCTGTCATAGAAGAAGCATCTCTCAGACTCGCTTGGGATGGTAGTTTCATTCGAAGAGTCGAGGTTGGGTTAAGGGTTGGCGATGGTCATGGCGTTGGCGCTGGTCGAAGTCGCGCTGTCGAATCACAGCGCCAGAACCCACAGTGGGTGAGACTCTGCAAACTTCAACCCCTGTCGCAGATTCAACGCCATATCCAACAGCAGGACCACTCAATCCTAGTCTCACGATGCGTCTCGGCTGTGTGCATCCCCCAATCAGCGGCTCGAAATGAACGACCTTGACCACGAATGGAATGGCACTACAAGGAACTGCTGCAAACCAGTGGCCCTGCGAAGCCTGCAGTGGCTGGGACTTCTCTCTGGCCTTGTCATCGGCAATTATACCCGTCGTTTGAGTGGAGCTGCATGGAGCGCGCGGACAGGCGATTATCCTATAATTCACCTGCCCATCGCCGCCGCTTCGTGACTTTGACAGTCTGAGATCATGATGGTGAGGCGCTCGACGTCTTACCAGTGCGAAATAGCTTCACCCTCATGCCCACGGATCTCACACAAAGGTTCAATTTGTAATCGCTGATTGAGACTCAGACAGTATGTTTTCTGGGTAGGATTTCACTTACCCTTCCCCTTTTTGCTCTCGTTTTCTCGATGGACTTGGTGGCGTCTTGTGTACTTTTATCTTGGTGTTTACATTCCACTTTGCTGTTGAACGAGGGTTCTGGATGAACGGTACTCACCAGAATCCAATGGTTGGCGATTGCGGTACTTCGAGTGGAAATTTACGCGCCTTACTCGCCAGCTGGGCCTAACGATAATAATCAGAGATCTCAAAGCCTTCTCGCCGCTGGCCGGTCAATAGCATTAATGACGGTATTTCTCGAGTTCGGATCAAGAGCGACGAAGTTTTCTACAGACTCTCCCTGGGCAATAGCCCACTGCCCGGTGGATGTCCATGATGCGGGCCATCGCGACATTCATCAACGTTGTTCATTTACTAGGAATCATCCGACCTGTGGTCTCGACGGATATTCCAGGCCATAACCTCCTCTATCGCGCGCCGTCCCTCGAAGCTAGTGTTCGACAGAATGCCTTCGATCGAGCTTCTCTGTCTTCGCACTTGGTGCGAAGGGCGCCATCGCCTCAGCAGATGGGGCCACCGTCAACGCCACCACTAAACGAGCAACAATTCAACGAAACTGCTACCACAGCCTGTCTCGATGCGTTGGATAGTGTGCAATCTGTTGTGAACCCTTCTGGCATGGCCGCATGTTACAATATCCCGTTTTTCAATGCTACGACGGGGACTTTCGCTGCCGATATCAGGCTCTATCAAGTCTCTCCGCCGTCGGACGGTTTCGCAGGAGTGCCGACGTCACAATATACACTAGAGATGATGATACCGGCGGCAACAGTCTCTTCTCCAGATCGGTTAGCATCGAATCAGTCAACGGGACCGAACAGTCCTCTACTCCTACAGGATTTCAGGCATATAGGACAGCTGGATCCTCGTCTTCAAATTGATAAGCTAACAACGTATGTTTCACCAACTATCTCAACCTAATTGATCATGATACAGCGTCTTCCTAACATCTCTACAGGGGAGACCTCCGCTTCCTCCTAATTCCAAATATAACAATAACTGCTCGATCCGCCTCGAACGGCTCCTTCGTCACTGCCCTATCCTCCGACACTCTATCCTATGTTTCCGGCTATTTAATGAACGAAGATCGCTCTCCGAACAATATCACGTTTCCAGATGCCGCCGCTAAAGTACCCGAGATTGTTGCAGCTGCCACCAAATTCGTTATTCCAGGGACTGCTATAGAAATTTTTCCTATCGGGCTAATAGTGACCGCAATATGGACAGGGCTTTTCTTCTTAACCGTGGGCCTGGGAACGCTGGGGCGAATGCAGTTCCGGGATCACTTTCAGGGCAGGGTACAGATGGATGCTGCGAGGAAGCGCGGACGCCTGTTTTCAAGGTCTTAAAATTGATTGGCAGTTTGATTGGAAGTGTTGAGGCTTGTGACATGGGTTGTACACTATGAATTGATGCCGATACATGATGGTTTATGTTTTACTCTTTTTTTGAACATATGTATTTGTTTACAGTTTCTTTGTTGTTCTTTTGTTTCCTTTTTTTTTTTTTTTTTTTATTTACTTTATTTTTTACTAGTATGTTATTTGAGACTTTGATATCCACCAAATTTATCTTCTTTATCATTTCATAGTGTCATGTCCAAATTGAGCCATAATAATACAATTCATGATGAACTTACAAGGCAACTAGCATAATATGCAGCTGCGATACTTCCTAGCCCTTCTTTGAGCCTTCAATAGCCCCAATGACAATTGCCGAAAGAATAAGCGCAGCCAAAAAGCACCATGCTGATAACTTCATACACTTTTTCGACTCGTCCCAGTTCTGAGCCGCTTCATCACCACGATTGCGATGATGGGGGACACCACCAAGCGCTCCTCCCCTTCCCTCTCCAAAGTGTGGACCATGCCCTACCCAATGTGAATGGACCGCAGAACCACCGAATACCTGACCATGGCCGACACTCGGAGCAGGATTAGAAACACCAGTTGGTCCTCGCACAGTATCAAGGTCGTTCAACGGATCATTAAGGGCTGGACCGCCAGCCCCTCTGCCAGTGCTTCTTCTTGAACCTAGAGCCGTACTACCACGACGAGAACCTACCCGGCTTTGAGGTGGTATTGAATGAACCTGGGATCCCGCATGGACACTTGCCGGACCTGCTGGATTAGTAACATAGCTTGGTGGAGCCCGACTGACAAACGAGCCCGGCGCAGCTGTTGCTGGCGGCATTGGTAACGGCTGGGCTGCTGATGGCAACGTAATGCTCGGAGGGGCACCGCCCGATGCGAGGCTTGATGGACCACGAGGTTGGAATGGGCCAGGGGGTACTTCATGTTGGTTATGGGCTGATAGGACTTGTAGCGGTAAGGATTGACCTGCTGAATCACTGCCAGATAGATAGCTTAATGGGCTGCGGCTTCGGAAGGAGCCTTGCGATGGAGGCCGGCCTCGTGATGAGGATCTATGGCTCATTGAACAAGGTCGTAGGTGAGAATGGAAGTGCTGGAGGAGGTAGGGTTGACACAAGGGTTTGAATTTGTCCTCTTTCAGCAATCTATGGAATGTGGGAGTTGTTGCGAAAAATGTTTTGAAGCACGCAGAGATATAACTAAGGGGTTGGGTTCTGAAAATGACCGCCATGATCAAAAGCTGAATAAATGCAACTTAGGAATATTTTTCTATGCAAGAAGTAACGAATCAGTTAATGGGTATGCATTCATGGATCCTAAAGCTGATCAGGACTGCTCTTCACAAAGCTGTCTTGACTGCATGGTATCATCAATGTACCAAGTTTCAAAAGTATCCAAGTGTATATAGTGTGAAACAATGCCAGATCAGCTTCACAACTACTGCAAATTCAATAAAAATCTAAAATCAGATAAAGACAAAAATAGTAGTGCGCTGGGCCCAGGATTGTACTGTGCGTACAATCTTTTAAAAGGTTTCTTACCGTAGGGAACAAAAACGACAAGAATTAAAGATTTAGCACATCAAAACAGATTCAAGGAAAGGCACCTATGGGTTTGCGATAGAGACCATAGGAGAACTGCCCTGGGAGACTACATGATATTAAACTGGATGAGAAACATTAGCATCTCTCCAGCCTTAAAACTTATGTAGTGGGCTGCATAGACACAGATTCCATCTTTGTTTTGAATATCTGGACAGACTCCCCAGAACTGGAGTGCATCAGAAGAGAATGAATGACAAAAAACAGAAAAATATTATAAGGCTCCGACATGCGAGAATGGCTTTCCAACCATAGTTTGCCAAACCCTGTTAGACATGGCTGGCATCACGTCGAACAGTTGATAAGTATGGAACCACATGTAGACAGCTTGCTTTGGCAAATGTTGAGAAGTGGATATCATCCAGGTGGGCACTGTTGTCGTTCACAGTTGAATCGTCTAGCGGCCATTATTCAAGAATGGGATTGCTGATGAACGTCTTTGAACAGGCCGAGGCACGAAGATTAGCGCAACGCCAAGTCCCCCCGGCCTGGAACGCCAGTCGGGCGACCAAATCCCAGAAGCACGCTGCAATTCTCACTTTTGCTTCCTTATGGTAGCTTTGTCCTGTTGGGCGACAGTGATGTTGAGGGTAGAAAGCCTTAGAACATGGTACTTTAAAAGAAGATAAACATCCAACGGTCAACCACCGCAGGGGCCACAAAAAGTTTTACAGGCCCAACACAAGCTCTATGAGCTATGTAACTTCGTCTCTCACACGTGTTGGGAAATTGAAGTCCGCCTGTATATAGGTATCATTATAAAATATGCCGGATTCGTATAATAAAATTAAGTAAATACATCTCGAGGCATATCTTTAATTCGTGCCACGAAAAAAATCTCCAAGTGGAGGACATAGCAAAGTTTGGTTTAGCACCTAAAACTATACATCCGCACTTCTGAATCCTCACTCCCTGTCGCAAGTCTGCTATCGCTCAAACCAATACATGTAACTGGCCCTGTATGTCCGGTAAAAGTCCTTTCACAGCGGCCTGTTCTAGGACACCAAACCTTGGTCATATGGTCTTGAGCACCGGAGACTATTCGGAGAGTATCCGCGCCAAGAGCCCAAACTCCTTCAATATGCCCGAAGAACGTCCTCAGGCATCGACCAGTCGGAACTTCCCAAAGACGGAGAGTCGAGTCAAGAGCGGCAGTGACCATGTATCGTGGAGGAGCTGGGCGATCCTTGGCGAATAGTGCGTCAAACGCGGGAGACATTGGTAGGGAAAACGGTGCAGAGAGAGACGTCTCCTCCGGGTCGTTGTGGTCATGATGGTGATGTTCATGTTCCAGCTCTGTGCTGGTTCCGGTAGAAGTAATACTCCGAGTATCATCGCCGTCGTGTTCTTCAAATTCAAATTCTCGCGGGAGGAGAACAACCTGTTGCACTTGACCCACATGGCCTGCGTAAGTGTGAATGCAGTTTCCGGTATCCAAATCCCACAGGCGCACGGTCAGGTCATCCGATGCAGTAAAGACTGTACGTGATAAAGAATCGATTTTCACCGAGTTAATCCAGTCAGCGTGGCCCCGCAAAATCCGTGTTGACTTGTCGTGGAAGTTCCAGATTTTGACTGTGTTGTCCATGGACCCTGATGCGAGCGTTGTGGCATCAAAATGGAGGCAGATAACCCCTCCATGATGACCGGTGTATGTGGATATGCATTCCCCAGTCCGCCAATTCCAAACTTTGATTGTACGATCAAGACTCCCGCTAATAAGCTTCGTGTCATCGAACTGCAAACATCGGATTCCAGATTGGTGGCCATGAAGTGTTCGCAGCTCCTCGCCGGTGTCCGTATCCCAAATCTTGATAGTTGTGTCGTATGAACCAGTAGCAAGAATATTATCCTCAAATTGCAGGCACATCACGCCGTTGCTATGACCCCTAAATATCTTCGTAGTGCATCTCCCATGCTTCCAATTGATACCGACCTTGAATCGGTCCCTGTAAACATCTTTCCAGGGACGGTATTGGGTCTTGAAATAGTCCTCATCAGCATCCATTGCCTCCGGAGTCGCGCTCTTTCTATCTGAATCTTTCCCAGTGGCGCGAAGTTGGATCTGCCGTCGTGAATCTCTTAGCCTCTTGCGATCCAGGATTGGAAGGCCCCATCCACACTTCTTGCATTTCCGATCAATATGCTGCTCACACATTCTGTGCCAGACAACGTCGTCATCCGCCAGATCACGCCAGCGACGAGAAACCTGCGCCGCTTTACATAGCGAGGCGGTATCAAGACAACATAGGATTTTGAATGATATCTCTGGTGGTAATGCTGTCAGGAAGTCGATTCGGATAAGGTCACGGACGCTAGCGGACAAGAACGAAAGCTGAGGGAAGCAGCATTGGGCAAGGATGCCTCGCAGCATCAAATTTCGGTGTTTCGAAGGAGCAGCCGAGAACAACGCCCAAAAGTGCGCAATGCTCCGCTGATCGTTTTGAGACAGGGTATGGAGCTCCTTAAGAATTCGAGTAACATATTAGCTTAGAAAAACTTGGTAACGCCAGCGGTATAAGGTAACTTACGCGTTGCATCTGATCCATAGTAATTTCATCCGCTTGTCGTCGACACTTTAAATCCGGCCGATGTCGATAACAATACCTGGAATTTGGGTTTCTTGAACTGCTTGGGGCCGCCAATGGCTCAAATTGATTCATAACAGCATGCTGGTCGCGTATATGCTTTGTGAGGAATGGGGCGATGCTCCTCTCGGGCAAGTCAAGTTGGGTATTCCCCGCGACTGAGACGTCGCTGACTGCGTGGTAATCGCGACTCTCTTGCGTCGGGTTACCGGGCGGCGATGGTCCAAACACAGACGCACTGGGTTCATGGTTGACCGAGAAGCCAATAGACAGGCGCCTGCGCTTTCGGGGTGATTCCTGGAAATCTCCCTTGGCGCAGGTGTCGAAAGTCGACTGCGAAGATGACTCTGGCGGCGAATTCGAAGCCATGGTGCCGAATGTGCTGTCAACAGAATGGAAAGAGACGATTTTCGCAAGGACGACAAACACGACGACGATGATGCCCTGAAGAGTGGAGCGTCGATTAAAGGGGGAAGGACAGAATCTCCGCGGTGATAATATCTCGCGTGGCCGGCCGGATCCAAGCTCTGGAACCCCCGAATCAGGAACAAATGAACGCCTCGAATAGCGGAGTTTGGTTGCCGTGGGATGCAGAATTTATATCTGCACGTAATCCATACTCGCGATCTCCCGTCTCTTAGCCTGAGGATGAGGCCATCGTGTCGTGATATTCACTCACTGTTTCATCTCCTCGTCACCCTTGATATTTTGCCCCCCTCGGCACCCGGAAGACTTTTGTTCAGGCCGTCGATCCGTCTCCACGCTAATGAGACCGCTAAGCCTTTCCTAGATTAGCGACTCCACACAACTGCCACCACACCGGCGGGTCACGCCGCCAATTCCCTACCACTAGTCCATATTTGGTAAGGTGCGTTCCCACTCCTGGTATCGCCGACCAGAAAACTCTGGGCCCACGTGACCTCGGCCGCCAAATTTCGACATTCGGCCTGCACATCGCATCATAGCGGCCCGGGTCCAATCACCAGCCACCGTTGTCAACGACATCCCTCCGCCCTCCTCGACTTCGTCAAGGGTTCGCTGCCATTCGTGCGTCTTGCGCTGAGGCGAAAGCTACTTGTCGCGGCCTGCTTCACTGATATCATCATCATCGCTTGTTATGCAGATTAAGGTAACGATGACACGATCCCAACTGTTATCTCAGCTCCTTTCACTCTTTGAGGCTTCGCTTTCCGCTGTCCAAATACCCTTTTACCGCCAATTGTATGTACTTCACCATCCTAGTTTTTCTGCATTTTCCTTGAGAGAGAGAGGGGGGGGTCGTTGCACTTGGCATTGTTACCTTGTGGGCGAAATCCGCTCCAGGGGTAGATGTGTTCATTCCCTATTCTTGCTACTCGCAAACTCAAAGCCAAGCCTCGTGGCGTGTGGAATGAGGAGATGACGCGTTGCTAACAGGTGGACGATAGCTGCTGAAATGCATTTCCTTGCAGACTGGTGCATCTTCTGGGTCAGAATCATTGATTCCGCGGATTCCTAGAATTGATCAATGTCATCCTCCTCGATGTCCTCTTCGGGAGTCGACGGCCAATTTAGAGCCGCGTCCGTTGGTGACGAGGACCAGCAGCCCAATCTAGAAACCCTTGTTGCCCACTTGGTGGCTGCCAAACGGTCGCTCTCGTCAATCAACCATGTGTGGAGAGCCAATGAAATTGTCACTGCTGCTCGGGCTGCTTTGGAAGAGAGTGTCGTTCTCTCTGCCCGAACGGGGTTCCTCCATAGAGAACTCGAAGTTCAGCTACGCGTATTGTATCAGATCAAAGACGAGATTGGGCAGGTCGCGCATTATGGAAGAGAGGAGTTCTCTTCTACCCTCAAGCAGCTCGATGATGTAGATGAGAAACTCCAGCAAGCTCTAAATGTATTGCGCGAAACACCTGTTGAGGCCTCATTTCTTCCTGCAGGAGAAGAGCCCAAGACCCTGCACGATTTCGTTGACGAAAAAGCAGTGCAAGATTTGCAAACAGTGTTGAAGGATGCAATCGACAACACAAACTCTGCTCAAGCTGATCTAGATTCATCAAATAACGCATTTGACGAAGACCTAGACTCGATTCAACGAAAGATGAGCAGATACCGTGTTTCTACGAACCTCTTGTCTTCTTCATCCAAATTGTCCTCGTCGGCACAACCACGCGCCAACATCCCTTCTCCAGCTATCATCCCAGAATTATTACACTCGCTTGAGTCGCATGCACAGGAGATGGCAGACTTGCTGGAATCCTTGGTCCACCATTTTGACCTTTGTGCGACGGCCGTTAAGCATACAGAAGGTGGCGGAGCAGCCGCTTTGCGAATCACAGGCGAGCTCCCGAGCGGGTTGGCCGTTGGTGTTAGACTCGGCGAAGGCGAAGACCAAGACAGCCCCAATGCTCCGCCCGAACCGTTAACAGAATCAGAATACCAAGAAATGCTAAGTGTTATTGTCAAGGATGCTACCGAAGCTGAGGACGTTGTCCTTGAAATCCAAGATCGTATCACAGAGATGGAGAATATTCTAGTCCAAATTTTCACCGAACGGGACCTTCTCGCTCAATCCTGCGCCGGAGCGGTAGACAGTGTCCAGCATTTAGACCATTTTTTCAAAAACAAACTATCGAGCTACATCTCCCAATCCCAAGTCTTTACAAGTGTTTGGAAAGAGCAACGAGGGCGTATGCAGGCCGGTATGACTGACCTGTCTGACCTCCGAACCATGTATGTTGGTTTCTTGGATGCGTATGATGACCTCATCCTTGAAGTCGCTCGGCGAAAGTCAGTCCGACTTGCAGTTGAGAGAGTCCTTCATGAAGCAAGGGTGAAATTAGACAAGCTGTACGAAGACGACGTTCGCCATCGGGAAGCCTTTCGGGTTGAACAAGGTGATTTTCTACCTTCCGATATCTGGCCGGGCCTTGGTCGGGCCCCCATGAGGGTTGAGTTCAAAAGAATTTTTGATAGTAAGTCAGATATAGAAACGGGTGCGCCCAAAGAAATGCTTACTAGCGACGGTGAATGTGCCCAAAGCTACTCCGAAGGACCAAAACGTACATCATCTACTCGCGTAGAAGATAGTCAACACCAACGAGAGCCCGAACGCACAGAGCCCGGTAGCGATAGCATTCCGGATCTCCCCAAGTACCTTATTGAAAGGGCACTTGTCCGGAGAAAGGCCAAAATCAAGGCAAACCGCTTACCAGCAACACAGCAAGTAAAATAATCGAAAGTCGGTCAGAATCAATCGCTGTGTCCTTTTGTACTATACCCAAAATTCCGGGTGGAAATATTAGATTTTATTTTGCAGCTCCATGATTGGACATAATAAAAGCAGGAAAAGTATGCCATTAACAGGGCTCATTGACAGCAAGGGCGTGCTAAGGAAATACTAGGCACCACTCATAACTCTCAGAGCTCTCTTTGGTCTTCATTTTCGCTTCACTCCCCATCCTTCATGAACATACAAACAATATGACTCTCAGAGCCTGTCACCAGCCCCTACATTTTCCGTTCCAGCTAAGTGGGAGCAGACAGTATGCAGCTGTAACCAAACCCGGAAAATCATCATTTGTAGCTCTGAAGTAAAAGAGTAAGCGAAAGTCTGGCGCGATCTAGGAGTAGATTAAGCTCCTAGATTCATCGACGTAGGGCTTCATCATCGAGGTTTGTGCCAATCCAACATTTCACCAATTAAGTCGCACAAGGCTATCCCTGCACCACTTGAAAACGTCCAGTTGCCATGGGGATGTAAACTGGCGGGGTAGTTCAACAGATATTCCCACCCATCGCAGACAATGCTGAGGCAATCTCCCGCCAGTTCAAAGGGCTGTCTCATCAATCTGAGAGGAAGAGTATTTAAGTCCACATATGCACCCTCCATCTGTGATCTCAATTAATTCTGCTTGTCTTTGAGAGAGCCTCACCTTATTATCAACCATGGCAGCAATTGCGCGACCTACATCCGATCTCCTTAAGTCCTGCTTAAGCGATAAGGTTGTGCTGGTGACTGGAGCAGCATCTGGGATCGGTATAGCTGTGGCCAAGCAATGGGCGGAACACGGAGCAAAAGTGATCCTTACCGATGTTGACAAGGGAAAACTCGAAGCTGCTACGCAAGGCATTGGTAGTGGCAGCGCCTGCTATGTGTGCAATGTGGCATCCTGGTCCGAGCAGGTGAAGCTGTTCGATGATATCAAGCGAAACCATGGAGTCCCGGATATAGTGGCCCTAAATGCGGGAATTGACCCGGAACTCGCTAAAATGCATGACCTCCCAGACGAAGAACGAAAAAGGGTGGGCAACACGGTCCTTCATAACTATTTAGCGGATGATTACTCCGAGCAGGACCAGCACATGCTTAAGCAGCCGGCGGATGACGTTTTTAATGTTAACTTCAAGGGAGTTGTGTACGGCATTAAGCTCGCGGTGCATCATATGAAGAAAGCAAAGAAAGCCGGGCGTATAATTGTCGTTGGTTCGGCAGCGAGTTACCTTGAATTCCCGGGTCAAGATCTATACGTCGCATCAAAGCACGCCGTTTTGGGCCTCGTCAGGTCTACGAGTTCACGCAAGGATGTCCGAGAGGCCGGGATCATCTTATCGATGGTAGGGCCTTGGTTGACTAAAACTGCGCTCGTAGAAAAGATTCGACAGGATCGGAAAGGAATGATGCCGGAAAGTTCCGCCGAGGATGTCGCTTGGGCGGTATCGTACCTAACGATAGCGTCTCGCGAGAACGCGAATGGGAGGTGTGTATGGGTTCGGGGTTCGGGAATTACAGAGGTTGAGGGGTCATACAGGAAGTGGCTGGCGGGATTGATAAAACTTTGAGCGTTAGGTTCGCTGTCAAGTTTAACGTAGTCGCGGTGGATATATCCATCTCACTTAGGTGACGAACTCCAATCAGCCCATATTTTGGCGACGACATTGAATCTTCGAAGGTATGGGCAATCTATTCGTCAAGTGTCAGTAGCACCACTAGCAGCCTTCCTAGGATGCGAACGGGTTGCGGCCTTATCTCAAGCAAACGAGGAAAAATTAAGGATAAGGATAGAAAATGAATTACTTTAGAAGTATCAAAAAAGCGTCCAATAAGCAGAAATGTTCGGAAGCGGTTTCCTTTGGCACGCGACGAGCACGGCACCAAGCGTAAACTCCAAGTTCCTTGAGGTTCGAAAAGTCCCAATCACCTTCCTCCCTAGCCCATACAAGAATATGGAGTGGGATTCAATGCAAAGTTTGATTGCTTGAGCTAAACATTCCGGTAGTCTTGTTAGAACCGCTTTCGGTAGGCCGAGATTTGAGTCTCGGACAGCATCCATTGTCTGCATCGGCAAGATGTCCGAAAAACTAACTTCCCTATTGCTGCACTATTTAGCCGATTCGGATACTGGAGAGATTTCCTATGAAGTAGCACAGGAAGTGATCGGGTGTGAAATAAAGCTCAGCGGCCAGTGTTCCCTTAGGGGTTACGAGCGTACTCGCTGCCGTACCGAGTTCTCAAACGGACGTGCTCCGAGACCCATCTTTGCTCCTGGAGAGCTTAACATGGGTAATGATTTCACTTCTCAGCCCGCAGACATACGTAGCAACTGAGGGCAAAAGCTGTTCAGCGGGACAGATATAATAACAGATTAAGCATACCTAGCCGAACCAGGGGGCTAGGGCTTTCCGAGAATGTGCCGTCTGACAGTGCCACCCGGCTGATTCACATCCTTCTCCACGGAGACAGTCGAGTTCAAGCGTTTTCTTCGCATACGTTCATTCGACGAGAGACTAATAGCTTATTAGCCCGAGCGCTCTCCGAATATACACACCTGTCGGGCCCTGCTCTCGGGATGAAGAGAAACATCGATATCTCCCCAACTTGTGCTCAGATTGTAATACCGGTAACCTGATAGAACTGCTGAAACTGCCAGTTGCCGCCCCTGAAAAAAGGCTAGCGTCGTAACAACAACTAAGGAGAAGAACAATTTAACATAGCAGACTTGGACGAATTTTGACCTACAGCACCTTTAGCAGCTTCGCCTCAATCATTGCTCTGTCGAACTACCGAGATATTCATTCGGTGAAGTGTTCAGTCCCGAGATCCCACAAGTACGCATTTCTCCACTTTCCAACATGCCGGAAAGGTTTCAGCAAACTCCATCATGCCAAACAGGGAATGATGAGCACTTACAGGGTCTGTTCGAACTTCGATAGTTTTCCGTGTTGGGTTGGGCTGGTGGTTGACGTGATGACCCGTTGAAACTCTAAAATACTTAACTAACCAGCTAGTGCTTCGCAACCACCGCCAGGCCAGGCAACTCTACCCATCCGCAACCTCACTCACTGATCCTACCGCACACCACTCCTGACTCTAGAAAAAAGACTGAGTAGCTCTTGTCTGGCTGAACGAAATTGCCCGAGAGACGATATGGAGTCATCGATTTCTCATTCCGGTGCACGATGGAGGCCAAGCATTAAGATCTCCCATAGCGTCTGTGCTTCCCTTCCTCGAGATCCAGAGGCATTAGCTTAGTCTGGACTACCTACTTGCAATTGGCTGGCTGGAAGCGTAAGAAACGGAGAGTAACCCTCCATCCATACGAGTTGCTCTCCTAAACCATGGTGACAATGGCCCGTTCCCGTTTCCATCCTGGATAGGAGTCTTCTAGATCATGTGAGGAAAACGCGGCCGATAACTAAAGGGTATCTTCGATTTTACGGTCAAAACTACTGACTTTATACATTCCTAATCCTTACACGGGCTTTGGTGTCGTTAATTGGCTAGTGGGGTTTTGACTACTAAAGCTTAGGTGGATTTGATATCCTCCCCTCGAAATGGCCTTGAAGCACGCCCTCCGCACTCTCAAGTATGTTTCGGTCCCTACCGCCGTACTTCGTTCATCCCTCACCGAAAGTCTATAGTTGCTTGTAACTCGTCTGGGCTATCTCCTTGTCAATCCCAAGTAAAATGTGGATATCCCCATGGATCAAGTGTGCATTGAACCAACTTCCGCGGTATCAAAAGGCGAAATAAGATTCTCATTCTATTTTCAAGCCGCTTGAATTCCTAGATCGTCATGCCAAATCTTCGATTTCCCCGAGTTTTTGGAGCCTCCATACTCCTAATATCACGCTACCCCGCAAAAAATAAGATGCCTTGCTTGGTCGGCAAAATATTGTGAAATGGCCGAGATGGCATATGCTCGTGGGCCGTACAAAAGTAACCTGTTCCCCAGGTTCGAATACACATTGGTCATTGCAGAGACGTCTTATACCCGAGCATCTGCAAGTGTCCGGGAAGATAGTGTTAAGTTGAAACGATGGACACCAAATCCGCCAGCGTTGAAGAAGTTGAGAATCCCTCTCTGGAGCGGCCCAGGGAGAAGAATGTGGAATCTAGCCTTGAGCAAACGTATATCCATGCTGGATTGACTCCTGAAGTGGCTTCTTTTCTCGCAAACTTCTCCGAGGAGCGAAGAAAGAAATGCATTCGCAAAGTAATCCTCCTATCCCATGCACATTGCTCAATATCTTACCCTTTCTCCGATAGATCGATTGGCATCTATGTCCCATGCTCATGGTGTTATACCTTTGTGCATACATCGACCGCGCCAATATTGGTAAGTCTTTATGGGCGCCGCGTTCCATGGTATCGTTGCTGACTCTGAACAGGGAATGCGAAGATCGAGGGGCTGTTAACTGACTTGAAGTTAAGCGGTACTCAATACAGCTTTGCAGTGTCAATATTCTTTCTTCCCTATGTGATTTGTGGTATGTGATGCGCAGTCCTACTCACTTCACGATGGTTCCACTGACTAGACAACAGAGGTTCCTAGTAATGTTCTCCTTTCGAGGTTCAAACGGCCCTCCACCTACATTGGCATTATTACCGTCGGCTGGGGCATTGCTATGACCTTAACGGGCGTTGTCAACAATTTCGGAGGGCTGGTCGCAACGCGCCTTGCCGTTGGAATATTTGAGTGAGTGAGGGATTTCTCCTTTTCCAAGCTTCCTACTTTATTAATTTCCTCATGATAGGGCTGGCTTCTTCCCTGGTGCGGTTCTACTAGTATCTAGGTGGTACCTCCCTGGCGAAACCCAGCTTCGAATTGCACTATTTATTGTGCCAGTGCGCTGTCAGGCGCGTTTTCAGGTCTTCTAGCCTTTGCCATTGCAAAAATGCGAGGTATTGGAGGCTACAATGGCTGGAGATGGATTTTCATCATCGAGGGCCTGGCTTCTATTGCACTGAGTGCTTTCGCCTTCTTCGCTTTGGTGGATTCTCCGGCCCTCTCTAAGCGCTGGTTAGAACCAGATGAGATTAGATATCTTGAGCTTCGTCAGCGTGCTCAAAGAGGTCGTGTTGTTGTCGACGAGGATCCCGGCAAGTTCGATTGGAGTACCCTATGGCAGGTTGTAACTGACTGGCAACTCTATCTGCAAATCATAAATTTCTGGGGTAACGCCGTGCCAAACTACGGGCTGAAGTTTACCATGCCTCAGATCATCAAGAATATGGGATACAGCTCAGCCAAAGCCCAGTCACTCACAGTTCCGCCATACATGCTCGGCGGCTTGGTCACCTACGTATCTTCCCTTCTCTCCGATCGGTGTAAATGGCGTTTCCCGTTCATTATTTTCGGCTAGTTTGTGTTGTCATCGCTTTCGCCATCCTCTTCTCGAAGGCGGAAAATTTCAAAGACAACGTGGCTGCGTGTTATTTTGCGATTATGTTCGCGTGTGTTGGCTTTTATCCGATCACTCCTGGCATAAACGCTTGGACAGTCAATAACCTCGCAGGCGCAAGAAAGAGGGCCATGGGCATCGCATATATGATCTCCATTGGCAACTTGGGTGGTATTCCCGGTTCTTTCATCTACATCGAGAAAGAGAAGCCAAAATACCCAACCGGCTTTGGATCATCATTTGCTTTCGCGTGTGCAGGAATTGTGGCCACTATCACATTGGAGTTGGCTTATATCAGGATTAATAGGCGCAAGACGAAGATGACGCTAGAGGAAATACACTGATGAGGAACTGCAAAGGGTGACCGTTCGCCATTGTTCAAGTATATGCTATGATTGGTCTATCATGTGCAGTATTCCAACCTCGATGCCTTCGAATATGGCGAATGGGGTCGAATATTCAATTGATTCATATATGGCTTTTGTAAATACATCCCGCGCCCAAAGGAAGCGGAATTATATTTATATCTTTCATATCCCGTGATGGGCTGTTTTCTCCTTTTTCTTTTTTTCCTTAAGAGATTCTCAAGGCAACTCCATACAGGTTCCAGATTTTGTGTGTCATATTCCTATAATTTAATATTGCAGCCTTGGTGGAGAATGCATTCACGGGGTTTAAGTTGCGCATTGACACCAACAAGAACTGGCGTCCAACGGCTCTAGCTAGTTAGTTGATTAAAGCGCAACAAAGCTCCCTACAAGATAACCAAAATGTTCAATATTGCGGGGTTTCTTTCAAAGAGTCTGCTGAATGCCATCAATAGTTAACCATCACAATTTTGAGACCCGATGACTGATTCACCATATATTCCTGTTGCCTTCTTTGGCGCAACCGGCGGCTGTGCAAACGCCTGCCTCGTTCACACGCTCAAAGCTGGCTACAAAGCTGCAGCGCTCGCTCGAATTCCTCCCAAGCTCATCAACCTCTTGCTCTCCCAGGGCATCGACCGATTTACAATTGACAGCAACCTAACCGTCATCCAGGGCGATGCAACAGACATCGCCGCCGTCAAACGGGCCCTTGTCCCTGGGCCAAATAACGGGAGGATGGTCTCCACCATAATTTCGGGACTCGGCGGCTCACCCAAGCTGCAGCTCTCTGCCTTGACACCTGTGACACTGGATAACCCGCACATTTGCGAACAAAGCACGAACGTGCTCCTCAGCGCAATCCGGGAGCTCCAGTCTTCCCAGCGCTCCCAAGACCAGCAAAAGCCACTTCTAGCAATCATCTCCACCACGGGAATTTCTTTAGCTGCTGAGGATGTCCCATTCCTTTTCCGTCTATTTTATCACTACTTTCTTGCCGTCCCACATCAAGACAAGCGGAAAATGGAAAGAGCTATAATCTCCAGCATGGATACTACAGATCCTTCTGATCGGCCTTTGAGAGGGTTCGTCTCCGTGCGGCCATCACTTTTGACGGGTGATCATAATATTACTAGCGGGAGAGGTTGGAAGACCTTGCGTGTGGGGACAGAGGATAAGCCTGCGGTTGGGTACACTATCCAGAGGGCGGATGTGGGGGAATGGATATTTGAGCAAGTTTTGAAAACAGGCGCGGAGAAGTGGATGAACCGGATGGTGACCTTAACAAACTGAGTATCTCATCTTTGGGTGGGGGTCTTCTGCTTCTTATCCATTGGCTTTATTCATAGTTTTAATCCATGACGTTGATGGACTCGGATCAGCATCGGTTTTTGGAGGTAACTGCTACCATGTTTAAATTTAATGTCTATATTGCCTATATATCAACATTGGCATATTTCAAGAATTGTTTTGCGCCCGCAGAGGAACGAACTCAATTAATGTTATTGGTGCATTATTGGTATTTACGAAGCATATACGAGAGCTTCTGCAAACACCTACGATGGAGTCATAGTCAACGTGTCTTGAGATCTCTTATCAAAAATAATCCGCCAGTCGGAGAATCAGACAAGATAGGGCACTAGGGATCCATAACAAAACAGAAAAAGCCCAGCAACTGGGGGAATACCCTATCCCTAGAGAAAATCCTCACAAAAAACGGTTCACACCTTTCGTCCCGTGTCATGATGGTTGTTGGTCCAGCGAGTCACAAACCCGATTTCCTATCATAACTCCATGCACCCGCTAAAACAAGAGTTGATAGAAGCTCTGAAAATTCCACGAAGGATACTCAGCGGGCGGCTTCGCGAACAAAAAAGTGGCAAAGACGAGACGTATAATACAGAGCCCACGGAGGGATAGGTGCACGTACTGGAAGAGCACCTAAACCAAACCATGACAGTAGAAGTGTACTGCATGGAGATGATTAGCAGAGGGGCAAAAAGCGAAACTATAGTACAGAAAACAAAACCAATCACACAAGCATGCCAGTTCATGCAAGAAATGTCTATATATTATGAATAATCTTCTGGAAACGAGAATGCCGTATTTTAAGAGAAAAGGACGAAAGTTATCGTTTATGGTAACTTTTTTATGTGCCCATCGGTTATGGGGGATCCGTTGGGTACCCCATCAGAGTCGTTGATTACCCGGCTTAAGTTTCGAAGCGAAAACCCGCCCGCGAAGAAATGAATTCCCACCAGCCATGCAATCACTAAGTTGGTGATATGGTGGAGAAGATATGCATATGTTACGCCATATATAGCGGAGTAGGCAGCGAGGAAGAAGAACAGGACATAGGTGATGTGTCGCAAACTAAAATTATGCGTGTTAGTAGCGAACCCTTAGCTGGAAGCGACCTGAACATACTGAGTCGTAATCCTTGGTATCATAGTTCCACATGTCAATGTTTCGACAAGGAGCATAAACGGCAATATAGAAAACACGTTATGGTTCGAGGAAAACGGCGTAAGCCAGTGAACGGCCAGATCATGAATCCAGACAATGAGAACAAGCACATTGATAGGAAGGATCCAGATCATCAGAATGAAAATGGAATGAACATAGTTATAAAAGCTGGAATGTGACGCTGATCGCTTTTTCCGTAGTTAGCACCGCATCGGGAGGGTAAGGAATGGGTAAGAGGTCTTACTGTTTCCCGAGCGTGCCAGGATGCCTGGACACACGTTACAAGTTGGACAACACACGCAACAACGTACGCAAATTGATATGGTATGAAAGTTGCAACAAATAAGAGGAGCACAGCGGTGTTGATTACTCGATTTTTCGTCGATAAAGACCAAAATATCGATGTATTGCTAAATTAGAGGTTAGCAAGGACAATTACAGCACCTCTAACCAACAACGGCTTACCCTCGTTCATCGTGCTTGATGTAGCCTTTACGAGACATCAGGATCGCGCGGATCGCCCCAAGCGCATGAATAAGGATCATCGCAACATAGTTAACAATAACACATGTACCGATGCTAATGATGCCGAATAGTGGCACTAAAAACCAGAAGAAGGCATCTTGCGACCCTAAGAGGAGATCGTTGGCGGAGAAATCGATAACAGACTCCGTTGAGTTGGACCCAGCATTCGGCGATGCGCTTTTGGATAGAGTATTTTTTGACGTTGCCAACGAAGACGCCAGGAAAGTAAGGCCGAGAAAAAGTAACGGTATAGACGATCGAATGCATAGGTCCAATGCTTGCATAAAGCTGATAAAAATACCTGAACCAGTTAGTTTCTACATATCAGCAAACAATATCTATTAGCTTACCTGTTTGATTGTATACTTTGAATTGCTGCCGCAAGACAAGTGACACCACAAGCAGAGGAAAGGCCGCGAACACTGTACGATAACGCATTGCGAGCTTTCCCATACTCCCGAGAACATCAACTTTCAGCGAGAGTTGCAGCGGTCCATTGCAGGATGCATCAGACCAAAGTTGAAAGGAGATTCCAGTGGCGGCAGCATTGTCTCCAATATGCGGAGGCATATACGGCGCAATTCCGTGAAGGTTGATTTCGGCATCTCTCACATTGACGAAAAATTTCGATTCGTAGGGATCCGAGATGTATTGCCGCACCATCGGCTTAAAGAGCTCAGTTCCATCACAGTCCTTGCTTTCAACGTGCAGCTTATATGCGAGTAGACTTGAATGAAGTGCAGGAACTTTTATATCAATAACCATCGGTCTTTCTGCAGGAAGTCTAATATTCAGACCTGCACTCAGTAATCTGCCAAGCCCAACCCTAGTGGGAATTACAGAATCAGAACTGTCTGAGAATTCCGCATGTAGCCAACCGGGATATCGTGTCTCGGCTTTGTCAATCACCACCACGAACTGATATTCCGTGAGGTCTTCGAGATCATACTGCAAATAGGACAGGGAAGGAACATTGTCAAATGCAAACTTTGAAGAGGATGTAGATGTTGGAAGGGAAATCACATCTTCTGCAGCACTTTTGCAAACTAGTCGGATCGAGCTTGCACTCCCTCCAGAGAGATCGAGGTTCAATGAAGGAAGAGTTGCGGATTGTCCCGCTCGTAAGGGGAAATCACTGCAGAACAACACATCCAATTTTCGGTTGGTCTCCATGGAGTTAAGTTTCTGGTCCGTCAAAAGGGTGAGTTTCTTCCCTGGAACACCTCCACGAGGAGGAATAGGCATGAGGTGGGACTTAGGCCCTTTACGGTGTCCAAATCCACGGAGGGTAAGTTTTTCATCTTGTCGTAGGATAGATTTAGATTTTGTGTCGTCACCAAGTGTCAAAAGTGTGGTATGTTCTAAAAACATGTCAGCCTAAGCAAATTTAAGGAGACAATTGTCGGTACCTTTTCTCGGCAGTTTTCTCTCTGCAGAAACTTCCATGCCAGTCAAATACCATTTCTTGAACACGCTCATGCGATCGGCTCGCTGCTTGGTTTGAGAGGAGCGCCTAACATCAATAACGTCAAACAGAGACCTTATGATAACTTTCCTAAATGAATCGCACCAAGCGATGGAAAGGTGATCCATCCCTGTCCAAACATTAGGTATAGTGGTGGTAAAGACCGTAAAGCCATGCGTTTCAGGAACAAGAGAAGAGAGACTGGTATAATCTGAAGGGACGATCGTATCACCACCTCCTCCAGCAATTGAAATCAAAGTGACATGCCACAGGGGGTTGTTATTGGCCCACTTTTGTGAGTAAGCTTCGCGCCAATAGTTGTTAACTTGTTTATATGTATGAACGAGATCGGAATCGAATGAAACGGGAGGTCTCGCGTGAGGCGTCGACATCGTAATAATTGTGTTGACAGAGTTTGTTTGATAATTTGACATGGTAAGGACCGTACGGGCAACAATACCACCCATTGAATGACCGATAAGTATCACAGATGTCGGGTCGGGAAGGTTGAGGTCTCTGCCTGGCCGACGCGGGTCGTGGTATAAAGAGAGAATATAGGCCAATGCATCGTTCACATACTCCGCTTGATCGAGAAGGGTCTGCCCATGAAAAGCAGCCATATCTTCGTTGAAGTCCGCCATGAAGAAGTCCAGACCCCGCACACCTGTTTTGAGTCGTTCCTGATGATATTGCAAGACGTCGTGAAAGTATAAGGAGGCCTCGGACGCGAGGGAACGGCCTTGTTTATAGCTTCCTGCGTTCCCAGGCAAAAAAAGAACCGGCACGCCCTTAATCTGTGAGATGGTGTCAGAACAATTTCCAAAAAAGCCACCATAGGAGACTCCATACCCCAATATCCTCTTCGCTGTATTCATCCACCCCTCTTTCCCGGTAGAGGTAAAGACCATACTTGCTAGCGAAGCGTGTGTGTTCCGAATCAAACCCAACGAGCTTTATGTAGGTCGGCCGCATACTCGGCGTTCTGCACCCTTGCGGATCAACTTGAAGACTCTGGTAAGAGTATACGATAATTGAAAGGATGAGAAGAGCAGACACGGTGACAAAGAGGACCAGCCCTGAGCAAATCCACGGGTTGCGAGTTCGAGCCCGGCGCAGCCTGTGTGATTCCGTGGAGCTCTCCATCGCTAGCCGCTGCTTTGGGGACTCGAGGGGCATCACGGCGATTGGATTGGACGCAATAATTGATTCCGTATGAGGAAGCGCGAGTTGCTTCCGGATCCCAAGGTCTTTCTCCGTTGACAGGCATGGGCCGGCTTTAACCTTGTCATTCAATATCGTAGCTTTCTCCGGCACTATTTGAGACGGCGAGGAACCACGAACTTCGGCAATCCTATGCCTACTTCCATTGTCGGAGTCGGAATCGATGGTCACGGAGGTATCGTTCCTGGGATTGGGATCACCTGAAGCTCCGTTGGGGCGTCCTTGCATCTGCGCATCTGCTCGTCCTGCCCAGCCCCGAGTTGCAGGATCGGTGATTCAACACAAAGATGAAGGGCCGAAATGGCCATAAATTTTTGTCAGAGCAGAGCAGCGGGAGAGGAGGAGCCTGTGGGAGGGGAACAGAGCCGATGCAGGAGTTCACCTTGCACCAAGAACCCATTACGACGCCATCAACAAAAAAGACGGGAAGTGCGCACGGACCACCACGCAAGGGGCAAAAATTCTCCGCGCGGACATCGCGACGGCAGGCTGGGTCTACGGAGAAAACGTTTTGAGAACTGTTGAATAATTAATATAAAACAGCCTTATGCACCTAATATACGGAGTACAAACAGGCTCTTCCAAAGTGTCATAAAACACAATAGAAACGCCACCCTGAAGTTTAATTCAATGGTCCGACCTTAACCTCTTCTCGACCTTTCAGCTCTTCAAACCTTGCATCCTTTGCCTTGTCCCGATCAATGCGGCGCTTCATCGAAAGAAGGTCTTTGAAGTGCCCTCGAGCACCATGCTTGAGCTTTGTAATCATGTCTGCAGCTTGACCCTTCGTTATATACTCAGGTAGGAGATCATCCTCAAAATCAAGAGCCTTCTTCAAAAATCCAATTTGACCCGGACTGGCTGGCTTCTTCCGCCATGGTTGCCATAGAGCCACAAATATTGGACCGAAGATACGACCAGCGAGAGTATCGGCAGCATGCACCGCTTCTGCAAGCGGTAATGAGGATGCCACCTCTTTCGGGCGGCCGAACGGGCTTTTTGATTTTGCACTAGGCGGGAGCGCCATTACCTGAGATACCGAGAAGAGTCCTGAGTCATCTCTGGCAATAACTAACCTGCCTGGAGGGGCCGTGAGTATGTATCGATCTTCGCTGATTTTCACCCAGGCATTTTTGCTGAGTGAGCGAATATGCTTTTCCCCTGAGGTGTCCTGGATAAGGTCATGCACTGAATCATAATCTGTGAAGTCGACAACAATATCACCCTTTGGATCAGGTTTCGATCCTTTCAATTGAGGTATTATGGGTTTCTCCCTAAGCCTATCGATGTCATCGACAGATGCCTTATCAAGACCCTCATCTGGATGAAGACCAAACAGAGTTGGAGTTGTCACAATTCCAGTTTGCAATGCAGCAACCATATCAATGATGTGACAGTCTTGCTTTCCTGGATGCAAGCGTAACCCTCTACCTATCATTTGCACAAGCAGATTCTTGGATCTTGTAGGTCTGGCGAGTAACACACAATCAATGTTTGGTATATCGGTACCTTCGGTGAAAAGGCCACAGTTAAGCAAAACCGGGTATTCATGGTTCCTAAACGCGTCCAGCTCTTGCGTGCGGATATCCTTTGGAGTTTGGCTAGTTATATACCGAGCGTCGATCCCGTAGGAACGAAACTTTTCGGTCAAACACTTGACATGCTCAATGTCAACGCAAAAAGCAAGTGTGGACTTCCTCCCTTCGGCACGCGAAAACCAAGCTTTAACAGTTATCTCATTTGTCTTGTCCGTGTTTACTGCTGCTGATAGCTGTTTGGTCTGAAAATCGCCGTTTTGCGCATCCTTGACCTTGGATAGGTCTACATGTGACTGTACTGTGGTGAAAAGAGCATCGGCCAACCATTTTTCTCCGATCATGTCAACGTAGTCTTTGTGGTATACGATATGATCAATGGCCGTACCCAATTGCAAGCCGTCGAATCGTGAAAATGTCGCCGAAACCCCAACTAAAGCTGGAGAGTCGTCACTTGGTTCATCCAAGCCAAAGTGCTCTAGGACTTCAAGATAAGTTGGAGCCACAATGTGATGTGCCTCGTCTACCAACACGAGTTTAAATCTATCAGGATCAAACTTCTCTATGCGCCCTTTGGAGAGAAGGCTACGGATAGAAGCAATCGTGATATCTGCGGTCCCGGTCGCATGACTATTTGCCATCTCAATATCAATCACTTTCTCTGGATACGCCAGCATGCAGTGCCTAGCAGCTTGTTCAACAAGCTCCTTTCGGTGGACTAAAATAAGAGTTTGTTTTGCATCCTGCTTGCGGGGTTTGACTCGGTCAATTAACTGAGTGAATATGACCTATGCGATTGAGGAATGTTAGCACAACAATGGCTTACTGCCAACAAGGGAGAAACCTCCTACCGTTTTTCCGCTTCCAGTAGCCAACGAAACCCCAAGTCTTTTGTGGCCTTTTCCTAGATACGAGAGCACAGACTGAATGCATTCCTCCTGGTAATCACGCAGTCGAATTTCACTGTTTGGAATCAATGGAGGCTCATCATGCTCGGATATGTGGGCGTAAAACCGGCGAAATGCGAGCCCTGTTCGCCAAAGCCGTCCAGCAGGCCTAAATACTGCAGTACACCTTGAAAGGCACTGCATTTCCCATGATCGCGGGTTCCAGTGCTCACTTCTGCTTTTGTTGCCATTCTGCGGTCCGGCTGCTGCTGCGAAGCACACGATCGGCGGGAAAGTGGCGACACTGCAAACCGTACAAACTATGCAAACAAGGAGCTTCCCCCCAAAAAGGTCCCAAACCAGAGCAAGCTCCAAACTTCTCAAAAAGTGAATCAAGCAATCATCTGTTGTGTGCTTAATGAGATGAGAGATGATATACTCATGAAATGATCCTTCGCAGTGTTATGTATCCACTTGCTTCCTTCTTTCCGGTGCGAATGAAGCCTGCTAATCGAAGTTGGGATCCTGTGTTAAGCCCAGGCCTGAACAATGAGCGATTCTTCTATGAGCTATGAGCCTGAAGAGGAGGAAGAGGGGGAGGAACAAGAAGAAGATACCACCCAGCATGGGAATCCCTCCGGAGCTTCTGGACATTCTGTCCCTCCACACCAAAATGTCCTACACGATTCGAAGCCTCTCCATAATGGCACATCGCACGGAAACGTATCCCAACGCCACAAAAGGCAACGCCTCAAGCCGCGACGTCTCGCCTTGCGAGCGGCAGCTACGCTTCCTGTTGGCAAATACTCGGACCTCTACAAAGAAGTGGTTGACGATATGCTTGGTGGGCCTGAATACGGTGATGGACCGAGGCTCTTCGGTACTCAGTACGGCATCATCAGCTGGTCCCCACAAGAGAAGAATGCATTCTTTACAGCCCTCGCTAGGAAAGGAAAAGACGCAATTCCAGAAATTGCAGCTTTCATCGGGACCAAAAGCCAAATGGAAGTGAGACATTACCTTGATCTACTACACCGCAATTTTGAGCTGCATAACGTTACAGAAGAGACTGTGAAAAATATCACGCTCTCAGACGTTCCCGCCGCATACGAGGTTAGCAAGGAATGCTGCCTAGCGCTGGAAAATGTTGCCAGCGCATTATCCCTACGGGACGAACAGGCCCATAATGTTGCAGGGAGGCGGAAACACGGAGATTTTTGGCTTATAGACAATGAAGTTGCCGCTTATGTTGAAGAGGTACTGGAGCCGGAGGAAGAATCCGAATCAGAGAAGGACCCGGAGCCAGAATCACTAGAGCCAGGAGTGATTCCAGCATCGGAATTCGAGGTAGAGTTGCAACCGGAAACTGAATCCAAATCACTGGCAGAGGGCGATCGTAACGGCCAAGTTAATACCGTCAAAATGCATAGCATATCTGCTACAGCGAAGCTACTAAAAATATCAAATTGGATCCGACTATCCGAACGTGTTTTCATGAATGCAGGGGAAAGGAGGTTAGAAGACAATTGGACTCAAATATGCTTTGAGGACGAAACACCGGCATTGACCTGTGATGCTTTTTCTGACTTCTACGCATTAACTATTAGCATCACCCGTCGGATCGTACACTCGTCCATCTTTTTTGCATTGTCGCGGATACGTGCAATAGAGCGTTCCCATGTTAATCCTAAGAAGGTGGTGAAGAAGGAGGATATATTTGCTGCATTGGACATTCTAAAAATGGAGCCCAACTCCAGGAAATTTTGGGCTAGTGCTCCTCGGCGTTGTGCACTTGACATCCGTCATGACAGCGGAGAAAATTATAAAACCGTACTTCTCAGCTACGATGAACTCGACGCATTATTGGGCCCAAAATCCGACATCGACCCAGAGTATATAAAGACAGCGCCCCAAGCGATGAGCTCCGCTTCCGAAGGCTCGAGTTATTCTGGCGAAGGCTTCGAGTCGGACACAAGTGGAAGAATTCCCTCTACCGCTCAGGACTCCATGGATGCGGAAGACGATCTCTCGGACGCGCAAGAAAAGCATGCCAACGCCTTGGATCAAGAAGCGAGCCGTGCGGAAGAATCGAAACTATGGCGCTGGATAGGCAAACCCGATCCCCAGTCCTTGGATCATAATGTTAAGCCGGAAGTTAAAGAAGAGGAAATAGAGCACACACTTTTTGCGAAACGAAAAATGCCCCAGGAGATTTCCAATTGGAGAAGTCGGATTTTATACCAGGCGGAGTGGGAGACTTTCGGCCAAAGTACTGTGGCCATTGATGAAGAGATGGGAGGAAATGGAAGCAGAAAACGGCTCAAGATTGACTGAGATATATCCACAAATGGGGGACCAGGGCCACAGGCCCAATTGTGGAAACGTATTTGCGTGCTTTGTGTGCTGGCAAATCTGTGATTGCCTGGATACTGGACAGAGCAAGGCAGCTCTGCAATCACCAATCTATGTATAAACAATCAGATACCCTATACAACCCTACACAGAGATTCCAATACACCATCAAAGTTCATCCATAACTTTGATATTCCTTACATTTCCAATCACAATCATAAAGTTCATTGAATTAAAAAATTTTCAAAGGGCCAAGTTTCACGCCTAAAACATCCAGCACCATAACTGACACAAAACAAAATCTGTCTTAAAACTTCTGATAGTACACAAGTCCATAAGCAGCAGCCCAAGTGAATCTTGAGCGAACCGAAAAGGAAGAAGAGATTCCGGGGAACTTGCAACCCCAATTGCAAAATGGCGCCACCGGCTTGAAACAACCCATAATCCCGTAAACCGGTACCAGATTCTCGCCTCACCATGAAAACAACATCAGAAATAAAAGTAAAACAAAGTAGTAGACCACTGGTACGTAAAACGCCAGCCGATAGCTTGTTCTAAAACATAGTGACACCATCCAAGCCCCCCTGGAATGCATGAGAGGGTGTTCTACTCTCTTCACAGCTCGAAAGCTTTGTAGTCACCACCTGCCGCACTAAGTGGCTGAACTGTTCCGTACTGCGCACCAGGAGCCTGAAATTGGTATTGCTCTGCTCCTTGTCCAAGGGTTCTAACTTCGGCAGCTTTTACTGCCGCGGCCTCCGGTCCTTCGAGACTTATGGCCTGGAATGCATCCTGCACTTCCTTGATCCTGTTTTTGAGCGCCATTCGGTCAAGGAACAATTGTTGTCGAGCAATCTCTAGCTCTTTACGTTCAGCATCAAGGATCTGCTCCAGTTCTGTAAATTGTGCTAGTTTCAGTTCGAACTTCTGCAAGGTGATATTCACCGCTGCTCCAACAAGTCGAGTCATTTCACGCTCTTCATGAGAGGCCAGCGCTCCAGCACGAGCGGCAGAGGTAGCAATGGCGATAGACGGAATTGAAGGGGTAGATTTCTTCTCTTTCGACGAACTTGAGACCACGGCGGTCGATTCGCCCTCGTTGGCAGTATCGATCTCCATGGAGTCTTCAGCACGTGGTGCCTCTTCATTTCGATCCTTCTCCACTGGCTTCTCCTCGGGGGAAGTCTCCTCAGTAGACCCCTTTTCTAATTGCTTTCGCATCGAGCGCCTGATTTCTTCAATGGAGCGACCCGCAGCCGCAGCTGTAACTGTTGGCTCTGCCAATTGGGCCAAGTGTGCAATCACTGAAAGAATTGGATTTTCCAACTGACTAATCGGATCTCGTCCAGCCATCAATGCTTGTTGTAACGGATCATTCTCTGCGGAATCGTCTATGTAATTAGGTTCGATCTCCAGTTGTAAGAACTTCATCACGCACTCCTCCGCCGTACGAGTGCGAACGTGTCGCTCCACTTTTCGCCAGTCGTCATCAAAATTCTCCAAAGCTTCGAGGAGGAGAAGGGTCTCGGAATCAGACCAAGGCCTATCGCGGTCTGGAATTGTGGTATAACTGGAGTCCTCCATCTTCACGAAATCCGATGCCTGATGGGATGCAGGGAGACGGCCTTGCAAGAAACAAGTAGGACAGAGGTCATATTTCAAGTCTGCCGGGTTACCACTAGTCGAAACTGGGGCAGATTTTGAGTAATGAAATCTAATCCTAGTGCAGTCGACTCCGCAGGAATGGCAATTCACGATCTGCTTTGCTCGTGCCGCACCATCCACGCCTTTGGCAGAATAGTCGGTGCTTGTGCCGTTGGTGACCGTTTTATCACCGTTTGTTTGTTTGTCTTGTTTATCTTTATCATCACTAGTGACTTCCTTCCCTTTGTCATCGAAGATATTACGGCGAATTTCAAGATTTAGATCGGCCTTAACAGGAGGCGCCGCTGCGGCGGCTTTCTCTGTAGATGGATGGGGTTTACCTGGAGTAACGAAAGCCTTGGGTGCTGGCTGGAAAGGTTGGAGGCCACGAGGGGTATCAGCAATAATTCTGAAATGGCCTGTGAACGGTGGCCCAATGTTGGAAGGGCGAGAGCTCGGTTCAACCTAAATGAATATGTGAGTTATGAGATTATCATTGACTCTAACGTTACATACCTGATAATTTATTAAGCCCCAATTTTCTAAAAAGGAATGCACACGCATAATCGCGCAAACGTCTCCTGCAAGATTTCTCCGACACGCTGTTACCGTAAGGTACTCGACAGGATTCAGACGATAAGTGTTGATCATGAAATCTCGATAGTCCTTGTAGACAGATGGTGTTTTGCTACGGTTGCGGTTATTGAAAAATTCGGGAAGAGCCTTTTTCTCCATATCATGGATGATGTTCATATCAAACCACGATGTGTAGCTTGGAAGAATAATCGCATGTGTCTGAGAAACTAGATTCGAGCGCGCCGAAGTTTCTGCAGTGGTTTTTGCTTCGTCGCCCGGTGCATCGCTCGGTCCATCTACCTGTGAGGCTGCAGCTCCTGTGGGTTCGCTTTGCCCGGTCTCCTTTCCACCGTCTGGCTCTGTTCCGCCCATCTCTTCGTCCTCCGGTTCAGTCTGTTCATTCTGAGGTTTGGGCGATACAGGCGCATCAAGAGGATTGTCTGATGCAGCTCCATTTTGATCGTTCTTATCAGAGGATATTGGCCTGGATTGGGAGGCTTATCAGGAATAAGAGTCAGCGAGCGGTTTGCAGGTGATTTGACAGGGATAAATACCCGAAACGCGGCCCGGGGACTGAGAGTCACTGCCAGTTTGGCCCTCTTGATCAGTAGGCACGGGATTGCCTTGAGTAGCCAGGTCGCCAGAGGTCATGGTTGAATCCTCCATGTTAACGGGTGAGGTCTTCGAAGCCGGCCAACCAAGTCAAAATTTCACGAGGCAAAAGCCCGCGATGACAGGAAATGGCTCCTTAGATTACACAGAAATAAGGAGCAAGGTTGTCAAATGCAATTCTTGTCTACTCAAGGGATGCGTGAGCGATGCCGGAGCAGTTGATCGATGGAGTGACAAGCAGCTGCTCAACGCTCCAATTTCGCGCCTCCAGCTTGATTGCGCTAGCTATTTTAGAACTAGCGTGGTGGAAAATACTCAAGCATTGATTATGTCATCTTAAAACAGCAACTTGACACACTGTCCAATCAGCGCTCATCGTATCCCAACGCGACACGCGCGTGTAGATCAATATGGATTATTTGCATCACCCAGCCCGATAACAAATCCATTATTAGTTCGATGCGAGGGAATTCCTGACGTTGTTCGCTTTGTATCAGAGAGACGAATTTTCCACCCTTGCAGCCGCACCATTATCGCTTTCTTCCTGATCAAAGTCGTTGGGTTGTTCCCGACGCGTATCGCGTCCTACGCATAGAGCGGGTTTCGTGCGGGCAAATCCAATTCAACATTTGCGACATCATCACTAGACTTTCGATTCTTCAGACTTCTATACCCGGTTTTCTCAAGATGGCCTTATTCTGCGCCCCGAGCCCTCTTTCCCACGAGTCGCCGTTGGAACAATTAATCGACCATGGAAAGAGGAAGATCGAGGAGAAGATAGATACAAATTCTACGAAACGCGCAAAATACATAGGGCCGTTTATTGTCGACGAGGAGGACGGGCACCAGGATATATTTCGCTCCGAATCAGAATCCAGTTCTTCAGAGTTGCCAAGTTGGCTTCGTGCTCAAGGAACATATTCCCATGAAACTACAGCACCGTCTTGTACCTCTACTCTCCCCGAATTTCAAAGCATAGAGCTCTCAGGCCGTCTGCGCAATTCTAGGACTGCCGGTCCAAGCCCTCCCAGCAGAAGCGAGGAAGTCACCATTCGGAAATGTTCAGGTGAATCCGTTTCTATCCGGCGACGAAAACCAAATACACTCCTCTCTTATGAGCAATTGGTCGCTAGCCGATCGATCACAGCTCCTGGGAAGGCAACCAGAAGCTATTACGGTATCGAGATTCACCAATTGCTCGAGGAGGCTCGAACAATCGGGAACGCCGGTAAAGGATCAGAGAGTGCACCGACCATTCATCAGTCAGTGGAGGCTCCAGCGGAATGCCAGGGAAAGTCTGAAAAGGCCGCCAATGTTCTCTGGACGGAGAAATATCGCGCTCGAAAATTTAAAGATCTTATCGGCGACGATAGGACCCATCGTGCGGTTTTACGCTGGCTAAAGGGCTGGGATTCCATTGTTTTTCCCAATCTAGCCAAGTCGAGGACGCAAAATAAGCCTGTGGATTTTGAAGAACCTACACACCGTAAAATACTTTTGCTTACCGGGCCTCCGGGTCTGGGGAAAACAACATTGGCCCATGTGTGCGCAAGCCAAGCCGGCTACGAAGTTTTGGAAATCAACGCCAGTGATGAGAGAAGTCGGGATGTTGTGAAGGGAAGAATCAAGGATGCGGTTGGCACGGAAAATGTGAAAGGGATTTGTGTCAAAGCTGATGGAAAGGCAATACGAAAACCTGGTAGGCCAGTTTGTGTAGTGGTGGATGAAGTGGATGGTGTTGTTACCGGTTCAGGGGGAGGAGAAGGAGGATTTATGAAGGCGCTCATTGACCTTGTCGCTCTGGACCAGAAAAACTCAAAGAAGTCCCCAACGGACGCGACGAGTAATAATGGCAAACGAAAGAAGAAGGGGGAGAAGTTTAGGCTTCTCCGACCCTTGATTCTGATTTGCAACGACGTGTACCACCCCAGCCTTCGCCCCCTTCGCACGTCGTCCGTTGCTGAAATTATTCATGTCCGTCAAGTGCCGCTGGATAAAGTGGTCCAACGGATGAAGCATGTTTTTGAGAAGGAAAACATTTCTTGCGATGGAGATGCTGTCAGAAGAATATGCGAGGTCTCTTGGGGACTCAGTGTCAAAAACGACCGTCAGGTGAAAGCTCGCGGAATAAGTGAGGGTGACATTCGAGGCGTGCTCGTTGCGGGTGAATGGATAGCTCGAAAATTACGGTATGGGGGCTCATTGTCGGCAAATAAACGACTAACAAGGAGATGGGTTGAGCAGCACGTCCTGGGGGGGTCTTCAATGGACGGATCAATTCCAGGCCTAGGACGTGGAGGAACCAAAGAGATTGTTGAACGTGTGTTTCTCGATGGCGCCGGTTTTCCTTATGACCGTGTAGGAGCTCACAGTTTCGAGACCCCATTTGGGAAGGCTAATGACGGTACACCTGTGGGTGTTGCAGACCTCCGCAAACGTCATGCAATCAGTCGCTTGAGAGAAATGGTCGATGCTTCAGGCGAATATGATCGCTGCGTTACAGATTGCTTTCTCACATACCCAACTAAAACTTATCAAGACGATTCGTACTTCTCAAAACCGAATGCTGCATACGAGTGGCTAAATTTCCACGATCTGGCATCTTCGAGAATCTACTCAAATCAAGATTGGGAGTTGAACCCATACCTCAGCCAGGCCGTCATTGCATTTCATCACCTTTTTTCCTCATTGCACAAGTCCAGCACTGGAGAACGAAAGTTCGATAAGGATGAAGATGACCATCCATTCTCAGGTACAAGGGCGGACTTTGCGGCTTTCGAAGCGGAAAGGCAAAACCGTGCTATCCTTACCGAGTTTAGAGCTTCTCTCTCTGCTCCATTACTGCGTGTGTTCCTATCCCCAGGGACGATTGCTATGGAGCTTGTGCCTAACTTAATGCGGATGCTGGCCCCTGAGATAAAACCGGTTATCGTAGGCGGCAGTGGGAGTGAGCGTGGAATCGCGAGCGTGAGAAAGGAGAGTGAAAAGGCTCTTGTGCAGTCCGCAGTAAGGGTTATGAATGGTCTTGGAGTGACATTTGAGAGGACAAGGGTCGAAATTGAGAGTGGAATCCACAGTGGCTGGATATATCGAATGGAGCCGTGAGTATCACTGATTATTAAATCTTTCTATTGCCACTGCCTAACCAGATTTTGACAGGGCTCTCGACTCCTTAACGAGCTTCTCCCAAACAAAAGGCACATCCATTACTTCAGCCGGTTCCTCGGCACCAGTCCGCTACGCCGTGCGTCAAGTACTCGATCAAGAGTACCGGAAAGATCTTCTGAAACGTCAAGCAGAATCTCGCCAGACTCGATATGACGCGCCAAAGCCTTCGGCGAACAAGAGTAGAGACCCAGAAAGGAAGGGCAGTCATGACGAATCAAAGGTCTCATCCAGGCATTCCCGGCTCAATGGACCCCAAACAGACTTCTTCGGTCGGATTATTCCTCAGAAGGAGGCGCCAGTTCAACAAAACACCACGCCTCAGCAAGGGGGAAAGAATCAACAGAATGACGGTCAGGATAATCAAGATTCGAAGGCTTGGGTCAAATACCATGAGGGGTTTTCAAATGCGGTGCGAAAGCGGATCACTATGCATGAGCTAATGTCTGGATTCTGAGCGTCCCCCTCCAACTTTTCTGTGCATATCTGATAGTAACGGCCGAATAACCATTTCTTACAATCAATCACCCTCATCATGTCTAGGAATTTGATTCGCAGCGGCGACGGAAACTTTCCGTGGTTCATGGCAGGTTTTCATCGTAAAAGTCGTATTGGTAGGCGAGAACTCCGCTGACGTTTGGTCAACAGTCCAATAACTGAAGAGTCAGAGCGAGCACATGCACACCTCAGCAGGCAGCAAGGCTTAATCGATTTCTTCGCTGCGCTTAAGTCGACATGACCCGCAGTCCGGAATAAGCGCTAATCATAAGAAATTTAAATTTTGAATTAATCTCAATTAGGCCTCAAGAATGAAGAAATAGCTCAGCTTGCTCACAAATTCTAAAAATTGATACAGGGTATCCACGAAAAGAAACTCTCTGTCTCATGACTCGAAAGCACTCCACCATTTTCTCAAAAATTTGGCATGCTCCCATGAAGGTGTCATCGCTCTTTAACTCCCGCGATAAAAAAAAAAAAAAGGAAAGAAAAGAAAAGATAAGGCAAATTCATTACTTTTAAGCCGTAAATTAATCGATCAAAGCTTTGAGCACCAACGCCATAGTCCCATTTATCTCAACGCGAAATACGTAGCACGTGCTTCCATCGTTACGGCTCGGGTTGTTGACGTTGATGCCTTGGGCTTCTTCGGACTTAGCAAGGACTCTTGCAGTCTGCATCGTTGAACCATTGCCTTGAGAGATGAAACACTCGAGAATGCAGAGGATGAGCTGTCTGTTGACTTTCGGCGTGGCGTTGGAAGCGAAGACGCATCTTTTGCATTGGCGACCGCCGGATAATAGTTGAGAGTGAAGTCAGTTAAGTTGCCAGCCATCGTAAGGAGGTGATCTGGTGAGCTGGAATAGTCCCCTTGGAGAAGAAGGTGCTCGGTTGTGTTTTGTTTTGTGGGATATATCAGGATCTACAGCCCAAGTTAGTGAGGAGGCCGAGAGAAATTCTTCTTGATTTCAACATACCACTCCGGACTCGGAATAGATTTCAGGATAAGAATGTATCAGGGCACTCCTTATAATAAGCCTGATTATCAAAAGGCTCTGCGTAAAACCTGATATCGTGGTGATAGCTTTGAAAGGTAGCAAGATCTAGTTCTGGGTGCACCAAGTGTTCAGGTGTATATCACATCAACTGACAAGATAGTTTGAAAGTGAGAGAAACAGAAATAAGAAGAAGAGAAAGTTGCCTTTATAGTCATTCAAGATACCTCGAGACCCTGTCCCGCTCCTCCAACCCACCCGACCAAGCCATAGCCGGACCGTGCATTCCCTGACTTCTGGGTAAAGCATTTCTCAGCATCGCCAGAGCCGCGAACTCAATTCTGGACAAGCTTTACCAAGCCGAAGGTGGATGACTCAAACATGGGGCGACAGGATATCTCCCCGTCGCTCGTCAAGGCCATTCCCATCCTCGTTCTCCGATAGTGGGACGCGCCCTGCATTCGTAGCGTTCGGGAGAACCAATAAGGAGTGGCTCTGACTCTGTGTGGCTTGAAATGCTGACATATGCAAATGGCCAGAGTCTGGAGGAGGTGAGGAGTGCTCCGTACGGAATACGGACTACGGAGTTAAGAAGTACTAGGTTTTGAGTGATATATCTTGTTGCGGCATCAACGTGGTCTGTCGACTCGTCGTCATTCCTATGGATACGCTATGTGTATGGAGCATGGAGCCTAGACCTATATAGTTACCGAATACAGATTCCGTCCGTCAGCCGGATCCTAAGACTTCGTTTTGACGCATTGCTTTTTAGACTTATCGGGGTGCTGCTGCCTCACCCGTCTTATCTCCTGACCAATCTTAATCTCGGTTGCAGCTATACCTTAATGCGAGAGTTGCGAAAGCGCTGCTGTTGTCAGAAGCTCAGATGCCGCAACCAAAGCAGGCTTTTCAGAACCCCAAAAGTCCTCGACATCTTGACCAAGCAACGCACTGCCCACTTGTGACGCAACTCAACTTCATTTCTGACAAATCCATCGTTTCGAGACGAAAGTGATCAAATGAGTGACTCACGGATGGTGCCAGAGGGTGAGGATAGCCATATGGTCTCGATCGAGCTTGAGCCATAGAATTCTCGAACTGAACTCCACTGATCCAGCGAGCCATTCTGGCTCAGTCACAGGATTGCATCTTTCGTGTGTTCCACAGAACCTTGAGGGCCGCTACGGAGTGCGGAGTAGTTTATCATCAAACTTGGAGGTTTTCTTCTTCGGAAACAAGCATACTGGCCCACCAATGACGTCGGCTCCTTGCTGAGTCGAGCGGATTCGGAATTGAGAAAAGCGTTCGGAATTTCTAGGTATTCGGAATTGCGGGGTTCGGAGCTGGATTCTCAAGCCAAACTGCTGATGGGTCACGGAACACAGGCGAATCCAGCTCCCACTTAATGACTGACAAAGTTTGCTTAAACGCGATTGCTTGGTTCAACACAGGATCACGGAATTGTCGTTCGGTCTGTGATTTCAGAGAAAGTGGAACCATTGTCCGCCCTACCTCATGAGTCGTGAAGAAATGGGAGTCCTCTTCAACATAAATCTACGAACCAAAATGCGTTTGAGTAACCCTGATTGCTTGGGGTTCAGTGCATGAGGTTAACCCGGTATTGCTGCGTTGAATCTATTGAAATGAGGTTTTATCTGCAGACCTAGCTCAAATTTAACCAGATATTTTGCAATGACGGTATCTGTACATACAGGAATCAATCTAAAACATTCATTCTGGACAAGAAAGAGAAACATGACTGTCAAATCATTTTATTGCAAAGGACAAGTTCAACGCCAATCAAATACTTGAATATCTACTGCTTCAGCTTTTCAGTTAGCTCAGGGACCTTTTCGAACAAGTCTCCCACAAGACCAACATCAGCAACCTGGAAGATAGGGGCATCAGGGTCCTTGTTGATGGCAGCAATAACCTTGCTATCCTTCATGCCAGCCAAATGCTGAATGGCACCAGAGATGCCAGCGCAGAGGTATAGCTCAGGAGCGACGTTCTTGCCCGTTTGGCCGACTTGAAGACTGTTGTCGGCGAATCCACTGTCAACAGCAGCACGGGACGCACCAATGGCGGCGCCGAGCGCGTCTGCCAGGGGAGTCATGATTCTGTCGAATTCCTCCTTCGATTTCAATCCACGTCCACCGGAAACCACTCGCTTAGCGGTACCAAGGTCGGGACGGTCGGATTTGGTGAGGTCTTCGGAGACCCATTCTGTTGGTGATGGAGCGTTGGGGTCGGCACCATCAACGATCTCCGCAGATCCGCCTGTGGCTTCACCGGCTTGGAAAGCAGTTCCTCGAACAGTGATAACCTTGACGGGATCGGTTGATTGAACGGTCAGGATTGCATTTCCTGCGTAGATGGGTCGCACAAATGCTGTGAGGCTTAACGTCAACATTACTATCCTTCCCTTTTTTCCCCGGCTCAAAAAGCTTGTTGGTACATACTGTCTTCACTCTCGATGGCGATGATATCTGAAATTTGCTGGACATCCAACAATGCAGCCACACGAGGCAAAATATTCTTGCCAAAAGCAGAATGGGGGGCGATTACGTGCGTGAAACCGCCCTTCTTAATGTTCTCAACCAAAAGAGGAGCGTAGTTCTCGGGTAAGTTCTAGTCACCAAAATCACAGTTAGCAACCCATGAGCCGCCGAGTTTCAATAGACACCTCATCCAATTACACCGAAATATATGCTGGCCGCACCTTGTCGTAAGCCGCATTGTCAACGACAAGCACCTTATCTAAACCCTTAATCTTTGCAGCCTCCGCTGCCGCGCCAGCCTTTGCTCCGGCTCCGGCCACGAACGCAGTCACGGTGCCGCCGAGCTTCGTGGCAGCTGCAATTGCACTCAACGAAGCACCCTGAATTTTTCCATCCCTTTGTTCTAAGACTGCTAGGGTAGAGAGTAATCTGGAGAGTGCCGAAAGCTGTTGTGACCGGAAGAGCGAAGATGTACTGGAGGGATAAAATTGGGAGCGAGCGGCTCGAAGGATGGATTGTCTGGCAAGCGGAATCATGGTGAGGGTTGGGAGGAAGGTATGGGAAGGCGTAGCTATATTAAAAAAAAGGAGATGCAATGGCTACAGACAATGGTTTTTCAATTCGTTTTCGACCTCGTCCTCAATCGTGATCCCTCTTTCGGCGGACTTTGTCCGGCAATGCAAGAAAGTCCCAATGACTAAGCGGACGATCGGAAAGTCGCGGCGAAAAACCCAAGAGCCGAAAAATCGGGGGAAGCAACCGAGTCAAGTCCTCTACGGAGTGTAAGATGCAGATGGAAACGTGTGGAAGGAGGTGTAAAGATTAAGACTTTTATTCTATGCTATTCAAACAATCCCGTCAAATACGCCTGGTCTCAGACTCTGAACGCCATACATCAAAACAAATCCGAAAGCCTGTCCTCGTCAAGATCCCTCAAACAATTGCAAGATCCCCTTCGTAGCTTTCGCAAAATATAGACGTGTCACATCGGGAACCCTACTAATCCGACAATCAGCTCTCCGACCGTGCCTTTGCTTTTTGCATCTTAAGTTTGTGTTTTCTCGAGGCAATCAGTTCTGCCTCACCATCGTCCTCCGTGACCTTGCGCTTCTTTGAGTTTGAATCGTCGGCTGCCTTGACTGCTTTTCTCTTCTTATCTGACTTCTTAGAGCCCTCGATCGCTTTAACTTCACTTTGTTCTTCATTTTCACGAACATCGCTGTCTTCCAACCAAAGTTCACTCGCTAGCCAAATGGGCATAGCAACGGTATTCGCCCCCTTTACGTGAATGGCCTTGACATTTCTCCATCCTTTCGTGACAAATTTATCAGTCATTCCTTTTACTACCGCCTCAATATTTTCCGTGATCTGCTGAGGAGTAAATCGCGAAGTTCCAACCTTAATAGCCGCAGTTGTAGCCGGCGCCAGGTGTACAGGGATACAATCGAGGGTCTTTTCTATCTCTCTGGCAACAATTTCGGGTGACGCCACGGCGGCGTATTTTTCACCTGGTGGAGGTCTCTTCTTGTCATCTTTCTTCAACCTTTTCCCATTTGCTTTCTGAATTTCTTCGATGCGGACCGGAATCGGCCTCTTATTCGACTTGAAAAAGGTCTTTCCCAGAGTCTTAATCAATCGTAGTATGATCCGATCGTCTGCTAGAAATACATCATGCTCCGATAATAGCATGCGCCTGCTTTCAAAGCTCTTATATCGCTCCTTTAGTTTGGTGAGGCCAATGACTTTTGTAATTCGGGAGGATAGAGATTTGGGGAATGCCTCGTCGGCAATGACATCTTTCACTGCTCGTTGAGGGTCGGCAGTTATAAGGCAGATATTGAGCGAGGATGATGTATTCAAAGAATGCGGCACAGGAATTTTTCCTGGCTTTAGGCGGTTCTTGTCGACGATGTGCTTCTTAGTGGTGAGAATAAGCCAAACGGGTACGTCCTCGCCGGATACTTCTTCGCCTTCAGAGTCACTGTCGCCATCGATTGGTAATTTCTTCACCGTTGATTCCTCTGCTTTCTTCTTCTCCTCGCTTTTGATGTGCCGTAGTAGTGCCGTGGAAGCTCGAATCACCTGGGAAGCGCAAAGGTTTAGTTTGAGTCAAACACGAATAGATTAACACTTCGCCCACCTGCTCATTATTTAATTGATAAGGTGATCCTGAAGTCGCTTTAATCGTGAGCTCTTCCGACGAGACTGCCATTTTGAATCCCGCTTGTCAGAATGTTCAAAGCTCCTCCAACCAAACTTCGCGGATCTCAAAATTTCCAAAAGGGCCAACCTCTGTTCCTCTGTTGGGTGATGGATTTAGGTTCATAATAAATCCGATCCAGTCGCTTACTCATCCATTGCAGTTCACCGTCACCAGCAAACAGCTCTCTGAGGGCCATGACCAACGACAGTGGTTGTGTGCTAAACAGAGACACATTAGGCACTCTACATGGACAACAAGAGGTTGGCCCGGCTAAATACTAATCCCCTTTGCACGGGAGCGTGAAAATGGTTTTGTCGTGCAGCATAGCTCCAACAACATAACCACCATGATCTAGCCCGCTGTTGGACAGGGCCAGATTGGGTACTTTCATAGTCCAACAAGCTTGTTTAAGGCGCATCCACCCCCAGTTAAGTTCGTACGACGTGGTCGCGCAGCCAGATATCAACCCATACCATTAAACCAACATCGGCTAATGATGTCCGGCACGGATATTACGCCTTATGGATCAGAAGCTATGATGTCCACCAGCAAACTAGCTGCTCAACAATTCTGTGCGAATGTGGTCATAAAAACATCTTATTTCAGGTTCTATAAAAGTACCTGTATTGTGCTGTGCGCATTTGCTGCTGTGACTCTGTGTTACGAATAGGCTATCAAATGATGTGGAATCAGCAGGGACCATCTTCGGTTCTGGAAGTGTGAAAGCTGCACAATCTTTGAGGCCGGCAATTGCCTTGTTAGAGGCATGAAAATCCTGATACAATTCAAATTTCAGCATCAGATTGGTCTACTAACCATTCACTATATAGGGATGTGCATGTTGACCTTTCTGTTTATTTCAACTGGCATCTGGAGCACACTGTAACGCAAACCAATTAGGCATTCATCATTCTCAGCTGACAGCATCAGTTTCAGAATTGATTCAAGCTTACCGTTTCCCTGTTTTTGTCGTGCAACACCTGCAGAATAATGAGGTAGGATAACAAATTACCTTAAGAAGTGACACCAGAATTGAGCCCTTGTATCGTCCATGTATTCATGTTCACTTACTACAAACAACATAGCGGGGATAGGAACCATACCGCAGAGAATAATCCCAGCCAGAATGCTAGAAAGGTGGATGTAAGAAACACAGAGCTCCCAGAAGATTTCTTGGTGTATGCTTACCTAGAGTCGGTCCGAGGACCTTACATCTACACGGGTTCTGGTCAGTGCCGCATTGGATACAAATCGGAACCCACGGAACTCCGGGGATGCGTGGGACTGGAGACATGATATTGCAAAGATTAAATCTAGAAAATTGGACTCCGCTGTTGTGGAGTGTTCGCCGAGTACTTTGGGCACTTGAGAACTCGGACGAAGTTCATTACATACAATATTAATTTATGCAGACGTAAGGGGAGAATCATACTTTCATTCTCTTCGCTTTCGAGCCCTCAATACCATCCGAATCCACCGGTGTCTTTTGCTGTTCACTTCGAATCCTCTCTCGCACCTCCATAAGGGCTTTTCCCAGTAGATTCAGTCCCCATCGATGTCGCATGGCACCTGCATTTTTGGCCCCGAATCCCACTCCCCATATCCTATCGCGGGGACTGGCTTCAATAAGTTCTCTATCACCCGTTGCTAGCAATTGGGCCTTTAGGTCCTCATTTTGGGTGAATTTCAAATAATTCCCTTCCACCACGATTCGTAAGCGCTCCTTGTTCCAGAGCTTTTCATCGAAGTTGGGGACTTTGCGACCAAGACTCCGGAGGGTGCTGGGGTGCGGGACGGGCTTATCAACGGAGGCGATTTCCTGAGTGATGCTATCGTCTGGGGCGAAGAGTACGCCCTTGCGGTGCATCATGTAGCTAGTGCATCGGGAAAAGGAAAGCGGCAGAAAAGCGTCAGTACTCAGGAGGAATGTCCAAGAGAGCTGGATGGTCCTCACTGTTCACAATTCATATACGTAATCTCGACATTCTTAGCATCGTCTTCGTCGCCCGGCTGAGTGACAGTGAATTTAGATTCGTACCACTGGCCAAGGAACCCGTTTTCCTGTTCCGGTTTCCAAAAGTAGACAGGACCGTCGTCTGCGGACGATCTGCGCATCTCTTCCCTCTTGGATTTGAGCTGTCGTTTGTGTGGCATTACTTGGTCGTGTCAAGACAAAAGATCCGGGAGGAATTGAAGTTATCAACAGGCTCAAACACAGCCAGTTAAATGCCCGCGAGAGCGGATGTGAGTTTGGAGTTGCCTTGCGTGCAATGAGTCACGAGAAGTCCCGCCTGTTAGTTCTGGAGTTTCGACGAAAGCCTTGTACATTGCGAAGGCAATCTATGACCTGCTTTTCCTTTTCTGCGGTCTTACTCCGTACATCCATGAGATTTAAAGTCTCTTCGGTCCTCGACTTCTCCATGCAGCCCAACTACAGACAAATTGTTACCAAAAAACACTGTGAAGTTTTGCGTCTTAGAATCGCATTGCGGTTGCCAAAGTTCCCTTCAGATTCTCGAGCCGCTTGAAACTTCATCTGATGGTGACTTTGGGCAGACACAGCCACGCCAAGCAGTGGAGCCGAGGAACGCCTTGTGTGTCGAGCGGTCATTTGGCAAGTCTTCTCACGATTAAGAGGCTCTATCCATGACGAGGAGTCTGGCGGAATCGCAGTGGCTTTGGAATTTATTTTTATTTTTATTTATTTATTTGATGGTGCATTGATTTTACGGTACCTTGCCAACCTATCCTAAGGGTTAGCTGATACCTCTCTCCGAACATCACACAAAGTATCATGTGCAAAAAAGTACCACCTATCTTCTAGCCTTGACCTGGAGGTTTCATACTTAGGACCCTATGAGTACTCTAAAACAGAAGCTCTCGAGCTTCAAGAATACGAAGTTCATGTTCATATGTTGCCATGGGTGCTCAAGAACTGGCACCGACAGGATATGCGATCATATCCTGGACCACGGGCTGGGCTGTTCTTGATTTTGATAAAGTCTTCTCCATATCCGCAGAGTCAGGGCCTTATATTGGAAGCAGGGCTGCTGCAATCACTTAGAACCTTGCTGACTTAAGTTAGTGGCGCTTTTGTATATCCGAAAAGAATTATATTTCATTATTGCAACCTTAGTATTCTGAACCCTTGAAAGATATCTCCGTCCAGATGGCGGCAAAGCGTACGCAATCGTTTCCCGCATTTCTCTAGAAGTTGTCTCTCGTGAATGGATCTTCTCGCCGAGGGAAGTCAAACTGGAGCGGAGGATCATTCTATTCGACGTGTGTGACGCAGCGATATACATATGTCGCCTTCGAGAGTTCATTGTTCCCACCAAATGGCGATACCTATCGTTGCAAAAGAATCAAAGCGTCACCAGAGGGCAGTCAAGGAGAAGTAGCAGGAATGAAACCGGGAGATTCGAGTGTAGTTACAACCCTGATCAACCGGAGAATAACTTCCGCGAATCAAGCCCATCTGTAAAAAGCACAAACCACGGCAATGCAGCAAATGCTACCACGGTCATCCCCAGAGATAAGTACGCCGTATGCACCGGGATGGGATGATCTCTCGAAGTGGGACAGAGTGTGCATCCATAATAAATATATGTCCGCTTTAAGGCACTCGATAAGTGGGGATCCAGGTTATTTTTTTCTTTTTTCCCCTCCATTCCGGCAGGGATTTATGGAATGACATTCAGAGTTATTAGCAACGAGGTCCAAACAAACCCGATCATGAGAGAACCAGCAAAACCCATCTTCCATTTCAGGATCTAACATAATGTGTCCTCAACCCTGTTTCTTGTGGGAACTTGTATATTTTTAACATCACAAGCGGGATCGAGATCGAAATTTCAACCCTCTGCGGCATCAAACCCCCGTCGCATGGCACGGTGGGGTCCTTATCCTGGTGTCCCGGTGGGTTCAGCCTTCGGGGCTGCTTCGTCTCAGCTTCAGGGTCTGGATGTTCTCGCGAGCAGATCCGCGATGGAGACATAAATACTGAGTAGAGAGCACATATCTCGGCCTCTCATGGACGGCAACGTGGGAACGTGCAACGAGAGCGGTCTGCGGGACGGTGGTTGTTCTGTATTGATGCCTTCGGTACCTGCATGAATGGTAGCATGCCACATGTCAGGGATTGTGTGGTTTTTCCAACTGGTCTCGTGCCTTGTAGCAAGATCATAACTACCAACCTGTGAGGTTGGGTTTGAGGAGTATGTTACCATTCGAATAGAGGGCCATGCAAGCGGTGGCAAGCGCCCGAATAGGGAACTCGACGCTGGGCCCTCGATGAGGCTCAGCGCAGTCAGTGCCCGTTGCCTCGTATACGGAGGACTCTACGAACGATACCGTATTTTCTTTTTTCTTTAAGGGTACCGAGTATGTAAGCGTAATATTTCGAAAAACGAACCGCCACCAAATTCAGAACAAAAACGTTTTGTGCCAAGCAGCGGGGATTCGCAGGCTCTGATTGGTGTTCCTGAGCACCGGGACGGGTCAGCCAGGAACAAACTTCGCAAGGGAAGACAGGGAAACGGTGATCGTAGGACGTGAGAGGGAAACACTTGGACAGATGCGTAAATTCGGCATTCGACCTGACGGCGGCAGATATAACCGCATGGTATGGAGCTACCTGACCGCTGTTGTTCTGATTTCCTTCGACAGTGTAAGACGATGCGGTCGGGCATCGCGATAATTTCCACATCTTCCACACAGACACGGAGCGGTGTCAGATAAAAAGCCCACCCTGATGATGCGTCCACGTCGGCCAGGCGAGCATCCACCCTTCAAGCCAGCGACCGTCAGCCATTCTCCACCGCGATTATGTAAAGCTGGCCGAGGATGGTGCAAATAAACAGGGTGGCTTCTTGTTGTTTGTGTCTCACTGCCCTGCCCTGGAGCCCCCTGGACAATGCCGACCACGCTAACGAGCACCAGTGCAACGCTAGCGGTATAGCGGCCTCCACAGCAACCCCTTTGTGCTGACCACTCTGGCGCACAAAACAATGCGCTCCGGGCGCTCATTGGTGAGGCTGCGGCCTCTCTCTGGAATGGCCACTTTGGCTGGTCACTGTTCTGGGCACGGCGGTTCCCACCCTTTCCCCTGGCCGCCCAGGGATCAGCAGCCCAATCCTCCCCCCCGTTTCGTTGCCAATCTCCCACTTTTCCCGGCCAGCGAACCTCACTTCTCTCTGCCCCTTCGTCTCCCTCTCTCCCTTTCCTTTTAATCCTCCAATTTCCCCGTCCTGTCGCTCATTCGGCGTCTCTCACGACCTTTTTCGTTTCCCTTCTCTCGTCCTCTTTTTATCCTCTCTCAATCTTTCCGTCCGACCTGGGGGATTATCGCATCCTTCCACCCACGTTCATTTGGAAAGACAGCAATTTCCGAGTTTCTCACTCCTGAAACCCGTTGGTCCACCCATTCTGCGATCGACACCCTGTACAGTCTCAACCTCCAGAGGCAAAACATACCATCGCTTGTCACAAGCGTAAGTTGCATCTCTCTTCATTTCGCTTTGCCGCGGGTTATCGACATCAGGCTTTTTTGAAAATTTACTTTTTGTGATGGCTGCTGGCCTTTCTTTTGCTCATTGAGACTGGCTGAAGACGCGGAAACTTCTCACCGTCACCACTACCCTTTCTCTGGGTTCTCCTATCGCTGACAATGGCTGAACTTCCGCAGTTATCGTGCGTCACAAGCGTTGTAATCGAGATATTCGACTGGTCTCGATCCTCTCCTTGACAGTTGCTCTCCACAATTCGACGTCGACCGCTCTTTCATTGCTTGTCCATATTTTTGACCAACTTGTACAATGAAGCTCACACCCGCAATCCTGACGCTTGCTGCTGCCGGCTCCGTCGCGGCCAGCCACCATCAACATCGACATGGTCATGTTCATATGAAGCGTAATCCCGTGCCCACCAAGGTCGTGACTGTGCCTGGACCCATTGTCGTCGCCTACGAGCTTGATGGCAAGCCCATTAGCAAGGAGGAAGCCTGCAAGGGCATTACGGAGGGCAGTCTCCTCTGGGCTGATGGCGGAAGCTACCCTGAGGTGTGCGAGCCCACACCACCAGCCCCAGTCGACAAGCCCAAGGGCGGCCAGGAGTTCTATGAATCCCCCAAGCCTGAAGAGCCAGCCACGACCTCTGAGGCCGCTCTGCCTCCTGTTCCAACTCCTTCTGCTCCAAAGATTGACCTTCCCAAGCCAGAGCTCCCGAAACCAAAGCTCCCAGAGCCAGACATCTCCTTGCCAGGTGAGGGCGAAGGGCTCGACACCGATTTCCCTGATGGCGAGATTGATTGCTCTGACTTCCCATCGAAATATGGCCCCATTTCTCTCCATTGGCTTGGTCACGGCGGGTGGAGTGGCGTCCAACTCCCCAACTATGGTGGTGGCCTGATCAGCAGCATCCGAACTGCTATTAAGGGTGAAGGCTGCACTGAAGGAACTATGTGCTCGTATGCCTGTCCTCCTGGTTACCAAAAGTCCCAGTGGCCATCCACGCAAGGCTCTACCGGTGAGTCGGTTGGTGGACTGGAATGCAAGAACGGCAAGCTCCGTCTCACCAATCCCACTCTCTCCAAGAAGCTTTGCGTTAAGGGTGCTGGTGGCGTCAAAGTGAAGAACACGATGAGCGAGGTCGTCTCTGTTTGCCGAACCGATTATCCCGGTATGTGTTCCACAGCAGCTTGTGAATTTCTCAGCTCGTATTATTGACAAGCATTAGGAACCGAATCCGAGACTATTCCTCTCCTTGCATCCCCTGGATCGACTAACCCACTCACTTGCCCTGATGCCGGTACCTATTACAAGTGGAAGAACATGCCTACCTCTGCGCAGTATTACGTCAACCCCAAGGGCATTGGCATTAAGGAAGCTTGCCAGTGGGGTGACGGCAGCAAGCCAATCGGCAACTGGGCCCCGATCAATCTTGGTGTTGGAAAGAAGGATGGTGCCACCTGGATCTCCATCTTCCAGAACAAGCCCACCACCAACGAGAAGCTCGACTTCAAGATTGAAATCAAGGGTGACAACCTCTCTGGTTCTTGCCGATACGAGAACGGTCTTTTCTACTCTGCCACCGGAAGCAACAGCGATGGATGCACGGTACGTCCCCCGAGCCCCTATAGCCTTGTTAGCAACGCATATTCTAATTCTTTTTCCCATGACAGGTCCAAGTTATGTCTGGTGAAGCCACCTATGTTTTCTCGTAAATTAACCATCTCTAAGATGTAAAGAGGGGTTGGCGAGTTCTAACGTTTGTGGTGGCGTATCCTGGATCTATTCACGTATTAAGCATCCTAGTGACGATTCCATATCCCAGGAGGCTTATGGCATACCTTTTACTCTTTTTTAAAGAACTTCATGTATCATTTCCTTAGAGACCTTTGAACTCCACCACTTTAGTCTGTCATAGTATATTTAGTAGCGCTTTTCATTTCTTCACTGACAAGCCCTGGCCTGTGTATGCTGTTTGAGGTCAAGGGACATACCATCTCCAAACGTTTGGGAAGTCTTGTGAATATGGCTTCCCCGACCCGACATTCCAATCATGAAGGTTGCGACGGCGCTGAGTTCTCATCTCTGATATGCTTTCCGAGTCTGAGTCTTGGAAATGCTCTGCGTCACTCTGTTGAGAGGCCAGCTCCAGGAGATGTAAAAGTTATTCAACTTTGTAAAGATATGTAGTTGGCGGTGAAAAGGGACAACGGGAAGGAAGGCAGGGTTATTTACGTGCGTCTGTTTCCTCACGCAGTTTACAATAGACATCGCCATTACCACCAAGCCATCTGACAGCATAGTTTGTCCAAGAACCTCTTGCTTGATCAACTGCTCATTAACCTCATATGCATATGTTACCTCTATTAAGAAAGCAGGAGCCTGGGGTTGTGGCTATCCCAGAGTTTAACATAGCAAGCACCCAGACAAATTGCTGCGCTGGATGGTTAGTACATGAAACCACGTTAATAGGAGTACCTTTATAGCAGAGACCAAATGCCGAGCTTTAGTATGTACGTTGACTGGAAGGTTAACTGGCGACTGAACCATGGACTACGTATTTTGCATGAAAGTTTGTGCTGAAGCTTTGGAGGTCAAACAAAACAGGTGGGATTTCACCAAACATCCAAGCTTGGGGGGCTTGGAAATCCAATTTCAGCATTTGGGGTGATGATTGAAACAGTGGCTCAAATGTTTATTTATTGACAGAAATAACTTACAGAGTGCGCATCTGATACCATCGGCCGGTTTGCCGTAGTCGCACAGCGTGTCCAAGGATCGCCGAACAAACTTGATCTTGAGTCCAAGGGATATAATACCATGCTGAAGCATTCCCTGATTTCTCGGATTGCTTCTAGCCTAAGAAGACGGGACGGTAAAAAAAACATAGTCGCCCTTGCAGAGGCTCGAACTCTGGACCCTGAGGTTAAAAGCCTCATGCTCTACCGACTGAGCTACAAGGGCCAACCTGCGATGCCAAGATCGGCTTTGGCAGGATGTGGTAAGGAGGATTTGCCTTGAAAAAATTGGCAGCATATTCCCAGCCGCGGGTGCAGGGGTTCAGAGGCTGTCAAAAGCGGAGTCCTGTAGTTTCATATAAAGGCCCTTGACGATCCTGAGGAGACCCTGACATCTGAATGAACGTGTCAACATCGATTCCATGTGACGAGTCTATCAAATTAAATTACCAAAAGATGCACCCGACATATCCATACTAAATCAAGAAGTGGCCAACAACAGAATGCTACAATACATGTGTCCTAAAATCCATCTCTAGGAATGCCCAAACGCTTTTCTTCGGCGTGCCTCTCATTGGTGATCTTCCACCACCAGTCATGAGTCTCGTCCGCTTTCCCGTTCGCAGATCTTGCGATCTTTTCTTCATGCGACGCATGCTTGCGCCATTTCTCGTCCCAGGGCTTTGGACTCAGTATGAAGTGGATATTTTTCACTTTTTCATCCCTCCAGATCGCGCTATGGACGCCTTTCCAGCGAAGAGTCTTTAGCGCATTATATATATAGGGGATGGCGACCCATCGACCGGGAAACAAGTCTGCGAGGAGCGACTGGTCCGCAAAGTCATAGTTTGAGGTGGAGCTGGGGGTTTGCAGACATTCAAGAATGCGATTGTATACGCCCAGGGAAGGGTTGACAACTTGGAGACCGCCGTTCGGGATTGCGAGACCATTCGTTGGTGGTGCCCCCTCCACTTGCGCTTTATCTGGGGTGTTGTGCTGACTTGTAAATGCGCAGTGGGCTGGGGTCCTGGAAGGAAGTTGATGATTAGGAATGGCGACATTTCCAAGTGGTGCAGGGGGGGAAAAGAAACAAAGAGCGCAGTTGTACATACCAATCCGGAGGATAATGGGGCTTGTTCAGCGGATTGCAAACACACGCATGACTGGCAGCGAATACCCTAGTCCCTGTACCACCCAGCGCGGGGCTATCCAACTCCAAATCCATCAGTTCATCCATGTTCTGAAGGATCAGCATGTCGCTATCAAGCTGGACGACGCGGTCGTATTCCACGAGGGAAAACGGCGCCAATTTACTCCAACAATCATAGAAGCGGGTGTCATTGCTATAATCTTTGTGAGCCGATGGGAGCAAGTAAGGGATATGGCGCTTCGCGATACGCCGTGCGTCTAGCGCCGCATGTCCTTCGGCCGGAAACGAATCGGTATAGAGCGCAATTAAAGGATACTTTGATCCAACTCGTTTCAAGGAATATTCCAATGTCAAGAGGCCGGGGAGGTAATCGGTGTTGGTGATCAGAGTCGTCCACACTACTACGTCTTAGGGAGGTAGGCATTTGAACCTGGGATATGGTGCTCACCTACCCTTCTTATATCCCAACGGCTCTCCGTTTCGGGCTTTCATTGGAATATGGCTTTATCTTATCCTTCCTTTGTCCCAAATCTGAAATCACCCCGACATATCCATCAAAACGGAGGCTGCAGGAGAAGGAAACGCAGCTTTTTTAAGATTTGCAATTGCCTCTTGAGATCCAGAAAAATTAGCAACCGAAGGTGTCATAAATTGGGTTTCCTCGGCAATATATGCTAATGTAAGCTTAAATGTTTGCTAGACGAAGTTTTTCCGGCTTTCACGGGAGGGGCAGTTTCGCGGGCCGGTATCCCAAATTGGAGGGTAGTTGTCAAGCCGGGAGGCCGCCCATGCGGCGAGCAGAAAGGAGGAAGGTCCAGGAGGCGCATAATGTAGGACAGAAAACTAGACCAAGGAGGGACCCAAAAAAGCAAAGCAAAGGCGGGCGAAAAAGCGATCGGGTTGAGAATGACCGAAAGCATCCGTTCTTATCAAGATTGATAAGATCTGGATGGCGGAATTCCGCGCGATACATGCGCTAATCCTAACCGAAACTAGCTTCCTACGCACGTGCCCGAGCCGGTGCTTACTAAGGCGCGGTTTGATCTGCCAGCTGGCGATTCGCCGGCGCGTCTTTCCGCTTGTTTGGACGCGCGACGGCTGAAGAGCAGCGATGTTGACGAGATGCCTGGCCTGTTTCGCTATTTAATCTGACCAATTGCCGAAATGATCACTCGACCTTGGTCATGCGAAGCGAGTCGCATTTCCTTTGAGTACTTAGTATGTCGTTTCGCAGCGCGATTTGCAGTTTGTCACCAGCCACCAGACGCGTAGCTCCACCAGGCGTGCGTCAGGACAGGCATTCCCGCTTATCTACTAATCCTGACCGTGACTTCTTCCCACAACGCCAGTCTCTCCCTTCACTACCCTCTCTTGACCCCTGAGAACGACATGCTTGTTGCATTGCTCGATCATTCCATCCATTTAATCCTTTTCTGCTTAGTGTATTAGCCTTCAGCCCATTTATTAAGTGTTTATTCTCTCCCTTCCATTTCTCGTCTGTCACGTACCGCGTCTGTCGTATTTTTCTCTTTTTTTTTTTTTCCCTTCTTTTCTTTCCTCCTGTCTCCTGTATCTTCTGTGTTTATTCAGCCTTGATTTCTTAGACATTGTCTTAAAGGGTCTCTTGCAAGCATTGCGGCTCCCGTCTGGTCACCATGGAGTCTTCACCTCCTCGACCAAGTGCCGAGCTCCTGTCCGTGGCCGGCGTGAAGCGGTCCGCGTCTCTCCTACCCCCCTTCGAGCCTTCTTCCTCTCCTCCCCTTCCTCGCCCATTGAAACGCCTCGCACGCGATGACGATAACGGTATCTCGACGTATCCAACCCCCATGCCGACCTCTTCGACCGCCATAATGACTTCTTCTCCCCCACGTGCCCGACGCGGTCTGAAGCGTACCCACTCAATGGCGTCTGAAAGGGCACCCTTGTCGACAGTTCCGTGCATAATGCTGAGTGAAAATGGAGAGGCTGTCACGATGGGGCGATCCAGCCTCTCTTGCAACTACCAGCTCTCTGCCAACCGCCTAGTGTCAAGAGTGCATGTGAAAGCTACGTACAAGGCTGCCACACATCCACTTGATCGAGATAGGATAGAGATTCTTTGCACAGGATGGAACGGCATTAAACTGCATTGTCAAGGGAAAACATACGAATTGACCAAGGGCAAGACATTTACTTCTGATATTAGAGATGCAGATGTCATGATTGATGTGCAAGATTCACGCGTACTGCTCCAATGGCCACGTCAGTCAAGAAAGGACTCGACTTCCATGCATTCAGATCAAACATGGGAAGAGGGCTCTCCTTCAAAGACCCTCCAACCTCGTTCACCCCGTTCTACAACGTCGAGCCCCCTCAAAGGTAGACAACGGCTAGCTTCTCCCATTTCTCCATCGCCTGCTATTCAAGCGTTAGGGGCTTCGATGGCTCCATCGACCCCCTCCCGCTCCTTGCCAAGCAAAGTCATTGTTTACGAGGATGAGCCATCACCGTTGGGTCGAAGCAAATCAACAGAAGATTCCATGTCTCAGAAAACACAAGTTGCCTCCCAGCCACATGGTCATAGCCAACAAGACTCCCTTAGTAGCTCTTTGAGCAAATCCGAAGACCTATCCGAACACGATGAAGAGAACGATCCTATTGTATTTTCTTTCGGTCCCTTTGGTGCAAATATTCTCCCGAGAATGGCTTCCTTCCGTGCTGGCGAATCTCCAGTGCGCTCTACTCTCGAGAGACCTAACACTCCATCCCAGCCGTATGCACAACTACCTCCAAAAACGAACGCTCTGCCCGAATCAGACAAGGAGGCGATTCAAAATCATATCATCAACCAGCTGGCATTTTCGCGTCTGTCTTCAACTCCATTCTCGACCATTGTCAAGAACCTCCCGTCAGATCTCATCGGCAAACTCTCATCAGAACGAGCCCTTGTACCAACAATCGCAGTTATTTCTATTATTGAAAGTACTCGCTGTATCGGAAAAGTGAGACGGGAAGGAAAGGATGCAGCTGGCAAACCATTGGAGAGCGAGTATTACTATATTCCTGATATGGATCAGGACGAAAATAGAAAGGAAGCAGTTGTGAATGGCCTTCGCAAGCCTGGTCTGAGGAACTGTCGGAAGCAGCACAAGGTTCGAATATTCAAACGTTTCTTTCCCGAACTTTCAAGAGGATTGTTGTGCTAACATAATTGTCTCCATAGCAATATTACTGGAGAAAACCGAAGACCCCGTAACGCTTCGTCTTTCTGTCTATGACGCAAAAGTACCAATCTGGTGACTTTCTTTCGGCCCTCAAAGCACCGGCATAGCCTTTATATGACACCGACCCCTGGTGTTTTTACCCCTTTAACATACCACTCTTCCTTTTCTGCCCTAGCCCAATATTTGTTTGATAACACTTTTAAAAGTTTTAAAAGTATCTGTAGGTCAGCTACAGTTATTATTGTACCCCTATTGTCTGAGAGTGCCCTATTAATTCAACCTTCCCAGATTACCCGTTTGTCTTGAAGCCCCTTGTTACATTTTCATGTATTCCCCAACCCCACATGCCACCTTTTACGATGAAATCCCCTCACGTACACCCCGTTTACTGTTTTATGAGTAAAAGACGCAAGAATTACCAATTTCATGTACATATTTCCCCCCGGCCCCCTTTTCCCCCACGCTCAGATACCCCATAAATCCGGAGTACCATCAGGCAAATTTTTGACAGCAGCTTCCGGAGGGTTACTTAGTCTTGAAAGTGGTCAGACGAGGGAATGACTATCTAGGACACTGGATGTTCCTACGAGGTGTTTCTCTCCAAGCTGTAAATGAGCTTCCACGCAATGTATCTCCTTAATTCTTCCAAGTCAAAATGCCTAACTTCACAGAATCCAAGCTCATTCGAACTGTTTCTTAAGGTTATCATAAACACTTGCTGGATAGTCCAGACAATTCCCGCTTCCATCCAAGCCCGCTGTGCCTCCCAATCCGGCTATGGTAATATTAATCAAGCTTCTCTCGTGGTTTACAGGGTGATCACCGCTGAGTTCCCACCACATAGCTCCTCCTAGTCCCCGATTACGTATATATTCTGCCTTCCGCTGCGCCATGTGCGGGGTATCGTAACTGATCATTTTTTTCGCGCTGGGCGAGTAGCTCCACGACGCGAGAAGCTGGTCATCGTTCTGTTCTTCGCTGTCTGGCTGCGGGAGTGCTTTATAATCCCACACTCCGTTTTCCCAGGACCCTTCACCCACGCCCTGGAATGGAGATCCGGGGCCTTGGGTGTTCTCGAACCCACGGCCGTATAGTGGGAGACCGAAAATAATTTTACCCGGATGTATACCGGCGGAGATATACGCTGATACAGCGATATCGGCGCTAAATGGCGTGCTCTCTGGTGAGGATTGGGATGGGAAGACATTGGCCATGTGTCCTGCCGTGGAGTCCCAGCTCCCTGCAAAGTCATAACACATGAGGTTCCAGAAGTCCAGGTAGGGATCCATCTCGGCCATGCGGAGCTGTGAATAGTTTTTCGGGCCGCAGGGCGCTGCGATGGTGAGGAGGAAATGTCGTCCCTGAGCGTATTGGGCTGCGTAGTTTTCTAGTGCCATTCTAGTTTCGTAGAGAAGGTAGACAAAGTTGAGGGCTTCGGTATCATTTTGGGGATATTCCCAGTCGATATCGATGCCATCGAAGCCGCAGTCTGCTAACAGTTTGACGGCGCTGCGAGCGAAGGTCTGGCGACCTTCATGGGTTGCTGCGGCCCGAAAGTTGGATGAATAAGTCCATCCGCCGATGGAGAGGAGGATTTTGAGGTGACGGTTTTTCTTTTTGAGGAGGAAAAGCTGCTTGATACAGCCATAGGCATTGTTGCCCTGCTCGTCCCAAGAATCTGAAGGATAGTGCTTCTCTAAGTCTGCATACGTATCGGTCAAGTGGCTATGAGATTGTTAGCATATGTTTCGAGATTTTAAACACGGGAGTTTAGACATACACTTCCCCGGTATCGCCGCGAATATTGGCAAATGAATCTGTATGTAATAGTTAGATCGTACCCAAACTCAATACAGAACACCTTCATGTTGCATACAGAGAATGTGTGTAATATGGCTCGCTGGAATGTTATTAGGCTGATAATTTCGACCATAGATACCCTACCAGAAAAGGATCAGACAGTTAAGCACAGTTTATTGATGGTAGATACCCAGAGATATAAATGGCTTTGGCGGCGTACCCAATTGGTAAAATAAGCAACAGTTTTGTAGCCCGCTGGATTAGAGGGAGCCGGGGTTGCCGCGGTGAAAACAGGGCCACGGGACTCCGCAGTAGCAGTTGCGGTAGACATTTCACGAGCCGGGGCTGTAGCGCTGAAAACTGGGCCGGGTGTATCTGCAACAGCAGTGGTGGCAGAGGTTTCAGGGGCTGGATTAGGAGGATCCTCGGCCGGAGATTGAGAGAGGTTAAGGACTTGACCAACTTCAATGATGTTGGGATTCGCTATCTGCGGATTGGCCGCAATTAGTGCGTCGAGTGTCATGCCATGATCATTGGCGATTTTCCACATGGTATCGCCGGAAACGACTGTATAGGTAGACATGATTGAATAGGCAAAATCAACACTACTTGTTTTACCGATATTGTATACTCCTCCAGGAACGTACTGGCAGCACTAAGAGAGAGACTGCTGTTGGAATTTAAGTCGACAAGCAAGCATTGCCCCGCCACATTTTATAGGGCTGAAATGGCCCCGCGACGCTCCACACGGCGATGAAACTGGCCTATCACTTGGCGTGAGAGCCACACAGCCACAGTGAAACGCGAGGAGGGGTAGCTTCAGCCACAATTCAGGGGCTGCCTCGCTCGTACTCTGTACGGAGTACCTTCACGGCTTTCCCTCCCGTTTTCGCTCTCCGGCCATGCAGCCGGCTGAGCGGGAATGACTTGCATTCTGAGTAGACCTGCCTCAACGCGTTGGATATCCGCGGTCACGTTTCCTAGCTGCTGTCCTTCGAGCAGAGGGCCTTTCTTAAATTTGTCGAGGCAGCTGACGGGCTTGAAATTCAGATCACCGTCACTGTCGCTCGCGCTGGAGGAGCGAAATGAAGTTGGAATAAGCTATCACGCTAAACTCATTTTAGCGGCAACTCTCCAAATGGTCAACCAGACAATCATTGCCTAATCTAGCATACAGCCAAACTTTCCACGAATTGAGATACCGTAAGGTCCAGCTATGTAGAAGAAGCTTCGCTGACTACTGTCTATCACATGTTCCACGTAAGTACCATCCAAAATATAAGCTCTCTGCCTTCACAGTACATCCTGGATCCCTGGAAGTCAGGGACTTGCCTCGCAATGGCCCACAGGAAAGAACCATTAAAAGCATACTCTTTGCAAGAGCTTGGGTCCTTGTATGCCCGCTTTCCAAATTCCAAGGCATCAACATTAAAGAAACGTCAATTTCTCAATGTCAGCCGTCTTTAGAAGGCAGAGTCTTGGCCCACGATGTCCTGTGCGATTTCTATTACATTGTGCAAAACTGCAAGGGGATTGATCTTCTGATTTCTTCCTCCATTTAGGACTGTTGCTGATGTAAACCAAACGCTCCAAAATTGCGGAAGCACTTGGCGGCTCTCTTTACATCTCATCTGGGCAGCCGCTGGCTCTTCTCTTTAATGTGTCCTTTTGGTTTACTCCTATTGAAATTATCTCCCAAACAGGTGGAACGAACCTTCCTCGGCTACCTGAAAATAAACAATGACAAGTCGCAGGCAAGGCCGGTATTTCCGTTCCTCATCTCTCCGTGGAAACACTTTTGAATTAGAAAGCAAAATACACTAGGATTACAATTTTTGTTCGTGTTGGTGACGAGGTCAGCGAGCTACATTTAAAGTGGCCTGGGAGGATCATGTTGTATATACTTGAGACTTTGCAGTTAATACAGAAGAGGTAGATCTTGGATACTTAAATGGACAACTATTTTAATTTTAGGAAAACCCCTAGTGGCCTGGCCTTTGAAGATGCATAAAAGCCCACTTTTGATTGCCAGTTGCATGTATGTTAAGACCAACTGAGGGGTTTCATGCTCGAAGTTAAAGCACCCAATGGTGGGTTACTTATTTATTCCACTTGGCCCCCATGCACGGACGTTCTACTACAGCCCTTGACAGAGGAAGAGTGTATTATAACCTACAAATTACTTATATAGCATAATACAAAGGTATATACCACATCACTCCAGGAGCATCTTTTTAGTACAATCCATATTTATATGAAATCCAAATTATCCAAATTATCAGCGTGAATAAACCGACGGGCTATCATAATCATAAGCAACATCAACTTCAAAGTTTTTAGTCTTTTCCCTTGCGATAATAATGGCTCTTTCAGCTACGATTGCCAACACCGCGAACACACCAAACCCGGTCGAAAATATCAATACTGGTATTAACGCCCACCGGCTCGCCTCCTCAAAAATACATTGACGATGGAGAAAGCTGACCTCGCGACCCATAGAGGAGTGCCAAGAATATATCTCGCATGTCCATGTTTCTGGGTCAAAGATACCATGATCGTACGGATTAGCGCGATGACTTGGTTCAAAGTGGGCGGATAGATGGTGGATTAAAAAAGTATGTATCAGAGCCCCCAAGCTGAAGAGATACTGTACGAGGAGTATTGAGAGTATGAGAATCGGCGAGCGGGTTACCATCTGCTTTTTGCATTAGATTTGTAGAAATCAGGGTTTCTCGATGAAATGAGCACTCACCAGCAAAGGCCCTTTGCGTAGAGAAGTCGATACAAGTATGACAGCGATCAGGGAGAGAAACAAGCAAAGAAAGCCGCTGCCCAAAACGGGTCCGATCGCTCCGTCATCGAGATAGGTGGGGAACATAGGAAGAGATGGACTGGTTTTTATATCATGACGGTAAGAGCTTTCAGCTCCATGTAGGAGTATAAAGTCTTTGCGAGGAAAGAAAGCAGCGCTTTTGAAGATGAGTGACAAAATTGAGCTGAGGCCCAGCAGCAAAGCGGCTATCAAGAGAAGAAAGAGATGAATTCTTGAAGGTGCGTCCGAGGACATAGTGTGTTCTAAATGGCGTTCGCCATAAAACTAGAGGGAAATCAAGCTGAAGGAAGAAACGATTTGTGATAAAGTGTCCCAACCAAGTCTTTGAAAAATAGAGCGCAGATGAGGGTTGGAAAGACAACTATAAAGCCTGATGACTTTGCTCACCCCTGTAAGCGCATTTTCCTTCGTCTGGGACAACACATTGAAAAATGGCACCTAAGGATCGGCGTGCGCCCTGTTTCTATGATATAGCCCGGTCTGATTTCCGTATTCGGAGGATTGGGGGCCGGAGAGATCGGCGCCAAAATTTTCGGATATATTAACGCACTTCGCCTTGAAACTGCGACTCCGTTGGCGTTGTGGATGTGTATGTGTTAAATTAACTTGGTAAACTGGGTGACATCGTCCAGAATCTTCATCCAAGGGCCTGGACTGTTTATACGAGACAGGCACTTCAACTTGGGAAAATCTACCGCTACACACGAGGAAAGGACTCCTGTGTATGATTGTATCGCATGATTTGCACCAGTTTTGTTCATTATCAAGCTAAGCGTATAAGCTCGTGGGGAATGACTGCAGAACTTTGACGAGACGACGCAGTTACACGACTCGATTTGTGGCATCCTCAATGACAGGTACAACGTGCGCTCGCAATCTTATGCAGGCCAATGTTGTCTCTCGATTATAGTGTGGATTCAACTGGAGAGCCGAGGCGATTCGAGACCATCGTCCACCTTTCCTTCCTGGAAGGTTAGCGACCGCGATCCCTTTTTGCTGAAATGTCCGGATTCAAATAAAAATGGCCAAGCCCGCTCCGCGCCAATCGGCTTCGCGACCCCTTGGGGACCTGCGCTATTCCCTATCTGGGTTGGGGCGAGCGCGGCGCCAAGAGAGGATTATGTCACCCGTCTTTCGTCTCATGTCTTTCACCGATCTTCCCTCGGCTCGAGTGCGCATCTCCACCGTGGATGAGGCCTGCTCCAGGAGATGGATTGCGGGGAAGACGTGCAGGGCCTTAAGCCGTGCCGAAAGATAGTCAAAAGAGCCCAATGGTTGACAGGGCTTTATTATTCTCTTGTGCTTGCAGATGTAATCCTGCCGTCTGCCGTGCCCTCGGCATCAAGGCAATCCTGGCTTGAAATGTCTTCTGCCATGTTCCGCAGTTATAACGTAATAATGCTTGCTATAACTATGTTCAAGGCACTCCACAGCATATTTCTAAGAAACAATTCGTTTCTTTAATGTGCGACTTCCTTTGATTCTCTTTTTCTGGAGTCCCTTGAACACTTCCATCGTCATGGCCCCTAACAACTATGCCCGAACCTCAGTCGGCAACAAGGAATATACCAAGGCTGCTGTTGTTATCATTGGTGCTGGAATTTCAGGTAAGGCAAGTTGAGCTACGCTTGATGGCCGCCGGAATTGTAAAAGACAGACGTATAGTTACTTATAGTCGCGTCTTTGCTCCAGGACTTTGTACCGCCATCAATCTGATCAAAAATAATATCCACAATTTCGTCATTCTCGAAAAGAGTGCCGGTCTCGGGGGAACCTGGCGAGATAACAAATATCCGGGGTGCTGCTGTGATGGTACCTAATCCAACACCTGTATTCGCGGCCTGAGAAATTAATATTCCGCGCTATAGTTTATTCCCACTTATACAGCTTCTCTTTCGAACAGAATCCAGATTGGACGAGACTGTATTCCGACCAACAGGAAATTTTGGTATGGACCAATTCATTTTTTACGTCGAAGCCGCTAACCTTGTCAGAACTACCTTCGAAAGGTCGCAGCGAAATATAACCTATACCCATATATTCGGTTTAGCTCCGAGGTGGAAGAGTCACGATGGGATGAGGTCGAAAAGAAATGGTGCACAAAAGTCAAAGTGATTGGCAGCAAAGATGTTGAATTCGGAGAGGAATACTCCATCACCTCGGACTTCCTGGTGTCGGGAATTGGTCAACTCAACTATCCCCAGTATCCATCGATTCCCGGCATTGAGACTTTCAAGGGGAAGATGATGCATTCTGCCAGGTGGGATTGGAGCTATGAGCTCAAGGATAAGAAGATTGGCATTATCGGAAATGGTATATGAGGATAATATTTCTCTTCTTGTGGCTGAGAGCTAACAAGACCCTTGTCAAGGTGCCACCGCTGCCCAAATCGCCCCCGAAGTTGCCAAAGAGGCTTCTCATCTTACCATCTTCCAGCGAACACCAAACTGGGTTGTACCTCGGCTGGACATGAACGTCTGGAAACCATTTCGGGCTATATTCAGATACTGCCCTCCGGCGCTGTGGAGATTACGCGCATCGATAATGGATTTCCGCGAAGCTGTCCATGTTGTGATGCGAGATCCCAACTCAAATACTGCAGAGCTGATACGAAAAGCCAGTTTGCATATTATGCACAAAGCTCTTCCCAATCAACCCGATCTATGGGAAAAGTTGACCCCGGACTATCCTCCAGGATGCAAACGCATGATCCTGAGTGACGATTACTTCCCAACCCTCGCTCGTGATAATGTATCCCTCGAGACTGGGCATATCGATTGTATCACTGAGAAGGGAATCGTCATCGACGGCGTCGAGCAAGACCTAGACCTCATAGTCCTTGCCACAGGCTTTCGCACCGTCGAATTCATGCACCCGATCAAAATATACGGTAGGGACGGAAGACCATTGAGTGAAATCTGGGAAGGTGGTGCTCGTGCTCTCTATGGTGTGGCAGTCGAAGATCTTCCCAACTTTGCCATGCTGTATGGCCCCAACACAAATCTCGGCCATAACTCCATCATCCTCATGATCGAGGCCCAATCTCGGTACATCCTTGCACTGATCAAAGCCGTCCTGCGCGCAAGGGAGTATAACCAAGGCCTCGCCATAACTCCGAAACCGGGCAAAGTCGAAGAGTTCAATTCGAATCTCCAAAAGGCACTATCCAGTACCGCATTTGCGTCGCCAGGCTGCCAAAGCTGGTATAAAACAGCTGAAGGTTTGATCACAAACAATTGGTCTGGCACGGTGGTGGATTATCAGAAACTTTTGTCAAAACTAAACTGGGATGATTTTGATTTGGAGGGTAATGGGGCGGAAGCGATGCGTAAGAAGCACGTTGCGAATCTCGGTCGTGTTCGGGAAGAATCTCTGCTGGGATTTAAAAGTTTGGGTGTCACCGCTGCCCTTGCGATTGTGGGCACGCTGGCATATAAAGCACCTCACTTGCTCCCAAGATGGCGATGATCGCTGGAGATTCCTTTTGATAACTGGATTGATGTGATATTTGATGTGATATTGTATTTATTCATATGTTTGCGCCTAATTTAGAATACCCTTCACTTTCGGAGATACAGTCAATGGATTGGTAACACACTGCCGGGGCGCTCAAATTGTAAACGCGAATGCTTTTCCAAAGCTGACGATTTATGGTATCCAAGGTGGCTATCAGAGAATCAAGAGGTTTATCAAAACGATGTATTTATTCTATATCACGGATGCTGCGATGCATTCTGGAGCACAACCAAACCTTTCGGACTTCGAAACCCACAATGCCAGTAGGGCTAAGCCAGTAGCAATCGCTGTTCTATTTGACACTCCGGTTTTGCAGCAGATGGCTAAAGCTTTTGGCTTTCTTCCTCATTGTCCCCAGTTTTATACGGATGCTATTTCAGCCAATCGGCAGTAGCCGAGCGCAGAAGCGTCCGGATTATCGGATCAGCTACACTCATGTTGCTTAGGAGCTGCTTTGAATGGGTGGGAGAAGCTTTGTTGACGAATCCGACGGCGATCGATACCAGCCGAAGTGCGATCCAACCAGAGGAAGATTGGCTGGGATAGCATAACGCAAATCGTACGAGAGCTCTTTTGCATACATTTCAACTATTCCCGCGCTGTTACTAGTCTTTTCTGAAGCGCCCGTTCGCCATCGAAGATTTATACCGACGGTGCTGCTCGCCATAATATTTGTCCATACCAGCCGAAGCAGTTTTGCGGCGCCTTCATGCATTGTTGATGAGGAGTTCGAAACGGGGAGAAGGAAAAGGCTGTCACTCCTATCATACGGAGGAAGTCTCTCGATTTGTAGTAGCGGACCAAAAGCCTTGCTTAATACTTGCGCTATAACGCCATATGGCGCTGCCATCGCCAGCAGCTCGCATTTGGGGCCGATCAACAACAACAAATCAAACTTTCCGGGGGGGGGGAAGCCTTTGAAGCCCTCGCTTGGGCTTTTCTGACTGGGAGCTGATAATTTAAGCCGCTGATGTCAATGCCTCGAAGCGAGCGAAAGTCATCCCAACCTCGTATAAATCAATCGCATTTTTGCCCAAACAAACGAGAGTGAGGGTCAGAGCAAAACCCTCCATTCTGCTTTCCTTTCAAGCACCGGGAATGCGTGCTTTTTCTCTGGAATTTAATAACTAAATATATATATAAAAAAAAAAAAAAAAAAAAAAAAGATATTAGTAGTGTGAGTTGGTTGAGAAGTCCTCGGACTGGCATGGCGGGACGAAAATAAATTGGAACCAGCCCGCTAAACCGGGTCACTTCGCGACGTCAAGACCTTGATAGACGCGATCTGCCTCGCCACCTACTGGCAAATCGGCGTTCAAAGGACAGCGGGCTCACGAGATCGAAATCAAATTTAAACCTAGCCATCAGCCCAGCGAAGTGTCTCTCATTCAAGTTACCGATGGAGCACAATTGATCTTGAAATAAATATATAAAAAAGATATTTATCAAAACCCTCAATCGTATAATTAACGAAGAAACATCCCACGACATACCGTTTGCACTTTCGAGTCTCTCAAGCAGGGAATGGCCTCAAAATCAGCAGCGCCACCCAAAGAACGTACCAAGTCACAGTTTGCCGCGGCTGAGGCTGCTTCGTCTGGGAACGTGAAAAGTCAAGGTTGGAACCCTCCAAGCCTCAAACAGTCGCAGAGCTGGAATGAGCAGGATCTGAGGCATCATCTACAAAAGAGATTGACGGGGTTAGAAAAGGGCAGGGAAGCCGGATTTACAGAGATCGGTGGGAAGGCTATCAAAGGATGAAAAAGTCTCACATGGAATGGCCTGTGTTCGATGACATGTGTTTCTTTTCTTTTTATGCGCAAAATTTCGCGCTGGGGCTGAATTTTACAAAAATGCTTTAATCCATGGACAGCATGGTAGGTTCTCCGTTGTTTTCAGCGTCATTCCGTCCCTCTCAGCTCCTGTTCAGCTTGCTAATGACTTCGTGATAAAGGCAATGGATAGGCGGCTTGGTTTCGCGCTGTTCGGGAATTGACGGTCTTTGAGTGCGAAATCGGGAGGCTGTACATCCCGCCGGCTGTTATGCGACTATTTTCCTTCTTAATCGCGCTTCATGGCAGAAGTTGGTCTTGGACAGAGTCGTGATGCATTGCGCTGGTTGCCGCCGATGTCGTGACAGGGTTGTAGGAGTAGATAACGCTAGTCACCACACTAGTTAGTTAGTTGCACCTTAAATTGGAGCTTAGATAAGCGGGCATCTCAACGCCGGCGTTCGATGATATGATGAGCGGCCGGCGGGCAGCGAGGTCGAACCGCACATCACCTTGCTGGGTCTGACCTAACTTAGTTACCCTCAGGCGGAGCCTGAATTTATTTATCTATTTCCACTATACTTATCCTCAGCTCAGTACTTTGCAGATGTGATGTTGTAGCCAAGCTGCGGTTTCCTCTGCATTCCTTCGGACTGCTAAAGGTTATCGAGAATCTTCAAGGTACCTGCAAGCTCACCCTGTCATTCGTCAGCTCATCAGTTCTACAAGCTTCACACTTCGACCTGCGACCGATTCTCTTCTTTGTTCACTGCTCCTACAAATGCCCAATGCGGCCTCTTTCTCAGTACTACCTTTTTCTTTCGTGCTCCTTAGAAGATACCGGGTCGCTCGGGGTTAAATTGCTCGCAGACATTTCGACTAATCGGGGACGGAGGAGAAGATGGATCGTGCAAGGAAGAGTATGTGATCTGCATTTTATAAACGAGTATCCAAGAAGGGTCGCTAATAATGATTTTTCCAGGAGAGCTGCGTGACTCAAATATAAAGGCTTGGATCGGAGAACCAGGTACCGTCGTCGTAACCCCGCAGTCACCGTTGCTTGTATGGTAGAGCATGAGAATTCGCAGCGCTAAGCTAAAAGCCATTTCTATAGATGTTTTTCTCGTCAATAAATCACTTGATTCCTCCTTGAAGAAAAACACTGCCTTTATCAAACGTCTTCGAACCGGAATCACCGCTTCCGCTCAACCAACCTTTCTCACGGAGATCCGGACCCTGTCTTTACATAAATATCTCTCAGAAATTATATCTGCTTTCTATGAGGGTGCTTGCAAACTCAAATCACCTGGAGAAATAGCAGCGGGGGTCGAAGTTGCTAGTGCACTGCACCAGCGTTTCGGTCCTCATGAGTTCACAAAGCAACTCGGCTGGCTGCTGGGCCGCGGTATGAGCACGCCAGACAAGGCACAACTGAAAGCTTGGACGCAAGAAGTACGAGAGAAGGAAGAAAAGGAACGTCTTGTACGGCAACGTGTTTTGCTTCGTGTCGTATCGGAGCTGTGGCTGGTGGGGCTTCTGCGCACCCTGGACGATGTGGAACGGCCAGAAGATTTAGGGTCGAAGGGGAAGGATGGAACACCCACAGCTGGTAGCAAAGTTTCCGATGGTCAGCTAAAAGGTAAACAATCACATACTGCGCCGAAGGCCAGCCAAGACAAAGATGCAGACCCGTTCCCTTTGGAGGTTATCAAGGACCTACTCGGCTATGATCGTGAACATCAGAACTTGCCCCTTGCTGTCTTGTTCGCTAAAAACTACGGTTGGGATATCATGGGCATCAAAAGAGCAGACGATGGTAGGAAAAACGTCGATCCCAGCGGTGAGACAACAGTGACTAGCAAAGAGGCCCCTGAGGCCTCTGGCGATGAATCCATGGTCAATATTGGTTCAGCGGATGACCCGCCTCTGGTATCCGATGAGAAATTGCAGACCCGATTCAGGAATATCATGATCAAGTACCTGGATGATGTGAAGAAGCATGTTGTTCGTGATCACAAAGCTCTGGCTGCCTTGAGCCGCCGCAACGCCGAGGCGTATGTGAAAAGCGGAGAGATTCTGGAAGACCGACAGTCCAACTTTGAGAAACAATCCAAGGCCCAAGAAAAACTGGTTTCAAACACTCAAATACTCTGCGACATTCTAGGCTCGGAGATGCCGGAACTGGCTGAGAAGGAAGGTTTAGACAGCCTCAGTAGTGGAACCATTGGGCTTGTGAAGACTGGCGAATATCTGCGTGGACAAGGCGAAGGGCCAGGAATCTGGGAAGATGAAGAAGAGCGTCGCTTCTATGAGAACCTTGTTGATCTGAAGGGTAAGGTTCCGGCGGTGCTGCTTGAAGATGGCAAGAAAAAGAAAGGCGAGGCCGATGAACAAGCAAAAAATAAAGATGCTGATCTGCCAAACGGGGTCACATCCGAAGATAAAAGGGAGCGGCCGGGACAACCTGTCGAAAGTACTCCTCGAGAGACGGACGACCAGTCAACAGCTATCGTTAACAAAACCGTTGGTGCTCAGGTTGATACCCTATTGGCAAGGCTCCCGGAACTCCAGCATAAAGATGCCGTCGACCAGTTGGCTTTGGAATTTTGTTTCCTAAACTCCAAAGCCTCGCGAAATAGGCTGATAAAGGCTATGCAAGACGTCCCAAAGGGCCGTACAGATCTACTTCCTTTGTATGCTCGATTGGTGGCAACCTTAGGCCAATATCTTCCTGATATTCCCCAAGGTTTAATTTCATATTTGGACGAGGAATTCCGCAGCCTCCAACGTCGCAAGCAGAAAGAGTTCCTCGGACAAGTGCGCACGAGTAATATTCGATATCTCGCTGAACTCACCAAATTTGGTGTCGTGCCTGAACATGTCATATTTCACTGCTTTAAGGTCAGTCTGGATGACTTTTCAAGGATGAACATCGAGATAATTGGCAATTTGCTTGAAAACTGTGGTCGGTATTTGCTACGGAACCCGGAGACTGCACCGAGAATGGCATCCTTCCTCGAAACCCTTGGACGGAAGAAAGCAGCTCAGCATTTAGGACAACAGGAACGAATGGTACTTGAAAATGCTATGTACTACGTTGACCCTCCCCCAAGACCAGCCATACAGCAGAAAGAGCGCACTCCAATGGAGTTATTCGTGAGAAAACTTGTGTATCTTGATATGAACAAGCGCAATTATCCCAAGATTCTCAAGTCGGTTCGAAAGCTACACTGGGAGGAGCCGGAGGTGAGTTAAGTATACATCTTTTTATGGATCATAATGCTGATAAGCATAGGTTGTCCGCATACTTGAAAGTGTATTCAGCAAGCCCGCCAAAGTCAAGTACGGCAATATTCACCTATTGGCTTTACTTGTCAGCGCACTCTACCGCTATCATCAAGATTTTGTTGTTAACATTATTGATAATTCTCTCGAGCGGATCACAATAGGCCTAGAACAGAACGATTTCAAATTTAACCAGGAGCGCCTTGCCGACGTCAAGTACCTCGGAGAGCTCTACAACTATAAAATGGTTGATTCTCCTGTGATATTTGATACTCTATATCGTATCGTTACTTTTGGGCACGGTATGCCTTTCCCTTAAAATTCCCTGCCACCCACGCTCACAATTAACGGAATTATAGAGGGTGGCACCCCCATTCCAGGCAAAATCTGTCCCCTTGATCTTCCTGACGATTTTTTCCGCATTCGCCTTGTTTGCACGATGCTTGATACTTGTGGCGTTTGTTTTGACCGCGGTAACTCCAAAAAGAAACTGGACTTCTTCTTAACCTTCTTCCAGGTAAGGTCAAATGATTACACAATTAATCAGGTTGCTGATCATAGTAGTATTATATTCACACCAAGGATCCTATGCCGATGGATATAGATTTCCTCGTACACGACACATATGCCCTTACTCGCCCCCAATGGAAGCTTGCAACCGACTTGGAAGAGGCGGCTCGCTTATTCAGTGAAGCCGTAGCGCAAAATTACAAAGTTCAAGATGGTAGCAAGGCAGCCGAACCTGAAGAAGACGGTGAGAGCTCCTCGTCAGAAGATGAGCTTGAGGACGACGCTCTTGGAGAAGGCGAAGAAGATCAGTTTTCGAGTGAGGAGGCTGAAGTATGTTTCCCATTATTTATTCTTGCATCCACGGCTCGACTGACGAATTTCTAGGCTGCTGTTGATAACACTGATCAAGACGCCGAGCCTGAGTCCGAGGAGGAAGAAGAGCGAATAATCGTCACTCGACAGGAAGAGGAACGCGATCCTGAAGCGGAAGCAGAATTTGACCGTGCCTTTGAGAAGATCATGGCGGAAAGCTTGGAATCGCGTAAATTCGAACGCAAAGCAATGTTTGACGTACCCCTGCCAATGAGACGTACAACTCGCGAACCTACGGCAGCTGAAGATCGCGAAAACAATGCAGCAGCGTCAAACACGATGGCATTCTCACTCATGACCAAACGAGGAAATCGTCAGCAGGTAAATTCCCGTTATTCTTGTAAAATAAACAAAGTACACTGACGATGCCCCAGACCCGAACAATTGATCTTCCATCGGACTCCAGCTTTGCGATTGCTATGAGATCTCAGCAACAGGCCGAGCGCGAGGAGCAGCAACGCATTAAAAACTTAGTTCTAAACTATGACCTTGGAGACGACAATGACCTCAATGATGGTGAAGCCCCCAGCTCTCTCCCCAAGTTCTCAATAAGGCTAGCAGTGCTAAAGGATGCAAAGGCAACGAGAAGCGTACTTCTTCTAAACCTGAGAAGGCGAGTACTAGTCGGGGTTTTCGTGCCCGTAAACTGCAGCTTAGCGACGTCGATTGGTAGCTACCACAACCAAAAGGGGCACAGCCGGCCCCAAACGGGCTTTTTTTAGCCTCAGTTGGCAGTTGGAAGACCAACAATGCCATTCACTTGCCAATTCAGCTGCATGCGCAGGAGGAAAATTGGTTTGCCCATTGCGCCCGCAAATTCGTCCCTTTCAGACAGGTCGCGTCAAACGGACTTGTACCCAATTTGGCGACTGCCGAAAGCACCTGTGGCTTGCCTAGCGACTTAGCATGCTATTATTCGCGGAACGCTTTGCCCTGACGGTCTACGCCACCTTTATTGATAGCGCCATGGCATTTCGCCCCCGCAATCGTGTCACTAGCTTGATGAGAACCCGGTTTAAGATTTGATACTCTTAAATCCTCAATTCACTGTCGCAGCTGCCGACCGATCGAGACATGGGCGACACTCTATTCGTATTCGTAGTGTTATTGTCCTTAACCTTCGTTCGATGGCACTCAGCGAGCAACTGTAGGCAAGGTTGCGCTTCGTAGCGTTTGAGAAAAGGTTTGGTTGATCACTTATGCGCTATCTGCCTCTGGTCTACCATGAAAGCTAGCCAGTGGGATGTGGAGGAGGACAAATTGAGAACCAGGCAAAAAGGAGCCGCAGATAGATTGATAATTGAAGGTTGATATGCTTATTTGAAAGCTACAATGGCCACTCTACTTTGTAGAAAGAGTAGGTTGGCACTTAGCATGAAAAAGAAGAAACCTGCTGATGCTCCTCGGGTTCGCGGGTTGTTTACCGACAGTGTCTCAACCTTCTCTCCACTGACAAATCAGCGGAAAAAAAAGAGATATATGGTTAGTACATAGGATGTTGCATTTATTCGCCCGCTTCGAAATGACAAGGACTGCTAGTCATTAAATGAAGGTCACACCCGTCCATGAAACTTCAACCAATCTGCTAACTCGACAGTAAATAACACCGGCGCAGTCGTCCTAATCTCAACCATATCGGCACGAATATGATTACTCGTGCTGACTTGCCCGCCAAATTCTGTCTTCCAGTCATGCACGTCCCACTCTAAACCTTCTGTGTTTATCACAGAAGGTCCACCAACAGGTATTATGCCAACATTTTCCGATAGGTAGCATTTTTCTGGACATTCTGAGATGGGCTTATCTCCATCTAAAGCGCTATGGGATCCGGGTATTGAAGTTGGGGCTTTCCAACGAGATTCAGCTTCCAGCGAGTTGCCACCAGGCGTGAAGATGGTACTTTTGCCTTCCGGAAGCAGAAATGTAATGCTCTCTTCTGAAATCAGGTACAAATCTCCGGCGGGCTTATCAGCCGCAGACAGGGACGATTGAGACGCGGTATAGAGATGGTGGATTTGAGAGAATGCTTGGTCGACACGGCCACCTAGGCCGCCCAGCACGAGCACGTCTAGATGCGGCTCGGTTCCGTTGTCCTGAACCTCAGATTCCGCTGTGGATTGGGGAGGCCCTGGAGATATATCTGAGGATACAATGGTCCTAATGTTGGATTTTAGATGTCGTAGGCACTTGGTAAAGTCTGTGGAATATTGGTCTGGGTCTTCAAGCACTGGGACACCTAGATTCTCGTAATGTTTTCGTACAAATGGACGAATAGAGTCTAAGTCACCCACGATGGCATTTGGAAGCTACTGGTATATCGGGTTAGCAGCCCCATCCGTGGTGGACAAAATATTTTAGGCATAGGGACAAAGAGAGACTCTCTGCTCACCTCCGTGGACTCCGTCCCGTTTTTCCTCATGAGCTCATAAAAGCGATTCGCGCCGCCATCAGCGCAGATTGTAAACGACGCTGTTACACATAGACCAGTTAAAATCTTGCTTTACGAGGAAAGGATATAATTACAGAAATACCATGCTGCTTCAATATTTTATACGCATTGGGGTTGATAGGCTGGTTCAGAACCAAAAGCGCGTAGGGTTTCGATCGAGGTACTGATTCGAAGAACTTTGTTGGTTTCCACTCCATCTCTCACAGACATTCGGATACTGGACAATAAAACAGATCAATTTCTCTGGCATACCTCCCTTTCAGTCGTTCGGGCTGCACTGCTTTTATATCTCTACTCTGTACGGAGTACAGAGTACAGAGTAAAATCGTCTATCGATTTTCTATCATGATTGATTGATGATTGATTGATTATGTCATCCACTTTCCCAGCCACTTTGTCAGCAGCTACAGGTGCGAGCGTGTTCTCACGTGATTGCCAGCTCACTCATGTGCTCCAGATACAAACTAAACAAACACCATAGTTAACATGAATAAAAGATTTTTGATATAGCAGATCAGCAAAATGCATATAGCATGATCTTTCAATATAAGGTGTGGTCAAGCTCTTCAGGATTGTGGAGTGTAAAAAGAAGCTATATTGAGAGATTCTGGCCTTTTTAATTTCACATCATCACTATTCAGTAAGGATATACAGCCACTACTCTGTGATTAATGGAGTGAGGACTACCTACCATCATTATTACATCCGCAAGTTTGATTTCACAGAATTGGATGGCAGAGAGAGATGGGCATCCTATAAATTTGTGATGGGAGTTTATGCTGATTGGGCACCTTCACATCTTCAGAGACTCTGTTCAGCTATTGACAAGCTACCAGAGGATTTGAACTTTGAGAAATCACAACAGTCTCAGAAAGCACAGCAGACCAAGCTCTTACCTGAGCTGAGCTTCTCAGGAATGACTGAAGTCTCACAGTGAACTGGAGGCTTTGAACTGCTAGACATGAGCTTTACATCTCTACCTGATGGTGAAAGTCAACCAGCTCTATCTAGCTTGCAGGACATTGCTTCGCAAGCTCCAACACTCTGTCAGGATAAAAAGGGATCCGCACAAGCGTTTACGTTGAAGAAAAGACGCAAATAATACAAAGGCTGTAGTTCAGGCTTTATTCAGTTCCTGCCTCCATTTTCCTTTTCTTCATGCCATATTTTGTGCGTGGTGATCCTAGCTCTTCGCCTTTTGTGTGAATCGGGCCATCAGCCACCCATAAAAGGCAACAACACGACTTACAGAAAGAAAATAGATCATAAAGTCCCTGCTTCAAAGGATCGCAGTGCAGAAGGTTTAGGTGGCGGATGTTCACAAAGAAAGTCAAAACAAATTCTAGGAACTGCCAAGTGAGACTTTGTGGGTGTAGTGCCAGGGTGCTTTCCGGGCTTCAGTCACAGGAATCGTCCGCGCCCAAACAGACAAGCTGGTTCTTTGATTGACAGTGATTTATGGTCTATTGTCAATGATCTCTTTGTTGGCAGCCATTGGTAGACACAGCATTATGACCCGGGGGATACAACTGTCTTTTGTTTATTTCTAGTCTTCTTCCATTTCTTTTTGTCCTTTTGTGGATATATCTTCCCTCAGCCTCACGACGTATGCTTACCTCCTTTCCTATTGTTTCTGGGCTTTGTCACCCAGAACCTGAGCCAACTCGAAATTAACTTATCCCTTCTCACATGTAGATAGATAGATGATGCTCTCTTTCTCTCTTATTCCCCCCCCAGCCCACGAAAGAGACAGACAGGGTTTTGGCTACGATGAATAATAGAAACTCGCATGCACACAGACAAGAAGCAGTCACCTACATAATGATTTACGCAAATTCACTACTATTCTCTACCTGACACTCTCAATTTAGGCCAATCATTTCCCCACAGGTCATTCACTTTTAATGTTGCATGATATGGACACCATACCAGGGTGACCCGCACATCCCGTGAGTCGGTTCCAAGCCCTTCCGTCATTCCAAATCTCAATAACAAGTCCTCCACAAGTATGTACTTCATTAGCTGCGTACATCTCTAACCATTTCCAGTTCGCCTTGCCCAATCTTCCATAGCCTGCGCATATCCTGGGAGGTCCTCACCGCGGATAACACAGCGGGCCCGTCTCTCAGGTATAATCCGTTCATACCTGTCGCGATAAATGTTCATGTCCATGGCATAGTTTTCATCAACACGATGTGCGTATTCTTCAGCCTTGAAGCGAATGCCACCTGGAGGCTGCTGCCCGCCCTGCAGGAAGCTGATGTATGCGTGTATCTGAGCTTCTGAGAGTTGGAAGATCATGTACCTGCCCACAAGGTGAATGAAGATATCCTTACACTAGGATTGGAAAATGATCAAAAGTTAGTGATTATTTATTTGGTTAAAAAAAAAAGGAGCCTGCAAGGGAAATATAGGAGGGACTTCTTACTTCAAACCCTGTCTCCCCACGATCAAACAGAACAACCCCACCAAACAGACGGTACTCCACCCAGTAACCGACAATATCAGCAATTCCGTTAGGATATTGTTGCCAGAAACCGTAAGAAGAATGGTAAAGCTCCGCTGGCAAAGCTTTACGGGGTGGTGGTGGCGGCATGTTGGGGAAGAGTTCATCATGCCATATGATGGAGTCGGGGGGCTCTGGCTTATGAAAGCCTCCATCATAAGCCTGGTACAAGTGGACAGCAATGCCATGGCAGAGGACAGCAAGAATCTCAATCAGGCGCAAGTGGAATTCTCTTGATCCAGGGTTAGTGTTTTGGAATGCTTGCGCAAGCTGCTAACTTTTAGTATTTGTCCTCCAAGATAGAGAGCTTGGGGCTATGAATATACTACCTTTGCACTAATTTGAGTATTACCAAGATTTAGATTTCGACGGCAAGACTCAACAGCTTCCAAAGCTGCATTGCTTGGATGAATATTGTTCTGGAAGCTTTTGCGAAACTCATTGAATTAATCTCGATAGACATCACACGTGGGACGGCCGTCAACAACTTGGGCAAATGTCTCTGTGGCCAGATCAGTGGAAAGGATTGTCCAGAAAGCCTGTTGTAGAACCTTGAAGTGCTGTGGAGACAAATTCTCCAGCCCAACTGTTGCCAGGCTTTGTGTCGATGTCAGATGCTCAGGCATGGTCTTGAATTCCAAACATCACCAATAAGTGGACAATGTTGAATGTGATGATGAATGGAGAAACAGTGCTTGATGCAGTTCAGGCTGTGAATTCACGGAAGGAGGGGAAATCTTTGATGCCTGGTCATGTTACGCTACGCCTTCCGTCTAAAGTATGTGTACTAGTCAGCCAGTTGTAGCTATAGCTTAGTTAGCTGAAAATCTGGTTAAACAGTGAATGTGGCTTGGTTTCAATATCATTAAGAAGGGAGACTTTCTTGATATCTACTCTACAGTCTGTACAGAAGTCTTTATAGCTACTGGAATAGTCTTCTTTGAACCTGACTAGGTCATCCAGCAGGTAGATATTCAGCTCCAAATCCCTACCCCCTCAAGTAGTCAATCTAGCAACTCAGCATTATTCTGAATCCTACAAACACCTCACAACCCCTATCAGTTGCAAGGCAGGGTGATAAGGTCAAGATTCTTATGGAGCAGGGATTTAAGAGCTAGCTCACCACAAGACTTGATGGAAGGATTTAATCAAATTATCAAGATCTGTGAATACAGGATGGTTAATGTCATTATTATGAAGAAGCAATACCAGGATATTTTTGCAGTAAATAAGAAAGAGAAGCAAAAGTGCAAGAGATCTACTTACAGAATTCCACATGAAGGAGATCTAACTAGAGAAGAAGCTCAGGATCTCCTGCTGAGCCTGTTGAACAGTCTGTTATTCAATCTTCCAATCCTGCAGCTTCTGAGCCTGCACTATGCTTATGAGCTCCATCAAGGTGCAGCAATTGTGGTTCTCATGGGCATAGAAGAACAAGATGCCCTAATCCTAGTGTAATTTAATTTAATTTAATTAGGTGTTGTTGAGCATATATATTTCAGGTTGGAATCTATTCAATTACTATGGCGATTTTGGTGTCCCGCTCGCTTGGTTGTCCCGCTCGGTTGTGGAATACGTTACATAATCTTTTCGGCATTTCAGTTTTCTTTGTGCTTAACAATCACCAAATCTGAGGGCAGAGACGCTCATGTCCAGCCGGCTTCATTCTTCTCCCAGGCGCTCACTGAGCCTTCTTTTCTGTTAATTTTGTTAATTGCTTAATATACTTGTTTCTTCTTCTGTTGGATCACAATGTTCAGGTCAGCTTCGCGAACCGTTCTCCGCCAGACGCATCGGCTCCGACTTGCCCAGCGCCAAGCAGGGCGGAGGTTCGTAAGCACAGTACCTCCGTCGCAGAAGTCGCGAAGTTGGAAAAGCACCGTTGCGAGGTGGGGTCTAGCTGCTGCTGCAGTGTACTATTACAATACAAGCACGGTGTTCGCGGAACAGCCTTCTCGTGAGCGCAGCACCGGGAACTACCCATTCAAGCGAGCGCGGTATGCTGACAGTTGACGACTAACGCGGTCAGGAGCAGTCGCGCTCAAACCAGCTTCCGAGTCTGAAGATGAGGAATCCTCTCTGCCCACCATTGAATCAGTCGCTGCAGCTAAGAAGCGAAAATCCGCCTCCCGAACTCCCGCCCCTTCATCCCCACCATCGCCAAAATCCGACTCCAAACCCGAAGAATCCTCTGAACCTCCCGCCCCAGAACTTAGCGGCGCCATTACGGAGACTGAAGAGTCCGCTCCAGCTGACGTGCAGCCGCTTCAACTTTCTGCCTCCGAGCTTGAGCAGGAGGCTGACCAGGAGGGCGCATTCAATCCTGAGACCGGTGAAATAAACTGGGACTGCCCTTGTCTAGGTGGTATGGCGCATGGACCATGCGGCCCAGAATTCAGAGAAGCGTTCAGCTGTTTTGTGTACTCTACGGAAGAGCCGAAAGGAATGGATTGCATCGATAAATTCAAGTGCGTATTTCCCCATATGTTTCCCGGGTGGTAGTTTAGGTCATCAAGGATGGTCGCTAATCAACGCTGGAATATAGGAATATGCAGGATTGCTTTAGACTCCACCCGGATGTTTATGGCTCCGAATTGGAGGAGGATGAAGTTGACGAACAACTTAAGGAGCATATCGCTGCAGAAGAAGCTCAGAAATCTCAGTCTTTATCTGACGCGCCAGTCGATGCCGCCGTAGCTGAGAGCCAAGAAAACAGAGAAACCGAACTGGAGAAAATCCAGCAAATACCAGTCACAGAAGAGAAGATCACAAAAGACAAGGCTAGCGAGCAATAGTATCCCCAGCTCTCCTGTCTCATTCATGAAGTTCCCTTGATGCAAGCGGGTTGTTTTTCTTTTTTTATCTGACCTCTCCAAGCTACCTCATTCCATTTGCCCCATATTTTCTTTTTTTTTTATAAACTTCCTGTTCGGACAAAATGTGTACTTCACACTGTACAATACACTTGAAATAGAGCTGGCAACAAAAGCGCTATGGTGTTAGACTCTTTGAAGCAAGAATGCATTATAGAACTTGCGAGCCTTGTCATTTTAGTCAACACTCCGACCAACTTCATAGAGAGTCCAAAAGAAATTATAAAAATAGACGACCGGCTCAGGCCAGAAAAGAGCACAGCTCCATACACCTAGGATCCCGAACCTCAATGGATATTATATACATCAGTTTCGCTCTGCTCTTTTTCGCCGTCCCTAGTCACATTCTGCATGGATACGGCTCAACACAATAGTGAAATAAAAAATAAAAGAAACAAAAGCTTCCAGACCCAGCATAAACCTCGAGACTCCGAGGAAATCAAAAGAAACACTCGAAAACAGATCCTGCAAAACACCAAGAATTCACTCCCAATTGAAAGATCCAAAGACGCACATTCATCTCACAGCTAAGTACGCTGCCTGTGTTTCTCGTCATTTTCTCAGAATGGCCTCGTACAAGCTACCCAAAACGCACAGAGCAGACCCAGTCAGCAAGCCTGGCAAACCACCAGGCACAGAGTCAGAAACCTTGCGTACAGAGATCGGGTTATATACGTCCCAAAAGGTAAATTTATTTGCGTACACAAGATACGACACCAAAGCCTTAGAAACATTAAACACCAAGGGGTCAAAGTTTGTCTTGGAGGACGCTACTGCCGCCTGGGCAGCCGACGCGCGGCGAGTCCCATATGAATGGCTCGGTGGCTGAGGTTGGGACATTTTTAGGCTGATATTGAAAAAGTAGGCGAATATAGATGGGAGAATCACACTTGTTGTCAACCACAGCGAAAACGGTGCCCAAAACTCTCCTGTCAATAGGGCAAATACATCGGGAATCTTCACTTGGATGGCGGGAGTATAGAGATTCGGCATGGGCGGGATAGTCGTCAAATAGCGAAAGGGAAGTATCTCGCTACCCAGGCCGTAGATTTCAAGCATGAGAATTAGGCTCTCGATTGTACTCACGCTGCTGAGGCATGAACGGAGCGCATAGGCCCGCTCTTTGAGGCCCGAAGCGACCCATGCATCCGAAACGGATTTGCGGACTTTGGTGGTCTGCTCCTCGATGGCTTCCGTCACGACGGCGGGAGACGGCGGGAGAGAGGAAAGAAAGCCTAAGGCTGGTCGCGATGGAGTGTGAGCCTCCATAGCAGAGGCAGACGGAGATCTGCTTGCCTGAGAGGCTGAGCCAGACTCGGATTCATCTCTGTAGATAGGTAGTTAGCAATCCATCGCTACAGCCCAGAATGTCCATCGATTCGCGCGGTCAGACGTCGCGTCGCATTAAATGAAAGAACAGCTTTGTGAGAAAACGGGAAACTAACGTGGCTTCAACCTCCTGCTTCGGCTTAAGGGGCCTCCTAGAGCGTGTCATGCGTTTCGAAGGGGAAACGCTATCGTCCAAACCCGATGGGCCATCGGGCTTCGGTTCTCTCTTGATCGGCGACGAGCGTGGCGGCTGGAGCAAGCGCCTGTAATAGTCGCTCAGTCTCTGTTCCTTCGAAAGCGTGGTCCTATTCGCGCTCAAATGCTCGTCCAGCGCTGCCTCGAGTTCGGGTTTCTTATAATCATCGTAGCTACCAACGCCAGGTCAGAACTTTGCACTTCAAAGAATGATTCCTGTTGCCCTCACGCCTTGAATACCAGCGCGATGCAAAAGAAAGGAGAGGAGAGAGGCAGATGTTACTCTTTCAGATCAGACACCTCGGCTAGGACGAGAAGGTCGCTCTTTCGCAGAGCGCGAAGATACGGTAAAGCTGCCGTCATTGTGATGGAAGTCGACTATATACCGAGTCGCGGTAACCATGCGACTCAAATGAGCAGATTTGCGGTGACGGTTGTCTATGTATGTGTGTATAGTGAAGAAATGCGATGATAGGGACTATTCGCGTCGCGGTGAGCGATCGAGAGTGTAGGGAGAGGGTTTGTTTGGAGAGAGTGGGAGGGATTGGTGATGTGACTTGTTTACATTTTCCGGCTGATCGCCGTTAAAGTTGGCTTAGCGCGTTTCTCCAACACCATCGCGGTCAACCATCAATGAGCCCGCTGATCAAACAAAACAATGACGATATCATCATTGACATTGAAGAGGTGATTTTATTCGCATCTAAGTTGCAACACCATGCCTAAACGCGAATCGATGTTCGATGTCGAGCATCGCTCCACTACCGACTCTGGTCGACTCTCGTCTATGTGAGTCTGCATCTATGTAAGATCCAAAAAATCAGAGATAGTACTGTACAACGGGAATTTCTATAAATCCGTAACCCAGATATGCATGTCTTAAACCCACTCCGCAAAAAAACCACCGAAGAACGCCCTGCTGTATGTCTGCGCACCAACAACCTAGAATAGTCCAAGACCCCACCGTGATCCAGATTCATTTCTCCTCATATCGAGGACGCACTGCTGAGCTCACGTACACCCCAGTAACTCTCCATATGTTTCAATAGGAATTGGTAGAGAACAAGCATAGTGCCGCTTTGCACACTTGTCCAGAGAAATCGGGGACCGACGCCACGGAACCAGCCCAAGAACCCTTCGGTCTTGTAAATCAACCTCAATCCGGTGACCACAGAAGACGTATCTAAAATTAGGGCCCCTGGTTTGACAGTAGACGTAGAAGGTGATGACGTCGATATTAATCTTGACTGGTGAGTATGCGACGCCGAAGAAGACGGGGTGGAGGATGAGTGCACGTGTTTGGATGACTCCTGGAACGCAGCCTTGACGTCGGTAATGCTGGGTTTTGAGTGGTGCGAGAGCGAATCAGAGTGTTGCGTTTGTATTCGTGTCTTGACAACGTCAAGAGGACATGTTATAACTCCGGCCATACCGCCTGCGCTGGTGGCCGTTAATATCTCCAACGGTAATCCGATATCTCTGCTCCCTACGCATTCTTTCGCAAACTTTTGCTCCTGCTCGTAGAACGCGAATTGGAGGGCAGAAAACGGGAGGTCTCGGAAGAGGGTGGCTTTGAATCCTGAGTACAAAGCAAAAAATCCCTCTTCTTTTATAATTGTTCGAAATGCGTCCAATGTCGATCTATAATTGTAACCAGACTTGAAGAAAGGGTTGTTATATCTACCCTGAAGTTGTAACCGAGTCTTCAAAACTTCTGACGGGACGTATACAAACGAAGCAGCAAGATCCGCAATGAAGCCTGATTACCACGCAAATTAACACAAAAATGCTCCATTCCACACTGTAAACAAGGGGCGGGTGATCGACAAGTCTTACCTCCAGCAAGATACGCTAAGGAAGGGTTAATTCCCGCATCCAGCATATGCCGTTTGCTATATTCGTACGTCCCAAAGAATATGACCGTTCCTGGGAAGGATCCTAACAATGCCGGGGTAACTCCGCTGTACAATCCTCGCCGAACGCCCTCCTGCCGAAATATCGTAGTGTACGATGAAGACATGGATGTGTACTTGGGGGGAACATGAGGGTCGCCTTGCTGTCTCGTCTTGACAGTATCTAGCGAGTGCATCAACATGTCACCACTGGTTCCTCCTATCCCACCAGCGAGCATCGACTAACACTTCAGGTTAGCATCCGGCTTACAAAGCCCCACACAATGCCCATTCCCACAAAATATTCAGAAGCGCAGGGTGACAAACATGCAAGTAAGGTGGTCTGTATTCCTGCTCATTCTCCTCATACTCCTCTCTCCGTTCTTCCGTCCTCAACCTCTTCGCCCTTCTGGAATCTTCAAACTGCACCGCATCATACCGGACATGCGAATCGCCCGCGGGCGCTAGCAAGTCATAACCGAGCGCACCACTGCCGGACGGTGGAACGGAAGAAGGTGAAGATGAACTCGTCTGGGTCGATGAGTCTGCTGTCGTCTTCCCGAACAGATTTGTCACCCGCGACACCAGACTCATCGCCGCGGGCCGCCGTGCTGTTGGACGAAATCTCGCCCAACGTGGTCCGTACTATCAAAATTTACAACCCGAGTTCAAGTTCCAGGCAAAAATGTCGCTGTGGTTGAAAGGTTATGTCGTTTTGGTTGCTTATTCCCCTCCTTCAGAAAGACTGTCGCGAGATGTAAAACGATTGAGTTTGCTCAAAAAGAGAGAGGGATAAATGAAAGCTAAAGAAAAGGCATGCTGCCAGGATTCCAGCGACAGATAATATGGGGGCCACAGCAAACAAAGCGCAAAACAAACTGGGGCCGCTTGACCTTCGATAATTGCAGTGACATATCTCCAGTTTTCCCAAAATTTCGAGAGAAGCTCCGGAGATTTCAGTTTTTCCATATTTGGAGCTTTCATAGCGGAATTTCATAGGTCCGATCAACTCTTGGCACTGGGAACGTTGAGTCCAACCTTGTGCGAGTACTCAAACGCACCCCCCCGTAGGCACCGAGTCGGAGGCTGTACGGAGGAGAAGAGCAAGCAACTTGAGTGATTTGAACCGTGGCCCCTGCGATCCAGGATCTCATCTCTAGAAGTCGGCGAGGTCCAACAAGCTAACTACGGAGTGCGGAAGTACAGAGGAACGACAGCCCAAGAGTGACTGCTACGAAAACTAACCAAAATAGGCATCCATGTTAAACACTTTCACTCATTCTTGAGTAAGTTGCTCTGATTGATTTGGGAAAAAAATCTCCTCTTTTATCAAAACAAGTGAGACTTGCTTATCCACCAAAGGTAGCCGGCTGCAAGAGAAAGAAAACCAGTGCAGTACCACCTAAGGGACAAATCGGGCACCATGTCTCGGACCTACAAAATTCCGTTTATTTTTTTTTTTTTAACTCCGAGCTCTTGCGAAGGCTAACCAATCCCCTCCGTCCGGACGCCAGGCAAAATTAGCGTAGAAATTAGCGTGTACAGTAGCGTATTTAATACTGGAAGTCTATTGGAAACTGGTGTATTTGGCTGTATTTGGCGGTAATCTGTAATTTATTCCCTCTAAGCCTATTTTGGTTATATTACTCCGTACAATTCCATAGAATGGAACTCTTCCCAGCAATGCTGAGCAAGCATGCAGTGATCTAGGGACCTGGCCTTTCTTCATTTGACCCTGTTTTTATACTGACACCAGGCACAAACTGCCATAGCTGACAATGTACGGAGTTAGTTTGTGAATGAATAAGATTGTATTTGATCGTTGTGGTGGTAGGGGGTCAGCAGATTTGGAAGGAGAAAAACACGTTTTTGAAAATCAACAAACACCAGCTATGAACGTGTTTTGCTTAACCAATAGATTCCCATATATTTTAGTGTGTGAACCTATTGGTCAGAAAAACACCATTAATACTGTAGTTTGTAATCTGGTGCCAAGGCACTAATTTTGCCTGGCGGCCGGATGAGGGGATAACATAATCATTAATCTGTTCCGTGCAAACCTCCTATCTGTCAACTTCCCTTAGCCTCTTCCATCAGAAATGTTAGAGAAGCCTGGTTTTATTAATGCTGTTTATCGACCATCAAAGCTGGGGATGATGGTATTACAAGGTTTGCTCATAAAAGCCCTACCATCTATCAAGATGATACTAACGCCAATTTCAGCTTTTCATGTGAGATTTGAAAACCATCATCCTTCACACTCGGTTTAGAATAGTCCGGTCAATCCTTGGATCTCTGGGTCCAACTGTTGTCAGGGTCAGTCAGAAACATGTTATTAAGGCCGTGCCAACTCCCGGAACTTGAAGCACTTCTCTACATTTCAGAACACACCACTATTCCAATTCCTCAAGTTCAGTGTACATATGATGGGCCAGGAGACATTTATATCATGATAGATCACATTCAAGACACAGATCTTGAAGTCTGAAGCCCAAGGAAAAGGAAACCATTATCAATGATATTGCAGTTATCTTAACTCAGCTCTGAGCACTTCATCCTCCCCAAAGAAGAAATAGTTGCACCTGCACAGGGCAGTGCCATTCTTGATTATTGTATTAGTAGTCAACCAGTTGGCCCATTTAAGTCACATCTCAGCTTCCACTCTTTTTTATGGGGTGGTGTTCCACTGGAAAACACAGCCAAGATTTATGGGGACAAAATTGCATCCTGTCATAGCAACAATTATCAGACATTTTTCTCACATTTGGATTTAGCCCTGCAGAATATTATCATATGCCATGGCAGAATTGTGGGAGATGTAGACTGGGCATTTGCAGGCTGGTACCCAGAGTACTGAGATCTAACAAAGACATATTACAGTTTGTTCAAGGTGCCAGACTGGCCTGAGAGCATCAAACTGAAACTTCCTTCATACATGGACAAGCTCATGGCAGAATGCGTTCTTTGGAGATTGTATGATGAACCAGGAAACATTTCACACAACTAGTTTGTCTCTTTATAATCACAAACATGGCCCGGACTAAGGTTGGCCAGGCACTGATTGGCATAATCCAATGTCCAGGCTTTGAATCTTTCAATGTCAAACTTCGGTATCACCAATGCATTCTGCAGAGTTGATATGACACTCCAGACCCAATGGCAACACCTTTCTCCCGATTCCTTATCCGGCAGAGCAACACCTCTGAGGATCTTCTCAATATCATTTTCTGTCGTTTGCGGAGGAAATTTTCCAATCATGACCCGGTATTATTGCAAACAGCATAATGTTGTTGTCTTTTAATCTTGCAACCGGCCTAACATTACCACCTTTCAGATATCATCTGCTTTCAATGTTGCAGCTGGCATGACATTGCTGTCTTTCTTGTATCAACTATTTTTGATATTGCAACTTGCATGACATTGCTGTCTTGCAGATATTGTTTACAAGACACAGGCCCGTCTGCGGGAACATAGGTGTGGCCAGATATACATGGACAAGCAAATTGCTACAGGTATAAAATGTTATTAATTTTTTATTTGAGGCGGCATTGATATATAACACTTGCCAAGCTTCCTCAGAACACAGAAGAAATGAGGGAGCTGAAAGAGAGCTGTTGAGAATATAAGCTCATCAAACATGCCGGATGCTCGAGCAAAGGAGTGGTGGAAACCATCGGTTTCACGCCAACAGTTCATTAGTTGTATAAACTATCTATTCGACGATGGTTGTTGAATTCCTCCATGCTCTTCCGGTATCCCTTCGCCTCTCCCTTACTAAAAAGCTCGTACAAAATTAGATGAGCAATCAACGTTGTTTGATAGCCACGATTGGAGTTGTTTCCCTCGCCCCAATACTCACAAGCCCCGCGCTTGCACACTTGACATACACGACGGAAAACGCATCTGGTTCCGACTTGCAGTTTGGCCTACTCGCTGGGCAAAACGATATGCTAAACTCGTGTGGATCGGAGCCGGAAGTCAAAATCCAAACACTTGATAAGGATCCTCGGCTCTTTTTCAATGTTACTTCGCCGTCAAGTACATTTATATGCGGCTCACAGGGTTCCAGGAAAAGCCATATCCTAGCATGCCTGTTGGAGAATTGCTTAATCCCGTCACGGGCAGGGAGGCTTTCCAACCCCCTTACAGGCCTCGTATTTCACTACGATACATTCATCTGCGATACAGGAGGGCCATCCCGTGAAGCAGCATTCTTGTCCTGGAGTTGAGGTTCGAGTGCTGTACTCTCCAACCAACGTGGAAACAATTCAGGCAGGTGTTTCGAACTCCTCTGTCTTATATTGTAGCTAACCTGGGTTGCAGACCACCTATTCTGGATTTAATACTGTTGTCGAAACGCTAAAAATCGATCAAAAGGATCTCAATACAAAATGAATGGTGGATCTAATGGCAGTTGGCCAGGATGACGGGCCAATGCCACTTTATATGCATACATTGAAACGGATTTTGCAGGAAATGCGAATTTCACAGCAACAGTTGGGTACCAAGTTCAATTATCGAGAATTCAAGAAAATGGTGATGGAGTCTGGTTTGACTCCTGCCCAGCTTGAACTCCTCAAGCAACGTTTAGATACCATAGAGAGCTTCATGCCGCAAACACAAATCGCGGCTTACAAAAGAATTGGGAAAAATGATGCAAGAGGCTCAGACTGGAGACCTGTAGTAAGAAACCATGCGGATAGGTCTGTGGCTTTGCTAAAAGTTTCTAAGCCAGGTCGATTAACTGTCCTTGATCTCTCATATCCCTGCATTTCACCGGAAACGGCGTGGCTCACTTTTTAACATCTGTTTAGAAATTTTTCTTGAGCAGAATCCAGACATTGGCAGAGTAGTTGCCTTGGACGAAGCACACAAGGTTAGCAAAAGCATTTTTTTTTCCTTTTTTCCTTCTTTCATTCTTTCATGTTATCAGGATCATCAGTTCTCGCTATAAATGACATCCTGACTTGGTCCAAGTACATGAATTCATCTGCGGAAGCCCGTGCATTTACCAACACTATGCTGAGCACAGTTCGCCTCCAGCGGCATCTTGGCGTTCGCATAATCATATCTACCCAGGAGCCAACCATATCATCTGCGCTTTTGAACCGGAGTGGCTGCGAAGCCTGAACCGACATTTATCGCCTGAGTTGGAAACCCCCAAAGTGGGTGGATATCATAGATGAACAAAATTTGAAGGTTGCTGGCGCCCTATAGTGCACTCAGGGGCACTCAGGCCCTCAGTTTTGTGATAGGCTTTTTAGGGCACAAACAATTCCTACTCTGATTAGAACCCATCATTTCAGCCCTGGCAAGTGAGAACTTCATGGGCTCAAAATGTTGCTGGTCAAGATTTTCTGCCAATAACAGCATATCCTGGTTTAAATGTATGTCAATACCAGCTATGTATACCAGTTTCCAGCAGATACTCACCAACACCTGTGTCTCTTGCAAATTGAACAGGCTTTGATTTGAACTCCGGCAACTCATTAACCTAATTGTTGAATTTGTGTATATCAGAGGGACTAGAATGTTCAAATTCTGATTCTAGTTTTATTAAAGTTATTAAGGAGTAGCTGAATGGAAAAAGCAATGTATAGGATCAAGACAGTGGTATTACATTCACAATGACAAATACATGATGGGCTGCACATGAACTTCAGACAATGTGACTCTTAAAGCTTGACATTGTACCAAAAAAAGCATAGCCTTGAGGCACATGTTTGAGCATTATTCCTCCATGAGAGAATCATTGACCCGCGGTCCAGTAACAGTTCAATGAACCAATTTGGCATGGCTTTGCAAGTGCATCTTGTTTTCAAGAGCCATGTCACAGCATGGGCACCAAATCTTGTCACTGAGGTGGATATGCTGCAGATATTTGCACTGGATGTGCTTTGTAACCCCACCGTGGTTCAAGAATTTCTTGAAACAGATAAAACAGTACACAGGCTGAGAATTATTTATAACAGCTGCTAGCGCAAGGTCCTGCTTGCTGCGGGGCAGGGGGAACATGCACCTCAACTTGCACCTTCAGCAAGTACTGCTGCAGGAGTAGGCCTCTTGAAATATAGTAGTTGGCAGGTATCCCCCTTCTTGAAAAGACAATATGCTGCTACTGCATGAATATCTTGGTCTCTTGAAGCATTTCATCTTGTAAGCTTTCTTATAGGAGAGACAAAAGTACCAAGATCAGCTGTTGCTGCTGTGGAGGATGTAAACTGCTAACACAGAGCAATTCATCAACTGCTCTTGCTATCTTGATTCCTGAGAGTTGTTGTTTGATTTCACACAGTGGCTCCTCAAAATCAAACCTTTTTTGAATCTCATGCAGGAGCTTGTTCCTTGCTCACTGCTGCTCACCTGCCAATTTGTAATTATCTGCTTGTATAGTTTGTACTTGACTGTCTCTGTGTGCCTCTCAATAGATCTTCCAAGAAGCTTGGTGAGTTTATTTTGTTTCTGAATAAATTCTTGGATCTCAGGGAGTTGGTTGACTGAAGATAATTGTGTGGAGATTAACTCTAATGAGTGGTGTGAATTGATAGATTGAAGCATCTGACAGACAGTGTACATCATGTGTTTCTGTGGCTTTAAACCCTGGACAATTGCATGGACATCCTTGTCGACACATCTGTAAAGATAGTATTTGAGGAATGTACTAGAGTTGGAGTACTGATATATCAGGCTCCAGACTGTTTTACTTATTTGTTCTACAATAAGGTTGGTGAGCTATCAACACTCAGTTTCACGGAATGAACTTACTGCTATTGTTCAGAGCCTTGCCTGCACCATAGTCAAGATTGTAAGCTTGAAGAATCTCATGGAAGGTGCTTAACGCTCGATGCACTTGATCCATGGCTGTATGGTACTGTAGATGAGAGCTTCAATATCAGAGATCTTGATTTTGTCCATTGTCCACACTGACTTCTGAAATATGGAGACATCTTTCAGAGCTGGATCTAAGTGCAACAGAAGCTTATAAACATCATCTAAGATATTAAGATAGAGAAGTTACTCTGCTGATGTGAGAACCCTCTTGCTGTCAAGATGAGTGAATACCCAATCAGCAAACAGAAGGCCAAGGAGAATAACATGGGGACTGAGAGCAAGTGATGGGTTGTATATGATCTCTGGAATGGCAAACTTGACTCTATCCAAAGGGCTTGAGTTAGTCCAAACAGAGCAGAGAGAGCTTATCTGATCCAATGTGCCAATGCTCAACATACTCTTCCTTCTTGCCAAGGAACATCTTGGTGAACTTAGGAGTGAACTCAATCAGTATCTTGTTTGGTCTGCCTTCAGGGTCTTATAGAAGTGTAACTTCAATGTTCTGATAGTGCAGTTGCAGCAAGGCTCGCAGTCAGTTGGCTGAGAATCCTCCAAGCTGGAGGAAGAAGGCAAGGGAGATCTGCTGCCGTCCATGGCCAAACCTTTTTTTGGTGGTAGTTAACATTTTCTATGTAGCTTACCTTATATTCCACCCGCCATCGCTGCAGAGTAAGCTTCTCGACACCTGACGAAGGCTCAAAGAGCACCATCTAGGTATCAAATACAAAATTATATGATTAGGTTGGTATTCAACCGCTACCTCCCCCGCGTGTACATAAATATGGAAGCCGTATGGAACTCAAAGAAACGTTGGAGGTAATAAAAAAGGCAAATCATTAACATCGTCTCTTAGCTCCGGCCCCGGCCTAAATGTAGCCCAAAGAATCACAGAAAACTCCGGTTAGCTAACCCCGGAAGCAGCAATGGACAAACACAGAAAGCAAAGAGATATCATCATTAAAAATCAGAGGCAAAAAAGCCAAATCAGCCGTGGATGATGAAATGACAGGGAAACATATTTTCAGGAAAGTGTAAAAGTACAAAGAGTTCTTGTAGATTCATCGATAGCTTGTTTGTATGCCCACTCGGTTGCTTGTGTCCGCATCTGCAATCACTTCTGGCGCTTCACAACATTCAATGCGCAGGATAGCCCTGCTCTTCATCATCATCATCTTCTTCTTCAGTGGTTCGCTTGGATCTCCGGCCGTCGTCGTCGTTGTCGTAAAAACGATTCCCTCTTTTGCCGGTCTAGAAAGAATATTTACTGTGGCTTCTTAGCTCCGGCCGGGGAATAGGCTCCAATGTAGCGGTTCACATCCGTGAACTCATACACCCGTCTGGCAAAGTCCTTGAATACCTGCCAGCCCTGTCTCACGACCGGCGGGGTACTTTGGTGCGAGATGGAAGCTTCGATTCTCTGACTTGAATGAGCAACAACGCCCTGGACATATTTGCTGCTAGTGTATCTGGACCGGAAGAACATAAAATACACCGCGAGAAGAACCCAGCTGCCACTAGAAAAGGTAAGAGCAGCTCCAATCAGCCGAATGAGAACCGATAGTTCGAGCGAAGCAACCAACGCCATGCTGGTATCATAATACTGCTTGATGAAACGGCCAATGCTCTCTGACAGGGGCGACTGCTTAGCCCCCTGCCTGGATGGTGAGCCGGCCCCCGGTTCTGGTTCTTTTGGTGGTTGAATTGTTGGAATCAGGTGGCTACGAGTGAAGGTGGCCACATGGAAGAATGAGTAGATCGCAAATGGAAGAACGGCAATGGTGATCTGACGGGCATACAGCCAAACGAGGGCAATAACTATCAAGCAAAACATCGTCAGTTGGTAAATAAACCCTGGGTTACAAACGGGGAAAGGCCGTACGCAAGTATTGAACGTTCTCATCTCCGGCCAATTTCATAACGAGAGCAGGCACATTTCCCTTCATATCACCACGAGCAATATGTGACTTGTAGACCACGATCCCGTACGTAGCTGCTGCGGCAATGAAGGCAAATCGGTATGAAGCTTGGGCCATTCTCGAGGTCGAATTGAAAGTCAGGACAGAGAGGAGATATCGGAAGACGGCAAGAACAAGGGCAAGATGGCCCACGAACCATCCAAATCTGAGCGATACATCAGAGGGCGATTCTCAAATTACAGAAAGGCGGGAAGGGAAAAGGCCAACTCACTGCAGTCGTTGGGCGAGCTGCTTGAGTCGCTCGCCCAAGGGCAACGACGGTGACGGTGGTGGAGCCATTTGATCGAACCACCGGAAGCTCTAGAAGCTATGTGATAATAATACGAGACGCAGCTGAGAAGGAGGAAAAGCAGCTTCCAGCAGTTCTTGGAGGGTTGCAGGTCGAGAGGACAGCACGAACGACGGCGAAATACAAACAGAGTGGTCACTTTGTTCTTGTGGGGGTCCAAGCTGTGGCTGTACGGAATTCGTCTACGTAGTACGGAGTAGTGACGATGTACCGCAATGAACTGTTTAGTTATACGGAGTACATAAACCGTGCGAAGTACAAGGATCATCGTCATCGGGGCAAATGCCTACACACCTCCATCACTCGTCAGCGAGATTTGCTGTCCACCGATCAGGGAAGCACCTTGATATTTTCGTACATGTTTTACTGTCGTCATATTCTCTGGCAAAGGAGAAGTCTTTGTTCCAAGTTTCTAATCTTTATCTACACCGTTTCATCATCAAAACCTACGTGCCCGAGCCCTGTCCAATGCAAACGAAAGCAATGTGTTTAGCAGAACAGCAATTTTCCATTGGAAACATCCTAAATTTGAGAGATGAACATAGTTCTGGATCAGCTGCTATGCGGCTGTGTATGACGTATGGTCAATGAAAAGAAATCCCCCGGAGACCAGGATATTTCTTGACTCCCTTTAGCTCGGATATTGAGATCCTTTATATCAAATAACAGTATCCAAGGAGCCAAGGATCGGCATTGCTTCATTGGATAACTTGAATAGGACTCCCACTGCAGATATATTGTGGTCAGGGTCCTGCTCTGGTTGGGTCACCGACTTGCTATCCTGCTTTCATCGCTATCAGCTTTCCCGGATCAAGCTCTGGGTTCTCCACCGTTTTCTTACCCAAAGCGTCGCCCTTTTCTCTCATTCTTCATCTCCTTTCCCTTCTTGTTCTATCTGGCCCCGGACAGCCACTGCTTCCGGCCAGAAATACTTGTCATCACGTATAAACAACGTCAATCCTTTTGGTTTCTTCGCGCGATATCCAGATTCCTCCTTCTTCCCCCCCTCTGTCTCTCCCGAGGCGGCATTCTGGAACTCATGCAATTTCATAATCATCTTCGTCTTTGCTCGTTCACAATTCGGGCACCAAACGCCGGTTTCGTTTCCCATCATTCGGAGCTTCTGGAACTTCTTCCATGAAAACTCCCTGTTCTTGCACTCGGCGTGGAATCCTCGTATCTCAGCGTCTTCGGGACCCGCGCCGTTGTGACCGTCTTACGGAGGGGACGACTCGTTCTGACCAGTTCCTGCAGCCGCTGAGCCTACTTTTCCTGAAACTTCCGCACACACGCCGGAGGAACGAGGAGGACGAAGGCGGAGATGACGCGAGATATCAACCAAAAGTGACTTACTGAAGGTCGCAGAGAACGCCGAAGCGGAGCTTTTGCCGGCCTTGTCCCTCACCCCTCTCCCATTGTTTTTCTCAGGATGATGCTCTGGCCGGACAGGCGAGAAGCAGCATTGGAGCATATGTCCGATCATACTCACCCTGCTGTGACCGCAGCCGAATGACCGCATCACCCCCGCCACAGGTTTCTTTTCTTTCTTGCGCTTGCAGTCTGGGCAGAGCCCGTTTTGGTCTGCGGACAGCTCCATCCAGTCTTCTTCTGAGCAAAATCTGTTAGGGTACATTTTCTGGCGCTCCTCTCGTGTATTGTTCCGGAAGGGGATGCCATTCGGCGCATCGCAGTAGATGAGACCGTGTTTCAAGTGACATTCAACAGCATGGCCGCAGGTGCTATAGATCTCTTCAGTTATGATTTGGCACATGGCAATTAATAATATGCAAGTTGACAAAGGCCAGATGCAATATGCCCAGAAACATTTCTTGATAATTAATCCGAAAGTAAAACTAAAAATTGCCGGAATTTTTATCTGCCGTCTGGGAAAAGGTGAAGACAGGCGGGGGAGAAAAGGTTAACAAGAGATTTCAGATATCTCTCAGGATCTCAAAACAAAAAACAGAGGCCGAGAAGTCCCCTTTCAGCATAACAGGGAATGTTCTGGTCCAGGGAACTTCCCTTGGAGTTTCTGTCCTAGAAATAACATGCATACAAAAGGGGCATGCATGTAGAGAAGAAACTGGGAACTGGACAGGGGCAGTCTTATACTGGAAATCCAGCATGTCATCTTTGAGCAGCGCAGTGGGCCACAAGGCAACGAGAACACCCCGACTCTTAATTCACTCTGCAAGCCATTGTTTGATCTGGTTGAAGATGGTATTCATCAGGAAGTATCACGCACTTTGTGTGTTCTTTGCTGGCAATTCACTTCCAACATTCCTAACCCATGTGACAACTTCTCCTTTATGACGTTGTGACAGCGACAATTTGATTTAACATCGATGCTGCAAGATCATTTCCCTCATCGAACAAAGCGAGTAAAGGGAATAATCTCAAGAAACTAAGACCTACCGTTGGCTTAAATACCCAAAAATCACAATCACTTATATACGAAGTATGGTGTGCAATATGAATTCAAAACCAAATCAGTATATAAAAAAAAGAAAAAAGCTAACATAGACAAATACATGGCAAGAAGGGAGCTAACTAAATATGAAAAGCCAACGGGTAAAAAGGGTCAAATTAGAAGACCGAAGGAACCAACGAGCCCTACGAGTCCCAGGGAGAACGAGTTCACCGAAGTCGGCGCTCGCTGCAACCTGTTTTAGTGGCTTTTTTTTTTTTTATCATTCTGCCCAGAAGCGACAATCCCCCACCCATCCCCGTTTCAACCTCAAGTCGCAGTCTCCAACGGCCCCGTAAACATTAAGTGATATTGTCTTTACCTTCGGAGTCATGAAGGATGGCTTGAGCCAAAGCAAGATTCAACGTCATTACAGAAATAATTTGAAAGGAAAAAGCTGAGGTATAAGAACAAGAAAAGGAGGAAAAAAAAAAAGAGTACAAGAGAGTGTGGGAGTTTAATGAAAAGGAAATGGGCAAGGAGAGGGTGATAGAGCGCTAGATCCATCAACAAAATAAAAAATGCAAAAAGCCACAAAAGCACAAGTGCCAGATCTCCAAAAGAATTTGATTTCTCGAGCTTAAACCATGTATCAGACGTGACTTTGGGGGTTTCGATCCATTCAAACCTAACGAAGTGAGAACCCTTTCCGCTTTATCTTGTCTTCGAGAGGTCGTCCACTTTCGAGGCGGGCCTTCTTGTCCTCTAGCTCGAGCCGCTGCCGTTCTAGTTGCTCTTTCATCTCACGATGTCGAGCATATAGTTCGTCCTCACTCTGTTTCAGCTTGCTCTCTTTCTCTTGCACCTTCTGTTGGAACACCATCTTCATTTCTGCTTCCATCTTGGCAAGTTTCTGTTCGTGCAGAGCGCGCTCTTCTTCCTGTTTCACAGCAGGGTTGACCTCCTTGAAGACGCTTGGGTCTTGCGTCACACCCATTGCTGTCAGTTTGTCGGACCGGTAGTTCTCATACAAGACGTTATTGGTGTGTTCCTTGAGCTCTTCCATGTGGGTACGGATAAGCATCTGGCGCAGTTTGACAAAGTCGCAGTGCTCCTCGTTGTCTACTTCGATGATACCCCATGGATAACGGCGACCTCTTACTTTGTGACCGCTGGCGGTGGTAACCTCAGTGTTTGCACCGACAACGGCAAAAGGGACCTTGGACATGATCTCCTGGTTCTCAGCAAGGGTTTCTTCGTCGTCGAGTTCATAACGGGGACCTTCGAAGATCTGGATGGAGTGATGGTGGATATCGGCAAGAATCTGGCCAAAAGTGTAAGTAACCCATACGAACCCCATAAGATGTCTAACTGGTCTGAACTTACTCTCTGCTTGAAGAGAGCGACTTCCTCGTCGGTCAAGGTATCAGCCTTGGCGATGACGGGGATCAAGTTGACCTTGGTGTGCAGGCGACGCATAACCTCGATGTCAAGGGGCTTCAGTGAGTGGCCAGTGGGCTGAATGAAGTAGACACATGCGTGCACACGGTTATCGACGATGTTCATACGGTTGACCTTGTTCTCCGCATCAAGGTAGGCGTCAAATCGCTGCTCGATGTTCTCGACAATAGGACGCCAAGAGTCGTCGTTGTTAACAAAATCACCGAACCCAGGGGTATCGACAACGGTCAATCGTAGACGAACGCCGTTCTCCTCGATATCAGCGCTGATAGATTGAATCGAAACAGTTTTAGGGATGATATCAAGGCTGGGGCCCTTGCGCTCCTTGGGTGGGTATAGGGAGGTGTTGAAGAGAGTGTTCACTAGAGTAGACTTTCCCAAACCAGACTCACCTAAATAATGTAAGTAAGGTAGGACGCCGATGAACGGCACATCCGAAAGACACCCACTTACCGACGACCATGACATTGAAATTGAAACCCTTTCGCACACTCTTGCGGTGCCACTGGTTCGGCAGGTTGGCAAAGCCGACATAGCCAGTCAATTTCCGGCGAACGACATTTCTCATATCGGTAGCGGCCTGGGCAACGGCCTTTGGGTCCTTTGAGGTGACCGTCTGCGCCAAGCCTCCACCCATTGGGTTGCTGCGTTCAACGAGAGGCGATGCGGGCTTGCTTGGAGGAGTACTGACGGTCGGGGAGGGTCGGGTGGGAGCGGGAATCCCGTTAGTTGCGGTGGCTGTAGATTCTGTACAGTCAGCGGTGTTGTTGAGGTTGCACAAAATTTCGAAAACGACCACGAAGCGAATTGTTTGCAATGCACGAATCCAGCCCCGGTAGGGCTCTATTCGCACGGGGAGAAACGGCCACGATGCTCACATCCTGGCGATGAAGGGTCCTTGGTCCCAAACTCCAGACCCTCCATCAAGTTGATTCAATCGTGCACCAGGGAGAAACAACGAAGCGTGGAAAGCAAGGACGCGGAGGGGCATCCAAAAGAGAGATGTAGGCTAAGGAACGTAGATGTCGAGAGCTTACCCATTGTGCAGACGGCAGAAGCGAAGGATTCGCGTCGAGATCAGGTTCGTAGCAAGGTTCTGGGGACGAAGACTGAGAGTTGGGTAGCAGGTAGCTGGTCAGCTATCACGAGCAAGGAAAACCGGTGAGGAAAGGTACGTTCCGGAAGGGGGAGGTGTGAAGCAGAAAGAGCAACGTGGACATCAACAGCAAAACAACCAACGTACTTGTGGATGTAGGGTGCGTGTATGGGATTTTCGAGGGAGGGGTGGAAGCGTCAATTGGAGAGCGTGCGTGCGTGTGTGAGGGAATGCCGAGGGAGGTCCTCAGTGATTCCTACTTCACTTGGATCTCAGGGAGGAACGAGAGGCAGCCCCAAAGGAGAGCAAAAAGGGAGGAGTTCAAAAGCGATGAAGATCAAGCACAGCTTGGGGGGGGAAAGAAGACGAAGAAGGGCGGAGGGAGATTGAACGAGAGAATTCGAAAGTTGGCTCCGCGACAAGGATGGTGATGAGGACGAGGAGCGAGAGGGATAGCAGTGTTTTTTTTTTTTTGCTTTGCACTGGCAGAAGCCTCCTGACGCCTGACGAGGTGAACTCAGCACGAGCGAGCGAGCGAGGGAGAGAGAAAGGGGGTGGAACAAGTGACTTTTTGCCTTTTGGACGGCGCGCGCTGGTTGGCTCGGCTGCGGGTTTCTCTATTCCCCTTCTGGTCCTGGCCTGGAGATTGGTAATTTTGTTTTTTATTTTTATTTTTTGGGCCTGTCTGTGAAACGCGCGCCCTCAATACCAAACGGCCTGCCCGCGTTTCCCTTTCTTTTTTATTTATTTGCTTTATCTATTAATTTATTTTCCCCTTATTCCTTGTTACCACCTTTCGGTCTCGGAGAAGTGTCCAGAAGGAGCTGCAGCAACTAGTTCTACGCAAGGGATTGGGATGCTCTTCAACAGATGCCCTCTCCTGCAGCTCAGCATGTTCCGCATCCCTACAGAGCCCCTTTTCGGCAGGGCAGCTCTGGTGCTGTAATTTACGCTACATTACCCACCCGTACCGCCCATGGATCGAATCAGGGGAATAACCTTAACGTTGTGATTGGACCTTATTGCTGACTCAGATCACAACGCCCAATCAGACTCTGCCCAGCCTGTAATTTCCAGGACGTTGTCCTTTGCCCCAGGCCGTCCAGCGAAACGTCTCTCTCCTTACGATTCAGTACCGTAACCAGGCGTGTTTCCAGAAATACACTGCTTTCTCCATAATGTTGTCTTATTTCTTTGGATCGCGATCTTCGTCATCGTCGCTTGCTCCGTCAAAATCCCCGGCTTGCTAGTTCGGTTGCGATTCGAATCTTTCTCAAAGCAATCTCATCCCGACGTCTACTTATTTGCTTTGGTGCTACGGAGTACGGAGTATTGGGCGATTGCGGTGTCCAGTCTCCCAATCCTCGGATACTCAAGCAGCAGCTTGGATCCATTGCTTGACCTGTGGGTTCTGGAGCTCCATCCTGTCAATCCCTGGCAACCACCCAGGATTTGGAAGACCACATAAAACGTGCTTCTGCACTAAGCACACCCGTTTTCAAGCGGTTTAGATGTACTCTGTGTATGTACGTAAATTCACAAAGAGTCAGCGTCTGCTTTAAACTGGAGACTGTCATGTGGAAACTCAGACACGGATACTCACACCTGTATACGGAGTATAAAGCATGGAGACGGTCCCGGGGGGAGGGAGTTTTCCTTTGGGGTTTGACTTTAATCTGGGTTAACTGGCCCAGGGGTCCAGTCCAAAATATGTCATGAAAAAGCTTGAGCGTGTTCAAATCAAGAAATATACATGCAACCAGTGGCCTTGGAGGTTCAAACGGCGGCTAACGCGGATAATTAGCCGTCCTGCTCGTCACTTGGCTAAGAATTGGCTTTTAAAATCTGAAGAAAAGATCCTTCAATGCATTACTACCCCGTACCCTGCTGTAGCTTACCTTTAACTTCCTGTTCGCATGGCATCGACTTTCGGCCATGAGATGTGCAGGTAATGCTAGCAACGCTGCTTTCAAGGATGCAAAGAGTTGTTAAAACAGAGAATCAAAACATATTAAACGACCAATGGATGCTTAGCAAATAACAACCTATTGTGGTGTTTGTCTGCACAGATACTATCAAACACATCCACCACCTTGCGACTTCGGAGTCAAATTGACTGCCTGTGAGCATCGTGTGGCAGCGTGGCCAAGAATCATCTGAACGGAACAATCCAAACTCTGTCTGCTGGCTCCAGTGGTGAGACATCGGCTCGCAACGAACCCTGGCGCCAGCCGCCAGGGGATGCGGGCGTTGCGCTGCGGAGAGTTTGGTAGTCTGGATAAACCTTAAAAAAAAAATGGGACGAGCGCCGATATTTGGCATCCAGCCACGGATCTCACGATGCATCTCGAGGTGCCCTTGGCCATGCCTTTTTTAAATAAGTTTTCTTGTTCCCTCGTCCTATCTGGCCCCCGTTAAAGCTATTTCTATTGGTTTCAACGCTGTCTCATATGTGCCTGTCGGCGTTTTGAGTTTCTCTCTTTTCCGCATTCTTTTTCTTGGACACGAATAGCGATCTTCACAGCTAACTACTCCGTACACATCCTGAGAAGTGCTGTACACGAGCGCGCGTTCGTTCCTTGGTTTGTGTATGGACTATCTATCTTGACTGAATTTTCACTTGAGTTGCGACAACGTGAGAACCGAAATGGGCGCCGTCAAGACGGAAGATACGGAGAGGAAGTCCGTAGCTGTGGTTGGTACCGGGATGGCCGGTTTGGTTACTGCATATCTATTGAGACAGGATAAATATAACCGCTTTGATGTTGAAGTATTTGAAGCAGTATGTTGTCGATCTTTTCCTAGCGGCTCCCTCGCCGTGGCCATTGGCCTCCACTGCCTCAATATCGTCGCTGACACCTATCTCTGGGTCTTGTACACACACAGCAAGACCAGTGCTCTCTCGACTCTGCCTCAATTACCGTGTCATCAAAAGATGGAATCCGAACGAGCCGCGTGGACCAACCCATGCGCGCCTTTGACCGTGGATTCTATCCCAACTTGACAGCCATGTATGATTATTTGGGCATTAGATATCACCAAGAGCTTTTCTTTTTCACTTTTGCAAGGCTGCCCAAGCATGGTTTCAAAGCGCTTGGGAGCCCAATGGAGCAACCGAATCCCTATTTCATTCATTCATCCAACAACCACCGGATCCCTCCTGTACGGCCTCAAGCGTGCGGGTTCTGGACGTGGGTTTCGGAGACCGTTTACCTTGCATTCTGCCTGGTATGGTTCACAATATGCTGTTCATTCGTCCCACCCAAGGAATCAAGGCCTTCGATTGGCGGCAAGACCAAACCTTGTGAGTCTTTCGGTCAATATCTGCGGCGTCTTTGGATACCTGCCTACTTTATCGAAAGTTACCTGCTCCCTGGACTCGCAAGCATATCGACCTGCACACATGCAGAGATGCTGGACTTCCCGGCAAAAGATGTGATCGATTACAAGCAACGCTCTCTCAACTCTCCGCATCTACGCGTCTCGGGTGGTGTAAGCGAGGTCCAAAAGAGCCTTTGCCAGGGACTCACGGTGCAGTTCAACTGCCGTGTTACATCCGTAACGAGACAGCAGCACGGCTCGGGAGTCCACGTTACATGGGACTCCCCGGGTAACACTCAGCAGCCCGATACCGTCCCACATCAAAAGATTTTCGATCACGTCATTCTTGCTGTGCCCCCAAACGCTGTTGGAAGCATCTTCGCGCCTCTTCGGTCCGAAATGTCACACATCCCCACCGCGGCCGTCGAATCAATCGTCCACACCGATCTCTCAGCCACAAAGCAGCAACCCAGCAACGCTCTCTACGAGATGCACCTCGCTCCCAGCCCGCCTAACTGGATCCATTTCCGCTCTTCCCCATATATAACAGAGACGATACACGAGGATCCCATATCCTCCGTCGTCGTGACAAACTTCCCCGCAACCCCGATTGATCCCTCGAAAATCATCGCCCGGACGCATTTCACTCGCACCCTGAGGACACCTCAGAGCAGAGATATAGTGAAGCGGATATTCAGTCCTAATTCTCGGCGATTGAACGGCACGCCTATCACCGACGGGAAGAAGTTGACGACGCATAAAGCCGGCCCATTCCAGAATGGAGACGGCAACGTCTGGCTCGTTGGAAGTTGGTGTTGGGACGGGATGGTTTTGCTGGAGGGGTGCGTGGTATCTGCTATGCGGGTAGCGCGGGATTTGGGGATTGAGGTTCCCTGGCGAGATTATTGATCGCTGATTTGATGCTTCTATGCCTTGTCTGCTGTTTATGATATCCAATCTGCGCCTGTTCTGTTTTGCCTCTCGTTGACGTCCAAGTACGCCATGGAGAGATATGCATAATGTATATGTGTCTATATATACGATGAAATACGACGAAAAATACGTTCTTAATCCTGCGAATTCTCGATACCGTCTTCCAATCCCGATATGGTTAACATGGCTTGCCCAAAGATAAACTAGACGGTTATGATTACAATTATTCAATGTTGGCATTAGCCATGCAATATCCTAAATGCTATGGCAGAGCTGAGATACAAGTTGACTCAGTCCAAGAAAGTTGACATGTAAGGTCGCAAAAATACAAGATAAATTCATGTCCAAATGAAAATACAAAATAGGGATCAAGAAGTCCCATGACCAAAACTTCAGAACACAACGCCAGGTACGGAGTGCACAGCATTTTTCACGCCTTTCCCTTGGTCTTTTTACCCTTCCGAGCCTTGGAAGGCTTGGAGTCTTCCTCGCTATCGGAGATGTCTAGGTCGCTGTCACTCTTTTTCCTTTTGTTTCTGTTTTGTTTCGGTTTAGCTGTGCCTTTCCCAGCAGTAGCCTTTTTCGCTCCCGTCTTTTTCGGTGCTCTAACATATTTATCTTTTTTAAGATCAAGCTCATCGTCATCTTCTTTCACTTCCTCTTCGCCGAGGATCTCTTCCCCTTCATCGGACTCGTCGATGGCATCCTCAAGGTCTGGCTTGATCTTCGGGAGCCTCTTCGGCGCAACAACGGTGCTTGCTTTCATAAACGGAAGAGGGTGAGATTGTTGGTTATATAAGCGCGTAAAAGTGGCTTTCGTCTGGCTCTCGATATTCACTGTCTTTTCCGACATCGGACCCAAACCGAGCTCAAGGATAGAGTCCCAGTCTTCCCGGGTCAGGAAATAGCTATCCATTAAATCAATCACTTCCTGAACGGCGTCCTTGCCGTCAACATCGAGCCTGTGAACCAATTTCTCCCAGAGAGCCGGAAGATACTGCTGCCGGATTTCATGTCTGTCTCCCGAAGCTCTAAGTCGCATATGTCCCTGGATTTCTTTGATCTGCCGAGCCATTTTGCCTAGAATCGGAATTTGTCAGCTGGCGTGCCATGTGAACACAAGTCTGGAGGTGTCTCACCTTGCTTAGAGTTGTTACCCAGCCAGCTCGTGAATCCCACTCTGTCGACCATATTACCGGACACGAAGCTGGCTGGTCGAACGAAACTGAACACAGCATGGGTAGGCATCAAACTCCACTGCTGCTGGGAGCCATGAATCATTCTATCTACCAGGTCCCCATCGCTGATACTCTGAGCAGCATTATCGGCTAGTTCGAGAAGTTTGAACTTCCGTTCTCTGCCATTGTATGACCCGGCTGCGATAGGGTTTGTTTTGAGATAATTCTCCTGCAACATTAAATAGCTAAACTCGTGGTCATTGAAATAAAGTTCAATCTTATCGTTGAGAGTAGCTGTCGAGCTTTGGGAGAACATTTGAGCGCTCAATATCTTGCCAACAATATCCCATGGCTTCAAAATGACGTGTTTCTCCCAGGCTTTGGACATTTGCTTGCCTTCGTCAAAGTCGAGGTTCTGACTGTCAAGTTTCACAGTTGATAACATATTAACGATCTGTCTTATATCAGAATGTGTGCCTTCAATCAAGCCATCCAAGACCTGCGGTGGAATCTTTAGGCCTTCACGGAAACAGATGGTAGCAAGTCTTGAACGAATTTGATCGGCAGTAGGGCGCCTAAAGGGAAGCTCGTAAGTTACGTGGTCGAATGGTCTCATTTTTGGCAGCCTTCGTTCATTGCATATCAGTATCATCGGAATTCGCGTCTTTTTGGCGACTGCAGCAAGAGCTCCGACACCGCCACGATCACCAGCTGACATTCCGTCGACTTCATCCATTATAAGAACGAGATTTTTCTTTTCACTTTGAACCTTTTTGCCTTCGCCTGAAAAGTAACCCTGGAGAGATGTTGTGTCCAGTACGCCTCGTAAACCATCCTCAAGGAGCCTTTTGCTTCTAGTATCACTTGCATTCGTCTCAACGACATCGTAATTTTCAAGCTTAGCCACAAGATGCGCAGCAGTAGTCTTTCCAATCCCAGGCGGACCGTGAATCATGACGGCGCGATAAGTGCCGGAGCCATCCTTACCCGGCTTTTTGAAGTCAACTTTCGCGTTGTTACGCCAATTGCGCAGCCAAGACTGAAGCTTTTCGACAGCCGTTTTATTCCCACATATCATATTCAAAGAAGTCGGTGCATACTTCACCGTCCATAGACGGTCATCCACAGCCGCTTCTTTTGCGGCTGCGGGTATGGATTTCTGTGGAGCTTTCGTGGATCTGGCGACTGATGTTGCGGCAGCAGAGGCAGAACTCTTCTTTTCCTCGCGATCTATTTCAGCTGCCATGACTTTTATTTTCTGTTCTTCAGCTTTCTTCTTCGCTTCGTATTGAACAGCAGCCTTCCCATCCCCTCCATTTGCCGGCATCTTTCTAATAAGCTCAAAAAGGCCATACTCATTAATAGTCTTGAGGTTGTGTTTGCGGATCGTTTCCAATTTCTTTGGACCAGCGTCACTACCCAAAACAACGTAGCTGGTCTTCGAACTAGGGGCACCAGTAACTTTGCCACCGTACCTCTTGACCAACGCCTGACCTTCATCTCGACCCAATGAATCGAGAACGCCAGTAAACACGAACGAAAGCCCAGCAAGGCAGTTCTCTGCCCCGATAGGTAGCTCCGCCGGTTCGCCAGCTGCTGAAGCATGTGCACGCTGATTGGCAGCCATAAAATTGAACTTCTTGGCTTCTGCTGGCGGGGAAGGCGGCCGTACGGTTGGAATACTATCGAATATAGCCTGGATCTCCTTGCTCTCGGCCTGCGGGGGCTTTGCAGCGGCTTTTTGTTTTTTTGGGGTTGGTTTCGTAGGCGATTTAACGGCTTGCCCACGCGCGGCCTTCTTCTTTTGTTTATCGGATAGCTCACTCTCCTCATCTTCATCATGTAAGGCATCTGATTTTCTCTTTTGCCCATTTCTAGTCGAAGTATTTGTGGAGCGCGAGACTTTTGGCGCGGGTTGTAGAAGTCGTGATTCTACCTGCAGTTCTTCAAAGTCTGAGTCTTCATCTTCTTCCTCCTGATAATCATCATCTCCACCGCCCCCTCCCCGTTTCTGATACTCCGTAGCAAATATGTCATCGCCACCAAGGCTATCGTCAGCGTCAAGTATCTTGGTAGCTTTAGGCTTTTGGCGCGTTCGTCCATTTCTGACAACAACAGCAGGACTCCGCTCCCGGTCTCTCTTGGCATCACTTTTGCGCGATTTAGAGGTGACGTCCACGGATTTTGCTTCCGAAATCTCGCTTTTTTTGGGTTTCGATTCTTCTACCGGAGCACTAGACTTTGGGCCGCGGCGGCTTTTCCGAGAGGAGGCGAAGTAGTCAGATGTTGTCGTAGGCTCTTCAGTCTCTTCAGGTTTCCTGCAGAATAAACCACGCATCGGTCAGAGGGTAGTGCTCGCCTGAAGAAAGTAACAAGTGCAAGGATCAAACTTACTGCCTTTTTTTCTTTGGCTCTGGCTTCGGGGTCGTTTTGACAGGTTGAACGTCTTCATCCTCAGAATCTTCAATAACTTTCCTGCCTCCTATATATTTCGGGACACTGTTACATATAATGAACTGGTGATTGGGCGATCAGATGTACTCACGCCGCTTTTTTGATTTGGAATTATCCTATGAAACCATTGTCAACACTTCATGGCTCTCAGCACGGGCAAATCGATTCGTCGCAAAAACGCAAGCAATTAACTGGCAAAAAATTATTGTTGGATGTATACCTCTGGTTTCTTTGAGCTAGCTCCCTTCCCCGATTTCGAACCTTGGCTACTTTGCGTGCCAAAGAAACTCCTGATATCGGGGGCCATACTCGCAAAAGTGGTTCAAGCGTGTCCGTGAGGGAGGTTCTTTTTCTTCAAAGATTCAATTCCAAATTCTCATTGTTCATGCCCGAAATATGAATCGTGACCACCCGCCAGACAGCACGTCAAGGCCACCGCGCCCGGAAAGGTTGGAGACGCGTCGGAGCACGTGACTGAATGGCACTTTGATTATATAACGTTAATCCGCATTCTACAGATGGTCCGTGCAGCAAGCATCAACTTTCTCCGGCCGTTTTGACACTGTCCGGAGTAGTGAGAAGTGAATCGGCGGGTTCAAGCTTTCGAGTCAAACAAGATGGGCCCTTCGTCGGGAATATTTTCGGGGCTTCAGCTGTCTTTCCTACGGCCGTTCCGTCAGTGGCTCCCCTTCCCGATAAACCCCCCAATCACATATACTAACGTTTCGATTTTCAGTCTCTCAACCGCATTCCCTGCCCTCCTCCGCACGATGCTTTTCCACATCCAAACCGGCTTCGGACTGGCTGGTCCCCAAGATGTCCGAAAAGAGTAAATCACGCAAGGGCCGTCCACGCATGGCGACTGGAGGGTCGACTCGCGGCACCACAGTAGTCTGGGGAGATTACGGTCTTCGCATGCGTGATCATGATCGCAGGATATCTGCCGCTCAATTGAAAATTGGAATGGAAACGATAAACCGCCGGCTAAGAGGTATGGACTTCAAGCTGTACACCAGAGTCAGCGCAAATATTGGTGTCTATACCAGCGGGAATGAACAACGTATGGGTAAGGGAAAGGGTAAATTTGACTATTGGGCCGCAAGGGTACCGGTCAGCCGCATTATCTTTGAATTGAAGGGAAACCTACACGAAAAAGTAGCAAGAGAGGCATTCAGATTGGCTGCGCATAAACTACCTGGTCAGTGAAGGGTCCCCGCGCCTTTTGTATTCCTCCGGAACTGACTGGTACAGGACTTTATGAATTTGTTAAGAAGGGCGAACCGCCGGTTGTCGGCATTACAAAATTGAGTAACGGAGTCACATTAGAATCTTTAAAGAGAGCTCGAAGAGAGATCACGTCTCGGGTTGTCTCAGAACAACCGTCCCCACCCACACAAAATGCTGCTCCTTAGCTTTCCTTTCTCGATGGACACGATACGGCGTTGGTTAAGTGTATTATAAATATGTTCCTATAGAATGCCCAGTGTACAATTATACCTTTTGATGCTGTGCAAACCAAGTCCTTGGGGCCGAAGTCGTCAGCCCTTTGACCTGCATTTAGCATGGAAGTTTACTGATACGCGGAGTAGCCGCATAGCTTACCAGGATTAGTTACAGAAAATGAAAAGATAAAGTAAATGATAGTTGCGTTATTTTTGTCGAAGACATCATTTAATAAGTCTTAACCCATACCCAAACGCCCAAAGCAGAGCAACTTGCACTGACTCGGAACGCCATACAAAATTGATTTAGAAATCGATTCCCATCAAATAGCTACGATATGAATTTAGCATATTCACAGATTTGCACTCAGGAAGTCGGACGGCCTTACCCTTCAAGGACTCTCATAAACTTTGCAACGAACGCTTCTAGGTGAAAGATAACTTTCTAAAGAGGCCGAGATAATGAGCTCAAGATGAAAACGGTATATAAGAGGGGGACTAAGTCTTACACTTCCCATCTTTATCCTATGTTCATAGAAAGCCGACCATTTGATAACCTCAGGTTTTAAAATATCATCAACTTTAGACACAAGCTTGAAGGTCAATGTCTAGATGTACAGTTAGGAATTCTGCATTCTTGAGGCCCAATCAGCAGTTGGATTTGGATACCTTAAGGATAGTGGTTGGAGGTATACAATGTGTTAACAAGTCGTAAAGCCGTGCCCGAACCTGAAGTATTCGTGCTGGAGATCTCTCGGCCATGATCTCGTCGGCAATAAGGGAGATTAAGGCTTCCCAATCTGGCGGTGGCACCACGGTATCATCTGTCACTTTTTCACTATTCACAATTGGTGTAAGTATGATGTACCAGGATATCGTGAGTGCCATGATACTTGCTTTTGCGCATATACCGCTTCGAACATAAGAAGCGCTCTGCGTAGGTTCCTGCCACTCTCTTTCGCTATCCTCTTATTCAAGCCTGGGGCTTCACTCCAACCCTCCCTTTTCCCTGAAAGTTTTAACACTTGGCATATTTCCTCCGCCGTTGGAGCTGCAACCCTTACTAGTAGCGTTCTGGAGCGGATAGGAGCAATGATGTTCGCGGTGCTGTTGGCGAGTAGAATGAGTCTCAGGTTCGGACTATACTTCTCCATTGTCCTTCTCAGCGCCGCCTGCGCATCTCGAGTAAGGTGATCGGCCTCATTTATAACCACCACCTTGAATCGCTGCTTCGCGGATAAGTCAACCTGCTGGGTTTGTGCTATCTCCTTTAGCAGTTCCTGAATCACGACGCGATCGTACGTCCCCACATCGGACGGTGTGATCTCAAGGTGATATATTGAAGCAACAATGTTAAATTCGAGCTTTCGATTACTGGAGGTTTGGAAAACACGGGCATCGATTTTTATCTTTTCCACTCCTGGGCCATATAGCTCCTTCAATGTGGCAACTATTCTAGTCTTCTTGCCCGCTCCAGAGGGACCGTAAACGAGAAGGTGGGGGAAGTCACCGCTTTGTGCCTACAGGCTACTGATCAGTGGATTTCTAGCTATTCATTTGGTCAGTGATTGCTTACCAGAGCTTTGAGTCGTGCGGACAATTCATGGTGATATGTGAGGGCGTCAAGTGTGCGAGGGCGCTGTCTATCGACGAGTAGTGCCATTGTTATAATAAACCGAAGTGAACGGTAGGGGAAGGGTGAGGAAGAATGAGGGACGATGGGAAGACTTTTGGAATGCCACAACCGGGTCAACGCGTATCAACGCGACTCCCGACTTAAATAGGTGGTCCGTGCACCACGGATCCTAAGAACTCTTTGCTGGGGAGCCGAAAAGGAAATATTCAACTTTGAATTTCCAATAATTCAAAATAATCATGTTTATATACAAAAGTTAACAAAATTCTATAGTACATATCGTAGATATACGCCCTCTAATGTTCCGTCGAAAATGCCAAAGTTCCATGAATTTTATTCGCCTGATACTGTGCCAAAACTGAGGGGAGTCCGGTCCACTGAACGCCAGAGCCAAGAAGAATGGGATAGGAGTGCGTGGAGTGGTATTTTATTCGTTGAAATGTTGCGTTGTGATAATTGGGTGGATTCGTCGCCGTGAGTCGAGTACAATGTGCAAGGAATGCCAGTACACCAGTTTTAACGGATGTCATGGGAAATATCCGAGTTCCTAGGTAGGAATCGGTTTCAGAACCCCATCATCGTCATAACGAGCCTCTGTATTTACGAGTTAGCTTCCATATAGTGGAACAAAATCAGATGGAAACGTACTGAAAAAGGTGTACGACAAGGTTATCGTGTCAATTTTCCTCATGGCCGGATCTTTAACAAAATCTGGGTCGATAAAGAAAAACACCGGCATATCCACAGTTTCCCCGGCATTCAACCTCTGCTCCTCAAAGCAAAAACACTGGATTTTGCTGAAATATGGAGAAACCTGAGCTGGTGTGACGCTGTAGGTTGCAACGCCAATTATATCATTATCACTCTTGTTCGTTGCGGTGTAAAACGCCAATGCAGTCTCTCCTGGAAGAACCCGAACCTCACGCTGCTGGGGAGTAAATTTCCAAGGGAGGACGTCTGAGACAGAGGCATTGAAGGTAATGCGTAGTCGGCGGGAATCGGTTATCGGAGTGAGACGGGACGAAGTATCTTCTCCGTTAACGAGATGAGACGAGACCGGTTGGCCGTTCCAGCCAGTTTGTTGACAAATCTATCAAAATTTCTTAATATTCGGCGCATGGGTGAGCTTTTTAACAGGTTTGGTTTACCATTTTGTACATCGGCACGGAACCGTAAGCTAGGGCGAGAGTTCCGATAATTACACTGATTGTGTATAACCTAGGTACGTTAGCTCTTATTCAGGAACACAAGCTCATAGTGAGAACTTTACATCGTAGTTGTATTCTGTGTGGTCCAGGAGGCCCTCTCTGAAGCTGGCGTGATTAGTTGCTGCAGTGGAGGCCGACACGAAAACTTGCGGGTGAATATCTGAGGGCGCTCAGTGGGAAGTCGACGAGGAAATGATGATGGCCCCCGTGAGGAAAGAATCCGACCCCATAATGGGGTTATTCGAAACGCCATGGTTTGCGTCCTGGGGAGCCGTTCTTGACAATTGCTGAATTTCAGCCCATTGATGAATCGGCGACGATATCGCGATGGAATGGCCGCGGGCCACTTGGATTGGCTAGTCCTAACTTGGTTTAGTGCAGTTCTTTCCTTCCTGTATTGAAATCGACCAATAAAAACCCCGGTTTCTCGAACAAGCTCCCGCGTCCCACCAATAGCTTGCTGCTATTTAGCCATCCTCTCGGTCCCTCGCTATCCGAACCAACCAATTCATCACTCCTCGAGGTGACAAACACAGGAATGTGAGAACCTCGTTCAGACTTGGGAAATTGCCTACAGAGGACTAACTACTACGTTCATATAAAGTGATACAGAAGAATCTTTCGAGTCAGGAAGAATTCAAGCCAAAGGCATTTGGTAGATTGAAAAGGTAATTACTAGAGTCGAAATTTGGAACTCGTACGACGTTGAACGTAGGGTATCTCGACAGATTTAAATATGCAAAGACCTCAAAGTAAAGGCCTCGTGCTAATGCTTTTGGATCGCCTTGTCATTGCCTGACGTTGACTAGCAGCTTAACAGACATTTTCAGGTAGCATCGGAATACATGCTGGGATCAAGACGCGTTAGAGAAATGCTGCGTAATGCTCGCATAGTTGAAGATTGCTGTTACATTGAAAGAAAGACCGAGGAAATGTTCTCAAGCCATCAAGCAGATCGAGAAGCAATCGGCTTCCAATCACTCCTACTCTCAAGTTCAGCTACGACTCTAGATTTCAAGATGATGTTCTTCTCCTTTTTCTTTTACCAGTTTCCAATTTCTCGGGTTTTTTATTGTAGAAACGGATCAGAAACCATCGAAACAAATAGTTCTGCCAAAAGCAATTAACTTTAGCATATCTGCATTCAAATGCTCAATTCATAAAGGAAGTGTAAGAGAATCCTTTTATAATTGTCATTAATTGAGATTATTCGACATTTCCAGAGTTAAGTGAAGTTCAATCACTAATACATAGAGACTGTGCCCTGAATGTTCTAAGCGTCGCCATCCCAATAACAGGGTGGTACATATTTTACGATTTCAAGAATAACACCACATTTGTTCCCCATTCGGCATTTGATCTGTCGTGACCCAAACCGACCTTTCCCCTTTGCTCTTTTTTTTTTTTTTTTTTTTTTTTTTTTCAGGTCCCCAAAAGCGATGCCGGGTGATATGGATACGTTGGCAAACCATATCTGAATGAATGCGGGGGGATGTCGCTGTCATCCTTCACGTAACGTTATGTGATATGGTATCTGCTAAGTCCTCCTCCACATGCTCGGACAAATTCCGCTATGCGAGCCCTGCTCTTCCAGACGTTGACAGGTGGCTGTGGAATAACCTCAAGATGGGATAAAGTCGTGCAATGGGAGACGGGAATAAGACCGTCAGTGCAATAGGTGGCAGTCAGCATAGCTGCGTCTGAGAATGTAGCTACCAGTAACATGCCGGCCAAATGGACTGGCTGTGTTTCAAAGGCGTAAGGCCTTTCGAAAGATACACCCACAGCAGTTCCCAAAAAAGGTGGGGTACCGGCAACGTGCATAATCCACTCTGCAATTGCAATCGCATTACAGAGCAAGCCCTCCTCTGAGGGGCTTCCGTCGCTCAAACCATAACCACGGTAGCCGAATGTGGGAAGCTTATTCGGATTTCCAGACAAAACACGATAGTGATCGGGCCTCCGTCCGGAAGCTAATGGCCCTGACGTCCCGTGGGGATATGTCGCAATCCGAGGCTTCTTTTACTAATCTAAATGAGAGGCTAGGGGGTTGTATCGACAGTGGCAGGTGAAGCTTCTCTGGCAGAGTGGACAAGCGCCGCGTATAACACCAGGGGCAATATATGCCATGAGTGTAACTTAACCACCGTCAACCATCGTGATATAGAAAGCTTTCGGGCACATTAAGGTCGCGAAACCAGGCGAGCGTTACTCGATTTGGAGAGAAAGGAAAATAACCGATAGTTCTAGGAGAGTAGACTTGAAACTAGAATAAGGAGAGGCAAGTGTGTAAATTACAGAAGAGAAAGACCGGAAAGGCCATATCTTCAATTTTCATATTATCATGTTGATTGATGTCCCTAACGTGATGACTCGAGTACTTTATAACTTAGTTATTACCCAGGGTTACGTAACTATGTACGTACAGTACAGTAACTATCCCATACATATGTAAATCTGGAGAAATGTCCGCTCACGCGGGTTGCGCTGTTTGCTATCATGTATTTTTGTTTTTATAGCACACAGTAAATATTGAATCGCGAACGTAGGGTAGTACATTTTTGATCCAAACACCACCTTTGCCCACCTTACGAAGCTCCTTTACCGCTGCCTCTGATCAGGTTACCGACAAGCCAAGTTACAAAACTCGGGGGTCCATGCCAGTCAGTATCAATGATGTTAGGCATTCAAAATCCTCAACGGGGCGATGAGATTCGTAAATGATAGACAAGTTCATACCTTATTGCTGCCTAATGTGAACTTAGGTCAGAGGGATGTTTGGGACGGCTCCTTCATATTTTTTTTTAGTGTCGAGCATTCTCTTAATATTAGTGCATTTTTAGAATCACCGATATTCTAAATCCCATAGTCTGCGGGTATTCTTTCTTCTCCCTGATTGACTCAACCTCCTGATAGCTGCTGCGATGTGTCAATACAATGACTTGCCGTATATTTATGAAAAGTGCGAGGAAATCCCAAGGCACATAGTGATCCATCGACTCTATGAGTTATGTGAACGTCCGCAGAATGTCGGAACTTATCGTCATTGCTCGGACGAATGGGCTACAAAATCCGATGATATTCTCGCTGGGAGTTCGAGAGCCAAGGGAGATTGTATAACTTGCGCTGATCCCACCAGGACCGTCGTCATTGTAAGTTGAGACCATTAGGTGCCGGGGGACAGAAAGCTAACAACTTTGCTTTAGTCGTATGTCTGAATATTACGAACGAAGCGATCAATCGAGGACGGGAAACGAGGCGGCAGGGCCAGTTTATTTTCAAAAATGTCTACGGGAGAAATATATGACAAGAACGCCTATGGCGAGTGAGAGGACAATATAGCTGCATGGGACTTTTAGTTACGAGAAGTAAATAATAGCTGGCCCAGGTTACATACCTCCGCGAAATTCCTCCTCTGACAGCTTGCAAATCATCCACGACGGATTTCTGTCCGAACTTTTTCCTTCTGAATAAGTTCAATGTCTCTCAACACGTCGCCAACGTCTTGGTATTCCATCATCCAGCAAGCAGAGATTACCCGGCCTAGTTCAAGGCTGCTGGTGTCTGGAAAGTTCCCTGCACCAAATAGTTTCTCAACCTCGTGGTCCATTTTATCATGGAAAGGCTTGCGAGTCGTTTCTAGTTCATAGAACGCAGAGCCGAGAGCAAAAACCTCTGTTTGTAGAGAGGGCATCGATGATGGAAATCTTGGATGTTCAGCTCGTGTGCTGCTAGCTATGCTGGGTGATGAGCCATCAATGGATGATCCGGCGAAGTCGGCTAACTTCACATTCCCATGCCCATCTAGCAGTATATTGTGAGGGCCGATATCAACTTGTAAAACTCCGCGCGCGTGGGCATGCTGTAAGCCTTGAGCTATTTGACACGCCCAGCGGAGTACATCTTCAGTTGGGGTAACCAGGTTAGCCTCCTGCAGGTCCCTGAGCCTTTTACGGAGAGGGTATTGAAGGTGCTCAAGAATGATCATGCCATTGTATGCTGATAGGAATTTTGTGATAAAAGGATGTTCACCCAAGCGCTTATAAATAATTTCCTCAACCTCAAGTTGGCTGCGACTTTCGTAGGTATCATAGGGAACCTTGATTACTTTTGATGAAGAAACTTTGCGCACAAGACCGGAAACACCACGGGAGATAATGGGAAAGGAATGTACGTTGTCAGTGATGGGTTGAGTTAGAACCATAATGTTGTTTAATGTGAGTCTGCCTTTAGGTACTTCGCATAATCACAGATGAGCAGTGTAAATAACGACCTTCAAACTCTGTGCCACGATAAGAAAGCCTCTCCTTTTACGGAGTACTCCGTACAGTACAAGTTAGTGAGGTCCACAAAGTTATTCCGATGTCATGTGACTTCTAGTTAGCCCAGCGGCTATTGAAGTCCAGCCCAGAAGCGATTATCTACAGAGTATCAAGCATTCAATTAACTATGAATTTGATTTGATTTGGACACACTTGATTTTGCTACAAACCCAATTTGTGGAAGATTCGGTCTGTACTTTGTAGGATGAGTGGTTGACATTGAATGAATTTGGTGGCATTGTGAAGTTGGCCTAGCTATAATCTACTAAGTTTGATTATTAAGCTTCAGCATTACGCCACGCATACGGAACGATACTCCGTGCAGGGTGTAGATAGTATGTACCGAATACCGTGTATATTCCAGTACCTACAATTCAAGTTGCATCGGACTGCTAGCTCCCAGGACAGCCAGTCTTAGTCTTGCTGGGATCGGCGGCTTTGAATATATTCTTGCACCTCGGTGGCCCACTCGGGTCGCACAGTAGACAAGGGGAAAATTCGCTTCGTATCCGGAAGGTAGATGTCTGGGTCAAGCGTACGGATCTTCGCGCCCCGGGGAAGTCCTGAATCAGCCTTCTTAGGGATACCTTCAGACTCTAACCGCTTCATCATTTCCAATTCATCCGGATTAGCGATGCCGCGTAACAACTCCCAGAAGTCCTTATCTGATAGATTCCACAATGATTCCTCCTTGACTGCTCCTCGCTGAATCACATCTCCGATCAGCAGACCCGTCCTTTGGTCCATGTCGATGTGGGCTGCGTTTGCCCAAACATCTCTATCACATGCAACATAGGCCCTTGCAAATGATAACGCCAGCTGTGAGTCCTCCAGCACAAGCTGTCGAGCTGGATCAGTCGCATTAGGGACAGCCTTCAAAGACGCGAATACACGTCGTACATCTGCAATGTCCATTTTGCCGAATGCGGCTGCGTCCCGGAGGGCGTAATCGAGACGATCAGCGCATAAACGCGGTGCGGGCTTTTCCACCAGCGGGTACAGTTCCTCGTCCAACGGCTTCAAGTTGCCGAATCCATGTTTAGTAAGAATCTCAGGCAGTTCCGTTGTCTTGATATACCGCTTCTTATGAACTTCGTGAAAGCTCTCCTGTCCTGGAGTCGAGAACGCCCAGTCCACCACGTGGCTGAGAACTGTGTGGCTCACGTCATGCAGCAAAGCAGAGACTTGCTCTTCAACCCTTGCACCGACTTTGCGCACGAGCAGGAATGCGCCCACAGAGTGCTCAAGGCGAGTCACGCGCGGTGTGAGGCCGAAAAGGCCCGTAACACCATGCTGGCTGACGCCATGAAGTCGAAGAAGGGACGGAGATTGGAGAAGTTCGACTAGAATGGGTTCTGTGATTAGATGTCCACCGTAGAGTGCATCATGGATGAAGATTTGTTCAGGGGCAGGGAAAGTAAACGTTTGAAAGAAGCCAGCTGTGAACAATGAGGCCATGATTTTTGAGCATCAGAGAATACTAAAGTAGATTAGATTGCATGGATACACTGGTTCTTAGTGTGGGAAAGTCCCTTTGTGTACCTGGGGACTTGTGGTCCATGCACAAGAAGTTTATTCGAAATATGAAGGAATTCATTCTTTGACATTGCAGATGCAAACAAGCTTGAGGTGGGGGTCGCGGCTTTTGTAAGAAGCGCTGATCGCGTCAAGGTTATTGATGCCTAAATTGGATGGCTGCAGGTTGAGCGCCGGGCGTGTGCAGGCCGGAAAACCTTTGTTCCAATTTTCTGCCAACCACTCCAGAGGTACGGAGTACATAACTTCATCGTGAACAGCTTGTCTGTCCTCTGCGCTCAGTGCCTGCCACTGTTGCCAGTTTAAATTTCATTATGGTGATAATTGTATCCAACCCATTCAAGGAACGGCGGCTTAAGCGCAAGCTCAAGCTCAAGCTTAAGCATTTTAAGAAATTACCGAACCCACCAAATGCCCACACTTCCTGCAACACCTTGCTCATCCCTAGCATCCCCAAAAGCGCCTTTTTCCAGCGCATTCCGCTGAGATCAGGCGACTAATTTTGATTGAGGCCTTTGGAAAACGCCCAGTACACTTTGACTTGGGTTTGCTGCCCCCATTGAAATACATGCCGAAGCACTACAAGCAATCCCATCCACTCCATGCCAACCTCACATGCTGGCCTGAGCATGACTGGTTGGAACCTCTCCAGTGGCAGTAACGCGGCAGTGTGTGTTATAGGAGATGTCTACATCTCTGGCCTAGTTTACCAGGCACTGAACGCTTTAGCCTAGATGAATGCTGGTTTGCTAACAACACAATCTGTGAAAATTGGCTGGGAGAGATGCCTACAAACTGCATGGTTGGTGCCATGGGTTGGATCTTTGCATGCCGACAAGCATACATTGAGGCCATTGAATTATTATAGAGCACAAACCAGCTATTCATCCATGAAACATCTGCTGCATCACCTGCCAGACCTTCTTCTCCCACAACGGCTTGCAGCTATTTGTTGTGATCAGTTATACTGGTGGACATTCAACCATGGTGAAACACTCTACATTCCCCGTAAAAATACATTTTTCTTCCTGACTCTGACATGGAAGACTTTTCCCGCTTGTTCAAAGCCTTTCCGGCGATGCTCCCCAATCTTACCCACATGTATCGCTCTCTGCGGGTGAAGTTCCAGTAATTTCACTGGCCTGACTGGGGTGAATTAGAGGAAATAACTCTCAATGCTAGTGAGACACTTATAACTGGTCAATCAGATGGTCATAAAGCTGCATCTGTTGTTAGATTGCCAGATGGCAGTACGGACCAGCTACTTCCACACACATAAGCTTAAGGCAAAAGGAATAAGCGTGCTCACAAGTGATTTCATGATAGCTTTGATGGGTTGATGCACTGCCCTTACCTGTCCCAGCCCCCCGCCTCTGCTTGGAGTGATGCCTTGTGGTTTTGACTCTGGATGAATTGAAAGACAGCTGCACCACTTTTTCCCCCCACCTTCAACTTCAAAATATGTAAGTTGCGAAGTAAAGATTGTTCTCCCTCACTTCCAGTTTATTTTGATGCTTCCTTGGTTGATTGTTGGTGCATGTCACAATCTCTGCATCATCAGCTTAATAACAGGGGCAATTGATCATGTCAGGCAGGTTCCCGTACGTATTTCAACTCGCACCCATTTGCCCATATAGAAGCATTTATTTCTGGCTAGCGTATTTCCTATGTACCAATACTTAGAATATATTTCACTACTTATCCCTCACTTCTGATATAGGATTTGCGGCTATTCTACAGCTTGCTTGAACATAGCCATGTGGGGGTTCCAAAAACTTCCAATTTGGCAGATGGAGATATCGGAGAGTATTGCTATTCACAGACATCTCACCAATAACTCATAGAACAGGTTCAAGTTGCAAAATTGCCTGGTTTGCTGGAGATTAGTTTCTATCTCGATACTTTAATTAGAGGATGGATGGTAGGCGTTGCTCGGGCCGTGGGGAGCGGGATTTGAGAATCAAACTGTGACCACGAAGGACGAGTACACCATGGCTTAGGTTGTAACAGGTAACTAAAGAGCTGGTTGGTTGGTTGCGGAGTGCGGAGTGCGGAGCAACCCAAAGCTCGAGACCAGGGCTGGACGTACGATCTTTCGGCCCCACGAAATCCCGCGATTTACTCCATGCGCCGGACACGGGAGCGCACCGGCGCTCTCAACTGCTTTGGGATGGAAACAACTTCTAACCTCATTACTCAATCCAAAAGGCCACAGTAAAAGCTATTGTTCATCTGTTTGTTCAACATTACTTCCACTTCTAATCGAATACTCCCAGAATGGCGTCCGGAGTCTTTTTTGACCCCATGCGGCTTCTCCGCGTAGCGCCCCTCATCGGCAGCACCGGCACCCTCGTTTACGCAACGGCAGAATTAGTTTACAATTCCACCTTCCTCCACCCTTCAGTCCGCAAGCAGTCAGACGAAATCCTGCCAAAGTGGTGGAAAGTTCTCTTCCACCGTTCGGTGTGGGTTGTTTTGGCTCTCAACATGACCACGAGCACCGCAACCATCGCGAACTTGGTGTTTGACTACAAATTCTCCATTCCAACCTTCAGCACTAAGCTTTACTGCGCGGGATTGGCTGCTGCAGTTGGGCATCTGCTTTTCGTTCCGTGGGTGGCTGGTCCAATTCAGGATATGCTTGGAGAACGGACCGGGAATGGCGCTGCCAGCGACATGGGCAGATGGCTCGGCTTCCATCGCCTAAGATTAGCAGTGGCCGATTTCCCGGCCTGGGTAGCATGCCTCGGCGCATTTCTGTCGACTCCGTTTTACTAGAACCGGAGCGATCGCAATCTCGTTTCGGACTTCAAAAAGACATCCGGCTTTCTCTGGGCGATCAAACCGATCTTCGTTGTTGCGGAAAAATGCCGGTCGGGCTTCGCTTTATACGATCCCCCTTTTACTCCTCCCTGACGCTGCTTTAAAATGTCGGACGATTTGACCAACCGACACTCCTCAGCGGTTGGGGACCCTGATAGATTCCCTCATATGGGAACGCATGTATTTGTATCCGAAAGTTGCCACATGAACCCATCGACCCGAGATCTAGTAATACAACAGTTATGATACGCCGTTATTGAATCAAACCCTCTCTATGCTCATGCTTTCCCGAAGACTTGACGTAGTACCCCGCCTAGAACACCGCGAACCTTTTTGGGATCCGATTGAATGCACGTTAAAACAATTGCAGTACCAAGAGAGAATGCCAGCTGTTCTCTCCACATATGCTGTCCATGGCTGTTAGTAACATAGCGAAACGCCATATCTTCGGACCCACTCACCTTTCGATCATATCGCCGAGGAAGCAAAGTAGCAATGGCTCTCGGCGCGACAAATAGAGAAATTTCCTGGCGCTTTTTTGCACTTTCAACAAAAACACTCCATCCACACATCATGCAGCCAGAGGCCACACAGAGTCCCGAATCCCACATCATCGGCGTGACCTTTTCGTAGGAGAAGATTTTGGGCCCCAGTCGAGTGCGAGCAAGGCACACAGAATAGTAAAATATGCTAACAAAAAGCCCCAGAAAGGTGGAAGAACGAAGCGAAGCTTTTACAGCTCCGAAATACCCTTGAAGAGAAGGTGATCTTGAGCGTAATAAAAGCTGTATCGGTAGGTCAGTCATCAGTGCAAACCTAAAGGACTTTGCAAATCGCCATATGGCGTGAACTTCGCAGTTCGGGCCACAGCCCATATGAACGACTTCACATGGTATTGGAACGGTCTGTGAGGGGTCACCCCAGACTCTCGGCCACCCATAATCCTCGCACATTGGTTCCAGCACATCCTGAGACCCTTTTGGTTTTCCATAGGTCCAATCTCCCCTTCGTGCACTCCGCAAAGCTTCTATGAGGCGGGGATCGATCTGTGCAACTTCACTAATCCACCTACCATAGGAGAATGGGAGCTTTTCGGGTACATAGAACCAAGCCCACATAACAGTAGCTGCGGTTACAGCGAATACCCCAGTGTCCAATAACTGAGGCATAATTGACTCTATGCGCGTAAAGCTCTTGCGAGCTCTTCGATGCAGCTTCCATCGGGACCACGACGTACACGCAAGCACATCCACCGCCCTAACCACCACAAAGAGAGTGAGATCGAGAGTCCTTCCAGCAAACGCAGGGCGGTGCGTGGCTGTCGAAACAGAATATCTTCGACCTTGGCTCGATACGTTGATTGTATTTCCCCCTCTATCCGGGAAAGCATCATTTCTAAACGTATTGGGCTCCGACTCAGGTCGCCTCCTGCTGTTAAGAAGAGGGAAACAAAGCCACGCTGATACGAAAGTCGCTACAAAACGTAGAAGCCGGCTCAGCTTTACAGCCAGAACCACTCTTTTTGACTTTTGCCGATTGAACAGAGCTGCTATGACCCTGTTCAAAAGTAGTGGCAACAGTGTAGAACCGGCGGCGAGGAGAGCACAAACCGATGGAAATCTATTCCATCGTAGAGCCGCAACAAGTATATGAGCAAGCTACACGTGCTGGATTAGCTTTGAATGATGGGTCTGGTTTACGCTTCGGGTGTATCAAGGGTAGGGTTTTGGTGGCTGCCACACAAGAAGCTAGCGGTGAAAGGCCGGTTACTTACATGTCTAACTTTAACTTCATTGCTCAAATCCTTTCTTCGAAGAACTCTGATGAACGATACGACCCTTGGCCCTGTCGTTGTGAGATACCCAAGGGCGTACGCGCGGAGCGTCCTGCGGCGGTCGACGCGTTAGCGAACGTGCATGGATTTATGCTCTTTTTTCGTAATAGCTCCAAGAATCCTTCGATCAGTCGATGTGAGGGAACTGCACATACGGTTTCAAGACTCGTGAATCCAAATTTTTTATCCGACGTCTTAGGAGGCGATCCATGGTGGGCCGTCGAACGGTAAGCTCCCTTCGCTCAGGGGCGAAAAGGATGATCAGGTTTCAATGCGTTTCAGAGTTGGTGTTGTCGACTCCCGCGCAGAAAAGATTCCACTATGACCACTTCGGAGATTTTCATTTTCCTTGGAACCCCTGCCTTGACCCCTCGCAATGCTGGGAAGTAGAAGTTGGAGATGCGAGGACGAACTGGACGCGGTTGCTGGGATGAGGTCTGGCCTGGCAAGCGTGATTCTGGAAACCTCGGTTGGTCGCGACGTCACGTTCATTCCACGTTTAAACCAGATTGTTCGACCTCTCCCCCCCATCACAACGCAATCCACTCCGCTGTCCGTCCAGCTACAAAATATGTACACTGCGATATCGAAAAGTTTTGCCAACACGCGACGCGGGTGATTCCAATGTCCATATGTACAGTACATACGCTCTGCAAATCCGGAAAGGTTAACCTTATGGCACCTCCATGCATCCCCATTTTGTGGGGGTGAATAGAGTGCCTCGCATACTACGGTTACGGTGTGTTTCAGGGGTTCACTCTGCTCCAGTCAAGCCAAAGACAAACGACATGTTACATTAGGCGATAAACAGAGCCGTCGATACTCCCACGGTAGTTTTGATCTTTTCTGGCAAGCTTCGAGATGATGTGTGATTGGACACCTACCCCGATGCACTTTTTCTCAATGCAAGATCACACAGATCCTGGCTGCCAAGACAGAAATTGGCAGGCCCTTTGTTCGGTACCTCTCGGATCCATACAGAAGGCCTACTTGGCTCGTCGGTATGAACACTGTTCGTGGCCCATATCTCTCATTGGATATGTATCAAAAGTGATGATATACTTTGGCCCATTGTGCGGGCTTTGGGAATTTCATTGCAAAGCCCGAAGTTGCAAATTGTCCACGATCCCCAGAGTTCTCAATGCCAATGAACATCTTTATGATCCGGTAGCCATTGCGGAAAGGGGTAGCTGGGAAGTAGTCGGGTATTTTGGAGCGTTTGCCCTGTCTAATCTTTCGCTTGTCTCGGCGAGCCGTGAGGCATCATTTGAGACATTCCTCTTTTTTTTTTTCCCTTGCTTATGCCATACTACGTATGGCGTTGAGCATCCAATGAGTCCATCCCGTCTCTGCTGCGCCTCGGGATCATGTTTGAAGGGAAGCAAGAAAGGGCGGCTCCACGCTTCAGCGTTGGCTAGGAGAGCCGAACAGATCGACAACTAAAGTGAACCCATAGATGTTCTGCAAACCAGTTGAAGAGGCTAGGGACCCCTGGGAATATCTGCCCTATCAGCCTCATGGGGAGGTGTGAATCCCCGGAGACCCATACCCTTTCGAGAACATACCCTTGAACCCAGCATCGTTTGTAGGTTGTTCAGGGTCAAGCTTCGATTCCCTGAGTTCTCACTCCAAAAGAGCTTTCGGCATATTCGCATTGGCAGACAGCCTACTGCATCCGAAGGCACAAAGACTTTGATGCCATATCGCATGTTGCAGACAGCAAGTGGCCGTGCCATTGGGAGCTATATGCAGCAAAAAGGTAGACATGGCAACTCTCAAGATGATGCAGTTCCAGCTGATAGGTTTGAATCGCCCGCCCTTCGGGAGCTTCCAGGGTCTTCCTGGAAGAGGACGATGGGTTCGGGTATCGGGTAATTCGATCTAGGCGTTTCCCCGTAATCGTTGATCTCGAGGGTTCGCAGTTTTGGCACATCATGGGGGTCAGAAAGCACCCTCCAATATGCAAAGGCCGACTGTCAGCGTGACGATGTATGCGTGTCGACCAGACGTGTGCTCAGGCCCTTTGGCTAGCAAGCCGGATCTTCACCAGGATGTATGGATCTCACGATAAAAAAAAAAGAAGAAAAAGAAAAAAAAGAAAAAAGAGGAACCACTAGGATGAGATCCTTCGCGTCAGCGGGTTACTCGGAGAGACTGCAACGATGTATGTTTGCCCAGGGAAGCGGTTGGGTTCGAGTCCTGGTGGAGACATATAGCGTTGTGTTTCAAGGAGTAGACGAGTCAAAATCTTTGATATTGTTTTCATACATCCCTTTTCTTCTTTTGAGTCCTTCTTTCTTTTGATATATAATAATTTTTTTTTTCGGCTTTTTAGTTTTATCTTTTATTTTTTTTTTTTCTTTTTGGAATTTTTCTTTTCTTTTTCCGAAGTGCGGTCCTTCACTTGCATCATCTCTCGCAGCGTCGTATTCGTGTTGCTGCTCTGGGCACAGTGGGGACTGAGCGTGTAATATGGATTTTGATTGGTGGGATTGCGCAAATCCAATTTACGGCAGGAGAGAGCGGCGGCCAATAAGGTTAGGCTAGGAGGTTGTCCGAGACCGAATTTTCTGGAAAAACTACATTGCCCGGCTGCCGAGCGAGGCCCGTGTGTGGTCCAGCAGGGCGGCCGCTACGTCACGCGAACACTCTCTGGGCTGATCATTTGTTCAGACCGCAGTTGGAAGGATTCTGTTTGCATGTGATCCTCTCCGTCGTCCAAATCCATCCCAATACCCTTGCCTGCAGGATCCAGCCAATGCCAGCACCCTTTTCCATGCACTATGCCCCATTGCTCCAACCATATTTTGAACCAGCAATAATTTCCCCAGATTTTCACGAGATATCATCTATTAAATCTAGTGTGATATATGTCCCTTCTCCAGCTTATTCCTCCTGCCCCGTGGTGTTCGGTTTTGCCTCTTGTCAACTGACTATCCACCCCCAGACTTGCCCCGGACTTGATCATCTCCCGAGAACTTGCGGCGCAACGGGGCTTTTTGCTTTTCCAGTACTCCGTACGGTGTATTCCGTACACAATTTTTTTTTTTTTTTTTCCCTAACGTCCTCCACATAACATTGGGCACGGGCAGTCTTTCCTGCAAAAGTCCCAAAAAGCCGTTCAGTCATAACTTCGAGGCAATCACCCTACCCCTCCCACCAGCAGCTTGGTTCCTACCATGACAGAAGTCAGTATGTCTGAACATGTCCACGGACACGCTGGGCGCTCCGTTCCTGGGCCCTTTGGATGTATGTTGCTGATGCTTGTTTTCTCCTGTGCGTTTTGGTTTTGTGAGACGACCCTCTTGCTGACTTGGTTTCGATCGCAATGTTTCAAGTCTACACACCATACGAACCCGCACCTGCTCCTCCCCCGGGGCCTGCTTTGCTGGATGATAGCGAGTCAAGCATGCTGGACAACTTCTTTACCTCGATGCATGCCAATCATCTCGACAGCAATGACTTTTGGTTCGGCCTAGAAGACCAGGGGAGTGGGAACTCGGGACTGCATTTCGACTGGCCAGATCTTCCCCCGACTTTTGAGGGTTCGACAACCTCGCTGCCGTCGCATCCGCCGGTTACGCAGAGAATACATCGCGACAACACGGTTGTCGATAAGCCAGGGCCTCCAAGTTCGGATGTTCTAGCTGCTGCGTCCATGCTCTACCAGAACGGAATGGGCGGGAATGACTTTTCGTCGACGTTCACGAGTCAAATATTCACCGAAAACGGCCTGAAGGACCTAAGCTCGCACCAGGCGGATATAAAACACCCACGGTATGGCCTTGGAGGGGACGTGCGACGATCTCATTTCGGCTCTACCCGAAGAAACCCAGCATATAACGATACAGAAGTGCGTCATAACAGGGCGGAGGGTGATGGTGGTTCTTATTCTGTTTCTAAGGAACACATCTTTGGTCCTCTACGATGGGGTTCGGATGCCGGTTTTGCAGAACAAGGATATCAGGTTCCGCCAGATCAGCCAACTATGGAGGAAAGAACGACCGAAATACTGCACAACCTGGAGTGCTTCGAGTCCCAGAGCAGCGCCCCAAATACTAGACCTTCAAGCCCAACTCCCCGACGACGTTCAGACCGTACCTCTGAAGTCGGTAGCCTCCGGAGCCCGAACTCTCTTACGCAGTTTTCGCCCATGGATACGAACCAAATGGACGGCGACTCTCGACCGACGAAAAGACGAAAGAATAAAGGGAAAGTAAAGGATGAAGAAGACGATTGCACTCAATTTTCCCTCGGCAGACCTTCCAGCTCTCGAAGAGATCGACGATGGTCGTCGAATAGTGGCGCCCAAGCCCGCAGATCAAAAGTACACGTGATCAAACCGCCTCGTGAGAATCTGACGGAGGAACAGAAAAGAGCAAATCATATCCTGTCGGAGCAAAAACGGCGGAATCTCATAAAACAGGGATTCGATGAGCTATGCTCGCTCGTTCCGGAACTCAGAGGCGGCGGTTTCAGCAAAAGTACGATGCTCGCGCAGGCAGCTGATTGGCTGCAAGATTTACTTCAAGGAAACGAAATGCTCAAACTTCAATTAGGAGACATCAGAGAGCGAACTGGCGGATGATAAAAATTACACATATACCTTGGTGGACATCCGCTTCGTTACTTGCACACCCACGTTGTATTGAACTATCACGCGCCGTGGCATGCATTTCTCTTTCTTCGATCCTTTTTTAGCCAACTAATATCCAGAGCATATGGCCTGGTGCATATCTCTCTTGCCTTCTGTGTACAGTATTCTAGCGAGCATTTTTGTCCTTTTGCCCTTTTTGGCCCTTTGCATTTTATCCTTTCTGCTCGCCTACCAGAGTTTAGGATATAGGGCACCTATATTTTTGTGTCCCTCTCGCCTAGAAGGCAGTTGGAGAGTTGTTGGAACGTAAGGTTCATGGAGGATACGAAAATTATCCATCGTGTTTGAGTTCAGCAGGCAGATGTACATACAATACATTCAACCACCCCGATAATACCTATCGGTACATATACTAATATTAGTAACAGTGATTCATGATCAAGATCCCATCATGCCAATGAAATTTCCTCCTGATCTACTCCGTACTCCGTACTAGAAGGTGTAAAACCTTGATGTATACACTGGGGCACACCATGCCTCTGAATGGCCACACTAGAGGTTCTCCATTCGGTGCAGCACGTATGCAACTCGGAAGGCAGAGACTTCCTAGCTGGTCTGGGCGACAAGGTAGGGTCAAGGCAACTCCATAGCTTATGGCTCAAATAAGGTAGCTGAAGGAAGTTGAAACACCTCTCATCTGGGCCGTTCGGTCCCGGCCTTCACCCGTCGTTCAGACCACTAGATTCCGAAAATATAGCAGTCACCCAAACCAAGGTTAGAAAAAAAATAGCCCTGCGAGACAATCTTGGATTGGGGTATCGAAACCTCGGGATCTGCGCTCTCCCCTCTCTCTAGCTCCCGTGAAGAAACTAAGGCCTACTCGTGCCCCGTGTCCCATGTGCCCACCCCCAGGTGGTAACCCACGAGGGCCTTACCGGTGACTGCACGGGTGAGGAACCATGTTTTTTGACCCTCCATCCCCATCGATTCGCGAGAGGATCGGGGCGGCGTCCACGTTCCAAGAGAGCTTACTGGACCATCCCCGGTCTCCGTCCCCGCAAAACCCGTCCGCTTCGTCGGTGCCTGGCGAAAACAAGGTTAGAAATGGGGACCTCTACTGGGTGCCACCTGCATCAGGGAAGAAGAGGAGCTTTTTGTGAGGTTGGGAAAAATCATCGACATGTGAAATTGCGGGCGCGGGCGGGGTTAAGTTATCGCGACGGAGTCTTGGCACTCTGGTTTCCCGGCAGCTTAGTCAGCAGGCGATGACGGTTGCGCGCGTCTGGAAGAAGGTTTTGGAAGCTTGTTTGTGACACGTGCCTCTCGTTTCAATTGAACCTCAATGCCGATATAACGTAGGCGACAACAATCCTGTCCAGGGTCAGGACAAAGAAACTTGAGACACCGGACCAGGAACAAAGACAACCTGTTATATTTTCCTTGCATTGCAACAGCCAAACAGGCCATTAGACCGAGGAATTTTACGGAATACATTGGTCAAAGACAATGCCTCCCAAGCGCAAGCTGCGTCATGATGTTTCCTCGAAAGATGCCGACGATGCTGAAAGCGGGCCAAATAAGATTGCCAGGCTTGTGCCTCGTACTCGTCATGTTTCCGAAAAGACCGTAAAATCAAAATGGACCACTCTACCCGAACCAGTGCAAGACCGAATCAAGGACCTTTTTCAGGCAGTGGAGTTTCCTGTGCTCACGAGACAGAGAGAAGGGAGGAAGAGAGTTGAGGCGCAGTCGGCGCTGAACGCTGTGAGGAAGAAGTATGCCTTCTCCGCGAACATTACCGCCATCTTTTGTTTCACACATACTTGCTCCGCCGTGTGGATGAGTAATTGGCTAATTGATTTTTTTTGGTTCATGCAGTTTAGGAAAACGGCTGCCAAGGATGCCGTTTCCCCCCGGAACGAAAGAGAATAGTTTCAATTACGAATCTGCCTTGAACGAGAATGTGAGAGCTCATTTTCCGTTTCCATTGTTACCATCACCGATGTGCAACGGACCGCCCGGGCTAATTGGAATGCAGCGCTTACTTGAAAGCCAATTAGCAACTATGACCAGCTCCGCTACCCTCCTTCGCAGAGAGATTAAACGAGAGGAAACAGAACTTGCAAGAGAGACCGCAAAATTGGAGGAGCTCGAGAGGAATGCCAAGGCTGCGAAGGCACAGAGCAAAAAGCAATCGAAAAATGTATGTTGGACGTGATTTAGGCGTCACTTTCCTCCCCCTTCCCTTTTCGTACGACAGTTTTGGCTGATGTCTTGATAAGGTGCATCCGGTCCTCCGACGTCTCGAACGGCTTCCCCCACAAATAGAGGATCCTGTGGATTTCATCGTGACCGGTGGCCAAGATAAACCTGGGTTGTTATGCGATGTGTGTGCACCACCAGTTTTGATCTTGCATGATCGATGGCTAATCAAGATTTACAGATGGATGCAGATCCGGACGTCCTATCTTTGGTGAAACAACTGCGGAATCATCTCGAATCTATGAAGACCAATGCTAACCAAGTTGCTGGCATTCGGGAGGCTATTACACGGGCTCAATCCGCGTTGAATATGCTTCCGTTGGGGTGAAATTCGATGCAGTCGGAAATACTCCAAACCGGCCACACCCTCATCTATTTACTATTTCTCCATTGATAAATAGCCACCTGATTTTCTCAACCAGTTCAACGTAGAGGCTGATCATGGAGAAACTGTGTAACGCAAACATTCAGGTCCTCCCGATGTATCGAAGCGGTGGACATTCCATCGATACTTGCTTGAAGGGCGGTGCGATATGTATGTACGTATGTATTGTTGAGTGTTGGCGGTCGCACAGGGTCCTCTTGGCCGGCGGCACTCGCAGGACATAGGGCTTGGCAGCATGAATGGCCAGGCCAATTGCCGATTCGTGGCTAGGAAAAACGGGCAAAAAGACCCTGGAGATCTGTGCCGTATTCCGCTGCAAATCCAGGCCTTGTGAGCCCAGAGAATCGTAGATCTTGGACGAGTACTCAACTTGGCATGACTTTGACAGGAATGGTGTTAGTTAGGGTATCGCAGCAGAGCATCATCTGCTCCACACTTGCATTAACTAGTTAGTGTTGAAATTTTATCCTCGGAACTCGTCCTCGCTAGAATGGGGTGTTGAATTATTATTATAACCTTTTTTTTTTTTTTTCCCGTTCAAATTGCGACTCGCACCCCCTGTAGCAGCGACAGAATATTGTGAGCCCGGAGGCAGGAGAAGTAGACAATCACTTCTGAACGAACAAAACCCACGCCCAAGCTTTCGTAGGGCGGGAGGCGAGGTTCCAGAAACCACAGCTTGGGTGGGGGGTCCACCGAGCGCAAAGGTAGGTTAGTTACTCGGCTTGCTCTTTTTAAATGACCGCCAAGTCGCAATTTCTCCGGAGCGATCAAAACTCGCATCGCCCCGTTATGAATCCAGCCCATGACATCCGGGGCGATTGATTGCTTTCTTATCGTCGTCGTACCGGATATGAGTTCGTCACCGATCCAGCCCCGGAACCTTGTGTGATACAAAGAACAAACGAGAACCCGAATTCTCCATCAACGGACGGAAGGGTGGAACACTGGCCTAGCCACTCTCATGGGCATAATGGCGGAGACGGCTATGACTAAGGCTGGCGAAGCAAGACAGCCGAATAACGGGGTCTCCGGCGGCGTGACTCGTTCCACCTTGACGGAAGACGATGCCGTAAAGGCCAAGGAGTCGGCGGCTGCAAAAGGTAGCCAGGCATCCTCAGCACCTGCAGAGGGGGCAACGGTACCTGCAAGTGCCAGCCCAAAGAAGCGGCGCAAGGTGAATCATGGTGAGCTATGAATGGTTTCCTTTTATCCTCAACGCAGTGATCGACACAATGGGATGTGACATACGCATCCTGGTTTCTCTTTCTTTTTCCCACTTGCTCCATGTCCCTGGATTTTCTCAACCCCCATTTGCAGGCCTCGATAATACACCATTTGCTAATCAGTGACTAATTTCCTGCAGCATGTGTCTATTGCCGGCGCTCGGTGAGCTACAATAACTTTTTCTTCTTCTTACTTGGAGGACCCTGAATGGCTCGTGCCCTGGCAGTTGCGCATAAGTGCGCACACGTCTACGGCCACACTGGAATATATACATATTTTTTTTTTCTTCCCCTAAGCTGATCAAAGAGGACTGGCTAACTTTGTCTTGATGTCGGACAGCATATGACTTGCGACTCGGTACGACGACCCTGCATACTTATTTCATATCTTACATCCTGACGAAACACTGTTCTTGGTGTGTTCATCTGGTTGATATCTTGGCTAGGAACGTCCATGCACTCGATGTATAAAGCGCAACATCGGCCACTTGTGTCATGATGAACCCCGGGAAACCTCAAGGCGGGCCAAGGGCGAACAAGACATACAGTCTGTCGAAGAAGACGGCGGCAAAGCGAATAATGATTTTGGGAACAATCAGAAGATGAATAGGAAGTTGTCCGGGTCTTCTATAAACGACCAACTATTAGGAGACGGCAGCATCGCGTTACAGTCCCAGGGTGGACAAGATATTTCCACCGCGGCTGGCCAGGTGAACCAACAACAGCGTGAGTATTGGTCGCACCTTTTTTCAATCCACGCTCTCTGACATCGCACAGTACTAGGCTATAACGACTGGCCGTTTGGGCTCCAGAATCAGTTCCAGGATATGCACACATTCCATCCGTCATACATGTTTAATGCTCCCGAAGTTACAAACGAATACAACTTGCTTAACGATTTCCTCAGCACGAGTTTATTGGACGAATCCGCGATGTATCAAGGAGACGACACGCCCGGATTGTATTCCGATATGGCGTTCATGAATACTATGGGGACGAATTTGCCGGGTTCCGGGCCGTTTGTCCAACCGCAACAAGCACAACAATCGTCAATGGCCCCTCCTCAGTACCTGACAACATCTCAATCACAGGCCGCTCAGGGCAACGCCATTCAACGGCCGAATAGCACGGTAGGGAACGATAAAGCGAAGGAGACATATTACATGACGGCTGCAGATCCCTCCGGAACCGATCCCCCCGAAGAAAGGATGAACAAGCTCCTTAAAGCTAAATACGATGCTGGGTTGCTTAAACCGTTCAACTACGTGAACGGTTATGCTCGCCTCAATAAGTATATGGAAGAGCACCTCCAGCCGGCTTCTCGACAAAAGATTTTACGTCAGCTCGATAAGTTTAGGCCAAAGTTCCGGGAACGCATGCAGAGCCTCACAGACATCGAGCTAGTTTTGGTGGAGATGTGGTTCGAGCGAAGCCTGATGGAGTATGACCGTGTATTCGCGAGCATGGCCATTCCTGCGTGTTGTTGGCGCCGAACAGGACAGATTTTCAGAGGAAACAAGGAGATGGCCCAACTTATTGACGTGCCAATTGAGTCATTGAGAGACGTGGGTTCCCACTTGATGCGATTCGTTGAGTAGTAGATTGCGCTAATTGGTTATCTTCAGGGTAAACTTGCCATTCACGAAATAATAGTCGAGGACCAGCTCGTTAGCTACTGGGAAAAGTTTGGTGCAATTGCATTTGATAGCTCGCAAAAGGCTATGCTCACCAGTTGCACTCTGAAGAGCCCAGACCCGAAGAGCCCTAAGCAGGGTATTCAGTGTTGCTTTTCATTTACCATACGTCGCGATCCCCATAACATGTAAGGTTACCTCGCCTAAAATTTGGAATCAGAAATGTCGCTAATGCCCCATTCTAGACCCTCTATCATTGTTGGGAACTTTTTACCCACGAAGCGAACAGACAGGTAGGCATACCGCTGAATCATATTACATATATACGCGGGTTGTATCTCATCGGCTCATCGGGGAAATGAAACTCGGGCTCATGAGTACTGGAATTGGACTTCGTTTATATATACATCCCCCTTTCTTTACATTTGTACATACATATCCCCTATTTGTGCATCACTTGGGCTAATTTACTCATATGACATTGAGGGTTCACAAGAGATATTTCGGAAGTGGATGAAATTTCCTGTTCACCTAGATACACCTATGAATAGTAGAATCCCGCGAGTATTTTCAGAGCATCTCCAAGTCATTCACACACATTTGTTACTCGCCAAGAAAAGAAAAAAAGGCCTAGGAAAGGAGAGCTTCAAGGACTGATGAGGCTGATTTCCCTATTAGGACATGCTCGTTCAGGCGGGGTTCAAAAAGTTCCACCCAAATGAACAGATATCATTGATTCGACTTAAATACATCGTTATTCCCATGATATCTTTTTCAGTCTGGAAATTCATCACAACGAACTGAAATTATTTAGGGTTGATTGACGTTTGATTCTACTTTCGAAGATGGAACTACACCGGAAATCCCGCAGGGAGCAATTGAAGTCTATCACAGGTTAGTACGTCCATGTCGCTTCGCCTCGAGACGTCTGGAGTGCACAGTTTAGTCGATGGTAATGCTGACCAGACGTAGATCTTGCAGAATCTCTGTACGTAGACGTCGGTGGAAACGGCAGCCCCTGCAATATAACTGCACAAAGCAAATTCACAGCCCTCCGTCAACATATCGAAACTGCCTCGCGGATAACACGGGTGCCTGAATCATCAGCTAGAGAAGCACTGGATGCTATGGGGACAAAGCTTTGGAATGCATGTACTAGGAGTATGAGAAAGGATGGACTGGCGGACGACATCGTTAAGTTCCTAAGTCAAGGTTTGCGACGAGCGTGAGGAGATAGGCTCGTTTACAAGTGCTTACCCTTCTTTTTAGTTAGAGCGTTTGCATTCTTGATACTAGAATGCGCTGCCACACGACAGAGGGATGACTGTTCAGGTATAGACCTTTACTTCCTCTGCGTCGCGAAAAACTAAGCGGGATAATAGATGAAATCCGTCTTCTCAGAACGGCATTGAAAACTGCGAAATCTTGCATAGGTCCGTTAATTCTCAACTGGATATACTGTGTATGCTAATTTCGAAGTCAAGTGCTCAGTCAATTCGACATCGGTCTGAAAATACTCGAAAAGGCAGCGTTGAGAGAAGAAAAGCTCTCCACAGAATGTAGCAATGCCGGAGAAAGGGATGATATTTCGCTCAAGTTATCGGCTGAGTATTATATTCTGCGCATTCATCTGGTTTGAATCTGTCACTCTAAATGCCCTTTGTCCCTGTCATTGACCGATTACCCAGGCATGGAAGCAGAGCCGGCTCGACTTTGCGGAGCATATGCTTTCCAAGCTTCCGCATCAGGCCCTTCAGCAGGATGCGGTCTTGGTAGAGCAGCTTTCGAGTCTTCTTTTCGAAGTTGGCAAATTTCTGGTGGAAAAGAAAGAGTATCATGAAGCGGATAAATGGTTGCAGAGAGCACTGGAGACACTTTCGCAAAGGCAGCTAGATATGTTAAGTCCCGATGCAAGTGATATGAGACTGTGTATTATCCATGGGCTTGGTAGTACTATCTTTATGGGACGTTCTCTTTGATATCTGGGCGACTACTGACATAATTCCGTTGCAGTGCGGGCGAACAATGCTTTACATACAGCAGACTCGAGGATAAAAGTAACTCGATTGCTCAGTATCCTTGAAAATGTGAGTATGCCTATTTAAACCATTGCTTTCGAAGACATATATGCTCATCCTACAGGAATACGGTCATAGGCCAGAAGTGATGCTTTTGCATCTAGATGTGATACAGACACAAAAGGATCCGGATTGTAAACAATATTATGATCGTAAGTGAGCGAGCATGCACTGCCTCAAGAAAGGCTATTGACCTCATAGGATGGTAGGCCTCTGTGCTTTTCTTAAAACGGCTTCGGCAAGCGAGTTGAATTTTAAACTGTTGGTAAATCTTAATTATCAAGCTTGAATGAGATCGTCTAACTAGATCTCAGGATCGTCCATCATATCCACCAATTACGAAATTGCAAGTAAGCGTTTATCCAATTTTGAGCCTTTCCTTAGTTGACCATGATTTAGTAGTGATCTGGCCACGGATACCTTAGAACAACTAATTCTTGAGCGATTGGCTCCTTATGGAAATGAAACATTTCTTGAAAGAGGCTTCGTTACGTATGTCTGGATGAAGACTGCGAGTCCGGGCGTAAGTGACGGCGTTGAGTCACTCCAGGGAATCGTGACAAAGTTGATGGAGGCTTGGAAATTGCCACTGTCTGGGGAGGCTGCTCATGCATCTTTAATTGTCAGTTCCCATTGGTTTCAATCTTCAATGTTGGACACTCTTAACGAGGCAAAATAGTTAATATGGAAGAAAGTCGCCGCAGCTTTTGACCATAAAGATTATGATACTGCCCGGAACTGGTGCCAACTAGCGCTTCATCCGCTCTTTGCAAATTCAGGGGAAAGCAACAAGTGCAAAATAGAAAGGTGAACTTCCCATACCAATCATTTTTCACCAAATTTGTGACTGACTGGAAGCAGGAGGTTAATTGTGTGCGCTTTGGAATGCAAAGCTCCGGGAATAGCGCGAGAAGTATTCTCCAGATTATCTGAAGCTTGCAAATCGGAGGCCTTGACGAGATACCTCATGTACAGGGTGGCTCTGCAGGATGAAGATACGGATCTAGGTGTGAAGAGAGAAGCTTTCATCTGATGACCAAGGCTAACTCAGGAATAGCTCGAAACTGTTTGGAAATCATATGCAAATTTGATACAGAGCGGCAGACGTACTTACTGGCTTGTGTTGCTGAAGCTCTTCATAGCGGTGCTGACCGACAAGCTGCAATTGTCTTGCAGCAGATTCTCGACCATTTAGATAGCATTTCAACCCGGCAATTACACTTCCCTGCCCTTCTTCGGTATGTTTGCATCCGTATTTGTAATCCATATTGCAGGCTGGCTGATCATGCCACAGGTGTACTGCTCGGCTTCTGATAACTCAGTTAAGTCACAGTGAATCCCATAGGCCAGACCTTGTGGGCCAAATATGCAAAACATTTGACAGTTGTGAGTGTCTAAACAAAAGAAGAATTGTTCCGGTAAATATACAAAGTCTCAAAATTCTCAGTACACATAGCTGTGTCGCGCAATGCTCTCGACCTTGGCCAACTCACTGTTCTTGAGCTTGAATGGTTCTCTCGCAACAGCTATAATCTTGCGCTGCAATACTGTACGACGTGGGGCCCTCATCATGTTTTGCGCCTCTTGGATGCCTGTATAAAGGTATGGTTTGTCCCCGGTTTCGCATTATGACGAGGTTAACTGTCATTTAGATCATAGCTCTGTACCCAGAGAATTTAGGCATAGAAGCCCGAAGAGATATTGAGCAGCGAAACATTTTATGTCATTTCCTAGCAGCCGTAATAGAGGTAGCACAAGCAAGGACGCATAACGATTCCGAAGTCCAGGTTGGCACTCTCCAGCATTTGTGCATATGATAAAGCTAATTTTTCCTTCAGAACCAATTCTATCTTAATGCTAGAGCGCATATACAGGGATTTCGAAAGGTAGCGTTGCCTCTCTTCGAACAATTATCAAATGATGAGTCCCTAGCTGCATTAACGGAAAAGCGTCGAACCTTATTTGCATTCGATTTCGAGGCAGCCGTTAGGTTGAAACAATGGAGTAATCTGAGTGAAATGTTGAATGAATCTCGGAAGATTGCGGATGAAATGCTCTATAGTCTCTTTGCAGACGCAGTCCTAAGTTCCGAGGCGCCCGTCGAGGTGATGCTTAAAACATCAGAGGTAACTTTCCTTAACCCTAAGCGAGTGCATTGCACACGTTGTTATACTGACTATTCGTAGCAAATACTCACACAAGTGTCACAAGAGAGGAAGCACCAAAACCTGGAAAAGATCTCCCGATGGGTTAGGTGTGTTTTCCAGCTTTCAATCAAATCAAATGCTGCAGTTGCGGAATCAATACTCGATCAAGCATACATATTAGCTCGAGATGGGCCTGAATACCAAAAACATGAAGAAAATAGTGAGGCGCATCCAAACACAGAATCAGTTTCTCGACATACTTACCCAGATGAGGAACTCGAATGGTTATCAACGACGGCGTTCAATCTTGCTATTGACTTCTATTTGGCATCTGATGATATGGCAAGTCAGCGATGGTATGGAAAAGCGCTTGACCTAGCCCGCTTACTGCATGATAATGGTGTCCTGTGGAAGACCCTGCAGGAGAAATTTGGGAGGTTAACTTGGGATGATTAATTAAATCCAGTTTGAATACCGTTTTCACACTAGAAAGAGGTGTCTTCTCTTTCAGACAGCAAGTTGTCCGAACTTCTTACGTTCAGCTTTCACTCCACCTTGTTGCTAGATTTATTATGATCACCAATGCTAGACATTGGGTTGATGAATGGGCATCAGCTGCGGAGAACTCGCTCGAGACCAATATTGTGTTCAATATCTCGGTCAAGGCTTAGGGCAGTGCAGAAAAGTTAGCCCTCCTTGTATATACTAATACCTATATAATATATAGCATATTGAATAGCAATTTATGAATGTACATAATCGTTCAAGTGACCTGTGAATGTCATTGAAACTCTTCTGACCTTGAAGGTATAAGGAAGTAAGCTATCAGCTCCATGTAAGACATGGTATATTCAGTAAGAAACATCAAGTAGAGTAAATTAGGAGAAAGAGCAAGCATGGGTTACCATGGTTTCCGGGGGGAAAATGAAGTATGATATCAAGCGAATTCGTCAGAAGGGGAAAAGAGACGGCCCAAAGAAGGGATATATGAGCCAATTCTCACAAAAGTAATATTGTTGAACGAGAAAGAAATAGGAAATGAAGAATAAACATTAATCTTGGAAGAGCCAGTGGGGATTACATCCGGCTCGCGATAATTCCGGGTATAGGGTATGCTGGAGGTGTTGCGAATTTATGAATCAAAGTAGACATAAGGGACCATTGCCAAAGATGCCCAAAAAAAGATGCAGAAATGCAAAGAAAACTAGCTGGAAGAAGTGTCAATGAAATGGTAAAATGTACGGAGTAGGGAATAAACTCAGTGGTATCTCGAAAAACAGAACATCTAATTATCGGTGTAACTCCATCCAGCCGATGTCTATCTGCAAGAAAAACCACGGTTGATCCCACCTAGATCAATAGATCAGGCGACAAGATGATATATGAATGCATGATGAGTGTCAGAAAGAGAAGAGAGAAGGCACCAACGGAAAATGAGCCTAGTCAGAGTGCTAATCATAGGTGAGTCAACCCTCACCATCGGCATCAAGGGAGTTCGTTCGATGAATCTGTTTGGAATTTTTATCGCTTTTCCTTGATCTCCCTAGATTGGGCGTCGATGGAACTCGACGAGCAAGCCGTACCGGTTTCGAAGGTAACGGAGGCATTAATTTGCTATTGTCGGAGTCTGTCGAATCTTCACTCGTTTGATTTCGCTTATTTCGCTCAGTCAACGCTCGCACAGTAAGCTCTAGTTCGCGTTCAAGCTCGGTAGCGGAATGAAGGTGATCGGTAGATCCGTGAAGTTTCTTTCTATACGCTCGGAGAGTCCGACAAACCTGTTCAGTTGACATGTTCAAACTGCCGAATTCGCTCGTGTTCCCGTTACTTTTTGGTCGCCGGATATCTATGGATGGCCTGCGAAGTTTTGCGTGGCTGCTTCTCGTGCCCAACGTCCTGGATGAGCCAGACTTTGGGCTGGGAGGTGAAACGGATCCATCGCGTCGATTTCTACCATTACCGTCCAAATAGAACGTTGGAGATCGACGCGACAGAGACACTGGAGGTGTTTGGGGGCTAGAAGACGAAGTCCCGTTTCTGGCGAAATGATATAGGGTATATCTAGAGGTCTTTCTTCGAGAAGGTGGCGGAGAGGGATCCCGAATTGGGGTTGGGCTTGGTGAAGGACTATCCAATTTCTGGAAAACTGCAAGCTCACTTCGTGAAAGAATTCGTCGTAGTGGTGGTTTGACAGCCGTTGATTCCTTGTTTGGAGTTTCTTCTTCGGCTCGCGCCGGGATCTGCGCATTCTCTGATAAAGGTGTCTGTTGCTGCTGGATAGCTAAATCCCAAATCATGATAATACCATCCAATCCAGTGCTGACCAGCGTCCGTTTCTGTATGCCTCCACAATTGGTCTCGATGAGTAGCACATCACTCACACCCTCCGTATGGCCAAACTCCCGTGTTAAGAGCCCGTCTTTGCCAAAATCGTAGACTCGTACCGACTTATCCGTTGTTGACACACCAATGATTAATTTGGGACTTATGCCAGCGATTTCAGATCCAACTATAAGAGAGCTCATCACCACCGTATCACTTGTCTCCGAATCATTGGATTTAAAGGAGTGAAGATGACGGGATGAAGGAATATCGTATCTATGAATTTGTCGGTCTATGGTGGATACAACAAGAGTATCCGAGTCGTCGGGCAGCAGTGTCATCGAAATTGGAGAGGCTTTCAAAGTTATAACTTTAGATAAGAAGAAAGCAACGGTTATCGTGCCATCAATCTCTCGACACATACGATCTCGTATTACGACTGTGCGATCAGCAGAGCAAGATAGTAGTTTTTCGCCGTCGTTTGTAAATAATAGGCGGCTAACAGCAGCCACATGCTCATCCATCGTTTGGATTAAGCTGAAGGAGTCACCATCGTTTTGGAAGACCTGAACCATTCTGTCTCGGCCACATGTCGCAGTTAAGAATAACCCCGAACTTGAATGTATTGCGATATCTGTAACTTCTCCAGCATGCGCTCTGACTTGTTGCTCACAGGCCCAAGATTCACGGGAAATTCTCCTGGTATTAAATTAGTATTAATAGCAGAAATTGGTAAAGGGTTTACAAACCTCATCACACCATATTTGTCTCCGGAGACAAATATTTTCATGTCTTCACTTGCTCGTAACACTTTCAGCTCATTCGGTTCATCACTGCTACCCAAAACTTGTTCTATTTCCACTCTTTGGGTGCTGAGACACTTTCCTTCTAGATCCCAGAAATTAACAGCTCCATTGGAAGACCAAGTGAAAAACTGGGAACTAGAATGTATATCTGGTGCAGTTACAGCGCTTATGCCTAAGACAGGATCCTTGTGTGCAGGAATATCCACTTCCTGTGTTGTGTCTTCCTGACATTGGCTTGGTGACACCAACGAGCAAACGCGAATGGCATGGGTGGAATCCACCATGACCATGTAACTTGAAACGATTCCCATAGCAACAGTTGACAAGTGCTTTGACTTAGGTGACCGTGGACACTCGGTGTTTAGAGCCACACCCGTTGAAACCGAATGCCTCAAATCTCCGATCAAAGCTTGCTGAAAGGTTCCGTCGCGACAGCCGAACCAGACCGTTGCAGACTCATGATCAATGGCAGCAGATAGGATGGCAACGTCAAAGTTCTTAATGAGATGCAGCTTCTGTTGCCCCCCGACGTCGTCTAGGAAACATACGGCGCCAGATTCCGTACAAACGATAGCTTCGGTGTCGGATATATTTGAGATGCACGTAAAAATACTGTCCCTGAGGGAGCCTAATATGCAGTTTCTTCCAGGTAAAGCGATAGGCCCAGGATTAACAGGAGAAGCATTGGCAGGATCGGAATTAGCTTTTGATCTTGTTGGAGAATTTGGCGTTCCGTCGCCTAACCGCCAGACCTTGATATGTCTTACACCAACCCTAAATCAAAACAATTAGATAGAAAAAAGCGGCGGATATAAGTGCGTAGGCGTACGTAATGAGGTTAGTGCCTAACCAGCACATGTCTCGAATAAATGAAGTGCATTTGTTTGCAGAATGAAGCCGAGCGGCGCCACTTTTCAGGTTGATTGCCCAAATAAAAAGAAAACCATCGTTTATATCTCCCAGTGTAGCCAGGTATTGTGAATCTGGACTGAACGCAAGACTCCGGACACCAAACGTATGCTCCGCTAGAATCGACAAAGGAATATCAGATGGGGAATCATTCGCTGTTGAAAAAATCAGGACTCGTGGGTTATAGCCGGTCTAATACAAGAAGTTAAGGTCAGTTCGGCACCTTCTAATATCATGGAATCGAGCACTGTACCTCTCCTACAGCTAGAAATCTGCCGTTTGGACTCAAAGCTACGCTTGTGACAGCTTTAATCCTCTCTCGGGAGGTCCATGAGCGCGGAGTGGCCGCTTCTCCCCACTCGCTTGGGGAGCTTGCGGATGGAATGCCATTCCCTGCCGGTCTCAAAGCAGCTTGGAGAGTTCTAGAGCGTGTGTCGGGCGTAGTGGGCGGTGTGGAGGTATTGTTGTAGTAGGAAGGTGTGGAATTGATCCCTGTGGCTGTAGGACGAGCCCGGAAGAATCGCTGGGAGATATTCAAGTCCTCGTCCAGCTCTGCTAGAACAGCAGCCGATCCGGCACAGAGAGCAAACGTCCGGCTCGACTCGTGGCAGGAGAAGCCATTTGGATTGGATGTCGTCGTACCAATCACCGTCCGCAGCGAGAGCGTACATTGGTAAGGTGAGAGCTTGGAGGGCTGTTTTGTACCAGGTTTCAAAACGGGGGAGTTTGCGGGAATGATTTTGACAGATGCTGCGGGAGCGGATAGCTTGCTTCTGACGCCGAGAGAATTGTTATTTGCCATTACCTCCGCAATTGTTGGGAGGTGGAGTTGGTTGTTGTGACGCCCCAATCAATCTGGATCTGGTTTTCATTTCAGTTTGGGGCGGCATTGGTCGAGACGAAGACCAAGGGGGCGTAACTACAGCTCGTCGACTCGTCACTCTAAAGATCGAAATAGGCCAGGACTATCGGCATTATCTTCGGATGAGGTAAAAGGGAGTGTGAGGCGTTGTGGAGGGGGAGGGCTTAGATAGCAGTAACCGCAAATAAACGAGGTCAATAAAGACCACACTTCAAAGGAACGTCTGTGGAACACACCGACACGCTGGACGGCAAAAGGAATGTTGGGGTGAGCAAATGCTGTCAATAAACGAGGGGATACCAAAGATGTAGCTTTGTCAAGGCTGAGTTGTCGCCGGACGCGAAATTCCTGCACGAGCTTCTGTAGGGCGATTAGATTTTAGTTCCGCGAAGCTCTTCAAACCCCAGCATCCCAGCATCGGTGACTTGGCATACACCATCACCACGGACCAGACAAGGGTGGCTTGCTGAAGGTTTTCTCATCGGATACGAAATAGGTACACAGATGCTCAAGGTTTGGATTATTGAGTGCTAATCATCCAAATTTACAACTACAAACGCTGGCAAGGTGATGCCCTTGGCTTCCTCTGTTCCCTTGCTGTTGCACGGATACTAAGTTAGTTGATAGAGATCTCGACTCCGTTCTTCGTACTCGGCACTCAGCATCTGTATCCGAAACGGTCCCTTGCTCCACCTCCTTCGGTCCTGCTTTCTCACCCAGCCTTCCCCACATAAAGTATATCGAAACTCTCGAGAGCCGTGGTTCGGGAACGCCGCAATGGTTTCTATATACAAAGTAACGTACTTTATATCTGCGGAGACATGCATTCCGAATCCTGGTCAATAAATGCCTTAAAATAGCATTAAATTGCACCAAAAGGTAGACCAGCATTACCAAGCCGAGAGGAAATTCGAGCAATGAAATCGCCGGTCTAGCAGAGAATTTCGCTGAAAAGAGCTTCCCGTGGCCTCATACCTACAAGTTCATGGGTCATATTTCTGTGGTGCTAGGAACAAAGCTAGGTGGATATTGTGAATAATGTACGGAGTGCTCCGTACGAACCCAGCATGTTTCATGGATCGGACGGTTTTTAAGTCCTTACAGTGTCCTGAAGCTATCAGACGAGCTTGCTGCTAAAAAGATATCAACGAGGGAGGTGTCTCAGTGTTCTGCCTCAAATTCGAATGGTCCCTCGATTTGCCGTCCAAAACTTGCCCCCGCCCCGTAAATACGCACTGCATTCAACTGCCGTGGATTTTGCTCTGTCATCGGCTCAAGTCGAGCTTGCATGGGAGACAAAAAGGGGTGTTTGCTTTGTTTGCGGTATGTCCTTAGTAAGCGCCAAGGCGGCCTTTCAGGTTTCTTGCAGAGCGATGAGATGAGCTTCACTTGCATTCCAGTTGGCGTTTGAAGCGTTTCGTGCATTGTTTCTCCTGATATATGCGAATTGCACAATGTTTGGTATTACAAGCCGTCCTTACCATCGCTGGTCATCATTTGCACAAGCCCTTAGAATACTGCAAAGTGGTACGACCCTAGCCCTCGAGCTCGACCACTCCTCGTTATTTTTCTCCAAAAGAAATATTACCAGCTGCTGCCACCATACTAAACCCGCTTCGCATACGCCCACTTCGTCAAACTCAATATGGACACCCTCCCCGCTGGCGGAATCTCGCTTGAGGTCCGGCTATTCCCTCAAGCCTGCGCACACAAACCGTGTCGTGACCCGGCGGTATGCCTCTACAACACCAAAGGACTCTCAACCCGATCCCCAGGCGAAGACGGTCTCAAAACGGCCCGCTAAAAAGATGGAGCAGTGGCGTTTGCAGAAGGAAGCTCTGAAAAAGAAGTTCCAGGAAGGTTGGGCTCCACCGAAACGCCTTTCACCTGATGCTATTGAGGGAGTAAGAGAGCTTCACCAGCAAAATCCCCAGAAGTTTAGCACTGCTGTCTTGGCAGAGCATTTTAAAATGTCACCAGAAGCAATCCGCCGGATCTTGAAGAGCAAATGGCGTCCGTCCGAGAAGGAGATGGAGAAGAGGCGAGAGAGATGGGAGAGACGGGAAACACGTATATGGGACCATATGTCTGAGCTTGGTTTGCGGCCTCTGAGGAAAAGACCATCCAGCCCTGCTTCAGATAAGTCTTCGGACGCAGAGACACGAAATCGACAGCCGTGACGAACCTATTCAAACTGACGCTCTCCGATATTTGACATGTTCTCAACATCCTGCACCAGCATAACGGATATTATATGGTTATTGACGCACACTATGCTCCACGCACACATGTGCATAGCATATTACCATGCCCATAGGCTTCATTCGATTGCAAGCACCCTTCTTATCCAAAGGGATATTAGCCCGATGTGGGTGTTACTATTGCGCTAGAGGAGACGCGAGCCGATAAAAACGTCGCAGCTTTTTCAGAGGAATTGCCCACAGATGATTACCAAAGGGATTCCGGTTTTATTATCGAGACAAGTCCTTGAATATGACATGTATATCCAGGAGACTTGGGAAGAGGAACCGCGAGCGCTTCCCTGTATGCAGTGTTGTTCCCCTGTATACAGTCTGGAGGAACATATAATATTTTACTTTGCTCTTCTATGAGTTGATTGGATAGCTAGTAGGAAGCAGATGAGCTGGCCTCGCAATTTCTTGGACTTGCTCCTTCATTTGTCCGTAGCGGCAATAGCATGGCAGATCAAAGTGCTTTTTAGCGCGCGCTTAGCTCGTAACCTAAAATCTAACCGCCACATCTAACCGCCGGCATATATGCACTAGACTCCTTTTGCACTAGTGCACCTACCTGGGGCAAGTGGCTCATTGCTAATCGCCCGATCAGCCAGAGGGCAACCCTCCGTCACAACCGGAAGCCAGGCGGTTGAGGCATCAACTGGGAGCCTTTTTCCCAATATTCCGTGATGTTGCGGCTGGCTTTCCTATCTACAGCGTATCCATCCTGACAGAATGCGTGTATCCGACGCATTGGAGCCAGCCCTTAGTCGATCCGCGATTTCCTGTGATCCGCGCCAGCTTCTCTATCTCCGACCGCTGTCTCTGTGCCTCCCCGTGACATGAGCCGTGCACGATACGTCTATTAGTTCGTCATGTTGTCAGATATTCAAGTATTTGTGCGGTGGAAAGATCAAGCTATTTTCGCTGGCGAGAATGTCGAATGCACAATAACCTTTAAGCACGTCACTCCTGGTGATTCGGGAGCTGATGGTAAAGGTTCACAGAAGCATTATAGGGGTGGATCTCGGCCAATAAACGTGATTGAAAATGGAGCCCATTACTCTCCTGCAAGATCTCTGAACCCTTTCTCGTTTAATAGTAACAGTCGTCGGCCTGCATCTCTTGGACAGAGAGCGTGGAATGGCGCCGAAAAAGGGCATCGCCCATCGGCATCACTGAGCTCCCCACTCCCATTTAGCAACAGCTTTCCACCGAGTGCTGCTACTGGTGCTAGCAATGGAAGACCCTCCGGACACGGCCACAGGAGATCAGTCTCCATTATCTCCTTGGAGCAGCCGGATTTAAACCCTGAGCGGAAGTCGATTCCAAGCCCCTTTAGCCCTAGACTGGCAAAGGGACATGCTCGGTCGGCGAGTTTTCAAGTTCCCACGAGAAGGAATGATGTTTTTGGCAACGGAACACAGTCCGGTAATTACTCTCACTCTTCTCCTTCCGCTGGACTGAGCTCTAAGAGTAAATTTGCAGCACCGCGTTCTCCGCTCCCGCAAGTCTCGTCAGTTAATTCACCTTCCAGTTTGTCTCTACCGTCTGTCGGAGGCGAAGGAGGCCCTTCTCGAGTTCCCAGTCGTTCTCCCACTTCGAACCCGAGTCGTCGCCCTCATCGATCCCGACAAAAGCGTGGAGATTCATTCCCGATGGATTTTAAGTTCCCCCAGGCTCCGCCATCGCGAGATGAGACCGAAAATAGTGGTTCAGCGATGTCAAGCAGTTCCCGAATTAACGAAGATGGCCCAAGCTCTGACTTATTCCCTTCCTCACCGGTTCCAAATGTCCGACCAAAGAGGTCCCCTGAGCCACCGGGACACCTGACCCCAGCAATAAAAATTCTATCCAATTCTATTGTCGATGGGAGTACCAGAAGTAGTGGCGAATTCTATTCGTTGAGTAATAACTCGACTGAAACCCTAGAGTCCGAGTATGTAATACCACCGATGAGCCAGCCGCGGCTTCCCCTCCGCCATAGAAGGCATTACTCCAATCTAGATTCTTTGCCAGGGAGCCAAATCTCGCAATCTCAGAGATTGCTCATGGGCTATGCCCAAGTCAGCGCTTCCTTTACCGTTGATGGATCCTTGGTGAACCAATCTATCTTTGAGGAAGTTAAACGTAACGCGGTCATGGGTACCCAAGGACATAGGGATGCATCCTCGAAAATGGAGAAGCCACGACAAGGATTCTGGGGAAACCTAGGACTGGCAGGTGTTAGTGACTCCATCAGCGGCTTATTATCAGGCGGAGAGTTGAATGGTCTACGCGAAATGAGAGGTGTATCCTCTTCTCAGTCTATTCCGTTGCTGTCTACCCCGCAATCACTCCTTTTCGTGGATTTGGGTTTAGGCCCTGGAGAGGAGAAGTCCTTTTCTTTTTCATTTACTTTACCAAAAGGTTTACCTGCGACCTACAAGGGTAAAGCTATGAATTTCTCATACAATCTTATTATCGGCACACAACGAACTGCCAATGCGAAAGATGTTCAGCGGGTCCATCGTATAAACATTCCATTCCGTGTTCTTAGCGGCGTAGATGGTGAGTGTACTTCCGGTTTCATAGGTCTCGCTCACTAACACGACATGTAGGCCAAGGATCTGTATTAGGCCATGACCTTATGCGTCCATATGTCTTACTAAGAGACGAAGCGCGCGTGCGAAAGGTTGAGGTTAGCTCCCCGCTTCCGGCAAAGCCAAAGAGTATCAGCACCAAACAATGGACATCAGCATCAGAATTTTTATCTTACGTTGACGAAATCCTGGGGACGCAGCCCCGCCGCGGGTCGTTTAATTCTATAACAAGCCCTCCAGAAGCCCTCCCCAGTCAGGAATCCGCTGACAGGGCGTTCTCTTGTAAAGATACTATTGATATGGCAATTCTACGGAGTAACCAATCCTGCGCATCAGGGCAAAGCACAAACCGTTTCGAAATATCGCGCAACGGTCGACGTATTGCTGTGGTTGTATTGAATCGGCCAGCTCACCGCCTTGGAGAAACAGTCGTGGCGACAATTGATTTTTCCAACGCTGCACTCCCTTGCTACTGTCTTCGCGGCTCACTAGAGACTTACGAGAAAGTGAACCCAACGATTGCTCTCCGCTCCAGTACGAGCATTACGAGAGCGACTCGAAAGGTCCACGCTACCTGCTTTGATAACACTTTATTCTCCACAAAGGTTGCATTTATGCCCTCGATTCCAGTCTCAGCGACACCAACGCTCATAACGTCCGGAGTCAACCTAGAGTGGCAGCTTCGCTTTGAATTTGTGACGTGTGGATTGCACCACGAGGAAGATGCTGGGGTTTCCGGGATAAATCTGCTTGAAATAGTAGAACGAGATGATAGAGGAGCTGTGTTTGCTGCGTTAGAGAATGTGCTGTGTCAGTCTTTCGAGGTCTCCATTCCCTTGACTGTGTATGGAGACACTATCCACGAGCCTGAGAGTGAGGAATTACAAGGGTATCCGATATAGAGAGCCATTTATATGGTCCCTTTTTTATTTTTATTTTTATTTTTATTTTTTTGGGTGGGGTGGGGGAGCGGTGATTAATTTCATACAGGATACGGAGTATGCTTTAGCTCATAGGATAATACCCATATTTATGACGATAAAAGGTTGAAGAAAATGTGATAAATAACCATGCAGTACTTTTCCCCTTTCGTTACCATTCGTACTCCGATGGCCCGGACGAGCCCAAACTCGGCATACTGTGCTCTGTAGATAGCGAGGTTCGGGCGGCAGGGACCTGGATTACTAAGTTGGGAGTGCGTGATGTCGTTATTACCACAGCAACCACATGATCGTCGGTCCAGGAGGCGCAACTTCTTTGGGCTGCACGTTCCAGCCCGAAAGCCCTGCTCCAGGACGCTAATTAGGGCTGACTATTATTGCTTCTTTATCGAGTCCTCTTTTTAGGGGAGCGAAACACCACAGAGAATCCCCAGATTCCATTTTATGGCTTTTCAAGCCTCCTCCGCGGATTAGTGTTTGCTCGGTCTTTTAAACGGGAGATCAACAATCAGATATTGGACGGACCCGAATCTCCGCCGGTCTGTGTCTGCAAGCCCACCGAATCAAAGATGACATCCTTTATTCCCACAGTGTGAGTGTACCGCCGTGTGTTCTCCTCTTCAGCCACTGGTCGCCTCATCCCCCCTGTGATATCAGACGCGTTTAGAATTATCGAATTGGCTACTGTTCCTTCACCCCAAGATATTTGCTGACGCGGTTTCCTGTAGTAATGCACGTTCAAGAGGACCGTTTAAGCCCCGGACTGCGAACAAGGGAACAACAAACTATCAGTTGAGGCAGTTTGCAGAGGCTACATTGGGAAGTGGAAGTTTGCGAAAGGCCGTGAAATTACCCGAAGGCGAAGATGTAAATGAATGGTTGGCTGTGAACTGTACGGATGCATCTTTGGCATGTCGAACGCTTTTAAAAAAAAAAGAAAGAAAAAAGAAAGAAACCCACGCTGACATACTACTGCACGATAGTGGTCGATTTCTACAACCAGATCAATTTACTATATGGAGCGATCACAGAGTTTTGTTCTCCGCAGACATGTCCGGAGATGAAAGCCACAGACGAGTGAGCATTTCGAAATACATCTCTTCAGCCATAGCACGCACCTGACATACAGTAGATTCGAATATTTGTGGCAAGATTCTGAGAACTACAAGCGGCCAACCAAAATGTCCGCCCCGGAATATGTTGAACACTTGATGTCTTGGGTTCAGAGCAACATCGACAACGAACAGATGTTTCCAAGCCGAATTGGTTAGTCTTCTATACCTCTGGCGAAGGATCGCGGGGCTTGGATCTAACCCGCTTCTGAAATCGCTTTTCTGCAGGTGTTCCATTTCCAAAGACCTTCCCGAGTCTTTTGCGACAGCTCTTCAAGCGCTTGTATCGGGTGTATGCACACATATACTGCCATCATTACCCAGTGATTGTTCATCTCGGGCTGGAGCCGCATCTGAACACGAGTTTCAAACATTACGTTCTTTTCATTGATGAACATAATCTAGCAAGTGGGAAGGATTTCTGGGGCCCATTGGGAGACCTGGTGGACAGTATGCTGCGCAGCGATTAGGCGGATGATGTGACACCTTCTTTGATAATAATATGGGCACGGATTAATGACTGGAGGCATGAGCGTGGAAAGCATCGGCGTTGGGTAATATTCCATGAGCGGTGTCTCTGGTGGATGGACTTTGGGCGTTCTCTAGATTGCTGACTCCAGTGTATGATCAATTGCATGAATAATGATATTCCTTAACCTGTACGAAATATTATGTGCGAATGTCCCCCAGCCAAAAAGTGCATGTCGCGATGCCCACATTATGCCGGTGGGATTTTTGGTGGTGTTGCTGTTTGCCCGCGAAATTGCAGCTAGTATCACGTGATCTGTGGTTAACGACATCGTTTGCCGGAAAGTCTCCATCTCAACCGTGCGAACCGGAATCAGCGATTCAATTGCACATCGCAACGCCATTGGCACCCCTCTCGCTACCAGATCAAGACCGGTCGGTATAATACCTTCGCCATGTTGTCCTCCCGCGTTGTCCAGGCGAGCCTCCGCGCCTCCGCCCAACAGTTCTCCCGCAGAGCCGCTATCAACGGCGTCCGAACCTATGCCGCGCCCGCTCAGGATTCCAAGCCCCCAGTCGCACTGTTCGGCGTCGATGGAACATACGCCAATGCTTTGGTGTGTAATTCCTCCAATATTCTGCTGTTGTCGTTTCCGCCCCTTTCCAATCTATGTTATTCCGGAAGCACACAAGGAGCATAGAGCACACGAAACCAGAGGGAAAAAAAAAAACAAAAACAACCAAACGTACAACTCCAGCTAACCTGCCTCGGATCATTTAACATCTATAGTATACTGCCTCCGCCAAAACCTCCAGCCTTGAGCAGACCTCCAAAGCCCTCGCTAGCCTTGGTGAAGTCTTCAAGAAGGACGCCAAGCTTACCAGCATTCTGAATGCTCCCACTCTGTCGCAGGCCGATAAGGCACAGATCATTGCCGAATTGCAGAAGGTCGCCGGTGGTGCGGGCAAGGGAGATATCTTGAAGAATTTCTTGAACACATTGGCAGAGAACAACCGCTTGGGATTGTTGCAGGGCGTTTGCGAGAAGTTTGCTACGCTGATGGGCGCGTATCGGGGGGAGATTGAGTTGATCATTACCAGCGCTCAGGTAAGGAGGATAACTTCCATGCATTTGCCACCCCTTCTGCGAGGTTATGTACTAAACGACTCGCGTTCATTTTCTTATAGAAACTCGACCAGAAGACCCTCCAGCGTCTTGAGAACGCTGTCGCCAAGTCTGAATACAGCCAAGGCAAGAAACTCAAGGTTGTCACCAAGGTGCGTATCTCGTTGACCATTCTTCACGGAAGGTATTTATTCGAATGGCTAACCTCTCATTGTTTAGATCAACTCCGATGTCGTTGGTGGACTCATCGTTGAGATCGGTGACCGGACCATCGACCTCAGCGTGTCTTCCAAGATGGCCAAGCTCAACAAAGCTCTCACTGATGCTCTGTAAATACTATATTACCGCCTTTTGTACTCCATCAGAATCAACCAAATAGAGTAACATTTTTGTGTTTTCTATGAATTTTTAAGCAATAACATATCCATGTACGAGATAGTTGATTTTACCGACCTGACCGATATATATAACGAGATTCGACAATAAATATCTTTTTCGCTTCAAAATTCACACGTTTTTCTTTTCTTCAACCATTTACACACTCTGTACTCCGTACGGAGTGCATGGATGAGCTCTTTTAGACATGGCATAAGGAGTACAGCGTGGCATTGACCACTTCCCCGCCATTACGTCTGTTGACCTCGATACTACATGCATTGTGAGCCTTGTTACATACAACATCGATCGATGATCAATATTAGAATTAATTACTCCGTAGATAAAATACAAAAAGAAAAGAAAAAAGAAGCCAAACGAATGAATACTTTGGAGTCTTCCAGATGACCAAAAAGGCCTGAAATGTCCGCGGCGACATACATATACACGTGGTGTGTTTTTGACAGAACACGGTGATCCGGGGGAACATGCATCGAATATAAGAATCGTTAACCACAATGCCCCCAAGTATTTAAGCCTATTCAAGTCATTGGAAAGATGAGATATAAAAAAGAAAATGAATGAAAAATGAAAAAAAAAAAAAAAAAAAAAAAAAAAAAAAAAAAGAAGGGGGCGTTGTTGAGGGCTGAAGAGACAAAACTGCATCGCAGATCAACAGCAAAACGCAGAGAAGCCTTGAAGAAATAAGCTGGTAAAGTAAAACGATTGGAAGGGGGTATCAACTTGTTGACACCGAAAAAGGGAAAAGGGGTATTTAAAGCATATGAGAAACTGAGTTGAAAAAAAAAAAAAAAAACTCCCACATCGCCAAATGAATGCTGATAGTCGGTCTTTGTCCTTTATTTCCCGAGTCTTCATGCTTCTATGATTTATCGATCGTTCTGTCTCTCTGGATTGTGTTTGTTCAGGCCGACGTTTCGAATTGTCCGACCGTCGTCGTTAGGGTGATCTTCGTTATATGTCGTTGAAGGGGCGGTCGACGCGTCCGTGAAACCTCCCTCCGAGCGGCAACTTTGTGAAATCGGTGACGAGGCTGACTCGTCTTGTTCGAATGTAGATCTCTCGGCATAGGGGTTATCTTTGTTATCCTGGGCGTCTGAGCTAGATGCTTTGGCCATGGTTTCCTGCTTCTTTAGTCGCTCTTCCGCTTCGCGAATTCTGGCGTGAAGAGCCTCCAGCTCCCAGTTTTGGATGGTGATGGTTTGTTTCCTGGAGCGGGAGGGCCACCGGTTAGTATGTTGTTTTGGGAAGTTCATACCCGTCAAGGATGTCGAAGGCATGTTTTTGACGGAGATGAGAAGAAGCGGGGGGCACAAAGGTCGTACTTCTGGTGGATTTTATGTGAGAGGGTGTCGACATCCGAGTTCAACATGAAGACACTGTCGAGAGTGTCTGCGAGGGCTTGCGCCATGGTGCTGTAAACAGTTAACGACGACATCGTGTCGGGGAGTTTGGCAGAAAATCAATATGGGACACGAACGATTGAGGGCGCCCTTTGGGCTTCCATTCCTCCTCTATATCAGACATCTTGGGAAATTTGTTCGACGCGGTGTGTTTCGAAATTTCGGCAGGAAGGGCGGGCGTGAGATACCGGTCTATCAAAGCAGATGATACTGTACAGAGTGGGATGGCAGGGGAGATTACGGCGACAAAGGGAGTGCAGGGACCAGAGCCAGCTGGAGATATGGAGAGATTTTATTAACAAAGCAATATGGTATTGCGACGGAGTGATCTGGGAGAGGGGAAGAGAGGCGAGGAAGGCTGGTCACGGAAGTATATTAAAGGGGACGAGATGAAGCCTGGTTGGTTGGCGGGTGGACGGGCTAAGCAACAGGCCCCTACTCGGCCGGTGCTTCTCTCGCACTGGCTCTTTTGTTTTTATTTTATTTTTATTTTATTCGGCGCCAAAGGTGAGATTATTGGAAATTTTGGGTTTTAGCAGGCTGGGTGGAGGCCCGCTGGTGATTCGCTGATCTGCTCCTCCGTTCAGTCGTCCGAAGCCCCTGAACGCGCCCTCGACACACACACACTCGTTACAGTATCTCTCTTTTGTCGCTCTCTCTCTCTTTTTTTCCCCCCTTCGCTCTTCTCTCTGCGCGTCTCCTCTTGGGCGGGACGATCTTCGGTTCAGCTGTCCGGTCACGTGGTTGGTCTTGGCATCCCCGTGTTTCTTTTTTTTTCCTGTTTCCAATTCTGCGGGCGGTTTTGCTGGGATCAGCCCTTGACGAGCCAGCAGCATCTGTTTCATCGAAGGGAATCGTCGCCCTCTGCCGATCAGCCCGGTGCGAGTCATATAATTGCCAGTTTCATCTCCCACACAAGGCCGTTCAGGCGTAAAGAGGCCTCCCGAAACGCAACCGTCACCAGCCGGCATCAATTTCCCGCCGACCCACCCTCATCAATCTCCAAAAAGCATCAAGCACGAAGACACGCCCCTCTTCAGCAGCCCCCCCCCCCCCCCCCCGGGCCAGTTACTGCGCCAGGCAATGGGGAATGCCTTCCTTGTCGTCTTACACCCCGTTCGAGTCCCTTTTGTTCTTCCAGTCCCTCGCTGGACTCGATAAGCGACCGGAGAACTTCTCGTCGATCTCGGATCTCCTCAGGACCAACCCGTTTATCCAGCAACATGCGGCCTTCGACATCAACCGGCTGACGCCCCAGGCCCTCGAGGAGCTGTATGCCGATCTGGTAAAGGGAGCTGGTGGAGGAGAAATATCGGCCAGGAAGAGTCCGGAACAGCAGTTGCTGCTTGCAAACGGCCAACAAGATGGGCTGGGTTCCCCGCCCAGCCCCAAGAAACGCAGGCTTACTCCGCCCGGAGGAGATGGAGAATCGCATTCTACAGTGATATCTGGTTTGGTTTCTCGTTTGTATGCGCGATACAAGGAATTGGTCACAAAGGAGATTCAGGAGGAAGAACGCAGGTACAGAGACCTGAACAGTGAGCTGAGCAAGATACAGCATGAGAAAGAGACCGAATCAGCAGCTTTACCCGCTGGTGCGCCCCAGGTCGAGCCGCAGCCAAAGCCCGCGCATCTGCCAGGTGACGTCCTGCAGCATCATGTTAAGCCGCCTGAAGCCCGTGTTGACTCTCAGACTTCCCGTGAATCTGGAAATGGACTGGGTATAGTACGTGACCTTCCCCAGGCTATACCGCCTAGACCTGAGACAAACCCTCCGATTCATCCCACACCGGATTCGAACCGCCAGCCTGTACAGCAAGCTGTTCCCAGAGTTGTCACCCAGTATCGCTTCGAGAACAAAACTCCACAATCCATGCAGGCCCAGCATCAAGGCCCGCCGTGGGTAAACACAAGTCAACAACCTGCTGTGGGCATTCCGGCTACCGCGACAAACCAAGCCAAAAAAGGGCGCACTCCCATTCAACCCAATTCACAGGCTCCGGCCTTCTCTGGTTCACCGTCCAGTCCCCACATTGCTCCAACCCCGGCCGCCGTCATAACTCCTCGAGAACAAGCACGACAGCCCCAGATCATCTCTTCTTCACGGTCCTCCCCACCGAAACCTGTGATGCAAGGGAGGATCATACAGCCATGGTCCATTCACGCCCTTCCACAGCCACAGCAGGTCTCTTTGTATGCGAACGCGCCGCAACCAACTACCCAGGCTCCATCTACGCCAGTTCAGGGCCCACAGGGTTTAAACAATAACGATAAAAGCTTAAACAAAACACCCCAGAATTCGTTCAACGTACCCTCTAAGCATTTACCCAGCCAGGCTAGCATTGGCCCAAAACTCGCGGCCGAAGCAAGCAACTTACCACAGAGCATCGCTACGCCAAGTCCTGGGATTTCAAGAGCGAATTCTCCGGCTTTCCCCTTTGGTCGACCATCCCTTACCTCGTTGCTCCAGACTTCAAGTGCCCGCACACCGTGGAAGAAGTTGGGTTCGCTTGAGATTCCTCGACGCCCTGGATCTCCTATGCGACCACGACCCGAGGATATAAGCCCAATTAGTGAACCGGAACTATCTCCCATGGATAAAATAGGGTTGCCTGCTGAGACTCCTCGAGGGTTGGAAAAGGCGAAAACGGACTTGGAATCACCTGCGACAGGCACTCGAAGCAGGAAAACGACCCCAGCTCGTCGGAAAGGCCGGAGTAATAGCCCGCTATCGCCCTCGACCATACAAACTCGACGCCGCGCGCGCTCGAATACTGGCCGTGACGATGAAACTGAAAGCAGCAAGATCAAAAATGAATTACCTACCACTCCTATCAATGATGATATGGACATAGATAGACGGACTTCGGAAAGACTGACACGTTCGTCTCTGAGTGTCTCAGATGACAGGACTAGGTCAAAACGAAAACGTGCACCAACTGACACTGTCAGTGCGGAGGACGGTCAAACATCTCCGCAGCATGTTCTTTGCACCCGGAATTTCCCACGAACATGTGGGCCCGTCATGAACGATATTGCTGCCCATAAGCACGCCTCCATTTTTGCAAAGCCGTTGACCGAACGAGATGCTCCAGGATACAAGGACCTCATTTACCGCCCGCAGGATATCAAATCGATCAAGTCAGCCATCCATCAGGGAAGCAAAGCGGTCGCTGCGGCTTCAGAAGCACTCAGCGCATCCGGCGCGGAAGACGAATTGTCCGGGACTTCGAAGGGAAATGGGTTGATTCTGAAAAGGACCGCTGAACTAATGCCGCCCAGAGGAATAGTCAACTCGTCTCAGTTGGAAAAGGAATTGATTCGGATGTTCGCAAATGCTGTGATGTTTAATCCAACACCAGAAAGTACATTCGGACCCGCATTTTCCATGCGGAGCGAGTTTGCGTCTCGGGAGCAAACGCAGGCCTTGGAACCGGAGGAAGGCGGTATTCTTCACGATACATTGGAAATATATGAAGATGTTGAGAGAGCTGTGTCGACATGGCGTGCGGCGGAGAGGGCTGTTGATGATTTGGGAGGTAAAGGCAGCACTTCCACCCTGAGGGGAAGCACCGGCGACGGCAACGTAGAGGGTGCCGAGGATGTGAAATAGTCACTGTTTGAATGTTTGATGTATGTACCATGAGCCTTGCCAGTTGGAGTGTATTTATCCTTTGAACGTTGATTTGTCACATTCAAAATCTATCGCTATGTCATTCTCACGCAGTAGACGGAATCGAAGTCTCTGGCTTTGTCCTTCCCAAACCATTTTTAGCATAAAAATCCATTGGATAGATGCCATTATTAGCTGTCTCCCAACCTTCGCGGATCCCCAGAGCGACAAGGGCCTCATAGGGTGTAAGTAAAGGCCGAGGAAACGCATAGCCCCAATCAATACTTAATCTTGGGCAGGCGATCTGAACCCAGCATTCGACATCGGACATCGTGGCAAGCTTTCCAGGGAATATCTCGCTCAGTAAAATGTTGACAAAGGGGATCCTCTGCTCGTTCAGATGTTTCTCGATCAGGGCCATCGTGTTAGGGTTGCCTTGCCGGCCAAGGGAGCCCAGGATAATTCCCCATTTCTTTGCCGATCGAGCCGACCGTATCGCGTCTTTGCGGATAGTTTGCATCTCCTCGTGGTCGTATCTCTCGCGACTTAACGTTCTCGAATACGGGTCGTAACGGTACGCGGGGATGGAAGGATTATGTATCATCGCGGATTCGAGATGGAATCGGCCATCCCCAAGATATAGAAGGATATCAACCTCGTCCTTTGGAAGTTGTGGGGAGGTACACCCCAGGATCTCACCTTTGCTCAGGGGCATGATCTGTGGAACCAGGATGCGGAATCCGGCCTTCTCCATGACCGCTTTGAGACCGTGGAGGGTAGCGTTGAACTGGATGGTCCCCACCACCGCGATGGTCTTACCAGCGGGGAAGTTTCGTTCCAGTGTGGCTATCAAGTGCTCCGTGTCGATGCTGATGTCGACGAAGATATATAGCGTCTTGATGGTCGTCACATCGACCGGAATTAAACAGCTATGGGCATAATGGACCAATAAATCGCAACCTAGCGCTCTCGCAGTATAGTCGTCAATACAGCATGCGCCATATGTAACATCTCCCATAATCAGGGTTTCGATTCCGGGGCAGAATTGTGTTAGGATATCTGAGATGGTGGTTGCGAAAAGGAGCAGCCCCTCCGGGAACTGTAGCGCGACACGCTTTGCGCCGGAGGTTCTAATGCGGTGGATAGTCTTGGGAATCTCGAAGGAGTAATTTCGGGGAAGGAGAGCAATGGCGGCTTTGATATCTTCGTTATCTAAGATCTCGGCGGGAATCTGGTTCACCGCGCGGGGTCCGCGGCGGGGTTGAGCTAGCCAGGCGAAGTAAGCGGTGTTAACGACGAAATGCACAAGAGTTGGCGATAGTATCGTACCTGATTGAATAGCATTTGTATGCGGGTCTGCACTATTATTCCCGTCTCTTTGCGCTTGAGATTCTGCCGTCCTTCTGCCCACGAATCTCTTCCTGGGGGCGCGTGGACGGCCGTCGCCGTTTGCGACGGGATGCTCTGGGTCTCGTAGGCTCTCCGGCATGCTCACCTGGGGAAATTGGGAAGACAGAACAAAATTATTCTAGGCGCTAGACTGGCAAAGGCTGAAAAGGAGACCACAATCTCATAGGGTCAATGGCGACTGGGTTCTTTGATTGTCTGGCGGGAAAAAATATTTTTAGTTTCTCCGCTGAACCTGATGATGTGAAGTCCCTGGCTTGTTGGGGCAAGTTACTCGCCGCCAACCAACCTCTCTTTACATCAGTCTGACTAGACTATGCACTTCTTGTCTATAGCCTTTTTTATTTTACACAAAAGGGAAAATCATTGATATGGTATCCTAGAAGAATGATCCTATTTGAATGGTGTTGTTGACGAGGCTTGACATCCTCGAACCCGAGATTAAGCTCTTTCATCGCTCTTCAGAGCTGCTACAAGCACCAGTTGTCAACGAGGGCGGCGGTGCAGACCCGAACTGGCACCGCTCACACAGTTCGATTCAAACTAGGTTCCCGCCGTGATTTTTCTTCGAGCCTTTTCCACAACCGCAGCAAAGAAGGGAAAGATGTCCATCCTACCCAAACCAGAATGGTTGCTGGAATGGTCACTGCCCAGTAAATCCACATGCTGTTTGATATTTTCCAACCCCTCTCATCAAATTCAAAGAATGTCGTGCTGAAAACTGCCTGTTGCTCTATTAGAGTTGCTACACAACCCGCAAGACACATGCTCTGGATGTGCCTACGTTAAGGAAGGGGAATAGGTACCGCAACGAATGTAGCAGGCAAAAACAACATGGTCAAGAATGCGATGGACTTCATTGCTGAGCTGTCCTGCATGACAATCATATTGTATGCCTGGAACCAGTGAGCTTCTATAACTGACAGTCTCGTGCAAGTCTGAAAAGGACAAGCTTACCGCTGAAATCTCACTTTTCAGTCTTTCATGATTCGACTTCGAGCGCCGAAGAAGATTATTAATTATTTGCAGCTGGAACTTTACATACTCCCGTGTCTGTGCTTTATATGTCTTGTCCAATACAAAGGGAAGAGCTTCATAGACAGGCGGCTGCTGCTCTTGAATGCTTCCCAATGTTTGTATCGTTACCTCAAGGACCTCGGCAATATGACTCGAGTGCCTGGACATGTCATTCATTCCCTCAAAGTCTGGTCCGGCGATATGCCTATTCTACTCGAAAATGCATTAGCTTCCCTTCGCCAGATCCGGGAAGTGGTGGACTTACTTTCTCAATACGACGAATGCTATCACGCAGTCGCCACACGGATCTATCATATAGCTTTACGACCTGATCAAATATGGCGATGTGCATAGAGAACGGGTCTCTCGGCTCAAAAGACGAGCCCGCAAGAATTGCCTGAAGATCATAGAGGAACCTATCCGGCATGTCGATGCATAAAACTCTGCAGTGGCCCCGGATATCCCATTGTGTAAAAAAGGTCATCTCGTACCATCTATAGTCGGCAGCATTATCGACGTCTTTGATCAAGCATCGGAACCAAGTGCCTAACGGGCGATATGTCAATGGCGGTCAAGGGCCCGACATTAGACGAGCTGCTTACTATAGCTAGTCAATCCTTTCTCGTCGTAACTACCCCGACTCCCGAAATAGCCATTCAACGCGGCGGAGGTATCGTTGGTCAAGAAAGACGGCACATTAAAGTGCCGCAGTACCTGTGCACGTCCGGTCTCCGACTTCGGGTAGGAGTCCCTTTCCAGGATTCTGGGAGCGGAAGCTTAACCTCCTTGTCTCGGAACCTTTTCCAGGGGGGCATTCAGGATCCTTACATGCAGCAATTGTCAGGCAGTTCTGAAGTCTATAGCACTGTTAGCAGGCGACCCCAAATCGCTGGCGGGATGAATCCACTTTTGAGAGGTCAAGAGTATCCAACCCCCATTTTCCTAAATCTGTTTTCGACTTTAGATCAGCAACCTCCAAGGGACAAATACCAACGCTTACAGAATGTCAAGGCATTCGGGATAGGTTTGTTTCTAGCCATAGCATATACCCTCTGTCATCGCAGAATCGGTGGACTTTACGAAGAATCTAGAGTCCAAACAAAAATGAATCTCACGCGCTGGCGACGTATTTGAAGTGGTGGTTGGGAGCCCTGCAGCCATCAGGCTGAGGTTTGAGGTTAAGCCACACAACCTCCATGGAGATCGGATCGCCTGTCAGGCTGTGAGTGTCAGGGTAGTGATGAAATCCGGGGTAACCCGCAGTGACTCCGTAGCTCGAGTTAATTTAACCCGGAAGATTTACGGAACACAGAGTGTGCCGACCATATGTATCATGTATCTCCTATGGATGTGATCCGAGCTGCTGGTACGGAGCACAGGTCGCTGTTCATTGCAAGAGACGGTTCGGTCTGCCGATGGTCAAAACGAGTTCCAAACCAGCGGCTGCCACGTCATCGCGGAATTATTCATAAATATTCCCACGGGTTGACGAGGTGATAATTCATACAATTATTCAGCCCAGAACTCTGTCGAGCTAACCAAGAACGGTCGCAAGGGGTATCTTGGTATCACCGGTGGCGGTTCTCCAAGCACAAGTCTAATTCACAATCAAAATTTGCGCCTTGTCCATTCAACAGGAAAGCTTGATGCATCACATCTGAGCTGGCAGTCGGAAATTGATAACTGATGGGCTCTCATTGACTGGGGTATGCGAGTCGTTTGCTTGGGAAGAAGCGTGGACGACTGTCATGTAACCCCCGACGATTTGCTAACAAGCGAAGTTGCTGAGAATGGGTTACCCCAACGGGCGACAAGGTTAAGATGTTGGCTCAGAAGCTGCTGAATCATGGCTTTTGGTCAGTGTGCTACGGAATTCTCGAGGCCCTGGTTCGCAATGGCCTTGTGTGGAGAAGGCTCTGTTTGATTTTCGTGAGAAATTTTGTGGATTCAACGTTACTGCAACTTCAGGTCACTCGCACGGTCATATTTGACCAGCATGCTCCCATATAAAAAGTCACCGCAAAGGTTGGCAGGAAGTGCCAAGTTCCAGGCTCGGATACTCCGTACTGCATCATAGAAATGCAGCTACAACTGGTGGGAAGATAGTAACAGCCCTGGGAATATATCTCTCATGAGGCAATTCTGGTCGCAACCTGAGGATATCAGTGCGATAGTAGATTTCAATCTTGCAGCCTGCAAGCATTTGAAGTGTACGAGACTCTTATCAGGAATAGCTAATAATTGAAGCTCGCCGGGGGTTTAAGTTGCTAAGCTGCTCTATGATTCTTGATTTGGGTAACAATGTATCCACAGGTGATGTTTCGCGACAGGCCCTTTCACAATCACAGCATGATTTCTGTGATTATTTCATTCTAAACCACACTTGTACCCAACAAGCGCAGGTCCAGTCCTGTGATCTGTCAATAACCAGGAAACATTGCTTCCCGAATTCTATAAGAAAAGCAGGGAGGGGAAATGTATATAAGGGCGTGATCAGTCCCCCCGCCCCTTTTTGTTTTCCCCCCTTTTGCCTGACCGACAAGAACCCAGTGTTAGGTTTCTAGAGCCTCTCAGTCCAGAGCTAAATCGAAGTTGTCCACTATACTCCCGTAGTCCCATCACAAAGATGAAGACCACTCAGTTTTTGACACTTCTTTTCTTCATGATCGGCATCAGCTTGGCTATGCCTGCGCCCCAATCTGAATCCGAACCGGCAGATCCTGAACAGACCTTCCGTGCAGAAGTATGCCGCTGGTGTCCATGTAACCCGCCGGACGCGTGCTGCAAAACATGTCGGCCAACTGGGATTGGGTCATGTGTAAGGATGTGCTTAGAAGATCCAACAGCAGAACAGACCTGTTAACATTGGAATTAATTTCTAGGCGATCTGTGAGAAATAAACACAGCACTCGGTATACCAGAAACCCCTATGTTTTGTGCGGCGGTGTCGAAGGACTCTCCTCGGATCCTTCGTTCGCAGGAATTGGGGTATATCACTAGTGAGGCTGGCCTTTGGGGGGTCCTGCTCGAGCAGCGAATACATAGGTAGCGGCCATTTTATCTGCTATTTGAAACAATGTTTGTTGTCGCTGCTGGACAACCAGAAGGGGGAGGTTCATTCAGAGGCATTGGTAGCTGGATCATTCAGAATAGATAATTAAGCAAATGCATTCGATCATCATTTGGAAATAAGTGATGCTCTTGGAGAAGTGCAAAAGATGCGAGTTCAAAAGTGATCAGCCCTGGATTAACTTAATCAGCCCGGCCCGCCTCGCTGGTGGAGTTTTTGAAAGCTGGTTACTCCGCGGTTACGATCGGGCAACGGCGGCGAGCCCCCGACCGTCGCGACGGCGCTGGGGCGGCGGCACAGGCGAAAGGAGTACAGCCGACAGCGCAGAAGAGACATTTCCCGAGAAGAAGCCGGCGGGCGAGGAATTTGACAGCTGAGAGAGTCCGATTCACTGTAAAATATCCTCTCGCCCCGTGTGATGAGTTGGGGGCTGTTCCGTCCGGCACAGTGCATAGCTATCAGTAACTATAGACTTCAACCGGAATGTTCATCTTGATGATGTAACGTGTTGCGCCGTCGAACCTGGCTCCCGTCGGCCCATCACTCCTAAAGTCCATGTAAATTTTTTTTTTGCCAATTCTCCGAGACCTGCTGGAACATAGCTGCTGATTGGCAAATTCCCGCGGGCTTGTTTTTCGCCTGAAGGACCATGGCTTTCAATTCCCGTGCAACACACTGTGTTCACCATTGAAACTAAATATAACTCACTCCTATATTGTGCCCGTCCTTGATTTCGGTCAACGCCCCCTCCCCTCTTCTCCTCCGCCCTCTCTCTCCCCCCTTGGGATCACTTTGCCCTGCCCACATCCTCAATGTTGTCCTCTAGAGTCACATTTCGCCTCCCTCGGCGAGGCTTGCGCACAAAGCAGGCTGTGCGCTGTCTGGCCACCGAGAGTAGATTATCGCCGGACTTTGTGCGGATTGTGGAAGTTGGCCCCAGAGATGGACTGCAGAACGAGAAGAAGGCCATCCCGGTAGAGACGAAGATCGAGCTCATCGAGAGACTTGCCAAAACCGGCGTAAAGACCCTCGAAGCTGGTTCGTTCGTGCCCGCGAAATGGGTGCCCCAGGTAAGTCACAAAAGTTGCATTCATTCCTAAACAGTCCACAGAGACAGACAGACAGAGAGAGAGAGAGAGAGAGAGAGTGTGTGTGTGTGTGTGTTGTGTGTGTGTGTGAGAGAGAGAGAGAGAATAAACCTGGCTAACCCTCCCGCTATCAGATGGCAAGCACATCAGAGATCCTCACACATCTCTTAAAATCACCGCCCAAATCCCCCCATCCCATCGCCTTCAACTACCTCGTCCCGAACATCAAAGGTCTCGAGACTCTAGTGTCCACCGCCGAATCCGAAGGCTTCTCATTCTCCCCGGAGTCCGGCTCCCCCACGTCACCATCATCATCATCATCATCATCATCCTCTTCCTCCGCGCCAAACCACACGACCGAAATCTCCCTCTTCGCAGCCGCCACAGAGGCCTTCTCCAAGGCCAACACAAACTGCACCATCGCCGAGTCCCTCAAACGCATCGAACCGATCGTCGACCTCGCCAAGAAGAAGAACATCCGTGTACGTGGCTACGTCTCCGTCGCCCTCGGCTGTCCGTATGAAGGCCCGGACGTCGACCCGCACAAGGTGGCCGAGATCACCGCCACGCTGCTAGAGATGGGTGCTGACGAGGTGTCCGTCGCGGACACGACCGGGATGGGCACCGCACCCAGAACGCAGCGGCTCCTAAAGGTGCTCACGGCGGCGGGTATCGCGAACACGGATCTTGCCCTGCATTTCCACGATACGTACGGCCAAGCGCTGGTGAACACGATCGTGGGCTTGGAGCACGGGATCCGGGTGTTTGACAGCAGTGTAGGAGGGTTGGGAGGATGTCCGTACTCCAAGGGAGCGACTGGGAATGTCGCGACGGAGGATCTGGTTCATACTCTCCACAGTCTCGGAATGCAGACGGGTATAGACCTGGAGGAGATGTCCAGAATTGGGGACTGGATCAGCAAGGAACTTGGCCGGGCTAACGATAGCAGGGTTGGCAAAGCGACTGTAAACAAGCTTCAAACATAGTTTTTTTTTATTTTATTCCGGTTATCTATGCGCTCACCCCAGGCTTGTCTAGCGGGAGGCAGTTTTTTTTACGGGATGCATTATGTATATAGTTTCTATGGTACAGTACAAAGAAGAGACGAAAATAAGCATAGCCGGTCGTCATATCGTACAAAAAAAGGAGTCCTCGCCACGATTCTTCCACGGGCCAAACGTTCAGCCAAACCACATAGTTAACCTCCAGTCGTTGCACGCTTTCGTTTCCATATATCAGGACGTCGAAGAGGAACGAAGAGGAAAGCCATGAGCATCCGGGCTCTCGTCTAAGCAAAAGCGCCATAAGGCACCATGTAATATCTCTCTGGGCATAGAGCGAAGCTTGAGTTAACTCGGCAGAGATCTTCACGCAATCATCCGGTCTCCCATCTTCGTCGTTTTGCTCGTATAAACCCCCCCCCCCCCCCCCCCCCCCCCCAACACCCCAAACACACCAGCCCTTTTCTCTTCCAGAAGCCCATTCCGCAGAGTTCCGATACTTCTCACACTCACATTCACAACTTCACAACTTGCTCCTCTCAGAAATCTGTAACCCTCCCACCATAGCTCCAATCGCCGCCGGAACCCCACCTCAAGGGCTCATTTTTCGGCCCGCCAACCTCTCCCGTCTTGGGATTCACATCTCCGTCGAACTCGGGCTTCACGCCCAGCCGCACGTCCGGGTGCAGTTCTTCCCCTTCGTCAATCCGGGGCTCGGAGGAGGAAGAAGAAGAAGAAGAGGAGGAGGAGGAGGCGTCAGCATCGCCGGGCTGGTTGACCTTTGGCGGTGAGCGAGGTGTGCTGAACGCCCCTGTGGACTGGCGCTGGAGCCGCTCGAATATCTCCTGCTCCTCCTTGGGCAGGCGCGGCGGGGCGGGCCCGGTCTGGAAGGGGTTGGATTGGGAAAGTGGGCAGTGGGTTAGGGAGAAGGCGCGGAGAGAAACAGGGACGAGGAGGGGAAGGCGCGTGGCGGACAGCGTTCGGGTGGAAAGTGCGATGGTGAATGGACCTGCCATTTTCTTTTTTCCCCCTTTTCTTTTCTTTTTTTCTTTTTTTTTTTTTTTTTTTTTTTTTGTTAACCCCCCGGAGCTGGGAAGGAGCTGAGTGGACGAGTAAACAAGTAAAAAGTTCCTTCCCGATGTTTTCTTTTCTTCGAGAGACTGCGACTTGGAAAGAGCATCCAACCCACGACGAAATCGGGAAGTCCCAAGTTCTCGGAGCATCGTTGTTCCGGGAGAGGTCGTGATGGAGGACTCGTATGCTTGTCATTCACTAAGCTACCTAAAGGGGAATCTCGGCTAATCTATGTGGGTCACGTGAGCGAGGTGCTCCCTGTGCAACGAGCTCCAGCAGCGAGCGAGAGCCACATAGATTCTCAAATCCGCCATAAAAATTAATTACAGAGTCCAGATTTACTCCTTCTTTAGGCTTAGCTCCGTTTTGCCGCGATACTGTATTTTCGTTGGCTTCACTGATAAACCTCCACATTTTCCTGTATCAACCTGTAACCCCTATCGCGCTTGTGAATTGAGCGTAGGGATCTGTTGCAAGAGCCTTCGTGAGCCCGTCAGCTTTATTCGCATCGGTTCCAACGTGCTCGATTGAGATTTCGTCCTTTTGAACCCAGTCTCTTAGCATATGGTGCTGAATCTCAATATGGCGTGCTCCTTGTGTTATAGCTTCAGCTTTAACTAAGTCAACTGCTCCCTTGTTGTCAACACTTAATTTCGAGCTCCTTAGCTTTGCTGAGCCTTCGCTAATCACCCCGGCGTCTATCAGCAGGTCGTTGATCCAAACTAGTTCACAAGCAGCTTCGCTAGCTGCCAAATACTCCGCTTCGGTCGTAGATTTCGAAACGGACGTCTGGCGCTGTCATCTCCACGAAATTGGTGCTCCGTTCATGGTAATAATGTAGCCGCTGGTGGATTTGTACGCAGGGTCGGCTCCAGCCCAGTCTGAATCCGAGCTGGCCGCCGGTTTCAAGCCTTCAGGATCCACGTTTCTTCTGGTCTTTCTTGGGGATTCGGTGGAGTATATCCTTCAGTAGGCCTTCCAAATCCTTCTCTGGTAGGTTTGCTCCGCTCTGGCACGCCATGTCAAATCGGTTCTGTATGAACTCTCTCCATCGAGGCGTAATGTTCGCCTTCAAAATATCGTGTAGGATGTAGTCATGAATTTTGAACCCTAATCTCTCACATTCCACACGGATTGCTAGGAATCTCATTATATAATTCCTTTCTGAGCCAGCGGACTGTGGTGTCATTCTTATTAACTCCGTAAATAGGCTTTCCCGCTGTATCTCAGGTCTCTCTTGGAAGGCTGTCCTTACAGCTTCCCAGAGTTTGTAAGCACTAAGACTATCCGATTCCTCGAAGTGTTCTCTGGCTTGTGCAGATATCGTACTGTCGATTAGGCCGTGTAGCCATTTATTCTGAACGTTCCAGTATTGTGAAATCTTCGAGTTCTCTGGCCGTGGTGAGGTCTCTTGTCTTTCCAGGATAATCTTCTCAGTATCCACTTGACGAGCTACCTTTAGGATGGCTTTGCTCCATGCTAGGTAGTTGCTGGCCCCAGCCAGGGTCATAGGCTTCTTTACCGTCTTCGTGATCTTCATGAATTGGGTGATCGCTCTGCCGGTTCGCGTATTTGTGTCTATAAGGTTGCCGACAAATTCTTCTAGTTCGTCCTCAGAGTCTATTTCTCGGTCCTCTTCTTCTTGTTGAGCTTCTTGCTCCGGATTCTCCTGCACTGTTGCAGGCGTGTTTGCAGTGCTTGCTTGGCCTGACAAGAGGTTCACTTGCTGTGCCAGCTGTTGTACTGTCTCCTGTTGCCTTTGCATCATCTCCTGTTGATTCAGCATCATTCTGCGCAACATTTGAAGCTCATTCTCCTCCCTAGGCTCCTGCTTGATTGGTGGGTTTCTTCTGAGCCTATCTGACTGTCTAAGCTTGGTTTGGGGTGTAGGGAGGTTTGTTGGAGCCTCCCGGTCAGGAGTTCGGTGCTCTGGTTCGTCTGTGCGGTTCACCATGGCTTTGGTGTTGCCAGGTGCTCGATTTGCTCGCTAGGTGCGTGTAGCAGGCGTTTTGGCTCACTCTCTGGCCGTGTGCCAGAAAGCTACAGGGATTGACTCGCTCTCCAGCTCGGTGCTAGAAAGCTACAGGGGGTGCACGTATAGGAGGCGCCTTTCTCAACATGTACGCTCTCTTTTGTGCTCGAAGGACTCGTTATCCACAAGGATAACCGTTCAGGGTGTTGATTGTAAGCTTAAATAACCAATTGAGCTGTAAAATCAACCTTATACGCTTGCTTCAGCGCAAAGGGCTATAACCTGATGGAGGACTCGTATGCTTGTCATTCACGAAGCTACGTAAAGGGGGATTTCGTCTAGGTACCTAATCTATGTGGGTCACGTGAGCGAGGTGTAGTTCCAAAGGTTGGATTACCTAACAGGTCGTTCCACTGGACCCTTATCGATAAGCAGCATCCCCCTGGCTGTTTTTTCGCGCTCATCCTTGAAGCTCGCTGTCTGGATCGCAGGGAGTGAGTTCACACGCACTGGGAGCAACTATCGAGGGTTGGGTCGATCAACCAGAAAGGAGAGTCTCACATATCCATTCATCGTGATTTTCCGGATCGCAATGGCCCTGCGAATTGCTGCTCGACGGCTTGGCAGCCGTGCTGCTCGGCGCCCATACGCTTTTGAGTCATTTGTACAGTGCCGATTTGCTTCTACAGCGGGTGCCTCGAATCTACCCCAAGATGTCAAGAAGCAGATATTTGTATGTCCTTTCGATCCACGCTGGGTCAGTTCGGGCTCAATTGACTAATTTTCTTCTTTTTTTTTTTTTTGCATTGAAGAAAGAAGCATCTCTTCCAAACGCCGATCCAGCAGCGGATTCTGCCACAGCGGCCTTTGTGAATGAGCGTGCTCCCTACATGGTGACGACTTATGTACGACCGCTTCCGGTTATAGTCAAGGGTGAAGGATGCTATCTGTGGGATATGGAGAACCGACGATACCTGGATTTTACCGCCGGCATTGCGGTGACGTCTCTGGGACACTCCGATCCCGGCGTGACAAAAGCCATCAACGAGCAGGTAGAATATAGCCCCTCCGCCCCCGCCCCCGGGAAGATCTTTCATAACATGAGTTAACCCTTTCTAAATCATTCAGGCTCGAACACTGCTTCATGCATCTAATCTGTATCACAACAACTGGACGGGTAGCTTGAGCAAGCTTCTTGTGGCTCAGACACACTCGTCCGGCGCCATGCGAGGTGCCACCCAGGCTTTCATCTCCAACTCCGGCACTGAAGCCAACGAAGCGGCGATAAAATTTGCCCGAAAAGTCGGCCACAGCCTTGACCCCTCTGGTGCAAAGTATGAATTCGTCTCCTTCCATAATTCTTTCCACGGTAGAACATTCGGCGCTCTCTCCGCCACCCCCAACCCCAAATACCAAGCTCCTTTCGCTCCCATGGTCCCCGGATTCAGATACGGAAAATACAACGACATCGAGCAACTACCTAGGCTCATCACCGAGAAAACGTGCGGCGTCATCGTCGAGCCCATCCAGGGCGAAGGCGGCGTCCACTGCGCAACCCCAGAATTCTTAACCGCCCTCCGCGCCCGCTGCGACGAGGTCGGCGCGATCCTGATCTTCGACGAGATCCAATGCGGTCTCTCTCGCACCGGCTCCCTCTGGGCACACTCCCACCCATCCCTGGTCCCCACAAACGGAGCCCAGCAGCCCGCGCACCCGGACATCCTCACCACCGCTAAAGCCCTAGGAAACGGCTTCCCCATCGGAGCAACCCTCATCTCCGACAACGTGGGCAAGCACATCAAGACCGGCGACCACGGAACCACATTTGGCGGAAACCCACTCGCCTGCCGCGTCGCGCATCACGTCTTCACCCGCCTCGCCTCGCGAGAACTACAGGAAACCGTGCTCAAGCGCTCAGAGGTATTTGTCGCGGGGCTCAAGGCGCTCAGGGAGAAATACCCAGGCGCTATTTCTGAAATCCGCGGTCGCGGACTGATTCTCGGGATGCAACTCACCGGGAAATACGCCTCTCGCGTGGGAGACATTGTAACCGCCGCCAGAGAGAGGGGCCTCCTGGTGATAACCGCCGGTGAAGGGTGTCTCAGATTCGTACCCCCGTTGGTGATCAGCGAGGAGGAGATTCAGGAAGGGTTGCAGATTCTAGGAAATGCAATGGAGAAGGTATTCCAGAAGTAAGCAACTGGTTCTGATCTACGGTGTAGGATATACCCTGTACACATTTTTTTTTTTTTTTTTTTTTTTTTTTTACCCCCTTTATTTTCAGCTTTTTTCGTCATTTACTGCCATGTACTCTACCTTTTCGAATATACACGATTAGAGGCGTGTTCGGTTGATGCTTGGAAAGTGAGGGACCATAGAAAATATGGCCTATGAAGCGTATGTAGTGATCACCATAGAAAATAAATTCTCGGGAACTGAAAAAGCATTAAATACGGAATCTAATCTACGTATATATGTGCTATCAAAATATATCCAACCGCCGCTTCACGCTCGTTTCATCATGGCGTTCTCGCTTCCTCCCCGATCCCCATCAGACCACCAGCCAATCCCTTCATCCGTCTGTGCAACAGGTCTTCTTCGCTGGGCAAACTGGTCAAGCTGTCTTGCCTATTTATCCGCATCGCGCGCTTCTCTTGCTTCAACGACAGGACAGGATGCTTCAACTTGCTCGATTTCGTCTTTCGGCTCGACTTCGCACGCGTTCCGCTCGCGTCGGCGCTGTTGGTAGCTTCCGTATCGTCGAGGACTTCGGTCGGCGGGGACGTCGAATCTCGTCTTTTAGAAGATGACGAGGAGCATGATGACGAAGAGGATGAAGAGTGGATCTTGGTCATTCGAATGCTCATCTCCAACGGTCCGTCTTCATCGGCGGACGATTCGCCGGTTAGACGGCGATGATGGTGCCGTGTTTCGCCCGCGTCCTTACCCTCAGGCACGTTCTGGTTGGTCGACACAATTCCGGGCTGCCTTCTCACCGCTTCCGATGCTGCACGCCTTCTGCCCGCAAGCGAGCTTGTCGAAGCATTACTCTCCCTCTCGGCATTTTCCCGGGCGGCGTTGGCGCGAATATCGAGAATCCACTTTGTGCATCTGAATACTTGCTTCCATCCCTCTGGGAAGACCGAGACAAAGTTCAAGAAGCCGTGAGAGATTCCTGGGATAAGGGTGACTTCCACATGTGCCTTCTCGTCAAATTCCATTTTTGACTTCTCCAAACCAAGCTCTTGACGTTCCCGGAAGCGATGAAGTTTGGCTTGCCTGATTCTACCCGCAAAAATCACGGTGTCATCAACGAGCGGATCCCGTTCGCCAGTCAGGAAGTACGTCTTTGGAAAACGTGCAAGAAGGGCTTCGGGAGCGAGGAGAGGGGAAAGAAGGAAATCAGTGCTAAAGTCAGGGCGGTTGTATGGCCCGATGTATAATATTATCATTGCGCGCATCATTTCTGGGGTGAGGACTCGATCGTTGAAGTAGGAGATCATAGAAGAGACGGCAAGGCGAGTTCTAATTTGCTGAGGCTGTTTATCTGCCATGGCGACGACCTGCGATGCGACATTTCCAGGCACTGGCTTATCGATGGTGGGATCGCTCCTTTCTGCGGCGGACAGAGAGGCAGACTCAACATCGCCAGCGAGCGAACCATGCTGTTTGGCGAAGTAGTCTCGCAGAACTGAATGGTCTTCCAGACCCTCCGTGGAAGGATGGGGAGTTGAAGGGGCCAGCTTGTAATAATCCTCGCTCTTCCTCCTCAGGACATTTTGGTTTGTCTTCCTCATGCCTCGATCTCGAATCAGCGACATCTGCTCATCTGTCATCCAGCTTCCAATATTCATATCAAGGGACGGATAAATCAAGATCAGTCCCGCTGGCACGGGTAAAAAATCTTCGCCTCTCCATTTTCTTGAGTCCGTGCTACCGGACTGAAGGAGCATCAAGGTCAGGCCCGTCGCCAAGTTTCCACCCGCGCTGTCGCCCGTGAGTATGATCCTTGGACATGTCTTCCCACTTAACCCAATACACCGTCCCTTTGTCATAACAATGGTGTGATACACATCATAACATTCATTCAGAGCATAAGGATAAGGATGCTCTGGTGCCTTCTTATAATCCAAGCTGAGGATCGGGATCCCCGTCTTCCCGGCCCAGGTAAGCAGCTTATCATCGCTTGTTCTGGGATTCATCGCCACAAATCCACCACCCGGAATGTCCAGTACAATGGTATCTTGGTTTCTCAGCGCACTCAGGGGTCCGTTGAAGTACAGCCATGCACTACTTGGCTCTTTATACGATGACTCCTTCGGCCTGGGGATTCTGACCGCGATAGGATCATACTTGCAGAATCGAGGCCTCAGCAACCCCGCGATAAATGATAGATACGGCGTAGTGGCTTTATTCCACGACACACGCATGTGGTCCACCGTTAGCACGGCCCGGACCTTGCGTACCTTTTCATCCGCCTGCTCCGCAGCGATGAGGTAATATATCGAGAAAATGAAGGACGCCAGGTCACGCAGCCACTTTCGTTTTATATTCATCGCGGTCCAGAATCCCGCGTCCAGAGCTGTAGTTATCCACGTGGCGCGGAAATATGATCGAGAATACAGATTTGCCAGAGGTTCAGGACACTCTAGCCCGACGAGTTTGGCAAAGTTACGAGATAGATAGAGGGTCAACATCGTCATAACCGTGGTTTGCCATGGGGTCATCCGCTTGAAGAGGCGAGAGGATATCAACCGTGCTCCGGGCGGGCCATGTCTGTTGCCTCTGCATGGTCGAACCATCAGCGTCATTTCTCCACTCAAAACGAGATAGCTAGACGTTATACGTACCTTATCAGGTATAGAATCCAGAAGAAAACCACAGAAAAGACCTGGATCTTGCGAAACTGGGTAGATGGCCTACCCAGGACGTGATCTTCAGGAAAATGAAATCAGCAACTTGCGTTTTCATCATGGAAATGGACATTAGGATGAATATTGCATACCTATCATCCTCACAGTTTACACCGACGTCTCTCTCGTATCACCGTAAAAAAAGCGAGCAGAGGCAAAGACCCGATGTTGGACAGTATGTCAATCAAATATAGATCCCTCCAGGGTCGATGGATGGAATGTAGCAACCAAGGAACTGCAAAAGGAGGTTCTCATAAGAGAAGAAAGGAAATTTCAAAGCGTCGGTCGATGGGATCCAATTGAGCGGTCGTATCTGCCAGAGAGAATCCGCTAAATCGCAAAGTGGAAATAGTCAAGTCGAAGCTGCGCCACCCGTATGGCAGGTCATAAACTTCATAAGCAGAGGGAGCGCAGAGAAACAACCAAAGACGGGAAAATGTCTTTAAACAATGTACGTCGAAGGAAGAAGAGGACGAGGAGGACGAGGAGGACGAAGAACACGAAGAAGAGGATGAGGGTTGTAGTAAGTGGCAGACATCAGACGAAAGACGAGATTTTTCCGCCGCGCAGAGATGTTGCCGCGACCCATGGAACGTTGCCAGGCACTGAGTGGGAAAGGGATGCCTTTGTCTGCTTTGCGACACTCCGTACGCCGTACTTTTCAGCTGGATTCGCCCGTCCAAACAGGGAAAGTGGCTCTGTTGCGTTAAAAAAAAAAAAAAAAGACAACCGCGAAGTGCACACTTCCAGAAATGGAACGCGCTTCTCTGGTCAAAGTCAGCCAGCGCTGCCTCTTTGGGCATTCTGTTCAGCTCCAAGCATGTGATTATGACGGAGCGGGCGACATGTGAAAGTCTCGGATCTGCTCGCCGAACTGGGTCCGGGGTGGGGCTCACGTGCTGGCGAGGTCACGTTCCAGTCGTACGCACGTATGCCGCTAGACCGCATCCGGAAAGGCGTGACGTGGGGGGAGGAAAGGAAAACAATGGGTGGTGGCTTCTCCTAAGGTGGTTGTGGCTGAAATGGCTGAGATGAGACGAATAAAGGCAGGGAAAAAAAAAGGGAGAGAGACGAAACGGCACAAACCCAAAAAACATATGCAGACATTTGTATGTACTCTGTACCCCGTATTGCAGGATGTGATGATATGGCGCTATATCTTCTTGCAGTAATCTCTTCCCCGGCTGACCTGCCAGCTGCACAACCACACCTCGAACACCATCCCCAGCAGTCCGGCCACGCAGATGCCGCCAGAGTCGCTGACCGTTGTCGCGCCGAGCGAGAACTCACGGTCCTCCTCCCGCACCGTGTCTGTGATCTCCGCAAAGGTGTTAACATACACCAGTCCTCCCAGCAATCCCTCCCAGAAAATGACGATGAACACGATGTAGACGCTGGGGATGAAGTTGAACAGCGCCTGCAGCGTGAGGATCGCGAGGTTGGCAACTTGCAGGAAAGATGGGAAGTATAGATCGTGGACGCGGAAGAAGGGCGTCGAGGAGCGCGAGATGAACACCCCGATCTGGTAGATGGCGTTGTAGGTCGGGTAGAACGAGCGGAAGTGGGAGAACGGGCTCTCATCCAGGGGGAAGAGTAGTGTAGGAGCCACCCCTTGGTTGATCGTGTACTCTGCGATGTAGACAAGGAGAAGAGGCAGCATGCTACAGTACAGCGGTCAATACTCGCTTCGACAAGCAACTGAGCATTGGCTCAACTCACAAGGGGAAAAACAAAACTTTGGCTCGCTTCAAATTGGTCTTGAACTGCTTCCACGATAGCCCTTCATCTCCGAGGTGAGGGGCCTTGATATCGTTATCAGCGTTGGCTTCGGGTAGCCCCTCGTTCTCTGCCCTGTCGTCCTGGAAATCGTTCCCGATCACTCCACTATCGTTCGTATCATAATTAGTACTTCTCTCACCGGCCCCCTCGCCCAAAATGGGCTGATACCCTTCTCCGGTCCTCTCGAGCTTCCTCAATGGCGTGAGCGGCAAGATCATAAAAAAGCTCATAACCATCACTCCTGGTAGACACGCTGAAGCCAACAGGGTTGTGCGCACGCTCAACTTAAACGACGTCGTCGCCAGCGCGTACGCTCCCGCACCTACCAGTCCCGCTGCTCCCGTCCCGCTGCTCCACGCGGCCAGGCTAAACTCTCCGTAGAAATGAGTAAGGCCCAGGAAGCTCAGTTCCCCGCCGCCGGATGATAGGCTAGCGAGCACCACACCACACATCTTGGTGGATATGAAGTTCTGCGCGGGGTTGTTTGGGTCGTAGGCCGGCGACAGGGCGATGAGGAGCATGCCGCCGGCGGAGAGCGCGACAAATATGAGTATCCGGATGGGATACGGAACAAGGTGGATGAAGTAGGGGGCGCAGAGCTTGGTCAAGAACGAAGGGATAACATCGGCAAGAAGGACGACGCCTTTGGGGATTTCAGGGCCCACGAGGTCGAGGGCCGCCGATAGAATGATAACATAGAGAACATTGTTGATTAAGCCTAGATGTGGTAAGTAACTATCTCTTTCCTCACACTGTTTGCGCGAGCGTGTGCACACACACACACACACACACACACACACATCTTCCCTCTCGCTCCCTCCACAGAGATTCACCTGGGTAGATACAAAAAAGAAATTCATTGTTCTACAGGACTATATGTCCCTGAACTATTCCTTGTGTCTACTCACCAAATAACCAAAATGCAGCACACACCCTTGGATCAGCATTGTGGAAGAGTGCTCGAAAGCGCCCCCAGAACACCGCCCAGGATGAACTCGGCGCGCATGGGAGCGGGAGCATCGCTGGCGATTGAGATTCCGGCATATGGCCAAGTCCATCAAATTTCTGCTTTGTAGCTTTATGTTTTCTTTGAAATAACCTGAATAGCAAAAGCGATGGAAGGGTATCCAAGCATCTAGAATGCACACGAGCCCAAGACTTCAGCAAGTTGCATCATTGATATGTATTTGTATGAAGGTTCAATTCAATAGAAACAAAACTATCTCAGGATAGCAAAATTCATAGATAACACCTGTGAAAAGATTTCCACCTCCTGTTGTTTCCAATACTATTCTCCTGTTGTGGTACAAACAATGTTGATGATGCTCACTTGCCAGGTTATGGCTGGGAACTGCTCACACGGCTGAGGTCAAGTTCAACAGCAACGGAAAAATAATCATCCGAATAACCGCTCACGGGGGAAGTTGGAATATCTCTGCCGATAATTGAGGTGAAGTGAACATGAGGGTGAATTCCACGATTCATGAGTCTATTGCAGCCGTCACTTATTCTGTGGCGAGCCCAGCTCCTTTATGAATCGGAACCCATGGAAACTGCCACTGGCATAGAGCACTTCATATTCACGGCATCATCTCGCTTAGGATGCTTTGTCATTTTAGTTGGAGAGAGATGGCTATAAAATACATCTTCTTGCTCCTCCTCTTCTTCTTCCCTTCTCTTCTCGCTCACATTCAAAGGTAACCAGATGGACCTTCAGCTATAGAGGTTTCTGTCATAACTACCTGCTTAAGGCCTGATGTGGGCACTTCATTATCAAGCAAGGAAAACTTTTACCATTTTATCACATTAATATCCTCTTTCTTTCAATGCTTAATAGCACTACATCAAGCTCCGCCAGATCCTCCAGTCCTACGGCTTGATTGTGGCTTATTATATCCCAAAAGACATGCAGGCCGCGGTAATTGCATTATATTCTGCCATGGCCCCATAATGTCAGGATTATGTCCAAGACACTTAAACAAGGCGTTCCGCAAGCTTCTCGCCAATCACAGCATACACAAGAGTCTGCCTACCTTGAGAGACCTCCAATCCGCCATATCAAGCTCCAGCAGGCCCTGCAAGGAAACTCCAACACGCCAGCATCCTAACTGCCGATATGTACCAATCACTACCGTGATATCATCAACGCCAATTATATGAACATCGCCAAGTCGATGTGCACTTTTTTAACATACAATAGACTAAGACATACTAGCCCCTCTACAACTTTCGCGGTGATTAGTACATTTCCAATGCTAAGCTGAGTCCAGTCTATAATATGAACTGGAAAGGATGAAATAATCCAAGGAGGTTGCACTACATATCCGGCCTGACATGCCTCAACATCATTATCAATACTAATCAAGGTGGGATCGGTCAGTTCCAAAGGCCATCCTCTACTTGCCCTTGCCCGTGGCGTACACTAATGCCAATGTTGGGAACCCGGTCCCGCTTCCCGTGAAATGCGACTCTGATGTTATCCATGCAAAGCTAATGGCTTCGAAGCTCGGATTACAGACACGCACTCTTAATAGAGAGGAACTCCTGAATCATTTGGCTCACATCTATAAGAAGCACCGAAACATTGGTTCAGTCAAGACTGATGATAGTACCTACCTTTGGTTCCGTTTGGCGAATAGACCAGCTAGAGCTGAAGATGCTCTGGGCATCTACGAATTCAAGCATCAACCGATTACTCTGGTCGCGAATATGAAGACTTTCGACTTCAACCGTTACGCGCGAATCACTGGCGTCAACAAGTTCACCACCGTTAATCTTCAGAAAGAATGGGAGACCACTGGGTCTGTTGTAATTTCCCAGCTAATGCGCTGGTGGAATGATAAACTACAAGCCGCTACCACTACAGTTCTCACCCGTGTCAACGGCGAATACGACATGTACTACCACCATCAACGAATGATGGGAGGTCGCGGCGGACCTTTTTGCATGGACCATGGGCTCCATGGGGTAGTAGAGGGCTTGAAATTCGGACATCGCCAGGCTTGCAAATGACGTCGGTCCACTTGATACCAAATCTTTTATCGTCATCTTTGGTATACATAGTATCCTTAATGCGGCAATTCAAGAGGACCACGAACACCTAGAGGTCAACGAAGCCGGTATCTGGTCTCAATTGCCAAACAGACATAACTATCGCGAATTCGTCTCGTTGCCAATGGAACCAATGCCTCCCCCCAACTCGCTGCACGTTTCCAAGAATATCAACAACAGAACCAGCGCAAGATGATCCAAGATGTTCTCACAAGATGGAATTCCACCTACAAGATGTGCTGCGTGCATTCTTGCCTTGTTGCTTCAACAAGCTGTGGACTCATGGTTCCAGGACTCATCACCAAAATACCAAAGGCTTCACTTATTGGACCATGACTGGAAGCAGCTAGAATATATGGTTGGGCTGTTGCAGCCATTCAGTCAATTTATCAAGCTACTGTCCAAAACAACAGGTCCAACAATTCATCTGGTATGGGCAATCTATAAATTACAATCATCTTTTCCAGCATTTAGAAACAGAGGAGGACAAGGCCCAACAGTTTACAACAAGAGAGAACATTCAAGAAGCTATCAAAGCTGCCAACTTGAAATTCCAGAAATACTATGGTGATACTGAGCATCCAAAGGGTGAGCTGCTAGCTGTGGCTGCTGCCCTCCATCCATCACACAGCATGAGGGCATATGATTCAGAGGATTGGACCAGTGATGAGTGTGAAACATACCAACAACATATTTTGAGGTTTTAACAAAAGCATTATGAGAACTTGTGTGTGCGTGGTCTTTGGTGGACTGATCCATCAAATTCTCCAAGGGGGTGCTGAGTGCTCCTTAATTAAATTCAATGATGATAAGGCCTCACCGACAGGAAAACAACATGAAGGCTTCTTAACTCCCGCGAACCGAAACAAGGGGGATACATGAACCTTTCAATCAAGCCAGGAAGAACTGCTTACGGCCAATACTTTACATATCAAGACATCTAACATGCTATATGACTTTTGCCCATTTTTTTTTTTGACTTGAGCTGAAGGAAGGTTCAAGGGCAAGGCCATTTCCGACAGACCGCATGGCGGAAGAGGAAAAAAAAAAAAAAAAAAAAAAAAAAAAAAAAAAAAAAGACCAAACATGAGAAAGAGAAGCTCTCTTAGAAGAACAGCAATCGAGTGAGGTTGAGCGGTAAACCCCACAAGTTCCATGATGGATTTTCGAAGGTGGCGACACCCTCGGCTCTGTATAACGTTGTCCTTATTTTTTTTCCCCTTTAAGAGGGAATTGATGCAGACCAACGAACTTGTCTGATAGGGTGACAAAGGGCTCAGAAGCAGAGCTCTGGATAGCAAAATACAATAAACAGATATGGGAGAAGAGACTTGACGGATATGCTGGTCAATCTTCATGCAATGAACATAACTAATGGGAGGTGTTGAAAACGGATAAATGCAAAGCTTAGTTGGTATGGAGCTCAATTCTCATAGATTTCTTTGTGTACTCCGTACTGTACGTATAAAGCCTAGTCAATAATATGAGGAAATGAAACTTGACTTTATTTTTTTATTTTTTATTATTTCCATTTTTATTCCTTTTTTTTTTTTTTTTTTTTTTTGGTGAGAGTATTCCCGTAAAGCGATTTCGTCTCCCACCCCGGGGCGTAATCCAGAATATTACATAGACTGCGGCTCGTGGGGGTCGGAGACATGCAGTCATCGTTCTCAACAGACTAAAGGGTACTTACATACATACACAGCCGTGAAAGACCTCGGAACGGTGCATATTGCGGGTAAATGGGAAAAGCGCATTCGCGGTGTGACGTGTCATGTATGCCTCGGGTTTCGCCAGGTCTATCTGAAACGGATTTTGAAGCCCCATTAAAGGATGTTGGGGAGGTTCACTCGAGGCAGAGAATAGAAGACGGAGGGGGGGGTTGAAGGGCAGGTCATGGGGACAACAATTGAAAGGAGGGCTTTTGTGGGAAACCAAAGGGGGAGGATGTCTGTTGGCGATACTCTGTACATCAGGAGGGGTTGTTATTCTTTAGTTCTTGCTATTGACAAGAAGAAGAAAAATAAATCACCCCCCTTTCCCACGCGACCATGCATATACGGGCGACCCCAAAAAAAAGAAAAGAAAAAAGAGGGAGAGTTGTTTTATGGACAGGAGGGACGGAGGGCGTTTAACCCCGATGCACGGTGTTGTGCGACGGAGACAATCGAGGGGCAGCAGTTAGAAGACGTAAAAAAAAAAGAGGGAAAAAAGAGAATAAATAAATAAATAAAAATACAACTACTGGTACTCCGTACAACAGCGTGTCACCCGAGATGCGAGTTGAGAAACAATTATCTGGACCAGTTGACAAAAACTCGCCCTGCTCTGTGAGGTCACCTTGTGCCTGCATAGTATATATGTATGTATGTCCACGGAGGACAGAGTTGTCAGGGGATTGAGACACAAAACTGGGCTTTATCGGTTGGCCAGTCGATGATATGATGATGATGATGATGATGATGCAATCAATCTATCTATTTTCTGTGTTGAAGTGATCTTCAAGTCTGCATGACCGTGGTAGCTTGGAAAAATGACCAAGCACGGAGAACTCCGGGAGAGAGGGACCTGCAGGCAGCTTTTGAGGGAACAGCTGCCACTGGGGCTTGGTCCGGCCGGCTACGAGTTTGGCGATCACTCCCGTGGTGAGGTAGGGATAAAAGTGAGTTGAGCGGGCAAGGTTCGCCGGGGCCGCTAAGCCGAGTTTAGAGTTAGCGCAAGCCAGGGGAAAATTTGATTTCCCCGGACCCGGGACCCACACCCAACAGTGAACTCTTATTTTGGCGATTCCTGATCTGGAAAGAGTGCACCGAGGCAATGACGTGTTCGGCTGGGCTTGAATTTCCTTCCTTTTTTTTATTTTATTTTATTTTTATTTATTTATTTATTTCGAAAGGGGCAAGAGGCAAGGACGGAGGAAGGAAGGACCAAGAGAAGAAGAAGAAGAAGAAGGAAAGAAGGAAAGAGACCAACACTCAAAAAGAGTGGGAAAAAAAAGGAATTAAACAGAAAAGTACTCCGTACTCTGTAAATAAATAAAATAAATATGTCAAAGCGACCAATAACAAAAGATCCAATAGGTCAAAAGGGAAAGTAGTGACCTCGATGGGAATCAGTACGGAGTAAGTTGGGCCCAGAACGCTCTCTGCACGCTGCGAGGAAGGTGCCCAGCAACAAAGACGATCTCGCTGCCTGAAGACTGAGTTTCTGTGTTTCTGCACCGGGAGAATTTATTTTATGTCCGTCGCTAACTCCACCATTCCCCCGGGCCCAACCACCATCACCATCACCACCACCACCGCTCCAAATGTGTCAGGGTGCGATGCGTAAGACTGCACGTCGGTAGTCACTCTGCTCCTTGTTGGGTTCAGAAGATCCTCATCTGGATGTGTGCATGTACGGAGGATGTACGGAGTACATTAGAGCTTCTTTGTTCCCTCCAGAGCTGTCACGTCGGGCGTTTGTGCCTTTTCCTTCGGCTCTTCGGGAACTTCATCCACCCAGTCCCCATCCTCCCCTGGCTATCTCTCTTCCCCCCCCCCCAAACTCTCTCTCTCGCTCTCCATCTCGTCAAGCTTAGCCTGCCGAGAATTCCCTGTCCCCTCCAGCGCGGCCCCGGTCTTGGCCACCATCGCAGTTGTTTCGTTTTTGCTTTTTCCCCGTCTTTGCTTTTTTTTTCTGCGTCAATCTCCCAGACAAATTTTTCAGCCCGTTCACGCGCGGTTGGGTAGATCAAGCCCACCCTAATTGGGAGCTATTGCATGCTTCGATTATTGTTTATTTTTTTCCTCCGTGCGCTTCGACCTTTTTTTTTTCCCTTTTTTTCCTTTCTTTTTGCTTTAACCAACCATTCTTCTTTTTCCGTCTTCGACTTTTCTTTTTGTTCCTCTGCAGCCAACAACAGGTACCCTTGTCACATCGCTTCTTGCACCACCCGTATTCCTCTTGACAATCTGACCGTCAGTTTTCCATCGTCATCATCATAATCATCATTATCATCATCATCGTCATCATTATTTCGTTGAACTGTGGCCTCCAATAGGCGGCAACGTTGTACCACAACCAGGACACCGCAGTCATCCCAGCTTATTTCCTTTGCAGACTTCTCTTCTAGGCAGAGCATCTATGCATCTCACCCCCTAGGTGCTCCAACTTTTTTGGAGTTGCGTCGCTCGGTGCTGCGTCCCATCCCACTTCTTTTCCGCCATGGAACCGCCTCCTCAGCCTTCCTACTCGCGTCCATCACCCTTGGGCGGCCCACGCGAATCTTCACTCCCGTCTCTCCCTTCTCGCCTGTTCGGCCCGGCCGCGACGAACATAGCAAACGGTCGATCGCAGCAACCCTATGATCCGTTGAGTCGAAGAGAACAACTCGACATCTCAGCGCGTGGACCCCCGCCAACGCCGCCAGCCTCGGTGGGCTACCCTTCTCGATATCTGTCCCGCGATGTCACTCCCCATTCCAGCTGCACGCAGTCCTCCTCGTCGTCGTCCTCGACGTCGTATCTCACCACACCTCCCATTCCGGACTCGTACCCTGCCTATAGACCGCCGGCACACTCTCCGCGCGAAGTGGGTGGGAAGCACGGCCGGCGTCTGTCAAGAGACTACGGCACCATACGCCATGAAGGTGAGCAAAATTTTTAATCAAGAACGTATCACTGCACCTGTGTATCCCTGTGTCCTGTTTGTTTGTCTCTGGATGTCGCCAAAAAAAAAAGCCCTTGCCTTTTGGTGCGCCGTTTCGAAGCTGCTGCGCACAGACCATCCAAGCAGCGACGAGAGGTTTCGCTGTTTTGTTTATTTTCCACACGCCCACCATGACGGGGAGGTTCCATGGCCCATTTCACGCCGTAACAGTGGCTCTCGCGTGGCTCAAACCTAGCGGTTTCTTCCGATCCGGGCTTCCACGCCAGAGCACGACTCCCGACGCAAGCACATGGCAACTCGCTGGCTCCCAGGTACCGAGCTGCAGCAACAGCAACATGCTATATTTGGCTCCAGCCAACCGCAACCCAACGCTAACCCCTTTTAAGGTTGGACGCGCCATGCCGTCTCGGGACTAGCGCGGATCCGGCCAACGTGCGCTAAAATCCCTAAAAAAAAAAGGTCCCGTGACTCCTGCAGCTTTCCCCGAAACGGCAACTGATCCCCGTCTCTAGACAATCCAGTCTCTCGCTCTCTCTCTCACACACTCTCTCCGTCTCTCTCTGTCGCTCTCTCGCTCTCTCACTCTCTCTGAGTCTCACAGCCAGAACTGACCTGACTTCTCCATGACGCTTTGCAGCTTCAGGGCCACCCCTCCCCATGTCTCGAGAAATGTCCCATCACTCGCAGCCCTATGATCAGCTTCGCAGAAGGTCCTTGGGAAGTACCGGTAGTCCTCCTGTCTATCCGGGTGAGTCGACATTCGCCGACCAACCTGCCCCGGACCCTGTCGCAGACTAGCATTGGCAGTCAATCACGGGTCTTTCGCTTTCTAAGAGTTTCCTTCCAAGCCCGGTTGTTCCGTTTTTATAAAAAAAAAAAAAAAAAAACTGATTGTCCAGCCACTAATTAACGTTCGCCTGATCTTTTTAAACCTTAGGCCATCCTGATCACCAACCTCCACCCCCAGGTTCATCCTTCGGATCCCGCCAGATGCCTCCACCCTCACCTCCGCCGCTCTTCCAAAGCCGTGCGACTCCAATTCAGCCTGCCGCGCTTCCTCCCCCACAGCCATCGTTTGCGCCGCGCGATCCTCCAGCTCCTTCCCCTTCGTCGCATCGCACGGGAAGCAGTATGCCCATAGCCTCAATGCTTGGTTCGGATCCCGAGAAGCCGTCTCGCGAGCCAAGTTCGTCTTCTCTGTTCTCGCGGCCACCGATCCCATCCATGTCAGCGGGCACAACAGGACCCTCCGCGTCCGGGAAAATGTCTCCGCCACCCGCACCCACTCGACAGCCGGCCCCGGATTATCCACCATTCGGAAGGTCACACACGCCCGACCGAAGCATATTCTCAAAACCAGCCCCCAGACCATACCGTCCGGACTCCAGGGCAACGGTTCTAGGCACCACTCAGACCTCCGCCGACGATAGTCGTGTCGGGAGCTTATTCCGTTCCCACGCCGGGCCTGCTTTTGGAGACAGACAGATGCCGCAGTCCCCACGTAGCGCGTACGTCGAATCATCTTATGCTTCTACAGACCGACGTTTAAGCCTTGGCGCACCGATTCAACGGCCAAATAGCCAGCCTCAACATCTGCCCCAATCGGATGAAGCTCCAGCCCGAACATCACTGTTCAGCCCAATTGGCCGGTCAACACCTGGATTTGGGGACAGAGGACCCGGCCATCAACGATCCGCGACAGGGTATGCTGGCGTCGAAGGCCATCCACATGCAGCTTCCAGATTTAGTGGTGTGCCGTCCGAACACCATGGCCGAGACCTTGTCAGTCGCGATCACGTTCAGGAACCCGGACACCAGCAACAACCCCAAGTCCGTTATGGCCAACATCATTCAGATAGAGACGAAAGGCAGTCAAGGGCGCCTTGGGAGCCGAATCTACCACGGTTGTCTCCGGAGCCGGGTCGTTATCCTTCGGGAGAATCCGTCGCCGGTCGTGGGTTTGGAGGATTGCACACCCACACCAAGTCCCTCGGGTCGCAGCCCGGTGCTCCGCGTTCCTTACCAGGTCCTCAGCTGCAACCGAGACAAGAGCCTTCTCCTTCGCAAGAGTCTTCTCCCTCAGCCACCCGAAGGTTCCCAAATCCTCAATTGTATTCACCCGCACCCGGCCCGAGACCACCACCGTTCAGCGGCCCCGGAACAGAAGAGCATCACCCACCGCGTGTCATTGTGGATGAACAATTGCATCATAGAACTATTTTGAATCTCAATGCAGAGAATAAACGGGGAAGAGTGTCTCCTCTGCCGCAGGCTGTCCAGGGCGCCCAGGCTCAGCTGATAGGACCTGCCGGAGAACCAGGAATCCAGAGTGAGCTAGGAAGGGTCTTCTCTGGCATTGGCAGTGGGGTCGGAGTGTCTGGCAGCGGCCCTCCCACACCGCTGGGTTCATCATCCTTTCGAAAAGATGTCACCGGTCGCCCTTTGAATTCCGAGCACGGTGATGCAATGGGAACCGGGGCCAAGCCATCACGATCGAACTCTCGCCGAAGCCGGAGAATAAAAGATGAGGAGGCAAGAGAAGATAGTGAGTCTACCAATGCTCAGCGTGAAACGTCCTTGGTACGCGGTGGTGGTGCCTCAAGAAGAGCTCGACATGTACATCACCACCACCATCATGGGCATCAGTAAGTCCTTCCCACCCCACAAAAAAAAAAAAAAAAAAAAAAAAAAAGGACCGTCTACAGTTCAGTTTCACTAACTCTATTTTAGTCACCATCACCACAGACATAGACCAGACGATGACACTGCCCACTCAGTGGCTCAACCAGGTGGCTCGTCACAACCGCCTACTCTCGCTGACAGGACCGTTGTTTCTTCGGCCACTTCTACACCGCACCATCATCATCACCACCATCATCACCATCACCATGTCCCACGATCCGGCATTCACACACCTCACCAGACGGCTCCACCTGTTCCGACAAAAGAGTACAGCACTATGGTCAAACTGGACTCGATCTTAAAGAGTGTAGAGCATCTGCCTCGCTACCATCTGGGATCGACCCTCTACGCACCTCGCATCAATGTCCCCTCTCCAGGAGCACCACCAGAAGCGGCAAAATTCGGATATTCGTCTACCCCGGTTCCTATTCCACGGTTCGACGGCAAGGAAAATTGTACATTTACGATTCGTGTTCCTCGGTTCCGGATCGATGCGCCACGCCGAGAAGAAATTTGTGCGAGAAGAGCTCTTTGGGGAACTGGAGTGTATACAGATGATTCCGATCCCGTGGCGGCAGCTATTCATTCGGGATTTATTCGTGGAGAATGGGGAGAAGATGTTGATGTTTCGCTGCTGGATCTTGAGATTAAGGACCAGCATCAACACGCCCCGCATCCAACCAATGGAGCCTTTGGTTCTTCCCACAAGAACGGCCCCGATGGCAAGGTCAAGTCTGAATCAGACGACAAACAAAAGGCAAAACACAGGATCCCCCCCATCCCACCTCCTGATAAGGACCTCCACATCACTCTGCTCATCCTCCCACCACTCGAACGCTACGAATCCAGCGTTATGTACGGCCTCAAGTCACGGCCTTGGGGCAATAACCATGATGGCATGAGCTTTAAGGTGGAAAGCATAGAGTGGGTGGATGAGGGCGGATCCAAAGGCCAGGAACGCGGCGGTGAAGCGCGTCGCAAGAGACTGAAGAGCATGATGCGTTCAGGACGGATATGCACTGCGGCTGGAATGAAAGGTCGTGCGGGGGTCGAGTTTTTGAAGAAGAAAGGTCCTTCAGGGATGGATAATGGGCCTAGAGTGTCGCCAGCGAGCCAAGAGTCCGCGCAGCCGAGAGTGGTTGAGACGGTGTCTTAACTTTTTTTTTTTTTTTTTTAAGGTTCAGTTTTGTATCTTAGCATATCCTACGCTTCTGGGTGGCCCTTTTTTTTTCTCCTTTATCGTGCTTCATTGATTCATGACTCTAGCCTGTTTGAAGTTGTTGAGATTTTAGCGATTACTATTCCTTTTTTTTTTTCCCCCTTTCGGCCATGGAGTCTTCTCTAAAATGGAATAGGAGCCAGCGGGGAGGAATACATAAGTTAACAATTATTGTTGTTCTTTTTTAGTATTTGAGTGTCCCCATACGGAGTACTTAGTTATATAAAATTGGTGCCGGGATAAGCAGCTGACATTCGTACTCGGCGTACGGAGTACTCCTGAGAATGTTGCATTTTGAGCCAGCGCACGGAGTATGTTCTATCACTATCCTGCGGAATGTGTTTTAAGAATTTCATGGATAAAGTAAATATAGCTTGCGTTCAATATGGCGTGACTCGCGCTCGGATCGCAGAAGCCGTTGCTACATTACACCAGCTCCGTGTCTGGTAACAAACATGGAGGGCAGGAATCCTGGCTCCAATTTTTATTTTTTTTCTTTTTATTTTTATTTTTTTTTTGGGGGGAGCATCAATGGTATCACCTGGTGGGGAGCGGCTCTCAGGAACTTTGATCTGTGACCGGGGTTTCTTTGATGCTTAATTCTTGCTTGACAAGCATGATCCCTGTCTTTGCATGCTGGTAATTTGGTCATACGTCGGCCTCGTTTGGAGGTTAACAACGGGAGCATTTCCTTGAATCCCTTTTTCTTTTCGCCCCCAACCAACAACACCCCCGGCATTTATAGTTATTGGAAAGGGGTTGTTGACTTCTTCTCTGTCAAGGGTTGCAAAAAAAACACACACACACACACACACACACATATACACATACGGAGTACTCCGTACGCATGTCGGTTCAAGGACGAGAATGAAGCGGCCAACTAGTTTTGTAAATACCTACAAGTTAGATTGGCAAGTTTTGAGTTTAATCCAGTGCCGGCTTTCAACAAGATCACACTCTGGTAGTATTTATACAGCCCATCATGGCCATGTGGAGACGGGGGGGTTCGTGCAGCTTGAACCGCAGCCCATAGCAGACAAGAATGTTCCGATTCTGGCGGGCTAACGGGTGGTGTAAGTTTACTCGCCAGCTATGTATGGTGTTCAACCCCTGGCATCAACGGATGGACCAAAGGCTTGAAGAGACCCGCCACCAAACTTTAGTGGGCGGCAAAACAGAGCCTCCCCGCGGCTTTATTTTATTTTATTTTATTTTTTTAATTGTTCACCATAATTGCTGTGCGCCTCTTGTTTCGCATGGCCGCCGGGGGTGGCTGAGCCGCTATCGCTCGTTGAATGGTTTCCTCGCTCTGAATGTTGAAGGGAGGGAGGCAGTGAGAAGATCTGCGGAATAGTTACGCAACACGGTGTACTCCGTGCGCATACACTCTTGTCCTTGTTGACGGAGGAGACCCGCGTGGATACATTCGATTTAGGTGCTGTTGGGGGTCAACGATACAGCGAAATCGGCTCTTTTTCTGACTCGCTGCTGCGCGGTGCCGGGAGCGAATCGGCCCCTTCGATAAATATAATCCCGTCGCTGCGGTGGGCGCTTGCAGCACTAGTACTCTGTAGTAAGGACTTAAATCAATTCCCCGCAACATGTATGGGCCATCGTGTGCATGGCAAATAGTCGCATTCAAAGCTGAGACAGGCCAGGAACGGTTGCAGATATCATACGGCTCTCTCTCCCCACTGGTCGTTGGAAAGAGTGGTCTCCTTGCTAAACTATGCACATGTTACCTCGACCCGGCTTTGCCAGGTGCAAGAGCAGAGAGAAATGACCTATTCACCTCCGTACAGGGAAACCCTCGGCAATCTTGCTGCTCGGTGCCAACATTCATGTAACTAGCATCCTTAACTAGCTCCAGGCTCCGGGGCCCAATCCAACCCCTGGTGGTCCCCCCGATACTCGTGTGCTCGACTCTTGGTATGGAGAAAGTCGCGTCAATAATGTCTCCATCAAAACGTTGATGATGTTTGTTTCGGTCTGCCGATTTCGTCCCAAGGCTAGGCGTGCCGCTGAACTTACGTACGCCCCGGACCTGCTTCCGGAAAATTGCAGGGATATGCGGAGAAGTTATGGAGCAAGGTTGGCAAAATCCTCGATGGGAAAAAACAAAACTAAAAAAAAAAAAAAAAAAAAAAAAAAAAGGAGAAGAAGGGCCTGACAAAGTTGATTCGTGAGGGAGGAAAATATAGCCAATCAAAAAGAACCGGCCGCTTGTCACTAAAGAAAAAAAAGTAGTCCTGCTACCGTCTGTTTCGAGGAAGGCTACCAGACTCGACGCATCTTCTGCACCAAAATTTAACATCGCGCGAAAAGAAGATCGCAATTCTCCGTTTTCCGCATTGTCATTCCAACCCCCGCGGAATAGAGCCCCATTTGTAGGTTTACCGACTGCCCCATCGGTGATCCTCTGTGGCTCTGCGCGCAGAAACTGAGATGTTTGAGCCAGGGTTGATCAGAAACCCCCCCCTTAATGCGGATACAGGGTATTTATTAGTCAGTAAGCAGCGAAGCAGCAATCCCTCTTTTTATGGGTAAATACAGATGGAATTCGCTCGTAGTAAACTTCCCAGTTCCTGGGATGTGTGGACGACGACGAAGTCGTCTCTTCAATAATTTACGAAAGAATCTCATTTATGGGGGGGTGGGCAGATAGAGATACAAAGAGAGCGAGATGACCGTCCCTTTTCCGTCTCGCCGCATATACCGGATCTCATGTCTGATTATCACGCCCTGCCTCGTTGCCATCATTGGCATGGGCATTTTTGGGCTCTGGTTTGGCATGAACTCGGACGGTGATAACGTCCATCCTCTCCTCACTCAACTCATCCCTGCGGGCCACTGTACTTGCAAGGCATCGACAACATTCAATTGCACGAGCTGTGTAGACTTGATCACCCCAACCACATTCGAAACAGCATCTCCGTCGCTGTCGCCATCGCCTCCAGCCTGGACTTTCGTGTATGGTCGTGATGATCGAAATGTGGGCCTCACCAGGTCGCAGTGTCAGTCGTCCTTTCCGGGGCTATTCGAGGATGTCCACCGTGCTGTGCGCTTTTGGGCTTCTCGAGATGGTATCCAAAAGGAGTCTTTGGATGGGATCAAGTTACGAGGTGGCATGGCGAGGGCGATGATATTCAACGGAAATCTTTATGTCATCGAAACGCGGGCCGCCCAAGAAGACCATCGACGGAAGATTTTGGGGGTCCTGAGCTCAATTCACCGGGCTCTGCAGGATAACGTACCTGACATTGAGTTTATCTTCTCGATCGAGGACAGAGTCGACGACGTCTCTGGTACTGGTCAGCCCCTCTGGGTGCTTGGGAGGAAAGCTAGCGAAGAGTCTGTATGGCTGATACCCGACTTTGGATTTTGGGCTTGGGGTAATCCGTCAAGCAACATCGGTCCTTATGATCAGGTGGTAGAGACCATCGAAAGGATCGATTCGGAGGATCGGATGCCGTGGTCTTCAAAGACCCAGAAACTGCTTTGGAGAGGGAAACTTAGCTTTTCGCCCAAATTGAGGCGAGGCTTGCTCGAAGCTGCGAGGAACAAGCCGTGGGGTGACGTGAAGGAGCTCGTCTGGAAAAAGAAGGATAATTTCATCAGTATGCAAAACCATTGCAAGTACATGTTTGTCGCACACGTTGAAGGTACGGATGGTGTCTTCCACTACTGTTTCTGAAGAGTTTGTTGGCGATGATGCCGGAATGCTAACCGAATGCATGTGTCTCTCAAGGCCGCGCTTTCTCATCCTCTCTCAAATACCGACAGGCGTGCCGATCAGTCATTGTCGCACACAAATTGCAGTACATCCAGCACCACCACTATCTGCTCCAGTCCGATGGTCCGCATCAGAATTTTGTCGAAGTTGAGCGCGACTTTTCAGACCTCTCCGAAAAGATGAGCGAGCTCTTAGCGAATCCAGAGATGGCCAGAAAGATCGCCGACAACAGTGTCAAGACTTTCCGACAGCGGTACCTCACACGCGCCGCCGAAGCATGTTATTGGCGGGAATTGTGGGAAGGCTGGGCAAGCGCTTCCAGAGGAAATCCGATGCCAGACGAGTTGCCAGATGAACGTGGTTTGAGATATGAATCCTTCCTTCTCTTGGAGAGTAGCGATATGATGGCCTTTTCGTACAAGCCTTGAGCGGAAAAAGCCTTGGAATGTCGGGCAATAGGACTTCTTTTGCAGGGGGCAGGGAAATGCGCTAGCGAAAGAAATCGATTCTAGCCTACTCTCTCCGTCTCCCCGGACAGAGTGGCTGTTCCCCCTTGGCAAGTGAACATCGTCCTTTCTTGATATAGTGAACAACCAGCTCCCCGTTGACGGTAAATTCGCATGCCCGCGGTGAATCCACCCCGGGGGGGGCGAAGCGACAGGCATGTCTATCCGCGGGAGTTGAAACCACGCCTCTCCATGTGCTAGACGGGCTCTTGTGGTTTGATGGCGAAGATCAGACCACAGGTACATTTATGAGACGATGTAAGGGAACTGGCCGTTTCAAAATAGCCAGCGGAACATTATGTCGAACGGGAGATGGAAAAGAAAAGCCAATGACGATATAATCATTGCATTAGAAGGATTAAAACAGGCTGGCTATGAACTATGTCATCCGCAAATTCATCCAACGACCATAGATGCAGATAACTCCAGGTTAATTCAAGATACATGTGATCATTCTCCAGAAGGTGTGTAGGTCAGAACCAGGGCATGCATGCCGGTGGCTGTCAGACTCGAGACGGCAAGGGATCTAAAAAGTTTCCCTAAAAATAACCAAAGGGTTGTGACTTTAATATCAACTGCTCATTTTGCCATCATACTCCCGTTATCTCAGCCTGCCCAAGAAGTCAATGGAGGTCAGCAACGGCACCAGCTCGGGACTCTAGAAGAAACCTTGCGGCCGTAGCTCCAGAGAGGATGGACCTAATAAGGCTTAACAGGCCAGAAAACCACACGTTGATGGGCGCTTTGGCCCGTCGAATTTCGCTCGTCGCGGTGAGCCGAGGCTCGGGCGTTCGGCGGAAAAGCCCGGAGTTGGCGCCAGGTTGAGCGCTAGCCAACTCCGGTAAGGCGCCGACTGGGGGGACGGTGGCTTATGTCAGCATGGCGGGTGCGGATGGGCTGAAAATGGCGGCCTTGTGACAGCGCCGGCGAAGGGGACGGGCGGAGGGATGGTGGACGGAGAAAAGCATATGAAAGCAAGGCTCCGAGATTAATTAGTTAATCGTTTTGCGAGTCCTGTCGAGGAATGAAGTCTAGTTGAGTGAAGACAGAGAGCTTCGTGACAGCACTGTCCGATGCCACCTTCGCGGGCCGTGTCTTAGTCAGATCTCCATCGAGCCGAGGAAGTGCCTTGGATCGCCTTTTATCAATCTCCTCCTGATCCGGTCCACTGCAGCTCTTCTTTAGTTAGGCCGAAATCCTTCTCTTCTCTCTCTCTTTTCTTCCCGCTCACTACCTTTTTTTCCCCTCTCTTCCTGATCGCACGCCATTTCCCCCCTGCTTTCTCATTTCCATATCCCTCTTCGCCTCCTCTCATTGGGATGTTCCCGGCTGCTGCTCGAGGCCGTCTCGTTGCTCTTGGACGTGCTTCCCTCCCTCGCCCCGCTCGGACACCTGTGAGTTCATTTGTCCCATGAGCTCGCATATATCGATCGCGACTCACGGGAGTCGCTCGACCAAGTGAACCTCCGTAATCTGACTCCTTATATTTAGGTTATCACAATGGCAGCTCGTCGCGCCAACTCGTCCGTCCCCGCAGGTACGATGTTCTCCGCTTCTCCGGATCTGCCCGCAAACGAACAACCAGCATACTAACATCTTGTAATTTTTTTTCCTCCCCTTCAACGACAGGATACACCGAAGATCTCTCTAAAGGACGCATGCTCCGATTTGAAGACTCCCTTCCACAATTACCCGTTCCAACCCTCGAAGAGACCGGCAAAAAATATTTAAAATCTCTCCACCCACTTCTCAGCGCTGAAGAATTCAAGCGCTCGCAGAAGGCAGTCGAGGCATTTGTTAAACCCGGGGGCGAGGGTGAGACTCTTCAGAAGAGACTGCTCGCAAAAGCTGCCGATCCCAAGGTGCAAAACTGGCTGTACGATTGGTGGAACCACGCTGCGTACCTCGGCTATCGGGATCCCGTTGTGCCATACGTTAGCTATTTCTACTCTTACCGCGATGACCGAAACAGGAGAGATCCTGCAAAGCGTGCGGCTGCCATCACCACGTCCGTTTTAGAGTTCAAGAAGCAGGTTGATGATGGCTCCCTGGAGCCAGAGTACCTCCGCAAGGAGCCAATGGCCATGAGCTCATACGAGTACATGTTCAATTGCTGCCGTATCCCTGCCGAGGGTGCGGACTACCCCCAAAAATACCCTGCTCAGGGCAACGAGCATATCGTGGTTATGCGCAAGAACCAGATTTTCAAGGTGCAGACCCATTTGAACGGAGAGCAACTCAACACCTCAGAACTCCAGCAACAGTTCGAGAAGATTCTTAAGAACGCCGAGAGAGTACCCGCTGTAGGCGCTTTGACTTCAGAGAACCGCGATTTCTGGACGGCTGCCCGCAAGAAGCTTCTTGCTGCTGACCCAGCAAATGCTGACGCTCTTAAGACCATCGAGAGCGCTTCTTTCGTCGTCTGCCTCGACGACACAGCCCCAGTCACTTTGGAAGAGCGTGCGCACGTTTATTGGCATGGTGATGGTGCCAACCGCTGGTTTGACAAGCCATTGACTTTTATCGTCAACGACAACGGTACCGCTGGTTTCCTCGGCGAACACAGCATGATGGATGGCACCCCAACTCATCGACTCAACGACTACGTGAACAATCTCATCTTCAACAACCGCCTCGACTACTCCAACCCTTCTGTCCGCTCCAATCTTCCCGAGCCCCAGCCCGTCAACTTCAACCTCGACTCCGCCGTCCTCGAAGACATCACCACTGCCCAGAAGGACTTCGCCAGTGTGATCGGCAAGCACGAACTCCGAGTTCAAGCCTTCCAAGCCTACGGCAAGGGCCTGATCAAGAAGTTCAAGTGCAGCCCAGACGCATACGTACAGATGCTCATTCAGCTCGCCTACTTCAAGATGTACGGCAAGAACCGACCTACCTACGAATCCGCCTCCACGCGTAAGTTCAAGCAGGGCCGCACCGAGACCACTCGCACCGTCTCCGACGAGAGCGTCGCCTTCTGCAAAGCTCATTGCGACCCCGCCGTGCCCCGTGAAGAGACAGCAAAACTCTTCCGTGCCGCTTTGGCTGCGCACACGAAGTACATCGCTGATGCGAGTATCGGCAAGGGCGTCGATAGACATCTCTTCGGCCTGAAGCAGCTGATCCAGAAGGGCGAAAAGGTTCCCGCGTTGTACGAGGACCCGGCCTATGGATACAGCGGATCGTGGTACCTGAGTACGAGTCAGCTAAGCTCTGAGTACTTTAACGGCTATGGATGGAGTCAGGTTATCGATGACGGATTTGGTATTGCGTATATGATCAATGAAAACAGGTGAGTCTAGTCCTCGAAACCCCCACCCCATTTTTCTTTTTCCTCTTTTCTTTCTTTTTTTTTTTTTTTTTTTTTTTCAGTTCTTTGGCCGGGGAGCATTCTTTGTGCTAATATAATCCGTCAAAATAGTTTACAATTCAACATCGTTTGCAAGAAACTCGGCGCCGACCGGATGAGTTTCTACCTCAACGAGGCGGCATGCGAAGTTCGCGATCTCCTCATGCCCGACCTGCTCGCTCAACAGGAGAAGGCCAAGCTGTAAAAGCTACAATGAAGATTCAGAAAAGCAAAGCGGGCTGTGCGAAAGGGACGAAGGAGCAGTGGCCTACTCCTTGCTATATAGTTACGTCGGCATGCAAGCCCGATTTTAGATATACATTTGTTACTGTGTATTAGAGATATACTACGATTTTCTCTTTCCTTTTTCTCCTTTTCGTTCTATCCCCGTCTTCGTTTCATTTAGAGCAATTTCATTGGAGATGTAGATAAGCCGAATAGGATTTTGAATTAAATCCCTTCAAGCTTGGAATCGAGCTGGTTCTCTGGCTGTTTCTCTTCTGGGCAGTCTAATAACAGTATGTTTGTACAGTACATGGAATACATAATAACCTTCATCCCTAGTGAAAGTGGACAAGATCTAGGGAGCTCATATTTTGAGAGCCCCGTGTCTAAGCACCTCTCCACCCCCTTTAAATCTTCTACAGCAGAACGATATCCTAGGACCTGTGGTCATGCCTATCCTGAGCAGAGCGAACCGTGTGTCTGCCGGGAACTCTAGAAGGATGCTTCGCCCGGTAGATACTTGAGATATTTCTGCCGTCATAGCGTTAAAGCGCGACTTGCAGCAAATCATCATGGATGAGTGGGTGGAGCCATATGTTAGGGGAATAATGATAATCACGCCCGTCTGCTGTTTAATAAGGAGCCCTGGTCGTTTCTGTTTCATTCCTTTCCGATTTCTCTGGAGCTTGGCTGAGAGGCTAGAGGCGGTTCACTCTCCGATACACTTGGCGTAGCCGGGACTGATTCAGCGGATGTGGACGACGTCAAGTTCGAGGGTGCAACTGGCATGTGTGGAGGCGATGCGGTCAATTCGCTGACTTGTCGTTCTACGGAGTAGAAACAGAGAGGTTAGCAGATTGGTTCGGGAGTGGCTTGGGGTTGGGATCTGCGGGGTCTTACCTAGTTCCCTGATTCTCAGACGCAGCATTTGATTCTCCCGCGTCAAGTTTGCTGTTTCTGCTTGGTAAAACGCACTCTCGTCGCGGCTGCATCGTCGTCCAGCTCCATCGCCTCCCAGGGCAACCCACTCTGGGCCCGTGAGGCTAAAATCCGGTTGAAATCCCGGCGGGTTTGGCACCGATGATGCAGTGGTGTTGGTGGAATCCCGTCTTGACGAGTGACTCGCATGATGGTGAAGTGACGATCTTCGACGGTGATGGTGCGGAATCGGCTGTGGGAGTGGTGGGACCGACGAAAATGATATGGATCGCTCTGACGTGGGAGTCGAGTCTTCAACGGCGGTCGACCCGCTACCAGAGTTCTGCTGTTGCTGCATCTGTTGCATCTGCTGGAGCTGAGCTTGCTGGTTACGGATCATCAGAAGAAGGCGGTTCTACGTAGGTCATCATTATCAGCTGTATTCTAACGACACATGGCTATATCATGGATGGATAATTGATGTGGGTATAATTCACTTACCACTTGGGCCTCCTGCTCCTGCTCGAGCTCTTGATGAATCTGTCCCAGCGAAGGAGTTCGATGGTGATGATGAGGATCGCCAGTAGCAACCATAGGGCTTCCCAGGTTCATCGGGCTATGAGTCAACGAGTCTCTGAGCGAGGACCTATGGTCGCTACTTGATAGTTCGCCCGGGCCGGGTATGGTGGGATCATTGAGGTTCAAATTCATGGCAACGGCTGAACGACGGCGCTCTGCAGCTCTGTTTGCTTGTGGTGATCTTGTTGAAGAGCGGTGGGAGAGATCCGCGGCATTCATAGTCGCGGCAGCTTGAAGAGACACGGATGACGAGCGGGGAGGTGGCGATTGGGAACCGCTATCCTCAGAGGAAGACTGCATGGTTCGAGTTTGGAAGGGAGATAAAGACGTGGAGCGAGATGGTGGGAGAGAATTGAGGTCCGGGGGCATCGCTGTTACAGGTGGCAATGCTGGAGTGAAGCAGAGCGGAAGTGATATTGGATGCGGTGATAGCTGACTGACCCGTCGGGGGGGGGAAATGTGTGTTAATAGTAAGAGAGGAGCAATCATGCCATCACCGGGCACGGCAACGCTAACATGACATAAGCCGTTGCATCACCGGACCGTCGGCGCGATGGCCCGTGCTCAAGCTAGTAACCTAGTTTGGACTAGTTTGATTCCGCGGTCACGTGGAATGGCTGACCCTATCCAAGCCCTGAGCCCTAATACCCGAATACGAACAGCGGCTGCTTCTGCGTCTTATTTGAAGCTCGCTCAAGCACTGCTACTTTTTGGAGATTGTGGAATAATTCTCGACATCAAGTATGGAGGGACTCAAGTGTTTGGACAAAAGGTCGAGGGGTGGGATCGGCAGGGGAGCCACCGCCTCTCAAGCGGCCCGTGCAGGCGGCCTTGGCCCAAGAAAACCACCTGGGTGATTGCATCATGGAGGTTGACTACGGACAACCGGATGGATTGGTGGAGTCGGGTATCCCTGTTGAATGCTGAAACGTGTGATTCAAGAGGATTCTTGCATGTTCACGACAGGGCCATTGGACGTATGGGAGCTTAACTTGATCCAAAGACACGAAATTATCCCTTGCACATGTTCTTTTGAGATCAGCACAACTGTTTCCAAGGCTTACTTTCATAACCAGGCTGCCTTCGGAAGATGTCAAACTGCAGATTTTCAGATCCAAGGATTAGGTATTTCAATTACGACACGGAGGAGAATAGTCCAGTGTCGTCTACACGGCGTGGACGCGGATATAAAATACTTGTTACATGCGGCTTGGTGTAGTCTGGGATAATACCCATCTGATTGCATCTGCGACAATGTCAGGTTGAGCGATGTGGACGTTGTGGCCACAATCAGGAACAAGAACCAGTCTGCATTTCGACGATAATCGAGTTTGCTCCTCGGCCAGCTCCTTGGCCCAGTCATCCCATCGGCTGAGGAGATCTCGGAATGCTTTTCTCTCCTCTTCGGTTCCATTTCCCGCCTCTACACCCCTATCATATATTCGCTGGTACTCACTTGCTGTATTGCAGCGAATAATACACACTGGCCGACTGCCCATGACGCGCCTCTCAAGTTGGTTTTTCTCTGCTAATGTCTGGCAGACTTGCACGTAACCGTCAGCCTCCTCCTGCGCCGCTACAGCTGAGCGCGACAATTCCTCAGCTCGGGCCCGCCATTCCTCGCGGGAGAGTTTGGACGAATCTCTCAGGCCTGTCACGGTGGCAAAGTTGAGATCGCCCAGCAACGACAAGATATTACGATCTGGAATCTCGAAGAATAGATACTGCCTCTCGGTCGAAGCCTCCGCCAGAACCATCCCGACGACATGCTCATCGTGAAGATGCAAGAATTCGCGCGCAACGATGGCGCCGTACGAGTGGGCTAGCAGGATGTACGGAGGACCCAGCTTCACGGCTTCCAAGGCCATCGAAAGCTCCTTCGCTGCTGTTTCTGCGCTGATGGGACTGGTGCCTCTTTCGCTGTTACCCAGACCGCTGCGGTCATAGAGTAGGATGCGGGCATGCGGAGATACCAATCGCTTAAGCGCTGGATAAGATGACGTGGAGTCCCCGGCTCCAGTGAATGTAAGTATGACAGGCTCCGCTGGTTGGCGAGGAGGCCCCGAAACGGACAGGAATAGGCTGTGAGTGCCAACGGAGACACGAGAAGATTTGGCTGGGCAGTTTTCCCAGGAATTCTTCTGGGTATCTTGCTCGGTGTGTGGCACCATGATGATGTTGATTATCCACAACTGCGGGGTTTTCTTTGTTGACCAGTTGGTGGTGTTCGGTCCACTTAACGAATTGATTTTCTCTTCCTGCGATCGATGCGATCGCGGGGAAAGCAGCTGACCCGGATTAGGATGTGTTCCAGGGTTTCTACACATCCCTGTCCTGCACTTCATCCTTCAAAGGGGCGTGCACGAATCGGAATGGACTGATGCATTCAGGATGTACGGAGTACGGAGTAGATATATAAAAATTAAGATCTACAAAATCTCACAGTGCGCCACCATGGCAACCAAACATTGGCTATTGTCGCCTTGAGAAAGAATCCGCCTTATCTGCAATTCGCTTTCGCGTGGATTTGATACCTCTAGCTCATTCTTGAAAAACTGGGGCCGTGAACGCAGACTCGCGAGGCATATCAGGCTAGCGTAGTGGCATTGGAGCCATCAACATTGGACAAGCTTCGGCGTCGTTTGTACTCTGTACTACATGCTAGTGTTCTCTGCAACAGTGTGACAGGTAACCAGCAACTTCCAAACAAAAAGTCTGACTGTCTGAGCCGGGACGAGCATTTGCTAGAATCCAACTTGAACGGGCTAATGCCTTTCTCCTGCTCACTCCCGGTTTATTCAGAGGATCCATGAAAGGAAATACCCTTGTGACATAGCACCCCCCCTATTACCAGGGGTCCCCTAGGCCTGAAAGAGTCTCTCATCGCAAGGATCCCTTTCGAAAGCTCAGCTCCCATGACTCCCTCTTTGGCAGACACAATCACTTCCGAGATCTCTCTCCTGTCGAATGGATACTCGGAGAGCTCAAGGGGAAAAATAAAAGAGGAGACACTGTCAGAAAAGAAGGGCTATCCGTGCATTTCAATTCTGCACGCGGTCCAGGAAGAATCATTTAGCCCTTTGAGATCAAGATTTTGGAGAGCCATTCCTCTCTTCGAGTCAAATACCATCCAATTTAGTCATTGTCACAGTATCATTTGTTGCAGGGGAGCTCTGGGCAAAGACTGGGAGTTTGGGGACCCGAAGGCTGATTTCGCTCCTTTTGGAATTTGATGAGACACATTCTAAGGAATCGTAACCTGGAGGGATGAGGTTAGAATTCTTTAGGATTTGCTCTAGTTATCTTGAAGCGTGGAAAGGGGCGTGGAGAGGGGCTCGATCGCGGGGGCCTAGCCTCGGGCATTTAAACCACCGAGTACGATTCCATGATCCTTGGGGGGAGGGGGAATAGAGTGTACGGATCATATAATCGACCACAGGATGAAAGGCCATAAACGCCCTGTTGGAGATGGTGGGAGCCGGAGAGTTGATCAGGCGTTACGTTGAGAGGGATCTGGCGAGTATTTAGCTGTGTCGTCTGCCAAGATCGTCAAACTTGCCCCTCATGGCTGTGCAAAAACCACGCCAACTCTCGCACTCTCGAACGGCCCAAAAATAGGATTGGTGAGAATGAGCTGAGGAGCGTGATGAAGACGCTTCCATGCTTTCGCAGAGCAACTATTAGTTCGCCCCGGGGGTACGAGAAGAGAAGAATGTTGCATGCATTGAAACAGGGCATACTAGACTTTTCACCAAGCGAGCGACAGCAAGCTCGCCGAGCTGCAACCTGCGGGCTCGAAACGATGGATCCTCGGGCCCTACGGTGGAGTTCCCCTCGGACTCTCCAAGAGTCACCCTCAAGCCTTCGATCAGGGTCAACCGGAGATGGTCGCGCCCCTTTTGTGCGCTGGCACCGCCATGGTGTCAACTAGCGATCACCGGTGGATTCACCAGTCACTAGTCTCCCCGTTTCGATGGGTTTGCCTGCAGCTAAGTCGGTCTAGACTTGAGCTATCACTTCAATTGTTTTCGCGCCGTTGAATGCAAAAGGAGAGAATTCCACGCCATATTGGCGAACTCGACCAGACCGCAAGGACGTTTTTTCGAGCCGCGAATTGCCTGGTTTCACTTTGCGGGAGACCGCGTGCATGTTTGACGCAAGAGATTGAGTAGGGCACTTCCCCGTCCATGGACTGGTAGAAGATTCGATTGTTTCTGATGACACGGACCTGCCGAGGACGAAACTCTCTGCATGATCCTGCTCGCATTATGCCCGGTTTCGTGGGTGGGCCACTCACAGCTTGTCGCAAGACAGCCGATCATCAGGCCAACAGGAAGATCCAGAAACCCCGAGTGTGACAGCCAAGTACCCAGTCACGCCAGAGCCATTTGACGAGTTATATAGGTAGTCAACCCTGTCCTTCGCGATACTTGTTGCTTCGCGTGCTCCTTCGACCTTTTTCTGGCCGGAGGAGCATTGTTACTGCCAGCTTCATTTTCCGGAGTGCCGATCTCTCCTCTCTGGAAGTTTGTGCGCATCATCAATCCGCACCTGTCTCTCGGATCTCCGTTGTTGGCATACCAATTGCAATCACGCATCATTGATGAAAACTTGGAGGTCAAGAACATCTGGTGACGGAGTACTCCATACATGCGACCCGAGTCCGCTCAGCGTTACGTCCACGATACTCGCCTCTCTGTGGACGATAACACGCGGCAGTCAACAATTCCCAGTTTATTATTGTATTGCAGCAAATCTCGACTCCACCCGACCGATAATTCCTTTTCCTTGAAGCTTCTAGTTTGCGTCATCCAATCCATCATCACAATTTTGTTGGTACCCGAAATTGCCCTTCTCACATTTCTAGTGGTCTTAATGAAAACACTTACTGACTGTTGCCATGTTTCCGGAAGAGCTTAAGATCCGTAACCTCTCCCAACTGCTGCGCCATTGAGATAGCTAAAAGCCAGAAGCAAGCCCTATTGCTCAGAAGAAATTATGTGTGGCTAAGCCAGCCTCATGGATGCGCAACAACAACCACCTACGACGGGGCCTCGGGCACGTCCGAAGCTCCCGCCAATTCAAACATCTGTCAACAGGCGGACGTCAATGCGTCCGAAGCCACCGCCCCCAGAATTGGTTACCGGCTCAACATCCGCAGACAGAGTCCCTCTGAAAGCACCCAAACCAGAGACCTCAAAATCGTCACTCAGAAGCCTTATCAACAAAACTAAATCTATTCGGCATAATAGCCCGAAAAGCGCTAGTTCCCAGTCTCTGATTGTGGATTCAAAGCCGTTTACCAATGTCAGTCCAATGTGCGAGGATCAGGTTACGCCGACCAGCACAAAACAATCCTCCAAGATAACTAAGTCTTATAGCGAATCGACAGTTCCATCTCTAGCCAACGGTTCTCTCAATTCAACCCCAAAGCTTTCCAAATCAGTCAAAGAACGGAAAGATCGGGCAATTACTAACTGGAAGCCCCCACCGTTGTTCAAGGCTTACCCTCAAGCCATTAAACATGCGGTTTTGTCTGCACCAAATATGTCAGCCGAGGCGATTTTGCGAATCCAAGAGCTACTAAACCAAGAAAGCCGAGAAAATAGTTCTACGATCGACTCAAAGGGGAGAAAGGATCATAAACACGTCATGAAAGCCACTGACACTATTCACAAAATTGAGTGGTCTCGCAAGATATACATGCTGGTCACCAGTGGTTATCTACTTCAGTACAGTGCTGACGGTAGTTTCGATCGGTTGCCTGAACTGGTTCTGGAACTCGGGGAGAATTCTGTCGCATTTGCTAGCGATGCTCTTCCAGGGAAGCATTGGGTGCTCCAAATTTCGCATACTTTCGACGAGAATGGTACGACGGCTGTAGACAATAAGAGAGGCTTCTTGTCTCGGCTCCGACTCTCTGATTCGCCAAAGATGACACAGTCACTTTTACTAGTGTTGGACAATGCAAATGAATTGGCGGCCTGGCTGATCACGATGCGCCGTGAGATCGAGGGCTTACGCGGGCAGGAGTATGTTCCTGAGACCCCCATGGTTGATGAAACACCTCAACCTCTTCATCGGTATCGAAGCATGGCATCGATGCGAAAGCCCGCAACAAAGGATCGTCGACGAGCAAGCGATCAAAATAAGAATAGTATTGCCAATAGGTCATTAGTATCAGTATCTTCGTCTACACTCTCCCCATCGACGCTATCGCGGCTCGATGGCCTTGCCGTCGTACAAGCAAATCGTCGATCTATGGCTCGGTCAATCGAAGCTCCCTCTCCTTCGACAGCAACCACAGGCAGTGATTTCGATCGCCTAAAAGATAACTGCCGGTTATCATATGCTTCCATTGGTACCAGGACCATCTCTAGCTCCTGTGGCTCGTCCCCCCCGTCTTCCTCAGCTGGTCCTAAGTATGCAATGACCAAAAGCTCATTTGGATCCCCTGAAGGTTTTCGAAGTGAGCCAAATGGCCCGCTTTTGGATACGTGTTCGCGACCAATATCCACAGTTCGAGGACCGTCCTGTCTTCGGCCAGAGAGCGGCACTCTTGGGCAGCCAAGGCCGGAATACGTTTCGCCCCAAGTTGTGAGGCCGGTTTTAATGTCTACACCCAATTTTAGTGTTCCGGTATTCAGCAAACGATATTCTTCCGCGGTAAATGTGCGATCATCCCAGCCTCGCTCAATCACTCCTGTTCCCAATGTAACACCCGCTGCTGCTGTAGCGCAACTATCGTGTTATGATTCGGAAACATCAATTGATTCGAGCCCTGAGGGTCTGGCGCCAATCGAACAAGGAGCGAGGACAAAAATGTATCCTCACATCGCTCGTGATGGTGTCAGACCATCAAGTGTAAGAAGTCGACATTCAGCCATCGGTACTTCAGATGCTATGAGCCGACAAGCCAACCAATTGAAGACACACCAGCTCCCACCACGGAGATATTCGACATCCGAACACAGTGTTGACATGTATTCCCCTGTATCTGGAGGCTTTCTTGTGCCACCAGCTATCAACAAAGAGAGTGAGAAAACGGTTCAGGAAACGCCACAATATCGCTGGCCTCTATTGACGGGGACAGAATCCACCGCGTGCGCGCGACACCCACGCGGGGACGGCACAACGTCCCTACGGCGACCATTAAGCTTGCAAGCCAAGACTCCACGCGTATTACCATCAGAACATCCTCCTATGACCTTGATACCACAGAGCACACAAAATCCAAAACGTTTGGCAATCTCAAATTTGTCAACAGCGGCTAGATATCCTCCCATACCACCACCACAAAGCTTCCAGACGCAAGCCTCCAGAGCTGTAGCCATCTCGAATGTCCCAAAGCCACTTAGGTACTACCCACCACCTCCGCCGTCACGAAGCTCCCACGTATCCAACCTTTCCCCCAAACGCAGCTTGCCGCAAATGGCCTTCGGGCCGCCTCCGGCGCCACCACCAAACTGTCCTCTCCCTGAGATCCCGCCTGCCTCTGGCCCTCGAAGAACCCCTTCTTGGACTTCTCCAACTGCTGCGATGAAACGGACACACATTCCTGTCCCTCAGACACACGTGAATGGTGACCAACGAGTACTGGCCAGAGCTTCACCCGGGCCTTATCGTGCATCCGTACCGGCAATTAATGCAAGCGGCCTGACCGATATGCGTGCAACAAAGAAGTCGGGTATTTTGCAAGCTTGCTAGATACTTAGAACCGTGCAATTGAATCAATCCGCCTAGGAAAATAGGCTGTGTACGATCCTTTACACAGTTTTTTCCCTTTTCGACGAAAGATTATTTTTCTCATTTTTTAATTTCGCGCATATACCCCAAATAATTCTCAACTTAATAAACAAAGCGCCGTGATCACTGTTTTATTTTTCGCATTTTGGGTTTTGCCTCCACTTCCCTGGCAGGGAACTCTTTTCTTTTTATATTTTCATTCTAATATATATTTGTGCACCTGTTTCGAGAGGTTTCACATACTTTTTGACGGTGTTATGCTATTATATGCTCTCTCATAATGTCTAGATATGCAACGGCAGGCTCTCCTGGTTGATGACTCTACGGAGGACGCGAGTCCATTTCTCCAAGTCCAAAATCTTATCCATGCTCCTCTCGTTCTTTTCGAATTCATTTTTTTTATTTTCAGTGAATACATGTACTACCTATGTATATATATATGCATGCTTTTGATGGGTATAACGATAAAAGCAGGGCGAGAGATAATTCTAATGTAGATATAATTAATAATATATACTCTATATACTCATATGAATTCTCTGAGTCCGTGGGGTATTTACTAGGGCTTTTCTTTGATAAATGCAATAAACATGGTCACAATATTTTATTTAATGATTACTTACTTTCTATTCCCATGGACATGGAAGCATATTCATACAACCCAGTAGAAACACTTAAGATCAAACCCTTTTTGAAGGAAGAAATCGGTATCTCCGATAAAGAAGACAATAGAAAGGAGGTATCAAAAGAGGCTAGTCGGTAATGAAAAAAGAACGATAATTTTAATCAAGATGGCATGGTTTTCTATCTATTCTTCATCCGCATCTTCAACGCTAGCGGTCAATCCACGTTTCGTGGCTTCTCCGGTGTTAGCTTGGGGCTGAGCTCCAGTGGATGTCGCTGTTGAGCTTTTGGGTTGGGAGGGTCGCTCAGGAGGTGTTATCGTATTGTCGGTCATTGCCTTGGCCTTCTTCTTTTTCTTTTTGGTCTGGGTGCTTGTTAGCTAAATTATGCCCCTTCCAAGCCATGGTTGTCACGGTTGGGTGGAGAGCGAATGAGAAAGGATTTGAACATACCTCCTGCCATCCCCACACTGGCCTAAAGCTATCAAAGAATCCGACATCCTCGAACAGATTGGGGTACAACCAAAGACCCGGTGGCACAACGAAAAACGTAACGCAGAATAGTATCAAGCGGAAGATCGACATCGCGAAGAACAACCCCAACAAGCCCATCATTGCGATACTCAAATACCACACGCCCTGTCTCAACATCATGGGCCATAGTGGGAACATGACCACTGCCATAATGGCGATGAGAACGCCCGCAGCCATAGCTTTCTGCTTCCACTGTGGTCCCTCGTAGAGCCATGCGTAGTGCATCATTGGGTCGGTGTCTTGGTGCTGCTCTATACGCACGTTCCACTGTCCTTTGACTCGTTTTTGCTTGGGACGGTTCGGTTGCTCGATTTTGGAAACACGGAGTGCGAGAAGGGACATGGGCAGGAGTTTGAAAGTGTTTTCGGCAGAAGCGCGATCGGTTACCGGTGGGAGTAGAGAGTTGGGTTTTGATGCCGCTTTGGTGTAGGCAGGAGATTCCAGTGCTCGAATTGCTCGTTTTACTATAAATTCACAAGTCAGTAATTCTGGCTGGTTTTGAAAGGTTTTTCGTAGCATGTACCCTTAAATAATTCTCTTCTCCGACCATCCAAGATGCATGTTCTCGTCTTAAGGTTTTGTGATCTGAGGAAATTGGCAACGGCAAGTGCCTTCGGGTCCGCTGGAACTCCTGATTTCACAGGTATTTGTCTCTGATGCTGATGGGCATGATTGTGGTCACAGCAGCCCTCATGTTGGTGGTCGTCTTGGCCATGCTCATGCTCATGGTCATGGCTGTGGTTGTGGTTGTGGTCGTGGTTTTCTCCTGACTGTTGTTGCTTTTGCATCTGGTGTTGATGCATGGCCTGAGCTCTCAAATGGTTGATGTATTGTTCCGGAGTCATACCGCGCTTTGCAGCCTCTTGAGTGAGTTGTTGTCGTTGCATGTTCGCGAACTCTTCTGGTGTCATTCCACGTTTCGCGGCTTCGGCGGCCATCTGCTGTTGCATGGCCGCGAGCTGCTGCGGCGATGGCTGAGGGGCAGCCATGTTGAAATCGGAAGTCAATCAGTACCAGGAAGTAACCAGCGGGATCAGAAAAATACCGCGCTAATTAGGGCTCCCAGAAGTTGATCGAGCTCGTCTGGCGGTGGTTGTTATATATGTGTTGACTTTCATTGATGATCGCCCAAAGTGGCCAGATCTAAGATTCCAAAAGGGGAAAGGCGGGGATGTGCGCCGAGGCCGCCGTGTGCGTGGTGGCAAGCTTCCAACGATCGACGGCATTGGGGCTTGTGCCTGGTAGAGAACCATAAGAGCAGCGAGAACTCCTTTTCGTGGATGGTGAATGCCTTATGCAAGTGAGATTGTGTTTTCAACTGCAACGCAATTCAATGCCGATTCCAATCTCCGGCTTGTTTGAACTCCGGCTTTCCCCGCCTCCATGAGAGCTTTCGTTCCCGGCAACAGCTCTCTCCTACAGCCGCCTTGGGGAACAGTTCAGCTGGTATGTCAGGATATCGTTCTCAATCGAGGTGGTTCCCTACTAATTTGTTTCTTGGTGTAGTCCCAGCGAGATGTTTCAATACAGATCCCAATCAATCTTGTAACTCAGCCTGCCGTTTCTCTTTCAGCAGCCTGCTTTGGAAAGAAGGTCTATGATGAAGAGGCAGCAAAGCAATGCATTTCGAATCTTCTCTCCGTGGGATACCGACGATTGTATGTTGATCTATATTGGTCCCGTGAGAGAAAGAAATGGAGTCTGTGCCCAGTAACAACACCCTTGATCCCACTTGGAGCAACCGTTCCCAGGAGGCTCCCATTCCTCGGGCTGAAACTACTTGGATTCAACCGGAAAACTGGTTCTCCAACTGTGGGTGGACATCTCAATACTCGACAATCGCGCAATACCACTAGGCCTTCCGATACAAACCCCGCTGAAGATTCCACCGTTGATCAGACTGAAGTACCTACCAGAAAAGGACCTTCCGGAACAGTTTTGTTTGAATTGGGGCCTTATTCATGTTCCGCAAATGTTGACCTAACCGGCTTACTAAATGTTGTGGCCGATTATTTCAAAAGCACAGAAGATACTTTGAATGCGCATTTGACCTATATTATCTTTGACCTTCATGCCGCATCTCGTCCTGATACCCCTCACGGTTCAGCACCGACTCCAAAGGGAAGGGACCTTCCATCTCTCTCAGACTCCTTAGGCACTACCGCAAACGATGCGTTGGGAATGTATATATATACGCCCTTGGAGCTCGATTCCGAAAGAAGAGACTTGAACAGGTCCTGGTATTCTGTGGCTCCGCGAATGGGTCCCGTTCCAGAGTACTTTAATATAATCGGAAAGGCTAACTCACGTTACGAAACACCGGATGGATGGCCAAATGAAGGGTATGTGGAGCTATCCAAGGCGCAAAGACTTGTGATGGGATGGGGAAAGGTAGATCTGCAAATGAATGCATACGATTTCAAGAACGATAATATGATAGTCTTCTCGCCCGGCTCGCTCACGTCTTTTGTCACCGTGGCTAAAGATAACAACGACAATATCGTTGGCAAATGCTTATACAACCCTAATACCACCGATATTTCTGATGTCCAAACATGGGCCACGGCTGAGATTCCAGAAGCAAACTCTACCGCGCAGCTATCTCACTTCTCCAACCAGATGGTCTCGTGTGGTATATCACCACTAGTTAACCATACACTCCTCAATGTCACTGCTGACCAAGACATTGGACCTTATCGAAATGTGTCACTCTCCTCTATCTGGTCTTGGGCAGATGGAGAACCCAAAGATTCAATAAACGCTGGGGCGATCGATGAAAACCGCTGCTCTGTGATGGACCTTTCGCTTTCTGGCCATTGGCGCTCGAGTGGTTGTTCAGATCGACTCTACGCTGCATGCCGCATAAGGAATTCTCCGTTCGACTGGACACTGTCGAGAGAGCCTGAACCCTATACGCTGGCCGGCGACACCTGTCCTGAGGGCTCCAGCTTTGATGTTCCCCGCACGGCGTTGGAAAACACGTACCTCTACAAGCATGTCCTCCAGCAATCGAAGGATCTCATTGACCCGTCATCTGAGGAGACGGAGAAAACAAGTATATGGCTGGATTTCAACTCCTTTGATGTCCCGGATTGTTGGGTTTCGGGTGGACCCAAAGCCCAATGCCCATATGAGGTCGATGAAAGCGCCATTCAGCGACGCAATATTTTGGTTCCTAGCATCGCTGCTATTATCATCCTGATTATAACGGCGTTGACTCTCTTTGTCAAGTGCAATGCAAACCGGATGAATTCAAGGAGAAGAAGAGTAATTGCTGGATGGGAGTACGAAGGTGTACCGTCATGAGTGTCTGGTCAGATAATACTCTGGTGTACGGTGCGAGCTCGAATTGTAGATAGTCCATAGGTTCATCTGCGTGTATACTCTTGGGTAATATAGTTTTGCCGTGTATATATTTGGCTATTGCCGAGATATCGAAATGGTAATATCTCCGCGAGGCAGCCCATCTTGAGGCTTGTTCTAGGAAGACGTTGCAGGAATGAAAGTGTATCTAACCAAATTGATAATTTATAGTACAGGTGTTCTATATAGGTCGATCTCTATACTACCTCTCTTTAAAAGGAAATGAGTAGAGAAGTTGTTGTAACCGCTGTCATAAAATTGTAAGTATGCATTGTTATGACAACACATCTAACATCTCCTCAACACGACCAAATTTTTCTCGAATCTTGCCCCTAGACTTGCCTCTCTCCACCTCCGCGCGGTCAATCGCTTCCCAATCTTTCCAGCTTGTTGGCCGGAGGCCAAGCTTCTCTACATCACCGCGTACGCCCTCCCAGCCAAGTCCAGTGCTCCCTCCCTCATCAGAGTTCAAGAACGCCGGGGCACCGCTAGAAGCCGAAACATGATGCGCCCAATCCGCCGCGATCGCATCGCCAGTGGCGAATGCATCTGTCATCGTTGAGGCAATGACACCGGTAGGGCCACGCTTCACCCAGCCAGCGCAATACAGCCCGGGGAGGTGACTTGGCACGGCCTCCGGAGCGGACGAGGGTGGATTAGCTTTCACGTCGCTGGAGGAGTCATAATCAATGATTCTTCCTTGTCCATCGTTGGGGATTATCCCACGTGAAGCGTTGAACGGGATCTGAAGGTCTTCAAAGCCTTCGAGAGGGACGGATTGATATCCTATGCTTCGGAAGCAGACGCTAGCGGGGATGTCAACCTGCATTGCTTTGCCGTCATCGCCAAGGAGAGGAGTGGCTCGTGATGATGGAGAGAAGGGGTCTGAGGGGTCAAGTTGGTTGCGAGTAAATTTTATGTATGATAGGTCACTAGATTGATTCTTTGGTGAGGTGTGAAAGGAGTGGGGAGAGAGTAGAAAATCGAGAGACCCAGTTCTGTTTGCTGTTGAAGGATCTGTGGATGAGCTTTTGGCGAGGAGTTCGGTTATGCGTTTTTGGGCTCGGGGCAGCCTTTTGATTGCTGATACCGGCGGGAAGAGATATTCGGGAATGGGCTCGAAGAATACGGAGGGTAACTGTAATAGCTCGCGGATTTCTTTGATTGTGAACGCACCCTGCATGTTGTTGTCAGTTATCAGCCCACGGCTAACCTGATGTCGAATGATGGATAAATACCTGCATTGGCCCTCTTCGTCCAACCACCCTGACTCTTTTAATCTTGCTCCGGGACAATTCCTCCAGGGCATACTCTGCCATATCCGTCTTCCGCAAAATATCGACGTCCGTCAACAAAACTCTAGCAACATCCATAGCTACGTTTCCTTGCCCAATTACAACTGCCTCTTCACCGCTTGCTAGACCTGGTTTAAGGTCTCGGTACTCTGGGAGGCCATTGTACCAGCCAACAAACGCTCTAGCAGAGTATATTCCACGAATGTCTCGTTCTCCGGGTATTCCTAATTCCCTATCCTTCGAGGCACCGTAAGAAAAGAGGATGGCATCGTAATGTGGCTTTAGGGACCGAAGGGGGAGAGCGGCGCCCAGCTCGACATTTCCAATAAAATTGAAACGGGAAGAGTTAGCTACTTCGGTGAATTTATCTTGACAATTCTACGGGCATAAAATCAGCAACTGCACTGAGAATTAGGATACAAGGGTATGAATTACTTTCACCTCCGGATGGTCTGGCGCAACGCCATATCGGACCAGTCCAAAGGGAACAGGCAAATGCTCGTACATATCGACGAAAGCATTATCAACCTTCCCCATCAGCCTATATGCAGCATAGAACCCCGCAGGTCCGGAGCCGATAACTGCAACACGGAACGGACGAGACGAATGAGTAACGTCACTGCTGTACTTCCGTCGACATGTTGAATTGATCACGGCGCGCTCATAACCCTCAATCGCTTTGCTGATCTGAAGCGAGCACCGAATGCACACATTTCCTATTCGAGGCAACATTCTTGATAGAACTCGTCGTAGGCACACGGGACGCAGCCGGAGTTCGTCGCATCTGGGTCTTGATGAATTTGTCAGGGGCGGCGATAAGCCATATGAGTCCGGTTGCCCTGCCAACAATCGGCGCGCGAATTATTTAGAGTGACTAGGCATCACAGTTGCCAGCCAGGAGAACTCGAAAGACGATATTACCCTCGACTCTTGCCCACTTCGTCAAGCAACCAATCCTCATTCCATTCATTTCTGGATGCTTTAACTAGTTATCCTTTGGGCTGTGACAATGGGGCGGAGTGAGCCGCCGTTCATTTACGATCCCCCATCACGACAAACGCCCGTCTCTCCAACCAAGCCATTCAACCCCAAGGCACATACCCAGGCATCTTGGGCTCCGCGCGAACCGAAGGCAAAGAAAAATGGCCCGCTGGTCAATTTTAACCAACACCCAGATTCTGTGTGTAACTAGTCTACGGCGATCCGTGGATTCTCAACACTGACCGTTCGAGTAACAGTTCGGATTGATCGCGGGCGGTAGGGGCAACATCAAATTAATGAGCCCTCGAACAAAGCAGAGGGTAAAATACGCCAGGTGGTCACAACTAGCATTGAGAGTTTTGACCCTAATTGGAGCTCTCGGGATACTATTCTGTGTTATTTGCATCAAGGGGACAACACTGACCCTTGCATGGATGATACGCGTCCCAGTAAGCCCAAAGAGAATTCGAGGTGACTAGAACGGAGACTTATTCAATATTAGCCTTGCGTAACGATCCTCCATACTATCTACGGTATTTACCATCTCTTTCGATCCGCGACCGCGCGAACTCCCGCCTCATCGGCAAGCTACATGTTGTTTGCATCGGTGCTGGACGCCGGACTGATCCCATTGTATGTTTTTACCAGCATCGTCTCAAACGTGGAGTACGAAACCAAGTCTTACGGTTGGGAGACTCTCTTTGGAAACGAAGGAGTAAGGGAGGCGATCATCCACGCGACTTTTCTTGCCGCTTCAACTGTGGGCGGGCTTCATTTAATCTCACTAGGTTTGGACCTTTATTTAGCCATTGTCTTCCGACAGATATCAAAGCTTCCACCGGATATGAATCCCTTAGAGGATAACCTCACGTCTCGAGGACAAAAGCGAAATAAGTCAGAAATCGCAGAAAAGCATTTGAGCCAGAGCACAACGGGCTCCGCCGAGGCCAATCGCGAATCACTCGCTCAGGAGCCATTGATACCTACCCGGACAGTGCCTTTCATGCACACTAGGGCCGATTCATCAAGCACGCTTTCTGGAAGTGACCTTCGAGGAACAGACAGCCCCCGGACATCATATTACTCAGCGCAATCCTTCAGGTATTCGCGATCGGATCTTCCGAGCCAGCAGACTTTTCATTATGAACAGGCGAACAAGTCAAAAGTGGAGATTGCGCGTACTCCGGCGCAGCGGCGTGGTACCACTCCATCCAGGCCCCAGTCTATGGTCAGAGATGCTCCTCCTGTCTCCGATCAGTCAAATTTGACTGCCCTGGATGCGAGACAGCGCGACCCCAGTGGTGTTTCCGCCTTATCGGATGAGAATTGGTGCATCTATCCATCTTCACCTCCATCACCTGAGCTATGCCCCGATGATTCTGCAGCTAGACCGTTGTCTTTACCCAACGGAGGAGATACTCCTATGATACCGGGTATTGATGACGAGAAATGGGATAATTCTAGTTTCCTTGACAGCCTTCAGTGTCGGAGTGACACCGTAGTGCAGCATCGAGGTGATTACACAGCCATTGACGACTGCGATAACGATGAAATTATATACGGTAATCAGCATGCCGAAAACTCGTACGTCCCCGAACGTGACTTGGGAGACCATCAGGTCGTGTTGGCGCAAGATGAGAACAACGACTATAAGCACCAGCCGCTCCTGAATCCACTGGAAATGAATCCGCCAACTCCCCGGCCGACTGAACAGGGGTCAGTCAGCTCACGTCATTCAAAGGGTAGCTTACGTCGTGTTGCACTGGCAGATGTGCCAAACCCACCTTCTGACAGTGGCAGGCCAACGCCCGTCAAGAGTGCCAAGTTCAGGTCCTATGGCAAACTAGACCAAGGCAAAATTTCTCCCGCACAGCGTGTAGGAAGCCTTCGTGGTAAAGACTTGAAAGTCATAACCCCAAATATCACTGACAAAAAGAAATCACGATGGAGGCGCATGACGGGCAACTACGAAGCGGTTAATGACAATGATCACGATAGTGATAGTGATAGGAATGATAGCCTATCAGATCAAGAGAATCGCGACCGTACGGGTCGTGTCGTCAGTAACACCGGAATTGATTTGGGGCTAGGACTTGGCTCTAAACCTGCAGGGTATGGAAGTTACATTGCAGGCCTGGGTGTGGGAAGAAGGCGTGAAGTCAGTGGAAAAATGGCAGAAGAGGGGCGAGGAAGTCGTTTGGCTCCCGAGGATGATGACTATGAAGGAAAGGGGAAGAGACTATCAAAGACAGGCGAATATCGAGCTGCGGGATGGGCTCGATTCAGGGGTCTTTGAAGGTCTGGATATCCGCAATCTCGACTGGGCTAGGACTGGATTCCTTTGTGTTGGAGTGATTTCGGATCCGGTGTTTATATCCTGGGAATTTCTGATATTTATGCTGCCATGAATGTATGTTAAGGATGCTATAGTTACTGCCCAGTTGTATTTTGATATCACCGAAATGCCATTGTCTGTGTTGCTGAGTCAGGTGGTTCCTTGGACTTCACATCTTGTTTGGATTTAAACATTGACGTCTTGCCACTCCACACAGCGCGTAACCTCAGGGGTCATCTTGCCTTACCATCATTTGATGTGTTGATTGGTGACTTTGATCAATGCTTCAGCTATGAATTTCTTTTTTTTTTCTCATCGTGACCACTGGCTTGCACAGGGAGACATTCAGTTGTTCCCAGCACAGGTGCATCCTGTAGATTGTTCATTCGGGCGTCTCCGTTAGGAAGGGCCTCTGTCAGCTCGGCTTGGCTGGTTAATTACACCTGGGCTACTTCTTGCGTTTGGAAATTTGTTCCTTTTCCTACTATCATCGATGGGCCCATCGATGGCGCTGTCCGACCGGTCTCAAACCGGTTGGGCAATAAAATTTTAGTAGTATGAAGGCTGATTGCCTTTTAACTGCTAATTTTTCACCATCTGTAGCTTCAAAAAGAGAAATATTGACTCTCAGCTCAGTTGGCATTAATCCCGTTTCTTCCAATCACTTTTGTCCACAAAGTGTTCACTGAAAGTCTTCTTAAGGAGAGATACCTCCCTATTCCTTTATGAGTTCGATATCTTCATAAAAACCGTGTGGCATTCACTTAAATGGATATTTCCTTATGACTTTCTCGGCATTCTCATCAGTTGATATATCTTCACCAACCCAAAGTTAGAAACTCGCTTAATCTGCCCCCGTTTCTTCAAGCATAAATCTCTTGCCTCGAATTCCATTCCCCTTGTTTCTCTCTCTTACCTTCAAACAATTTAATCTTTGGCCAATCATGGATATCAAAGCTTTCAAGGTGCCCCCTATCAGTGTGGTGCAGAAAAAGCCACTTACGTGCTACTATTGGAAGAATAGCAAATGCAAGTTCAAGGACAGCGAATGTCGCTTTATGCATGAGAATACTGGGAAGGTCGCTTCGGTTCCAAAAAGCAATAGCACATCCGGTGAGTGTGACCCTACCAGTTTCGAGCACTTTTGATGACTTATGGATTGACATGAGCTTTCTTTAATAGCTGAACCAAAATTAAGAGATACTACCGCCAGCACCTCTGAAAACGACGATCTTATCTCACTTTTCTCCTATAATGGTTCGCCGGGGCCTAAGGTATCACATCGTTCTCGACTTCTAGATGGGAGTTAAGGGTCGAAACTGATATAACTTCGTTTTTAGTTGGAGGAACCTCTCAAAACGGATATTAGCTGCGACACTATCCAAAATAGCCTACTTAGACCCCGTGTGGCTCGAATCTCGGCGTGGTTGATAATTCGTGCTATCCGTGAAAATCAAGATTATGACTCTATTAAAAGTTTGCTTACCGCCAACTCATTTTCAGAAGTGAAGGAAGTCTTGATTACGAACGAAGATGCGTATTCTACTATATATGCCGCCATTTACGCAAACAGACCAGAGGTTGTGAAGCTTCTTATCGACTATGGCGCGAACCCGAATGCAACGGATAAGGCTACCAGTATCCCGCTCCTAGCATACGCCATTCTTAACCCAAGTATTACCGCTACAGAGATCGTTCGGGTTCTCCTATGTCTCGGTGCTAATCCACATGCTATTCCTTCTCATATGTGGGAAAGCATGCATGATCATCACGAAAAGCCACAGAATGGCCACAACTCACGGGCTCTTTGGTGTGACGAGGAGAATCAATCGCTATTGAAAAATAGCCTTAACATTTCTATGAAATATTATCTTCTTCAGGCTTCGAAAAACGACTTATCTACTTCCTTCCAGCGCAAAGGGGCGCGACACCTTTCCCCTTCTATCGTCGGCCAGAACTATGCTATCAAGCGCACTAAAGATTGCCTTACAGCTCATCGCATCTACAAAGGTAATGCCCCCCTCGTGATGGCGTTTGTTGGACTTCCCGGACATGGAAAAAGGACTTTGGCTCGGACCCTTGGGAACTTCCAAGAAATGTCTCCGCTTAATACAACTGGTCAACTTGTCCCAGGAGATAACAACGGACCGCTAGCGCCCAAGTCGAACAAGGGCGGCCTGGACGTCGTGTTCATCGATGGAGATAATGTTGACCACTCCTGGTTAAAAATGTTGCTTAATGGGGTTATTAGTGGTGAGTCCTCGGATACTCTAAATATTTGTCTGGTATAGTACTGCAATGCTAATCTGGAATAGCTACACACCGGGACGCCGAAACCTGCAAAACGGCTCGCACAAAGGTCGTTTACATTCTCTCTCTGACCCAGAGCGAAGAGTCAGCTTCTCGTGCCTATGCCAATAAATTAATCTCCAGCGGTTGTGACCAAAAGGATGCTAGATTCCTTTATAGGATGGAAAATGAAGTAGAATCTCAATTAAGAACGGAACTTATCCAGACTTACGGTGTACGTACAGTTATCAAAAGGGTTTCACTTGATACTTGAGCGCGGATTGGTTTGTTTAGTGGCTAATCGTCGTTTAACAGGCATCGATCGCTGGCCGTATTCAACATATTATTCCGTTCGTTCCATTCACGCCACTTGAGTCTTCAGTGCTTGCACACCGATTCTTGATCGAAGGACTTCATAGTATGTTTTGCGATTATACTCGTCGCGACTATCCTAACTCAAGACAACTCCATCGCATAGAGCTTCGTGCCAGCGACGATGTTTACCGTTACTTAGGAGCCCCTTCCAATGGGTATGGAGCTCGCTTTATCGAGCAGAAAGTAACATCGAAGGTTGTCTTACCAATTGTGCAACAGTACTTAGAAAAGCTCCATCGAGATGTCAACAGCTTTAAGGGGCTAATTACTATCAAAACAACTTGGAAAAAGAGCGAATCTGATAATCTCGAGACTATTGTGTTTGGCGGCGAAATGAAAGCTGCCATAGCCGTTGATGTTGAATAAGCGGCTATAACCTATAACTACTTCCCACCTGGCGCGTCTATAGCGGGACCCTTTTCAATGTGCGAACCTCGAATAGAAATGATTTTAATTACTTGCTAAACCCATTAGACCTATTGGTTAGATTTAACAGTTTGGACTTATTATTACAGATATGGCATGAACTATTCTCTAGGGAAAGATAAATACTTCATAAGCCTGGACGAATCCAATTCGACTTCGTACGAATAGTCGGGGAAACGACAAGGAGTATGAAACCTATATATACCTTTTAGCCGACAATAGAAAGCCATCATTGTCAAAAGCCTACCCGATTCCAAGGAGGATGGTTTGAAGTAAAGAACGGCAGGGTATAAAACATTTCTTTTCGAAAAATTCTCATGAGAAATCCTCCCCAGTCTCCTCAATATTATCCTTAACCCGCAAAAATATCGCCGTCTTCCATTTATCCAACTTGCTCAGCTGATCGTACTGGAATAACTTATCACTAAACGCTTCCTGGTCACCTTGCTCCACGGCTTGCGTTAAGTCTGCGAGCAGTTGGTATTCGCGGGTAGAAAGGAACGTATTGTCCAGGTCTACGTAAGATTGGAGAGCGCGGTTGGTTGCAACGAGATCCTGGTTCAATCGGTCAGCATGTAGATAGGAACGTGGAGACGGGAAAATGGATGTGAACTGCCTTACCTTTGTAGCAAGGTGGCACATTCCGGCCTTGAGAAAGTAGTCTTTTACAGACCACTTCATGAGATGGTTGTTTATGGATGACTTGGCGACTTTTTCAAAATTCTCAATTGCCTTGTAGTAATCTCCCTTTAGTGCAGCGAGATCTGCCACCTTGAGAAAGTGCTTGTTTGCGAGCCTGCAACATGGAAGTTAGCCTGTACAAACCGGCATTCTAGAGCTCGACCGGAAAACTCACGCTTCAGCATTGTCACCCTCAAACCACTCAGCCGCCTTCTCATACGCCTCCATGGCTCTTGTTTCATCACCGATCTCGACCTCGTATACCTCAGCCAAATTTTGTTGATGCGTCGCCGCCCGTCTGAAGTTTCCTTTTGATATATAGTGCGAAATAGCGCTCTGCAAAACGCGAGCTGCATCTTCGGGATCGGTCTTCCTGTAGACCTTGAATGCTTCGGTTAAAGCATTGGCCGCGTCGTCGGGCTCGTTGAGGTTGGTGGTGTAAACAGCTGCCGCTTTTTCAAAGGCCATTCCGGCTTCCTTATCTACCCAGAGGAACACGTTGTGTTAGCCGTTGCGCTCGTACTGTGATCTGGTGTACATGGCGGGGTTAAAAGTCGCGTGGGAGACCAACTCAGCTTTTGTACTCGAAATGCATTTGCAGCTTGTGTGTATAAATCTGCAGCATTCTCATATTTTTCTGTTCTTCCGCCAAAGAAGGAGAAGCCACCTGAAGCGCCCTGGAGTGTTTTATCTGCCTATTGCTCTGGTTAGCTGGCTGCTTTGGAGCCCAGATGGTACATCGAGAGGGGAGATGTGGTTGGTATTGATACGAACTTTTTGGAGGAGGACGCGAGGATCTTGTGACGCCATGGTCAATAGTATATATGCCCCTAAACTGTCGTGATATCGCTGGAAACACACAAGATACACACCCGGGAACACCTGAGGGGGATGATGATGATAAGAGGGGAACCGATAAGTGGATGCTTGACGTTGTTCGAAACCGGGCAATAAATCCTATTTTGCCGACCGTTAGCTGAAACCTAATTTTAGCTTCGGGTTTCTTCCTTAACAAATTCCGGCGGCCCTAACCGCCCTTAGGCTTCCCCCAGCACAGCCTCTAAGCACTCGAATAGACGCCCCTAACCGGCCCTTAAGCCCCGGACCCAGCCTCCCTGATCGAGATGGGTGCCATGTGCCAACCACCAAATCTGTCACGGACGGCATAAAACACACCGTTCACCAGGAATCCATTAGACCGACAGGTCGACTAGCTGTCCATTCTCAATTGTCCGCAGGGTTGTCACGAAGCAGATACCTGCCATCAAGCAAGTTTTATCCCTAAACCCGCGCAATGCCGCCGACGGTCGTCGCCCGTTGCTCTAGAGCACATCTCTTTCGACAACATACCAGAGCATGCCAAAAGGTCTCCCAGCTCCAGACGCATGATTTTAATCTAATAATACCAATTTCTCTCCGCCAATTCTCCTCAGCCTCCTCGTCCTCATCCTCACCCTCAGATGAAACCGATCTATCTACCGTTCTCTCGACGCCCACCTGGTCCATAAAATCCCTCCTCCCAGACTTAACCGACATCCCAGATACCCCAGTATCCCGGACCCAACTCCACCACCTCCTCCGCCTCTCTGCTCTCCCTCCGCCTTCTTCTCCTTCAGAAGAAGCATCCATGCTTAAAACCCTCTCATGCCAAATCCACTTTGTCAAGCAGGTCCAGCAAGTCGATACCACCGGAGTCACGCCGCTTCGCAGTATACGAGATGAGACGGACGAGGCGCATAAGGAAAATACAATCAATATAGAACGGCTCAGAGATTCGCTGGAACGGGAAGAATTTGTGGGCCGGAATCGGAGGATTCGTCGACGTCGACCCGACAAGATGGAGCATCCCGATGAAGGATCATGGGAAGAGAAAGATGCATTGTTGAAATCTGCAAGTAAGATGATGGGCAAATTCTTTGTTGTTCAATCAAGCGAAGCAAAAGCAGAGTGATGGAAGATCGTGGGACAGTTTCTTCCTCTCCTTTTCTAAGGTGCTATTATACCCTTCTTTGTAAAATGAGGTAGCAGCAGAAAATAATGACTAGTAGATCATATTTTTTTGTCATACTATGGCTCCGTGATTTTAACCGGAGTTGCTATACATTTTTTCTTGTATCTCCCATATCATTAGAGTGGTAATAATTATCCATGCTCCCACCGAGAACATTTGAATTTTTATTCTCATGTAAAATGCAATTCCTTCCCTGTTAATCAATAGATGTCACCGTTCCGTTCGGGCTGTTCTTTTCAGGTGGTCAGGGGCGATCATATCGTAACCGGTTGCAACAGTCCGTTAGGCAATGACATTGTTGCGATCTTTAAAATTCGGGGGCGTCTCAAGAGGGTTCGGGGGTTTGTAAGGTACATCAAGCACTGGTAGATTTCAAGCTCTTCCTGGGCTCTCGGAAAATTTTCGACAATTTAAATATCAACACCAGGAAGGCTGTGGACGTGTTAGGGTCGGGGGGGTTTGTGATATGTCAGAAGGGATGCATGGATGGCAGGTGGGTGTAGAGGGTGAAATGAAATACCAGCTTGATACTGGGTAGAAGGACTTCGGGGTATGCTTCGACAAATTGAAACGCTAATTAAATATTCGTAACGGTCATGAGAATGGCTTTTGTCCGTAAACACAATGGCTATCACGGTCATTAGTATAAATTGTGTCAGCATAGCAAAGAAGATATTGTCGGTGCTCACGCAGTAGTATGGATGTGAAAGTCCATATTCCTCAAATCCTGCCGCACACCAGCAAGCTGAGCCTGAATCATCGTGTTGTTCCAATCCAGTACTCGGGTGAATAGAGCTAGGCAATAAGGCTCAAGAGAGTCAGCCATGACGATTCGCATGTATTCCCCGAGAGTTTTCAGCCTCGGATCCGCGGGCCAGGGCGATAGAGGCGCCTTTCGACGCTCATCCACGACATTAACAAACCCAGCCTCTTCTACCATCTCACGAAACCGTGCTGCTAGATTAAGTTCCTTGCCAAATTTCCTGGCCGCATCGGCTAACAGTGTCTGAAATTGAGCATATGCCGAATCCGGGGGAAGACTGTCATCATCTGTGGATGCCCATGCCTCGAAGTCAATGAGCTCTATCCACCCTCCGGGGGCCAAGTTGTCATATGCTTGTTGTAGTAAGCGTGGCCAGTCCGCTATGCTTCCTGCCAGAGTTCCAAGATGTATGTAGTCAAAAGTATGACTAAATTGCCACTCATCCTCAGCATCATCAACCTCGAATTGCAAATTTTCCGGAACGAATCCGGGCTGTATGGCGGAAAGATCGGTCGCTATGACTTCAGTATTAGGAAATTTATCAGCAAACTCAATCGCCCACTGTATATAGAGGGGGAGAGAGAGTTAGCAAACAAAAGTCACCCCTAAAGCTGAGAAGCATGGAATATTCGACCTACAATTCCTGTGCCACAGCCAATATCTAAGGCATATTTTATGTCCTTGGAAATGGGAGCACGGTAGATATCGCCGTCGTAGAGGAGCGTGTAGAGATGATGCTGCATATCCAGCCGGTCCTGTTCTTTCTCATCGTTGGGCAGCGGATATTCACCCGCGTGGTAGGCATGGTACCGTCTACCGTTCTCATACCTAGCAAATGATCCGGGCTGTCAAAAAGAATTCATCAATTGAATTATACAGAAACCTACTCGTAGTCGAAGACGCTTTCCGTTAAAGAGAAATTATCGGTGTCCTGCATTGGGAGTCGAAGAGACCATTCGGCCTCATGCGATTGAGCCAGAATTAACCGTTAGCTGTCCTTAAGAAGAAATACGAATTTGTTTCATAAGAAAGACTGCAAAAGAATTGAGAAGGAGGAGAACTCGAATTCGCGGGTAATCCGTGTCCGACGGGGCGGCGACCATCGTTTATTAGTTACCAACCCCATGGTTTTTCCCTTGTTCTTCAAGTTGACGTACGGAGTGACTTTTGACTTTGAGCCGTCTTGAATGTGGGGGTGTATTGTGCAAAATGGGATTTGAACGCTGGTAACTTTGGAAATAGCACATTCTGCTGCAGTCTGGTCCATGCAGGAATGGATTCCTGGATTACCGCTGATTGGCTTTAAGTATCCACGGACCACTCTGAAAATTGGGTCGTCGCACTTCCGGCTTCCTGGTCATGAGTTGGTTCGCTTTGGCCGAACCTTGTTGATAATTGCTGACACCGCCGTTGGCATGTTGATCACCCCCTTTGCCGAGTGAACGTTTAGTGTGATGTGGTTTACCACTCTGACGGGACGTGAGATCACCGAGAGTCTCCAGCAAACATTGGCGGCAACCCCCCATCCCTGCGTTTCCCAGATCCCAACAGAGCGGTGCCGTCGGTATGACATTAACCAGACAGATGCCTCCTGCTAAATAAACGGCCACGGCACGGGTATATCCACAGAGATCCAACCAAAAATTACAAAAAAACGGCTGCATAATCTGCAGCAACCAATTGTCGGTCCCCCAGACGCATTCTTTGCTGGGATTAGACTTCTCGCATTCGTCTAATTTCAATAAAGCCTAACAAAAGTCTCAATTTATTTTTATTTTTATTTTTATTTTTTGCTTCATGCGACAATGGAATGAAGAGTCGTCATTCAGAGCTCCTTGATACATCGCAGAAGTGTTTCACATAGCAAGGCATAAGCATGTGTGTGGCTTATTTCAAGGTAACATTCTGTCGGAACTTGCATCCTGAAGAATCCCGGTTCGTTGGACCACGTCACTGGGTTTCTGCAATTAAGGTCTTCGACCGGGATTCTCGTTCTGTCTCAAGCGACTAGCGCACCAAGCGTTTCTTATCTCCACCGGGAACAAAAGATACCACCACGCAGCAATGCTGCAGCACGCCCACATTTGGCTCAAGAGCGCTCCGTCGTTTCGGCTTCACATTCAAAATACGGAGTCCTTCTTGCCATGCGGCAAACCCTATTTTCCAAATCAGACTGGTTTAGGCCTGGAAAAATGCAGATCTTAGGCCAGTTTCCTGGAGCCGGCGTATCCCACGACCCATGGGTGTGGGACGTCATATCCGCCCGATTCCTTTGCAGCGGATCCCAATAACGAGGCGGCATGGATTCTTGTCTGCGAATTTAACCGCGAAACTCACGGCCTCGGGGCAGGCAAAGGGGTTCAGCCGTACTCAGTACGAGCATTGGCACTGTTACAGCGAGGCGGTCTGCAGCAATGTTTTTACTCGTTTCTTTTCATAAGCCCTCGAAACTCCACTTTCTCAATAATTGGGCAAAGCTTCGGAGAGCATTGGCGCCCTGAAATGCCAAATAATGATTGCTAACAACGATTCTATCCTCTGCTGTCGTCGCTCTCTGAGGGCGAGGAGGATAAAAGCGAAAGGAGACGTCGAAACGTGGCCGTGCCCGATGCGACGATCACGTGGGGCCGGTTGCCTGTTTGGCTGGTACGACGTAGCAATGACAAGCTGACAGCCCGTTCAAAGTCGACCCTCGTCTTCTCGCTGCCGTTGAGGCTTTCATCCATCGTCGCTGAGTTGTTTAGAGCTATAGCTCGCCTCAAAGCGAAGATCGATCATGGCCACCCAGAACCCTTGGAGGGGTGGGCCCCGTGCCACGGCTCAGGAGGAAGCACAGCCTATGAAGGCCGAAGAAGATCTGAATCAAGTCCTCAGTACATCTCAGCGGAGAGAACTCATTGCTCTAGTCAAGTGCATAATGGATGAAATGCAGGAAATCCTTTGCCATCCTTCAGAACACTACATAGATCCGACCCCTGATGCCCCTGACCGCTCAAACGCTCAGAATCCGGAAGCCTTGCCTCCTCGGCAGGAGACGCAGCAGCTGCAGTCGTCGCGCGCCGGCACGTCAATAAGTAAGGCACAGGTAAAAATAGAGCTTGAGGCATTCGATTATTTCAAATCCTGGAAGCAATCAGTTCTGGGCCGTCTAGGAGAAGCAATTGAAACAAGCGGATCTCCAGAGAAACAGCCTCCAAGACCGATGGATCCAATCGAGCCCGAACCCGCTCCTGTGGATCCTAAGGATCGTGCATCCATTTCTAATCGGACCGAATATCCTGATCCGTTCAATCCTCATCTGAAAAAGCTACCAATGGAAACCAGATTACTCATTACAAATTCCTTTCTTCTCCTCCTGTTGAGCCTGAAATCCTATAACGCTCATTCCCGTGCCCTTTTACTCAAATTATCTACCAATTTGGGTATATCTGCGGAGCATTTGGCTGAGAATGAGATAAAAGTTGCCCAAGGACTTCTCAAAGCCGCTAAAGAAATGTCTGCGAGCGATGAGGCAAAGGCAAGAGCTGATGAGTCTAAAGCTTCGCGCCGATGGAAAATCGGTCTTGCTTCTGTAGCAGGAGCAGTTCTCGTCGGTATGACAGGCGGGTTAGCGGCTCCCCTAGTTGCTGGAGGAGTTGGAATGATCATGGGAACTCTGGGTCTCGGAGGAACCGTGGCTGCAGGGTACCTTGGTGCTGTCGCAGGAAGTGGTGTCGTTATTGGGAGTATCTTTGGTGCATTCGGGGCGAGAATGACTGGCAGAATGATGGAGAAATATGCAAGAGAAGTAAGAGACTTTGCATTCCTACCTCTAAGGGCTCCCCCAGCCAAATCTGAAAATGAAACGGTTCCTTCCACGATCGATACTCGCCTGCGAGTCACGATTGGGATTACCGGATGGCTCACCGAACCCTATGACCTCGTCAACCCGTGGAGAGTGCTTGGGAAGGATTCCGATGTCTTTGCGTTGCGTTGGGAACTTCAGGCTCTCCTGATGTTAGGAAATGCCATGGAATCTCTTGTTCGGAGGTTTGCTTTGACGTTTGCAGCCCAGCAACTCCTAAATAAAACGATTTTAGCCCCATTCTCCGGCCCTTTGATGATACCGATGGTTGTGTTGAAGCTCTCTCATCTCGTCGACAATCCGTTTAATGTTGCTAAAACTCGAGCCGAGAAGGGTGGTGAAATCCTAGCAGATGCCTTGATCAACAAAGCCCAGGGAGAGCGTCCAGTCACGCTCATTGGTTATTCCATGGGTGCTCGGGTTATATATGCATGCCTTTTAAGCCTAGCCAAAAGAAGAGCGTTTGGCATGGTCGAATCCGCAATCCTAATAGGATCTCCCACCCCTTCTGACACTGCACAATGGCGTTTGATTAGGACCGTCGTAAGTGGACGTTTAGTCAACGTATATTCTAAGAATGATCTTATGCTTCGATTCCTTTACCGGTCCCAGAGCGTTCAAATGAATGTCGCGGGGATCCAACCTATTGAAAATGTTCCTGAATTGGAGAATCTTGACGCAAGCAAGATGGTTCCTGGGCATTTGCGATATCCACTACTTGTCGGAGCTATCCTTGAAAAAATTGGGTTCGACCACTTGGATCAGGACGAGTTACGACGACAGGCTGATAGGCTTCGCGCTCTCGCGGCAGAAGATGAGCGTCTGGTCGACCAGGCTCAAAGGGAAGAGCAGCAGCACGAACCGGCACAGGTCTTTGTGGACTCCAATGCACTAGATCGTGACCAGAAATGTCCCGAAGAGCCCCCAATTTCGAACGCGGAAATCCAGAACCTGGAGGACGAAATTACAAGGAGAACAGAGGACAGTTTGGTAGAAATTCATATGCAATCAATCCAGCTTGAGGACCGTGAAGGCCAGCAAAATCACTTTTTGCCAGGTTAATAGGAGAAAGTTGTTAGGCAACTTAATCGTGATAACCCCCAGATCCGCATTGGCAATGAGCTCCCAATTGCCTCGAGGTTCTGGAATCCATTAACGTCCTCCATTTTCATGGCACTTGAAATACGAAGCAGAATATGTATATAGCATAAGAAAGAAGTATAGTGATACCCAATCGAGCTATACCCATTAAGCCATCAGACTCTTGATTCAACGCAGTCTCAGTTTTTGCTTTTCAAACTGCCCGAATACCGCTAAAGCTTTCCATCATGATGCATCGCACGCCAATCCATTCGTATAGTTGTAATCAAAAGCATGCCATACTCCAAATACCTGTGCCACGGTTGCCAGCACTGCCAAGACGTGGAAAATCTGATGCGAGCTGAACCAAATATCAAATTGACCGGGGTTCAACGATTCGGGGATACGGGTCTGTATGATTATACATAAACTGTCAGCCCAAGGACTCGATCGCCACGAGCTACGCCCCGTTTCGAATTATATGGCGGGTGAATCGCAGGATTCCCCGTTTGTTAGCCGAGCACGGAGTGAAGCGGATGCGAAAAGTTATCTATGTATGTTCAGTACATACCGCATAGAAAAAAACCCCAGTGATATGGAGCAGCCCTTCCAGGAGATAGTAAGGAAGACCAGAATGTTCAAACATTCCAGATAGTCCAAACATGAGGGTGGCGTGGGCTAGAGGAGCGAGCGACGATAATCCCGTGCAAGCGAAGGTTCCTGTGCGGAAATTGCGCCACTCTTGACCCTGCAGTTTAGGATGGAGAATAATCATACATGATAACGAACCGAGAGTGAGAGTCTGCTCAATCAAAACCAGATAGTTGATTAGCTAGAGAGACAATCAATATGAAAGTGAAATTTGTCTGCATGGCGATGATGATGAGTATCAACCAGAGGAAGAAAATCCAGTTGAATAAAACCTGGGGTATCAATTACCGTTCCCCAATAAAGCCATATCAGGTGCGGTATGCAATAGAAGACCATGTAAGTCCCCGTCAAGATATTGCCCAGGATTAAAGCCATGATCCCAAGATAGTCCATCTGCAGCCACAACCGGGAGACACTATGAGAATGGCTCATCAGGGTATGATATGCAGTGGAAAATGACATGCATATCAGCGCTGCAAACAAGAGGGACGCAAAAACCAGTCTGTCGGCTTCTGTAGCCTCCGGATAAAAGGACAGGAAGTTTTGGTATAGTAGAATTTCACCAACAACCAAGAACAGTCCCGGGATCATATGCGTGTATATGTTCGCAGTCTCATTATGCACATATGTCAAGCTTGCGATGCAGTCTGTGACGGACTGGTTCGGGCGCCGATAGCCGCTGAGGATGTACTCATTGTCTTGGAGCCAATGGGGAGCCTCCTCGAAGGAAAGCAAGATAGGACCTTTTTTCGTAGGGACTGTGGATTTGTTCGCATAAGGTGGAGAGAGCAAGGGCTCTTGCTCAGCTTCTAGGGGCCATAGTGAAGGAGCGGCATCTCGACATCGAGGGATCGAGGACACAGAGATGGCCTTTCCCATACCCCTCAGGAGTAAGAAAAAGAAAAAGTACAAGAAAATAACAATATGATCTCGAGGAGGATTATAGGGCAAGGAGGAAGATGATAGAAGCAAGACGATTGATATAAAACGGAGTCACTCGCCTTACATCAATTTTGCAGCAAAAATATCGGGGGTCATGTGGTATGAACGGCAGGCGCAGGCGACGGCAGAGAAGGCGGGAAGAGAACAAATTTCTCCAGCTTCATATTCTTAGACTGTTGGGGGTCAGGCCGAGATATATTATTTGGAAGAAGCCTCTCTTCGCCGTCTGCGTATCGGTTTGGAGGTGGAGAACGGTCGGTTTATCGACGCCAGGGCCGGGGTGGGCAGCGAGGTTGCAGCCACATTCTGAAAGGATTTGCGACATCGACGGCATGAAGACCCATGAAAAGGCATATGTTAACAGGGGAGGTTCGGGAAACATCCCTACAGCTCCATTTTCGACAACGCGATTCGATGAAGCTAGAAAAAGCGGATATCCACCTAGACAAGCATCAACAAGCAACTAGGTGGGGAGATTGACTAAAAGTTCCTTGCCAACGAACAGAGTACAACCGATAGTGCAGGCATGTGAACCTGGGGCCAAAATAGCTAGGTAATCAGGAATGAAGCTCAGAAGGTTTGACAGTCAAGCAATGGTATGCAACTATCAGTTTGTATGGTTCATTATCTAGTTATCTCATTGGAAAAATTCGACCCATCATGTCAATGTCATATCTTGTCGTAGTAGAGGTATCACTCAAGGGAAGGGAACCTGCACGCCGAGAACACAGCTGTCACCAACAAAAGGGAGACCAAACTTTTAAATACTCGTGAATATATAAACCGGCTAATTCTCGCCAGTCCATTGTTTTGCCTCGCGAGGGAATACACGCTTGTACAAACTGATTCCAATCGCATCCTGGGGGTTGATTTTATTGTCAAATGTTGCCTTAAAGTACCCATGCGTCCCCAAACTCTCTTTGATATATCCACTGCGCCCTCGCTTGGTCCATAGCTGCAAAGCTTTGAACCAATTGACGTCTTCGGCATTGAAGAACATGTATCGCACCGTAACAACTTTTCGGTGGATCTTGAACGGATGGCCAGTCAGAATAACACGCTTGGCAACAACGCGTCCATGATCGGGCGCCATAGTAGTTCCCGTTGCAATTAACTGCAGAGCATTGATTGTGGAGGATGTGTCGTTTCCGTCCAAGACTTCTGGGTCCGGTACAGACGTATTCCTAAAGACCAGCACTGGAATCGAGCCCCAAGCGATGGGCCCGATATATGTTGCCACGGTGTTTCGCCCAGGATGCAGGTATCTGTCAAATTTATGAACATTGTTCGGAGTGGTACCGGGTGCCGAAAATAACGGATTGATGACGAGCCGGCGAGGGCCATACTGGATAATCAATTCATCTTTAGATTTAATAGGTTCCTCAACATTCGAATTGAGTGTCATATTGATGTTGACAACAGTGTGTTTGTGTTCATGGCGGAGAAGGGAGAATAGAGCAAGTGGCTCTGGACATCTTTGCCTGACGGCCAAAGGCACATCGCGTAAAAGAACTTTTACTCTGGTGCCCGGTGCTACGCCACCCGCAAGAGCTTCACGGATGCACTGGTTTCTCGAACCTTTGTAATCCGCAATCTGAAGCAGGCGGCGCCAATTTTCTGGCTCATGTGCTCGATCCTCTTCGGTTTCCCATATGCTAGTTTTCAGGCTCTTCAGACCCCGGTATCGCGCAAGTCGTTCCCTTGCGAGCGTTCCTGGATGAAGCTCAATTTCATCGGGGAATTCAAGATCGTCGCTCTCTTCTTTCTTTCGACTCGCACGATATTCTTCTATTTGTTGGGCTTCGTCTTCGGGAGACGGATCTAAGAACATTTCTGACTGAGGGTACTCTGAGGGCCCAGCTTCAGTCATGGCGTCTCGGTTATCGTGAAGGAAGACTCCATCTTCAGGGCCGGCCTCATCATCAAGTTCCATTTCCTCGTCGTCATCATACATATTATCGACAATATCGGACCCAGAATCAGACACGTCATCTAAATACCATGCTGCTTGATAGGAAGATGTGCCCTTTGGAAGCCGCATCGGTCGTCTTGAAACCTCTTCCTCTTCTTCATCCGAAAAGTAGTGATGGTCATCAAGGAGCACTCCCTTCCTCTCCGTGTCTGCCATCGACACCATTTCATCGTCCATGAAGACATCCTCGGGGGCCACGATAGCGAGATCGTCTGCATCTGCCGTCGGCTCATCCAAGATTTGAACCTCTCTGTCATCATCCACGTTCATCGAATCTTCTTTTTTATTCCGAGAAGATAGAGGCGCGGCAACGATAGACGATACTTGATAGTCTCCCCAGCCGGGAACGTGAACTAAGCGGTCGGCCTTTAAGCCTTTTCCACGCACAATTCCAGTGACGGAAACCTGGCCACATTCGTCTCTTGTCTCCGGCCATTGTATGTCTTCAATGAGCATCCAACTTCGGTCTTCTCGCCAGTGTATCCCCCTTGGTGTCGCCGTGCACAATCCCCTTGAGACATTCGCACATTCTTGCCTCGAGTCCAACGAGTGCACCTTTTCCAAAGTAGGGAAGAAGCGGTTGATGGAGGCCTTTAAAGATGAAAGAACTTGTGGTCGTTTCTTGGGAGGGTTTATTTTATCAAATCCCTGCAGAGACTCTAGTCAAAAGAAGAATTCTTCCAGTAGATGACAATAGGGTCTCATACTTGAACAACAGCAACGACATTTGAAATACCTTGGCCTTCAACCGATCGAAAAAGTAACTGGGCGCCATGATCAAGCGTCTCGTCCGCCGGCAGGACGAAAACGACAAAGTCCGCTAGGCGGCAAACATCTAAGGCACTGATCAGGTCCCTCTTTGCGGGGATATAAAGTACGTTCTGCTTAAACCTATCGATCCGCACCCGAAGTAAGTCGCCGTGTGCACTTCCGTCCGTAACGTCAACACTCTCATTTAGAGATGAGATGGCCGCGTTTGGATCAACTTGATCCGAGACAGGGACCACAGCGACGTGTCTCGGGGCGCCATTCTGGCCAGAGAATATGCTAATAGCCTCCGCCTTCACCTGCCGCTTTAACCTCTGTTTCTGACGGGCTTGATTTCTCCGTTCAAGTTTCGACATCATTTGCTGGTGGGCTGTCTTCCGCGGGCCTTTCTCTCGAAGCTCGACCTTGCCTGTTTGCAATTACTCAGCACATAATCATATGGATAGGGTGTAGCGTAAATGATGGGAGTAGTACCCTTGTGCAAGTCCTTCAGAGCGCCTTTCGTCGCATGTTTTGATTTGAAAGTCTTGTTCGCATGCTTGGTGGTGCTACGGTGATGGTGCTGGGTTGGGACAGCCATGGGGGCCATGCTGGATCCGCTTGACCCTTTAAATCTAAAGGGAAGAGCTGCCAGTTTGTACAACGAGTTGGATCCCCTCGTGGCTCGTAAACGGCGTCTGCTTCGTGGCACAGCGACGGCAGCGGGCTCGAAAAATAATTGTCGTGGGTTGAAAAAGCTTATCGCGGCCATCAGTGTGCGATAAGCTAAGGCCGGAAGGCTTGGCATTAAATTTCGACAGTCCGTTCAGACATAGCAGCGCACAGCAAGAAAGTTATTGCCTGTCCTTTCATCCCTCTCGCGCCTTCATTCCGATCGGTGTGATAGCCATGGAAGTCGAAACTTCTCGACCCTCTGTCCCCTCCCAGCGCCGTTCAGCTCACCTCACCGCGGAAGCCCGCGAATCGGCGCTCAGGCTCGCCGACGCCCAGAAGCAGTATGGACGCGGAAAGAAGGTCAACATAAAGAGCATAAAAGACAAAAAGCTCCGAAGCCAGTTGAGGACACTTGAGAATAAGTACAAGGATGCATCCTTAAAAGCAAAAGATGCCGAAGTTCTATTAGAGCACGAAAGTGGCTTCTTGGAACCTGAGGGAGAGCTCGAGCGGACCTATAAGGTGCGACAAGATGAGATTAGGGATAATGTCGGAATCGAAACAGCAAAAAAGGGATTTGAGCTGAAGCTGGAGGAGTTGGGGCCTTACAGAGCAGACTACACAAGAAATGGCAAGATGCTGTTACTAGCGGGACGGAAAGGCCATGTTGCGACGATGGACTGGCGAGAGGGAAAGCTGGGATGCGAGCTACAGATTGGAGAGACCGTAAGGGATGCTAAATGGCTACATAATGAGCTTTTTTTCGCGGTGGCACAGAAACGATATGTCTACATCTACGACCACAAGGGTGTCGAACTACATTGCCTGGATAAGCATGTGGAAGCGACTCATCTGGAATTCCTACCATATCACTTTCTTCTTGCCAGCGCAGTAAGTAAAAACTGTATATAAGCTACCCAGAACGATCTACTGATTTTGCCGGTTAGGCTACCAGTGGCTACCTGAAGTACACAGATACATCGACCGGTCAGCTGGTCGCTGAGCTTCCTACAAGACAAGGCTCGCCTACCTCCCTCTGCCAAAATCCTTACAACGCAATTCTCCACGTTGGACATCAAAACGGCACGGTGACGCTCTGGTCTCCGAACTCCACAACTCCCCTGGTGAAAGCACTCGCCCATCGAGGTCCTGTACGATCGATTGCGGTAGATCGCCAGGGCCGATATATGGTTTCTACCGGGCAGGACATGAGAATGGCGATTTGGGATATTCGCATGTTTAAAGAAGTACATAACTATTCCGTCCATCAACCAGGAGCAACGGTATCCATTAGCGATCGAGGTCTGACGGCGGTGGGTTGGGGAACAAAGGTCAGTGTTTGGAAGGGCCTGTTCGACGCCGCGGCCGCCAGTGAGCGGAAAGTTCAAAGCCCATACATGGCGTGGGGTGGTGATGGACAACGCATCGAAAATGTCCGGTGGTGCCCATACGAGGATATCCTCGGCGTGGCCCACGACAAAGGATTCTCTAGCCTCATAGTCCCAGGCGCCGGTGAGCCCAATTTCGACGCCTCAGAAGCCAATCCATATGAGAATGTGAAACAAAGACAAGAAGCTGAAGTGAAGTCTCTATTGACCAAACTTCAGCCCGAAATGATTTCTCTCAATCCAGATTTCGTGGGCAGTCTGGATCTAGTCAGTGATAAGATCAAGCGAGAGGAAAGGGATCTCGATAAAAAGAACGAGGATCCCATTGAAAGATTGAAGAATCGCGGGCGTGGACGAAATAGTGCTTTGCGAAGATATCTGCGGAAGAGAGGATCGAAGAACGTGATCGATGAGAAGAGGGTTAAAGCCGAGACTCTGAGAAGAGAACAAAAGTCGAGAGTTCAGGGAAAAATACGACAGGAGAGGGAAGAACTAGGACCTGCGTTGGCCAGATTCGTCAAAAAGTAAACGACCCAACCCGGGATGAGGGCATCTCGAAAAGTGCATTTGGGAATATTCGATTTCATTATAATACCCACGAACAGTTCATGATAATGTACATTATTGGATTTGTCAAGGTCGGGCGTTTGCCGAACTATCCATAGACTGGATTGGTGCTGGAACTGCAAGGAATGCATTAATCTTCACGTTTCTGATCTTCTGTCTTCTCAGGGCCATACGGTAAAATCTCTTTGGTCTTCAACCCATCACCTTCTACACCTGGCCGGAACCTCTGGGTGCACCAGCCTTCCACCTCGCAAGACTAATATCATACGCTCCCGTGGACTTCCACGCGCTGACGATCAGGTTAACAATGTGCTCCACGCCCTTCCCGTTTTTCACGACTGCAAATATCGTCGGTCCACCGTCTCTCATCTTCGCCGCATCCCTCTCCATCACCTCCAAATCCGCCCCTACGGCTTCTGCTAAATCAGTCTTATTCACAACCAACAGGTCGCTTCCTGTAATTCCTGGGCCACCCTTTCGCGGAATCTTATCCCCGCCAGCGACATCGATGACATATATGATAAAATCGGCAAGTTCGCGTGAGTAGTTCGCTGCCAGGTTATCCCCGCCGGATTCGATGAGCAGGAGATCAGTTCCAAATTTGCGCTGGAGTTGCTGGAGAGCAAGCAGATTGGCGCTAATATCTTCTCGGACAGCGGCATGCGGGCAACCGCCGGTTTCGATGGCACGAATGCGTTCAGGAGAGAGAGCTTTATTTTGAGTTAGGAATTCGGCATCTTCCCTGTCATCGGGGTTTGTTAGATCGCCCGGAGCCAAGAGTTCCTAAAGCCTGGGTTGCAGGGAACCAGAATGGAGAACTTGGTACCTCGTAAAGATATCATTCGTCACCGCGGCGATGTTGTAAGTATCCCGCAGGGCCAAGCAGAGCTGCAGCATCAGAGCCGTTTTCCCAGAACCTACTGGTCTGTTTCGGAATATCAGATAATTTTTAGCCAGATGTCAGCCCAAAAACCCGTGCAAGAAATTCAAGGTCATTTCAGAGATTTTACAGCGGTCATCCCCCAAAACAAAGGACTCTCTTCAACTGTTTTGATGTAGAACATTTTCCGGGATACAATCCACATGGAGAACATTCACACATACCCTCCAATTCCAATCGTAAATGCCCTATCATTCCAATCACGCCCTTCGACGATTGGCATCTCGCGGTTCAGGTAGGAGCCGGGACCGTCGAGGACTTCGTGCGTATGGCCATGGGAGCCGGCATCGTGAGCATGCGAATGGGAGTGGGAGTGCTGTGTAGCCATTGTGGATGAAGTCGATGTGCGACCGTGGTCCAGGACTCGTCGTGGGCGGGAATCGTCGAGAGAGTTGATCGCAGGGGAGCAGAAAGTGGGAATCTGGCGGGGTAGAAAAGGGTTTGACGAAAAGCGCGGTAACTCCGCTGTGGAGCTTGCCTGCGGTTCCAGCCACAAGGGCGCACTGCCGCCCATCGGCTCATCGACGGCTTTTGGACTGGGCAGGCGGGCAGCCCCAGGGTGATCACTTCAGCCTTTCAGGAAAGCGGGAGAGATCCGGAGACGAATTAGGTTCTATTCACATACGTACCTGAAAATCTACCGTAAAGCTACATGCGTCGATCAATCCTCATCAAAAGAATATGAGCCATTCCGAAAGAAAGTATCTTACACCCAAACCGCCCACAAGGTGAAATTAGAGAGAACCGCTCTGATTGGATTCCATTGTAATAAAAAAGTCAAACGCACCAGTGTGTATCTCCAGGAGAAAAACAAAACCCAAGTCATAAACAAGTAGAAGAATGCCTATAGGCAAGTACACTGAGGAATGAGTACAAACACAGATCAAATGCACATCAAACCTCAACATGGGCATTAGTAGTTTATCCAAAACAGGCAGACGTTTAGGAATCGCAAGAGGAAATGGGGCATTATGGGTGAGCGGATATACTTTGGGAAAAGCCACAATGCGACCAGATAAATATATCACGGAAAGGCAAAAGCGCAAAGCGATCATCACAAAAGCTTTCACAAAGAAAAGCGTGGTCAAATAAAATCATTCCACATCCGGGAGGGCACGGCTTGGGGTAAAATGGTATCCTTCAGAGTCGCGGAAAACAATTCGACAGCTTGCGTGAATCCCATACCACGCCCACGATAGCCAATCTACTCCAAAGCCAAAGGGAGGAAAACAAAAGACCGTTCAGAAATACAGCAATGGATCTGGCCCCAAGTCAAAGAGCACACATACAACTCCACAACACCCAAAACAAACAGAAAAGCAAATCACAAAAAACTCCTCGAGAATATCCCGGTCGGAAACCTTATAAAGGACATAGCGCCGCACCAAAAGGAGAAAACCATAACGTCCGGTAATGTTGGTCCAAGGTGAAAGGGAAGAACGCCTTAAAACTATGATAACATCCAGAGAAGAAGATTGTCGAGAAGCTTGCCAATTTTAGTTCAACGGTGCGGCATGCAATATGACTGTGCGTGGCGCGAAAAAGGCAAGTAAACTACTGTATTATCAACTTGTCCCCTTTTGTCGTTTGCCCCCGACTCGGGGGCTGGCTTTCACTTTCACTGCATTATTTGGCCCAGTGCCGTTGACTTCTGCAGTGCCGTTTTCATCAGCTTCCATCTTAATTGTGCTCGCCCGTCGGCGCTTATTGTTAACATTTGGGCTTGTATTGGCACTGGTTCCCTGGCTTCCACTTGTATTGGTGCCTTGCTGGCTTTGCTGAGCAACCATGGCGACTGGTCCAGCCATTGGGTTCTGCGCTGGGCTCGGAGTGTGGGCAGGTCCTCCAAGATGAGGAGATCCTTGCACACCAGGAATGCCTAAATGTCCCAAAGCTGGCGAGGCAAATTGACTGGGGCCATTCAGGCTTGGAGTACGTTGAATATGGCCTTGCTGCGACGGGTGCATCTGGTTAAAGTTCATCTGTATAGCACTTTGTTGATGCGGATAACTTGCCACTAATTGTCGGAGCGCTTCAGGAGGGGATAGGTGGGGGTTTTGGAGTGAGAACTGGAAAAGGTGTTGCATTTGTGAGATAATCTCCGCCACCTGACAAATTATTCGTGTTAGCAAAGAGAGCCAAGCTAGCAGGATAAAACAAAATCTTATTATACCTCTAGGAACCGCATCACAGCGACAGGAACACCGTCATCCGTGACCACTGAGTCTGGGAGAGATATTCCTGGGTTGACCATTGGTTTTTGTTGTATCCGCTTGTTAAGTGCTTTACCAACTTTGGGACTCTGTTTTTGGTCTGACTCTGGTGGTTGCAAAAGATGTCGGGGGACATATTCTGTGTGACCATTTATGCCAATGTCGAGGACGTCAATTTGGCCATTATGATTCAAATACACCTTTATCGCTCCACGAGAAACAAGCTGTTAAATAAAAAAAAAAAAAAAAGAAAAGCAATTAATTAATTGAGAACTTGAAAGTTGGGAAAGCTGTGGCACTTACTTGGCAACCATTATCAAACCAATACAAGAAGCTGGTCCTGGGGCTCTCAATTACTTGGCCACCAGTTGGAAGGTCTTTTTCTACTGCAGCTTCTACAATCATCTGTATCTGCCTGATACCGCTGTTGAATTGCGTCCAGTAATATCGAGCGAGAGCTGGCGTTGATATCTCAAACTGTTTAGAGCCACGCTGTGCATTGCAGACCCCCTGCCGTAGCACTCCCACTGGAGAGTAAAACTGTTCGACAAACGATTGCCAGTAGGCTAACCCCTGAGCGGGATTGCGGTTCTGATGAAAGGTAAGTATGTAAAGATTCTTGTAATCCAAGTGCAGCGCTGACTTACAGAATAGGCGCTCAACTGCTCAGCAAAAGAAAGCAGTCGAAACATAAATGATCTCTTAACATTAGGCATTCGTGGTGGTATCATCATTGCTGAGCCAGCACCTTGTTGCTGGGCTCTTAACTGTGCCTCTTGGGCAGACATTTGTGGTTGCTGAGAAGGCTGTGGTGTTGGCTGATTTTGTGGGGTTTGGCCCTGCTGAGGTTGCGTCTGCGAAGGCTGCTGTGGCGGTTGGGACGAAGTAGGAAGTTGTGGCTGGTTGGGCGGAGGTTGGGAAGGTGGGTTATTACTCTGGGTTGTCGGCGGAGGCTGTGGATGCGCAGCTACGGCTTGATTCTCGTGCATTTGCATTTGAGCGCCGGGTCTTTGCTGAGGCGGTTGTTGGCCTTGTTGAGCTGCATTACTTGCTTGCTGAGCTGCCATGTGCATAGCAAAGAGCTGCTGCTGCTGCTGCTGCTGCTGTTGCTGCTGCTGCAATGCTTGAGACTGTGCGTGTTGACCTTGGATTTGTTGCTGGATGTGCGGGGGAATATTAACAGGTCGCATATTAGGATTGCCAGCCTGAACAGCAGCCATATGCGCAGCACTAACAGCTGGGGCTCCATTGGGCAGAGAAGCAGGGTGCTGTGGCTGTTGCTGTTGCTGTTGCTGCTGTTGTTGCTGCTGCTGCTGCTGCTGTTGATGTTGTTGCTGCTGCTGCTGTTGGTGCTGCTGTTGAAGTATCATCTGCTGTTGTCTCTGCCGGATATACTGCTGGTGTTGGAGTTGTTGCTGCTGGAGGAGTTGGGGATTATTCGCATCTATACGACCAGATCGGCTCAATTAGCATGGAAGATTGGCATGCAGGGTTAGGATAGCATGGATTTGACCTACAATTCTGGGCTATCTGAGGATGTTGGAACATCTGATGCGAATGGGTAGGACCTAAGTGGGACAACGCATGAGCACTCGGCCCGGGTCCGCCAGGGCCGGTTGTTCCAACGACTTGAGGCATCGCGCCCGCCATAGGAGTTGCTTGAGTGCCCTGCGGGGCTCCGGGGGCAGAAACACCCGGATGCAGAGGTTGAACCATTCCCGCTCCTGGGGGCTGTGCAGCCAGATGCGCTGCATTCGGGTGTTGGCCAGGAGCCATAGGATGGCCTGGAGCCAGTCCGGGATGGTGTGCCATGCCGACTTGATGGGCGGGAAATGGCTGCGTCATCATCATTTCTGTCGAATTATCTCACTAATGTTGCGATTCGGCAATAATTATGTCCTGGGCCGAGCGAAGTTGCTGTGTGAGTAGGATGAAGGAGAGATGGATCAGGGACCTGGCAATCGCCGACGTGACCTTTGTCGCGATTGACAGAGCAATATGTCTCCGCCGATATCGCTGATGGGAGCCGGTGAAGCTTCGAGCATGAGACGAAAAGGTGTTTTCGCTTCAGCCCTTAAGGCCGAGGAAACCTTCGCATCTGATATTAGCGAAGATATCCAGCTCGATGTCGTGTTCAAGAGGCTGGTACAACCAAGCGAAGTCGTGAGGGGCAGGAAAACGGGAGCCCAAAGTTACCTTCTAGAAATTATAGTCGACGGGACGCAGCCATCCAGGACTGAACCACATTCAGGTACGCGTTTCCGGATAAAACAAAGTGAAGGTGAGAGACGATCTAGGACGAAGGCGATGGGAGGCGTGCATGTCGAGCTGTTCGATCACCGCAAAAACGCCGTCGATGGGACGTCGTGAGATCTGGAGCTAACCCCGATCGAGATAACAAATCACGTGTAGATGAGTCAGCATAGCTGCGGCTCCTGTTTTTGGATTCGCTTAATTAGCTTGATTTGGAACTTGTGCTCCACCCAGCCCGCGCAGGAGGCGCTAGGCCACATACGGGCTAGCGCTGCTCCCGACCAGCAGGTATTTATTGCACGCCGATCTTCCTCTCGTCAAAAATTTTCCCTCCTATGTTTTCTTCAAGCAGCCGGTGTTCTATCGCCAGACAGTCTTCGAAATTCTCAGTGTACCAGAGCGAAGGATGCCTCTGCTTGCTCCTGAGCTCGATGTGAAATGAACTAGCCATACAATGTTTCTTATCATCCACTCTGGCTAACCCTTAAGGTTGGTGCATTTCTTTGCTACCTCGGTTTGTACCTGCGAATACTCAAGATGACAACCGCATTTCTTCTTTACCACTGAGTCGACCTTGAAGAGAAATTCGGACCTCCCATTCCCGGTTGGTCTGCTACTTGCCAGTATTCTTGTCTGACCATCCTCCGCTTGTGATCAAACGAGAGTGGCTTGTCAACTTTTGGGTGCAACTGTTAACTCTTCGTTTTTAGGAAAACTTGATAACCTTCTATTCTAACCAAGCAGCTTCACCTAGGAAGTCCAAACTAATGTAAGTTGCTGAGTCTTTCTTAGTTGGTCTCTCTTTTTATGATGAAACCTTTTCCTTCATTCGCAGTTTCCACGCTAGCCGTCGCATGAACCTATTAAGTCGACGTGTCGTTGAGCGCATTGCCTACCTTGGACGTCTGAGATAAAACATTTCCCCAATTGAATTGCTTTGATGCCTGTGCACTATGGACAACACTAATGCTTCATAGAATTCATAGGTGAACTTGCAGCTACAGACTTGGGTGGGTATCACCACCAACCCAAGCGCGGGTTTCGCTGGATCCGCATCACTGATCAGGTTTTGACTTATGGGTTATAACAATGATTGTGGTGCGGAGCAAATGAAATACATGTGATGTATTTGCCGCCTGCCCTGGCCTCTCGAAAGGATGTGTCGTTGAAGTCGTGTCTTGTCTTCCCGGGCATTTAAGTTCAGGCCTTTAGCCTTTGTCCATGCCTCAGAATCTCTGATGCCTGTTGCACCCTGAGCCTGAGATTCCAAGTTAGCTTAGCTTTAGAATCCGAAAACCGAAAACATGCAATCAAATCTATGTATAATAATTTTGTCCCTCCTATCTTTCGACTTAGCTGTCGTCGAAGCGAAGTACACTCCGAAATAATAATGAAGCATGCCGTTGCGTGACCTAGCCCTGCCGTACCCCATAATAGCTCCAGATGGCGTCTATCCAAATTTACGGAAACCCAAAGAAACTATGCATGCAGCTTGATTACGGATAAATGTACCGCCGAAGTTGCGCCTGCCCGCAGGTCACCTCCAAAGGGGTTTCCAAGTTATGTAAGCCTCAATCTCTAACTGGGCGGGAAGGCAAGCAAAGTCTTCGAGAACCCGTTCCTGGTGAACTGGAACCGCATTGAGCAGATACGCATGCGTCTTCCGCCATCTCTCAAGTGATAAGTTTCTAAGCCAGTGGCAGCGACCCCGATTCTGCCCTGGTTGCAACATGCAATGCGCACGGCTCTCGTTGCGACATGCCAAGCAAAGCCGATTCCATGTTGTCTCCTCTGGTCCTTGTCCTAGATTCGTCCGTGGGTTTCGGACGTCAAAATCTTTGACAACGTCCAGCGGAGGTTCTCCGGGTCCTCCAACCCCTGCCACAAGCGAGGATTCGTCGAAAAATGATATTGAGTCCAATCAGGAGGCAGAAAGCCACCGAGACGCGACGGCCCAGAAGATTACAAAGGCAGAGCAATGTACGGAGGATACAAAATCCACTTTAAGAAGAGATCGAAGTCCTTATGGATCTGCAGTTCGCAGATCTATGAGAAATAGGAGGCTTGCGGAACGGTCTACACGGAGAGCTGTTATCCCAACGTGGTTCCGCGAACGGAATATAGTTCTCTCGGAACAGACGGCGGAGGTTCTGCAACACCCCCCTCATACTGTCGGAATTGGCCGATCTAATCATGATGCGGAAGATGCGGTGCAACGGGTTGCGACTGGCGGCGATGGAAATAACGGAGGCAGCAATAGCAATCCCGGAGATTCCCCTCCCGAATACCGTTACATGATAAGTGAGGAGGTTTGGAATGAAATACGCACCGTCATACAAGCGGGAATGGCCGTCCCTTCGCCACGCTATGCCGATGATCCATCTGTGAGAAAAGTGCATTTAGTTCTGCAGTATCCTGGTGACAGCGGAATTCTTTTTCTCGATGCGGTCGTCAAGAAGGTCGCAAGCAGTTTCAATACACATGTGATTACTCTGAACGCCCAAGATATTGCTGAACTTTATGCGGAGCAGGAGCAAGAGGAGGATTCCCGCTCGAGTCCGATGGTTTCACTAGGTTATGAGGTATACCATCCCACCAAGAAAGTCTCTCAGCGAGAAACCGACGAAGAGATGGAGGAAGCAGAAGATGAAATTGAAGATGAGAACGAGTCGACAGATCGAAGGCGTAGCGCTACAATACCCATATCGCGGATATCGGATCCTACGATGTTGGGGTCATCCATACTACAAGGCTTATTCGGAGGGCGAGGATCCGTCGGCGTTGCTAAGGTGGTCATGTCACAAGGACGGGATGGCGCCCTTAGCGATACAGATACTGATCCCCAGTCACTTCGAGTCGTGAACAAACTCTTATCAATCCCCAAAGTTAAATCGGCAACCCCTGCGGCTGAAGAATCATCTGAAAAAGGTGAAAGTGAGCAACAAAATCTCGGAACCAAGTATGAGGATTTGGTAATTCAAATTCAGGACTACAAAGACCTTTTAAATACAACAGCCGGTTCGGTTTTTTTATCCTCCTTTCACAAAGCTGTCCAAGCTAGAAGGCGAAAAGGGCAGAAGGTTGTCGTGGTCGGAACCGTGTCTGCTTCAGAAACCGACAACTCTTCAGGAAAATCGCTTTCGAAGTTGATACCCACGGACTATGATCGATATTCAACAACGATCTTTGTTACACCAGCTATGGATTCCAAAAGCGCCGAGAATATATTTGCGGAGGACGAAAAACGGAGGACATTGGAGATCAATATACGGCACTTGCAAAGCATGCTCAAAACCAGGCTAAATGGATCCACTCCACCTGAAAGCAGCATCTTTAGTAATCGAGCCTGGGCCTTGGAGAGCTCCACAATTCGCACATGTGGTCTTGACGCTGAATATTGGCCATTCGACCTCGTTCATCGAATCGCTACACTTGCCCTTGGTTCCGTTAAGGCAACTGAAGAGCTGGGACTCGGCCACATTGAACAGGCCATCCAGGTTTTCGAAAAGAGTGACCAGGTCAAATGCGCATGGATGGGGGATTACCGCGGAAAGCTTAAGCCTGTGAAGCAGACTCGAGAAAAGCCTCGTTTCAATAAATCCAAGCTGAAGTGCAATTCGCATGAAGAGAAGCTACTCAACGGGGTTGTGGACGCGGAGAGTATACGCACTAGTTTTAAAGACGTCCATGTGCCTCAGGAAACAATTGAGGCACTGAAGACCTTGACATCTTTATCTCTTGTTCGCCCAGATGCGTTCACGTACGGTGTCCTTGCCACGGATAAGATACCTGGCCTATTGCTCTATGGGCCACCAGGAACTGGAAAGACCCTCTTAGCCAAAGCTGTTGCCCGTGAAAGCGGTGCTACTGTCCTAGAAGTTAGCGGATCCGAAGTTTATGACATGTACGTTGGCGAAGGAGAAAAGAATGTCAAAGCCATTTTCACCCTCGCCAAGAAACTCAGCCCTTGCGTTGTTTTCATTGACGAAGCGGATGCTATCTTCTGCTCGAGAACCGGTGCGAGCAACCGCACTTCGCACCGTGAGTTAATCAACCAGTTCCTACGTGAATGGGATGGTATGAGCGAGACTTCTGCCTTTATCATGGTTGCCACCAACAGACCTTTTGACCTAGATGACGCGGTGCTACGGCGTCTTCCCCGTCGACTTCTCGTTGACTTGCCTACGGAAAAGGATCGCCACGAGATTCTCAAAATCCACCTGAAGGACGAGGCTGTCGATAAGTCTGTGGATTTGACCGATCTAGCCCGCCGGACACCCTTCTATTCCGGTTCAGACTTGAAGAACATGTCTGTCGCCGCTGCATTAGCGTGCGTTCGAGAAGAATATGATGCTGCAATTCGTCATAAAGGGGACGAGCCGTATAAATATCCTGAACGCCGTATCTTAAAATCTCATCACTTCGACCGCGCCATGGAGGAAATCAGTGCTTCCATCAGTGAAGATATGTCGTCCCTCACGGCTATCAGGAAGTTTGATGAGAAATACGGCGATAGGAAAGGACGGCGGAAGAAGTCTTCTGGGTGGGGATTCACTCCTCCAGGCGCCCCCGAACCTACTCTAGAAACGGGTCGTGTTCGTCACTGATTGGTTTTTTGGGCGTTAGCGATTTTATGCCTTGGGACAACACGAAATCGGACATCTGCATCAGGGCGCATGGGATTAGCTGTTCGGGAAATTTATAGAATGTACTTATATTCGAGACGATAGAAATGTATTCCTCGGTTATGAAACTCTTTTTTCCTTTAAGTCTTTTGGAGGTACTATAGTAGACCTCAAATACCCTTTTCATAAGTTGGTTACTCCTGGTGTCCGAGTCGAGCTGCTAACCGATATCTTCTCTTGAATGTGTACACTTTTTGAAACTGAAACCTCAGGAGTGCAACAAAGTTAACCACACCTCTTTGATCAACCTTCTGGAGTAATATATACTCCATCCTTCACCCGGCCGCCTGTATTGTTCGGTGGTGGTGGCGCTGATTTCGTGGATCCAAGTGAGAATCCAGGGAAGGATTATGTAGCCTTCCAAAACCAGCTTGCGAACCACATGTGTTCACTGGTGGCTTCAGCCCAAGGAGCCAATGTGAAAATATCTCTGCTCCAGCTATGGAGTACTCATAAGTTATGCAGAAATGCATGACACAAAGCGCTCAGGGTTGTTAAAGCTTCTCCCGCGCATTTGGCGGCCCGGCTCTGGACCACGACAGAGCCTCTCCTTTCCACCCCCACTTTGTGTCGCAGTCTTCAATTCGGGAGAGCGGGTAAGCTATAACTATGGGAGCCATGCGTTCTTCGCGGTATATATAGGTGCTCGGGCCATACAGCATGGCTTCTTGACACAGGCGACTCCTTCAGCCAGAGCTATATAATCTCTCACCATCGCAAGGTGTCCTATCCGTAGTGACACTGGTAGTTATGCGTACACCGCGTTTGCGGGAAAAGGAACGTGCACTTGGGATAGCGAGTAATAACGTGCGTCGTAACCTAGAGGTTAAGGACTATAAGCAACAAGGTACTCTTGAGGAAGATTCCAAATGATACAACGAGAAGAGTTTCAAAGCCTAGTTCGTTTCCCCTCCAAATTATCTTCCAGGATGCAAGTGGCCTGACGACGTCATACATAATTCCCTACAGGAGTCGGTTCGATGCGAAATTTGCCAGCAATGAGGAGGCTAGCAGCGAGGTCTCCTTGTCGTATGCGTTTCCCCTTGTTAGATGCATTTTAAAAGCGTGCGATGATGGATCGCAAGTGGATTGCGAGGTATCTCCGTCTCGAACCAGAAACTAGCTCACCAACTTAGCTCGCGTGGGAGTCCAGAACTTCAACCAGCATCATCCACCCACGGGAGCCGCCAACGACTTGGCAAGAGGTTCACGTCTTAATCTCCCTGTTCTACTTCGTACTTCACATTTCTATATGCATTCCTTGATCCTGCCTATCGCCCGCATCAAGGGCCTTCAGACGTCAGTTAAGCTAGTCTTCCACACGTAGCTAAGTCATCGCCTCAGGCCAATGGATCGGCCCCGCCAGATTCCCGACTCTTCCTCCCACCCTCATCATCCAACCCTCTTCGCCTCTCTGCACAAAAGGACACGTACGGTGGATGCCACTGCAGCGGAAAAAGCGAGGGAAGCGCGCGCAAATGCCACTAGAGAAGCGAAGCGATACCTTCTTCAAATAGTCCGCAACGACTGGTCGTATGAGCCGCCGGCCACTTCTTCGGGTCCTTCGTCCTCCTCAGCCTCGTCAGAGGCAGAATCCCCATCGCCGATCCCAAAGGATAGGGATGTTCTGGAATGGAGAATGCGAGGAGAGGATAGCTCCAACTCAGACGGAGAGCAGAACGCTAGGGATGAAGCGACTGATCCCTACCGTTTTGAATCTCCTGATGCCGTGCAAGCCGCGATGCTAGAGAGAAGGAGGAAAAGGCGGAAGTTAATTGAAGATGAGATGAAGTGGAATCCTGGGCTACGCCTATGGATACAAAGACGGGATGCGTGGACGGGGGCCAAAGTGCCTCCTAAGAAGACCGCTGGTGTTGAAGCCGCTTTGAAACCGCGTACAAGCAGTGACGAAAGCGCAGGTGGAAGCTGTAACGACAATGATGATCTAGAAACTGCTGGACCTTCGTCTCGTCCTCTTTCTGCAGATTCATTGTCCAACGCGGTTACAGACGCGGCACTGCCGGCGCAGTCTCTACCCCTGGTTGACGATACAATAAGTAAAAGCACTGTCACCGTCCCGCATACGGAACCATTTGCAGATTCAGAAGAACCTCTTGTTCCCATCGTCTCGCCTATTCTTCCCAGCTCCAACCCTTTCCGTACCTACACCACGCCATCAAATTACCCTGCCATCTATAACAAACTCGTCATCGAAGGGAACACGCCAGCCGTGCCTGTAAATCTGCTACATATGACGCGAGCTCTTGTGCAAGGCTGGAAAAGGGAAGGGCAATGGCCCCCGAAGCCCACTATCACCAAGGACGTTCCCGTGGTGAGAAAGAAGCGACCTCAGTTGCAAACTGAATCGAATGGTAAAGCTATAGCGGCGATCCCGCTGCACCGCCGGCACCGGCGGAAGAACACACAAGTCGCAGGAAGTCAATTAGTTCTAACGTCACTGGTGCGGTGAAAAAAGTTTTGGGGTTCGCGTCGATTCATTCAGGACATCGATTCCATGTCCGGGGCCATAGCCAGAGCAGTGCCTCTTCGCCTATTGTTGACCCAAATGCTGAAGGGAGCAAACCCGGTAACCGGAAAGATCCCTAGATCTATTTAAGCTAGCGACATGTATTTCCTTGACTTGGACGCGACATGATCCGGGAGCTTTATTCGGGATTCTCTTTTCTTTCTCTCCCTTCTTGCTTTTACATATCGAGACAAATGTTCTCTACATTCGAGAGTTTAGGAGCCTAAACCATCCTTTCATAATTCCCTCCAGTCCAGCTCACGGGAAGAGTGATCTCGCCACTCCTGGATTACTTTGTTAGATGGACTGGCATAGTGAAACACTTTCTCTCAGGTATCATTATTGACAACTTCATGGTAGAGATGCTGCTTTTATGATCATCCCCATGTTATTTAGTTTTCATCCATGGTACGGAATAATGCACTTGCGATGTGTTCCTTCAAGAGACCTGTACATACCTTGTTATACACTTCAATATCAATATGCACATGGCTTCATGATGCCCATGATTGAGTTCGTGATATCCTTGTCCCACTACTATGCACAAGTTGCGTGTGTGTGTGTGTGTGTGTGTGTGTGTGTATATCATATTTTTCATAGGCCTTATGCAGTCAGAGACTATGAAGGCTACGCTATCTGTCCAACTAGTTACAGGCATGTGTTCTTCTTGATGTGGGGACTTCAGTTAAGTCATTCTGTTTAACTAAGCTCAAACTGCACATGATTCCCAGGGGAGATCATGCCATGTCTCTTATAACTTGTGTTATTCTTCTGATTGGAGCCATGCTTCAAGGGAAAACCCTCAAAATCTTGGGTGTAACTGACACATCTTGACATTTGCAAACCAATAGAAAGTATATAATTGAATCATCTTGTAAACCACACAGGCCCAGTACATCTCATATCTAACTCATGTACGGAGTATATTTCTGATCTATAGCAATCAATTATAACTGTCAACAAGATAGCACCTGTCCTTCTAGAGAATGGGAGCCCCTATGGTAAAGATTTCTTTTTGGTTGAGGCAAGATTCAAACTTACAATCTTCTGTTCAGTGTGGTTGACCCCAATCAACAGAACACCTACTTCAGAAGGATTCCAGGCTGGCCCTTTACCACTCGGCCAACCACCCCACCTCTATGCACGAGTTGCAAACCTACGAAAATTGATAATAATCAATGGTTCTGCCAGAATTTTGACTGTGGCCATGATCAAACCCGTGGCAACCGGCGTTCTTTTCATATTTCTTTTTTTTAAAAAGATAATTTTTTGGATTTATCCTGCCTTCTTGTGCGGCCCCTGATGCCTTTTTCGGCGGGCCGCTAGTAACACGTGATCTTTCCCTTCTGCCACGGCCCGCTACTGCTACAGCCACCACGCGCTTCGAACACCAGTTTGGACTCCACAAGTCTCCGTGCGCCAAGATCATCACCCATCATCAATCACCCGGCTCACCCACCCGTCTAGCGTTTCATAACGGCGCTGAAAATGGCTCCATGGGCAGCCACTGACTCACCCAGGCCTCAGGCCATGTGTCTCCTTCCTGGTCATGGCTCTCAGGAATATCTACCCACGATACCCGCCGGCTTCAGAGAAACATGGAGCTAGAACAGAGGCTTTCCCTTTTCCCTCACCTCCATCTCTAGTCCTCCAGCATTCACCTATACCTTCACCTTTGCTGGAGCGTGGCGGCCTTCTTTGCCAATCCTACTCGCGACCTGACCTTGTGGCAGACCCTGAATCACAATAAAGCACCCCATTGACCACTGAGGTTGGGCCTGCAGCAGAGGCAATAACCAAGAGTCTGATACCAAGTCAGGCTATGCTGACTCCAGCAGTAGATCAGAAGCAACCCTTGAAACCAATCTCACTAAGCCTGACAGCTCTGAATGACTGGCAAAATGTTCTTGGCTTGGAGCCAGCTGCCCCATCCCTAGCCAGTACTTACAAGGTGATGAAGATGATTTCAGTGATAATCCTCTAGATGACACTGGGGTAGACCTGTCAGCTATACCTGAAGATTTTGACAAGACAGACAGGACACTTCTACAGCAAGAACACATGGAACAGTGCTGGCGGCAGTTAGCAACCTCCCTTGCTGGTTGGAGACCGGTGTTCCTCTATCTTTGTTAATAATGATGATCAGGTACGGAGGTGCGTCTCAAAAGTCTTTGCCGCGCTAGTAATTAGGCTAGTACCAGAAATACATTGAACCCCACCAAATTAGTATGGATCAACCTGTACCTTAGATCATGGATTCATTCCTCCTCTTGTACATCCTCCCAAGTATTCATATCTCCAAGATGTAAAGCTGTTAGAGTCTCTGCAGCTTCTAATCTACTAGCTAAACACTCCCTTTCTAGATCCTGCTGTTTTGAGATATTTCCCTTTAAATGCTGCCCTTTATACTTTCAAGGACCCTTATAACCACCCTCTCTATACTCATTCCCTTCCTCAAGCCATATAATCTCTTGAATATGATGTGGAATTCACTCAATCCACTGTTGAATCTTCTCTTGCAAAAGCTTATTCCAGGCTTGCAATAAAACTTTCTTTGCAGTCTTGGTTTTGTGTGGAGCTTCACAAGAAGTCATACACCTTTTCATCCACATCCAAGCAGACTCCAGATAACATTCTTCCAGTTATCTAGAGTCCAATCCTTATGAGCAATAGCAAATTTCAGCCTTTTCTCTCTTATAGACTCAGTTAGACCAGGTTTCCAAGTAGGTTTGACATTAATAAAGCCATAATGCTGCAGAATTCACCAAACACTTGAGTGGGATATACCAGATTCAAAGGCAAGAATCTCAGTGAATTTCTCTTGGTCAGCTCTATTCTTGTGAATCAAATCCAATATCTCAGATTCTTTACTGGAATCTATCTCTTTAGGACATCCTGACTCACTTTGCATCTTCAACAAATAAAATATCAATTCACTGGTTCTCTTGAGGCTTATAGCTGTGGTCTTTGGCTCATTTTTCAATTGCATGGAGGGTTCTAGCAGGAATTCCTAGAGCAGTAGAGACTTCATTAACTGGTATTCCTCAAGAGACTAAAGCTAGAGCGGATGCAAATAGCAATTAGATGAAACTGATTATTTTCAGGCATTGGAAATTATAATTGAGATGAGATTCAAGCTGGCGATTGTTTTGAAATTAGAAGGTACATGTAGGTCCGTAGTTATTTGGTTGGGGGGTATTGTACTTTTGATACAGCTATAATTACTAGCGTGAGTAAAGACTTCTGAGACACACCTCCGTACTGTAAAGCCAAATCATGAGAGCAGCTAGCTAAACGCAAGTGGCATGGCCCTGAGCATGCCCTCTGCAAAGCATCAGACAATAACATCCACCGGTTTCTGGAATGGAGTCTTAGACTTTCGCGCGGAAAAGACCATCGACACCTAAAGGGTACGAACAAGGCCAGCTCATTCAAGTCTGACTGGCGCAGCTTTTGCCAGTACTATAAAAAAGTCACTAAGAACAAAATCTGTGATGAAGACAGAAGTAATATGCGGCAGGTAGGTTCACCTAATACCTTGTATTCCCGGATGAGAGCTAACAAGATCACAATGTAGGGCATCAAATTCTTGATTAAAGAACACAGTCTGGACACACAGGAGAGCAAGAAAGTCCCTGTGTACATTGAGGACATGGTTCTATTCAACAAGACTATCCTGTTGACTCAGGAGAAAAAATTCTGGCTTGGGTTTGAGAGGATTCAAGTGTGTCTGTACAATACTAGGTCTTTTCACTCTGCACCAGAAAAATGCTCTCCTGAGCTTGCAGTATAAGGATCTACAGTTCTCACTCCAGACAGACCCTAAGGGGGGACCTTCAATTCCACTTGTGGAGTTGACAGCTAAGAGTATTAAAAGATTTATGAGATCAACAGATTTGTATATCTGTCTTCCAAACCTGATTTAATGAATATCTTATCTCTCTTGCTTTTAGTCTTTTATAAAGCCCTGTTGACTATCTTGCTAACTGCAACCAGAATAATATTTCTTCTCCCTGAAGTAATTTATAAGTTATTGTTAATGTTCTGCCTGCATACATATCTTTTTGGAATGATGTTCTATACTGTAGTGTTCCAATATCTGGAACTGACATTTATAACCTGACTGCAAAAGCTATTTGTGATGCATAGCTGCCAGTAAATATCTCTGTATTTGAAGTGTAAGACAGCTGATTGATATATATTCTGTAAAACTGAGATAGTTAAGAGATCTTCTGTTATCTAGTAAATACAGCTAATGTTTAAACAGACTATAAGCTGTCTTTTAATAATTTTTAAAGAGATCTATAACTGACTTCATGTCTTCTTCTTATATTAGTTCCACTACAGAAATGGAAAGATTTTCAATAAGAGTGATATATTATCTCTGTTGTATTCACAAACAATATATCTTGATGAAAATTTGGTTAACTTATCATATTTACAGAATGAATTAGTGAAGAACAACAGATGCTATTTATAAAATATGCAGACTATTATATATTATCAAACATTATTATTCTTGAACTATCAGCACTAATATAATCTGGACCATCTGCAGCTTTAATTCAGACAAGAGAATATAATGCAGGCTCTTGCCTGACAGAACTGATAGAGAGATTAATATTATCTACAGTATTTAATAATAAAAGAAAAGAAGAATATTATATCTGATCCAGCACTTATAATAGTAATTCTCAAATTAAATGCTCTTTAAACTAAATTTAACTAAAATAAAAATACTGATCTTTCTGCTTGTATATATTAACAAGAACAGAAGATCAGAAATATCTGACAATAACTACTCAGAGCTCTCTGAAAAAAGATGTGATTAAAGTTTAATAAAAAACACTCTCTTCTTAATATTAAGATATAGTTTTCAGAGAACATAATTGATGAAAGCAAGAAGAAATTACTGTTAGAGAATAACTTATATTTTATTTTAT